CCAACTCGCGCTGACTTGAGCGTATTGACAATTGATAATTTAAATTTATTCTTTCAGATCGCTTTCATGAAGTAAAATGAAAGCAAGATTGTCTCCTTGGATCTGCTTATCGTGACCGAAACGTCAGCCCTAATGTGTTCAATTGTCTGGCACCTGTGTGTTTTATACAACTTATAAAATCAAGTTGCTTGCCTCCTGGCATACCGGTTCAATTCAAAACTGACAACTTTTGAATCTTTCATTTAATGTTGTTGTTTGCACACCGAATATCCTCTGAACAGAATCCTTTCGAGAAAAGTTATGTCAGGGGTTCAAATTGTTGGGTAATGCAAACTGATCGCCAAGTCAACATTGTAAGTCTTAAAAAAAAAAAACTGTTTCCAGAAAAAGTTCATAATACTTAGCACTCTGAATCGATACGGTTATTATGCCTGCGGCTTTATCATTGTAATGCGCTGTAAATAATGTCTAGTTCTCGATTCGCGAGTCCACTGGTCCAAAATTTAATATCCGTCTTTGTCCTTTTGTAATTTGAGATGTGCGAGTCGTGCCAATCAATCATCAAAGTGTTGGCTCCGCCTGCCGATATGTCACAACAAGCAACATGCACTTTCAGCAAACTGGATAAACCGGTTTATTCCACGCACTTCAGTTGAGGCTGCGCAGACTGTAATATGACGTCAGGACGAGAGTTCGGCAATCGAGATTGAAGCGAAATTTGAAGCAAATATATCACGAAAATTTTGAATTGAGTGCAATTCATTTGAATAGCGTTTCAAAGAGAGTATTGTGGCGTACATTTAGTTCATAGGATTACAACATCGTGAAACTACTATGGTGCCTGTCACTGATTTTAACAACCAAAACTTAGAAGGGAACTTCTTGGAACAAATCTCTTAAAAATTAGATAGCTTTCAAGCAAAAATCGATCACAATTTTCCGGAAAGGCCTTGACATGCAGCAAAACACGTTTCGGTAGGCGTAATTGCGTATAACAAAGAATCGCTTTAGCGAAAACATAAGCACAATTACGGCTATTCAAATTCGTGACCAACACGAATGCAATTTGCGTTATGGCCGAACGCGAACCAATGAAAATCGAGGACGCTTGGGTGTGTGTCAGCTACAACTACAACCGGTAAACATACAAACAAGCTGTCAATCACGCTTACGTCATTCTAAACAATCCGAAAAATTCCGAATTGGCACGATTTTAGGCGAGTCTGCGCACCTGTTCTCTCTTGGATCTTCGTGACAGTATACGTTCCGTTCGTGACGTCAAAAGACGCGTGGTTCGCTTTGAGGCGAACAATAATGGCTGCGTTCGTGTGTGGTGAATGACGTTTTCGGTGGAATAGTGCACAGTCTCCATGAAAAACTTGACATTCGTAATTCTTACAGATCAAAGTTTCAAATAAGAAACTCCCGCCATTAGTGAATCATGGCGAACGCATCAAATGTTTTCCGGGTTGGAGGTGAGTGATCACACTAGAAACTTCGGAGAATTTTTCACTGAAAAGCTTCATTTTCCCCCCTTGAGGAAATCGCATTTAATGGCATGTCTTTCCTTGCCTTGCGAATGCTTAATTTCTCGAGTATACTTAAAAAGGAAGTAAATATATTTATTTGATGTTGGTGTGGATTTTTTACGCGCGGACGATTGCGTTATTTTATCCGTATGCCGGGAGAATGAACAAAAACCTCCGTACGGTGTACGAATGTTATCGGGGACTTCACTACTGCCATTCTTTACTAGAAAACCCGAGGGAAGTCTCGTGGAATTGATTTGTTGTAGCCATAAATTGAAGGTTGTCTCAATGATTGTGATTTGATTTTAAAACGACGAAAGGAAAACCGAAAAAAACTTCACAAATGATAGTTTCAGGTCTGTTGATTTGGTGCGCGCGGTTACCTGCTTAGCGGCTGTCGTTGCGACCATGTGCGTTTTTTTGGTAGCAAACCGTATTTCTGATGATATCTGACGATTTTAAACTGATGTATTGCGTTAATTAACTTCTACTTCAACACAGATTATGTTTACGTTGAGACCAATCCTGCGTTACCGTATCAAATACGAAGAATTGAGGAGTTGACCAAGGTAAAAATTTAAGGTGGCTCTGAACATTTATTCATAAATATGTTAATTACTAAATTTGGTTATGGGCTTAGAGTAACTTTCTTCTTTTTCTTCTAGACAAGCAATGGGCAAGTTGAAGCTAAAGTTCAGTGTTTTTACAGAAAGAGAGATTTATCTTCAGCCCTTGCAGTTCAGGCTGAGAAACATTTGAGTGAGTATAGCCAAGCTGGAACAAACTAGACACATTGCACACTTTCTTTAGTGGCTTTTATAGTGTCTTTTTCTTTTCAACATGTTCCAAAACACACAATTAAATCATGGAAAATGTGAAGAGCCACTATAATTTCCTGGATCAGGTGTGCATATAGTGAGATTTAGCTTTGGTGTAATTTGAGACAAACAGTGTTGCTCTATTTGTCATAGCTGTTGACAATGTTTTACTCTGAAATGCCTATGATGCCTGGGTTTTTCAAGATCCCTAATTTTTCCAACTATTGTATGGTTTCTGTGATGTATGCTTTAAGACAATTTGGTACTCAGTGATCGTATTGAAATTTTTCTGCTGTTGTTCCTGTCAAGCTGTAGGCATAGTTGTGTTATGGTCTTAGTCCAAGCAGATAATCTTGAAAAGGGGGTTTGATTTGTACAAAGGATTGTAATGATGATTTTAAGGGAAGCAATCAGAAGTTGTGTAATTTCAGGGTGTTAAAAATTTTTGAAATTCTTGGAATTGATGAGGATGCCCTCCTGGGTCACATGCTCAGAAATTATCTTATATTTCAATGTGAATTATTATCCTAATAAAACTGAACATTTTGGTATTGGTTTATACCTCAAACCTGTGACAAGCAACTTTCTCCTTGATCTTGAAAACTTTCATTTATGGTATACATTACCTGATTTGCAATATTATAGTTAAAACAAAGTTTCAACAAAAGGAAATTGAATCCTAGCTTTTGTTTCATCATCAGTAGCACTGAAATGGGGAATTTTTATCACTGTAGGTTATCCCTCATTGTTGGGTTTTCAGCAGTTATCAGTTATTACAAGATAACTGTTGGAGACATGAGAGTTGAGGAGGTTGTTAAGAATACCAAGTATTTAACCCAACAGAGGGGTTTCTAGCTGCTTAGCAGCTGTAAATGTGATTAATAATAATCAAATTATTCTCAGTTTTCATACTAAAAAAATCTATTGCATAAGACTATACTTTCTGGTCATTTCGCTGGGTTTCTGGTATAGTAGAAGATTCTGATAATATAGTCAGGGTTATACTTTGGCCAAGCACATGCACTACAGTTGACCAACATCTGTCTTTAGGAGACTTAGATACCTTTGTTTGTATGAAAGTTTTTAAAAGCTTAAAAAATCAGAAAACTGAGACAAGAGCTTTGAAGAACCAAGATATTTTTTAAGAACTTCACTTTGTAATTCAACGTTGACATGCCTGTTTTCTTACTGATTATTCAATACAATTTTGTCGCAGTACAAGCAGAAGAGGATGCAGAAATTGAAATGGGTGACAGTGAAATGGAAGATGTGTTAAGACATCAGCTGATTCACAGAGAAGTGTTTTTGTCCAGACAGTATGAAAATATTAATGCCAACACCATTAGGTAAGAAGACTTAAAAATGTCCTATTTTATTCCTTAAAACTGAAATGAAATCTTAAGTTAACATATCATTTATTGTTATTCCCAAAATCAAATCCTCATGGCAGGTTAGAATGCTGGGAGGATATGTAATTTTGTATGCAGTTGGTGTTGTTCATTAAAATGTGCAGAATATATCCACATGTCATTTGTGTTGTAGTAAATTATAGCTTTTAATTACTGAATTTCATGCCAAAGGTCCTGTGATACAATATAAGTGATAAATCTTCATAGTAACATGCAAAATTTCGAAGTTGTTTTAATGAATAGAATTTTAAAAGTGATAAAGATAATGAAATCACCTTTATTTTGTACCTTTAGGACTTTACCATTGTTTTTTTACACAAATTATTTCCTGTCAAATCTAACTATTTTCTTTCACTCTTGATATAAACAAAGAAAATGATTGAGCTTTTATCATGGCTAGCTTATGGACAGAATCGTTGCTTTAATCTGTCACTAGAAATGTTTAATACATGACTGTAATAATTTTAGGCAAGATGTTTAGCTTTTGCAAGGTTAAGATTGTTTTGTATTACAAGATACATTGTTCATGTAATGTTGTTTTGAGGTTTTCAAATCGCTTGAATTAGAAAGAAGAGAAGGGAAAGTCACAAAGCAGATTTAGAATTTGGACCACAGGAAATTTCTGTCGATTTTGTTTTGCAAATAAGGCAGTTGATGTTTCATTGTGATTTTGAGACAGGTCTGTGTCATCCTATCATGGTACAAGCATTGTCTGTATAGAATTCAATTTATACCATAGAATTGTTTCATAATAATTTTCTATGATCCTAAGCACAAATTTGTGCTCTTGTGGATGTGTTTTTGTAGTACATTTACCTACCTGTTTTGGAAATGCTGACTTTCCCAAATTCTACAATATAGTGCACACTGGTTATTATTGGTAAAGGTTCCAGTTTTAAATTTTAAACTCATACTAGGCTACTATAATGTCAGGTTTCCTGTTGTGTGATCAATATGCATTGTTCTTACAAAAGAATAATTTTACTTGAATTGTGTGTGTTTTTTCATGCTGTTTGTGAATTTTGGATAGAATAAGAAAGAAAAAAAAACAGAATGAAAAGCTTTTTCATTCAGAACACTGAGAGATCACTCCAGAAACTCAAGATGTTTTAGAATTTCTGGATGTGGTACTCAAAATATGTGAAATGTATTTTCTTGGTTACAAACCAACACTTTCGCATAACTTACATTGTACATTGTGCTGATTTTATCAATTGCACTTGTAATCACTGAATATGTTTATTAAATATCTCTGTCCTTCTTAATAATTCATGGAGAGTGGTGTGGTAGCTGGTACAGCATATGCTTGTTGTCTAAAAATGTTTTTGTCAGGTGTCTTTTTAAAAAAATCAGAAGTCAAGGGAAAATCTTTTTAAAAACTCTGAACTGTGTCAAAAATAATTTTCCCAGAGATTCATGTCCTAAACTTTATTAGCAAACAAAAGTGAACAGATGGTTGGAACCTATGTCTTTTTGGCACAAACTACTGTTCAACAATAATTTCTAAATGAAAATAATGCCATTTTGTAACAAATGAATCCTCATACATATATGTATATATGTGTATGGGGTCAAAAGTGAATTTTGAAGAGTTTAGAAATGTGTTGATTTGTGTGATGTTTTGTCTGTCAAATTGCTAGCTTGTTTTTAAATTATAAAGTTGATTTATCTATACATTATTGATTTTTAATGTTTGTTAATGAGAGTTTGATTTTTTGCACTGTAATATTTCTTTTTTTTTTTTTCATAGAGGAAAATGCTTGGTGACTCTTTACAATGAGGCTGAAGTTCTACCAAAATATTTAGAAAAAGAGGTGTGTTCAATATCTTTTATACTCCTGATGTTTGAGGTGATCATGTGTTCTATCATACTGATCATATGTTCCATTCTTCTTGCAGGACTGGTTTCATTACTTTCTTGTTTACGATCCTCAACAAAAGACTTTAGTTGCTGACCGAGGAGAAATGGGAATAGGCACTGCTTATCAAGCTCAAGTACCCAAAACAGCTCGTAAAGGTTAGTTATTGACTTTGGCAGACTTTTGAAATACCTTGTATTTCATACATTGTATGTCATGGTTCAGTATTTTTCTAGACCTCAATTAACAGCATCACAACAGAATCTTTCCAAAGGGAATCCTTTGTCTTGTGGTAGAAGGTCAATATTTCATTTTGCTATCATCCACTTCTAGAAAGCATGAAATGTTTAAAAGACAGAAAATGCTCTTGCAATTGTTGACATCTGCATATATCAAAGATCAAGTTTGCTTTTGATGCTTGAAACAGAATGTGATACTTAATTTTTTTGGGTCTTATGTTTCAAGTGTCAGTTCAAGTTGAAAATGTTGATTTTAAAAATTTTCAGTGTAAATTAGTTAACCTGAAATGAGTTGAAATTGTTGTTCTTTTTATACTTAAGGACTTCAAGATGATAGGGATCTTTCTAAACTGGAAACTTTGGTTTGGAACCCAAAAAATCCCCTGCAGGATCAACACATTGATCAGTTTCTTGTTATAGCAAGGTACACAGGACAAGCAGTAGAACATAATATATTTGTTGTTGTTGTTTTTGTTTTCTATACCTTTCAACTTCCAAGGTCTGGTTTGTAACTCTCCCTTCTGAATATCATTAATTTCTTAGTGAAATACTGTGACTTAATACATGACATGTAAGTGTAATATTTTTTTTCTCAACACCTCTCTGGTCAATGCTGTTTTGATATTGTAAGGAAAAGATGCATTTTAATCACTGTTAAGAGGGTTACTAAACAAATCAAACTGATGTAAGGCTTCATACCTAAGCCTTACCCATGTCTTGTTCAAATGAGAATAAATGCTTTGATTCTTTCTCGTTTGGTATGACAAAGCTTCTCAATTGTTTTTAAAATTTATTTTAGATCTGTGGGGACATTCGCTAGAGCTCTTGATTGTAGCAGTTCAGTTAAGCAGCCAAGCTTACACATGAGTGCTGCAGCAGCTTCTCGAGACATCACACTGGTAAGTTTTGAATGATTAATTTCCTTTGTAGTGTGGTATTGGTCTTTAAACGTCTTGGAACCATTTGTGACAATGTAGTTTCTTAGGTTAGTTGCATGTAGCCCTTGTCCATTGCCTTGAAGGCATGAGTTCAAGATCTGTCAAAGCCTGAATTGTTTTTGTCCTTTTTTTCCCTAAATTATTGCAGCTTACTAAGAATATACTTAAAACTATTCATAGTTGGCTTATACATCATTATGCTTATCAGTTAACTGTATGTGTGAAAATCATTTTAAGCCCATGTTATTGAATACAGCTTATGGTAGGCATACAGTATTTGTCAGTATTATGGGCAGATAAAATGCACAAAGAAAAGAAGAAACAGAATGGCAGTCAAATTACCAAAAAATAAATATGTATAGCTCCAAAAAACATATTTCATGTGGCTTCCTTTTTGTGAGCAAGAGCTCTGTGACAACTTTGCTTAATATATACCAAAAAAGTCCTGTTTATGTACTTCTTACATCTAGCAAGGTCTGTGAATGTATGTTGCTTCTAAATGAAAACAAATGTTGTATTTAATTTGTTAAAAGGTATGTCAATTGTTTGTAGGCTAAAAAATAAATAAGTTTGGTAATACATGTACCAAAAAAAAAAATAATAAGTTTGTTAATACATGTAAAGAAACAAAGAATCTTATAATAAATAATTTGCATACTTGTTTGATTTGATGCATTACCCAAGCCAAAAAAAAGAAAAAAAACACAAGGTTTCCACCCTATCAGAAAAATCATGTTATTGCATAAGATGTGCTTTCACTTGTAGTTCAGGTTTGACTCAAGACCAAATTTGAATATGATAAATTTAGGTGCATTCATCAAACATGCCAGAATTTCTTGTCATGCTTCAGATCATATCGTTACCTTTGTAAATCGTATTGTTTGTTGTTAAATTTACCTGCCCTTCAGCTGTGTCTTGGTTTGGTCTTAATTTAAGGGAATTTCGTTTGGGTTTGGAATAGATTTTCTTATACTAAGTCAAGGTTAAAGGCAAAGTTATTGTTGATTATAATCTGATTAGATCTTGCACCCTATTCATAATATTTAAATTCCTTTATGTAATGTGATATGTGATTCATTGGTGCAATATGTGATATCTGTTGTTTGAGAAAATCATTAAAGAAAGAATTCAGAAGCACATATACTGAAAAAAGCCCTAAGCTTCTGGGTTTCAGTGTCATTAGCCCTTTGAGGTTCTCCTCAGCAGGGCAGTTTATTATGCTGTTTGAATGATAATCCTCCTTCTGGGTGGAATTGTCAGAGGTGGTTGAATTGAAGTAGAGTAGAAAGCTGGTGACCTTGCATAGCATGTGAACAGTCCTAGAGTGTGGACAGTTTTGGGTCTCCTTGATAATGTTGTACATGTACATTGAAAGACAATATTTTTAAACTATCCAACTCTGTGAGAACCTTGGTTTCTACTGGAATGTTATAGTATAGCAGAAATGCCTCTAACTATTAGTGCATTCCTTTTTCTTGAGGTTTTCTAATTTGTCAGAGTATACTCTCATTCTGCTATTAGGGAAATGTGGTGAGGGGAGAATTCTGAGAAAGACCCATCTAGGTTAAGGGGTGAACTTTAGACCACTGAGAAATCTCTTGTGTGAAATCCTGAGGCAAAATACAACTTTTTCCCTTAATTTTGTGTTCTCTGCCATTTTGTACTCTGTTTTTATCAATAATTTCATGCTTAATTTTGTTTCAGTCTCATGCCATGTGTGCTCTCCATAATAATGGGTACAATGTCAGCAAGGCAATTGCTAGTCTGGTTCCCTCCGGTGGACCCATTCTTTGTCGTGATGAGATGGAAGAGTGGTCAGCAGGTAGGTGTATCAGAACATTTTCTCAGTATGCATATTTTCCTAACTGCTCCTTAAACATTTTCTAGGGTGCTGTAAAAGAGAATTTGTTTAACAATCAAGAGCTTCTTTATTTGGTGATCATTTCCTTTATTCTCATGATCTTAATGTGTGATTGAGGGATGATTTTGTAAGGAGAAATTATACCCTTGTCTCTCTTAGTGGTTAAAGGGTTCTTGAAAGAAATTTTGTTTTTACCTTTTGATGAAATTCTACTGAAGAAAAGATCCATGCTGATGTAAATGTAGAGAAGAGGCCTGTAAAATTCCAGCCGCAAGAGGATTCAAACCTGAGCTTCTTGGCTCAGTTGCTAGTGGCACCCAGATAGTATCTAGGAGGCGAGGGTTCAATTCCTGGGGAAGCCTGAAATTGTTCTTTCTCTTGAAGCCTGATATTGCAAGATGACAACTTCAGGCTTTTGGGAATAAACCATGGAGTTAATCTCAATGAGTCTTGCAATGATTTCTTTTGTGGATCATGAATTACTGATCTACTCCATGTAAAACATTGGATAAATGTTGAGCGTCTTTTGTTCCCACACAGTGTGAAATATCATCATTTTATTTTAACCACCTTCTATCAACAAGTTCAGTTCAGCCCAATGAAAGTAAATTATTTTTAATTACCCAAGGATAATCACTATCATGCTTGGTCAATAGTGAACTCATTATATTTGAGGTATTATTGGTACCTTTGTGTATGGTTTAATTTATGTTCAGTAACAAATGACAATAACATGATAATGTTGGGTGATCATGAGTGGACAGTGTCACAATTTCTTGGACTATTGATGAAAGTGCTAAAATTATTGTTTGATTATCATATTAGGAGAAGCAACTTTGTTTGAAGAAGCCCTTCAAAAATACGGAAAAGATTTTGCTGACATTCAGAAAGACTTTGTAAGTTGTAGTTCAGTGTTCTGCCAATGTTGAGATCTGCACTTTTTTATTATTCTGTGTGTGACCTCTATAAAGTGATCTATGTGGCATCGCTGGTTAAATCTGTGTTTTTATTTCCCTATAGCTTCCATGGAAGAGTCTACCAAGTATAGTGGAATATTATTACATGTGGAAAACCACAGACAGATATTTACAACAGGTTAGAGAAAAGCTTTACGGTGAAAGAAATATAAATTTTCTCTACTTAATTTGTCATTTATTGCCTATTTTATTGTTTATTCAGCACCTGCACTTTGGTAATATGATACATAAACTCAAATTTTTTGGATTTCTGATTTCCTCCAGCCATATACCCAGTGTTTTGCACAACTGGAGAGCATTTTTTCCTTTAATTGAAACAGAGAATTTGGGTCACACATTTTTTCATATTTACTGGTAAATAAAACAAAAAAATTGTTTGATTTGATCACTGGATGCCCAATAATAACACTGACACTTCCCAAGTCATTTGTTTGGTACAAAGGAAACTCTTATCATGTTATGTAAATTCTATAGTACTTCAAATCCTAAAATAAATTTTACAACTCTTAATGGTATTGAGACTTAGTTGACTATTGTTGTACCTACAAAACCTAATATATTAATTTTATTTCTACTAATTTTATTTCAACTTTCACACACATTCTTAGTATATAAAGAACTCATAGGAATTAGACTATTTGAATTTGAGAATGATGATTTTTAGTCTTGATAATTTTAAAATGGAATAATGTTATTTTAGAGCAATAACAATAATGATTTCAATGTTTTTTTCATTTACTTTATAGAAAAGACTTAAAGCAGTCTCTAAGGAATGTAATCTAACACAGATCTACATACCCGGCCTGTAAGTACACTAAAACATGTGTTTTTGACCTAACCATGAGGATAAATTATATTTTCTATGAATTGATGTTGGTTAAGTGTGTAGGGTTCTTAGTTGTTCTTACTTCATTTTGTTGTCACTAGTGATCTATTACTAGACAGACCCACTGCATCATGGAATCTACTTATAAGAAGGTCTCATCCACACTGATTTGAATACATTTGAAAATGCATCTTCTCAATTGGTTGTGCAGGACAGTGTGGTTTGATAGAATTGAGCTTTCCTGCACCCATTCACACTGTCAAAAGGCCTTTGTTTATTAAATTACTGAAGATAATTAACCATAAATAACCTTCAGAGGAGAGTGTTCCAGCATACAGAGCTTTTTCAGAAAATTGTAGTTTTTTATTTGCAGATGGTAGATTGATGACATTTTACTTGTTTTTTTTTTAGTGGTGGAAGTACAAGTCAATCAGGGAAAAAGCAGACATCTACGATAATTTTAACTCCGCCACCTGGTGTAGCAACTAACCTCATTGGTGTTACTTGTGAAAGCTGTTATGGTGTGTATGATTTACAGTTTTAACTGTAGGTAAAGCATTAAGGTTAGGGCATTGAAGAGGCAGCAAGTTAGTGGTCTTAGCTTGTTTTACTCCAGTTTACTGTTGTAAGGGGAGATGAACAAGTCTTTTATGCCAATTGTCTGTTTGTGAACTGTCTGGTTTTTTGAACTGCAAGATGGTTTGTAGCAGACTTAGAAACCTTTGAGAAACTTGTTTTGCACAAGAATTATAATAATGGCAATTTTTACAACAACTGAAGAGGGTGGACACTTATTAACTTTTCATACTCACAGGGTGGGTTTTTATTCAAAGTTGGGTACTTTATGGTAACACTCTTTACTTGTGGCTGCAGGTACCTCATCCCAGCAGTGGTACCCCTGGGGAGTTCCAAATTCGCAACATAAATTCTGGCTTTGCACGTTGTGCTGGATTTACTGGAAGAAGTATGGTGGACTTAAAAGACCAGGTGTTTATATGTACATTTTACAGCTTTTGATGTAGGACCAGGAATGTCTATTCTGAGAGGCTTGTAATTAAAACTGAAGCTTATTACAATGAAGCACCTGTAGAAAAAGGCCAAGGGACTGTAAAAACGCATTCTTTTATGACAGTTAATTGTTATGAATTAACGTTTTCTAAAACATGTATGGACAAAATTTGAATTTAAACCTTTGGTCTATAGACAAAGTACATCAAACTATCCCAGGCAGGTAACATACTCGGGTTTTAAACAATCACAAGTTGATAATCTGAATCAAACATACTCTAAAAGAGAGTGGCACATTTCTTAGTACAAATCAACAAGGAAACGGTGGGTTGGTAAACATGTTGAATTTGGACCACTTAGATGGAAGTTCTGCTAAATTCTGTTATTGTTGTGAGTGGAATAGGAACCTGGAACCTACTAAGCACATCTTGGGGGTTAAGAAAGGATAAACAACTTTTCGCTGATGAAAACGCTGATTTTGGAAATAATGTAACGTTTCCGACCCGTTGACCCGATAGCCTCGCTTTTGCGTACGCTAATAGGAAACCACTGTCCAACTAAACCACGTGTGCGGATCTGGAATAAGAGCTACTGTTTTTAATAATATTTCTTTTGCCTCGGTGTCAGATGGTCTGTCTGGAAAGGGTCATGGCGGTCTTCAGCCAAGCTACACCTGCAGAGTATGCGGCAAGGTCTTCAACAGAGCAGGTATCTACAGAGTGACGTGTAGTTGACTTATGGGAAATTTATCTGAGCAGAAAGGAAAAAACAACAACAACAACAACATCATCTCCATGTTTTCAAGCATCTTTTCTTCTAGATTTATCAACTCCCTCTGATATTTTCCTTCCCTCTGACTGGCTGTTAGGATAACTGTGGTTTTGGTTTTACAACACTTCATGAAAACATCACAGTATTCATTGATCAATTTTATTTATTTGGTTGATTGCTAAATCAGGTGCAGAGTTTCCTCTATTATTTTGTAACATACGTGTAATATTGACACACTTAAGTCGAATAATGCTCTCATATCGCAATGTTTATGATGTTTATCAACAGAGCGTCTGTCCAGTCACATGGGAACACACAAGGTGTACAAGTGTGGGGTGTCACGATGTGAAAAGGTAAATTTGTCACGATATGAGTTGTCTGAATTATGATGTGACTGTGACCTCATGGGCACAGGCATGATGCATTGGTGAGAATGCTCTCTGTCCAGTCATGTGACTTAGGTTGAGCACCTGGACATTTCAGTTCTGTTAGGTGAAGAGATTCTGGACAGAATCATTGTCCTCCAAGCATGTTTTTTGTGGAACCGTTGACATGTACATGAATAGCAAAAATCTCTTGAGGCTGGCGCAATTAAAGAGATGTTGGGAAGTTAAACTAACCCATTTTCAAACCCGACCTGTAGCCGTACACCCCACTTATGAAATGAAAGCCTATCTTGTACAAATGTTTTGTGAGAGTTTGTAGTTTAATCCTATAAGTATTGAGGTGTTAATGGAAAGTGCATCCCCATACCAAGGAAACTGAATGTTCTCTCAGATCTTTTTTACGCTTTTGACGCTGTTTACATTGTAACAGTTGCACACAATTCTGTACCTGACAACACAATCCCAACGTTTTCGTCGTTTTGCGTCAGTGAACCTAATGTTAAACATGCTCTGTCAAACTTAAAAGTTTGAGTGATTTTTGTGACTTGCAATACTTGGCTCTACACGGTCGCTTTAACTCTTCATTCTCATGCATCATTCCTTCTTTTAGCAAAAATTTATGTTAATCTCCTCCATTCTCAGGTATGCGTATTTACTTGGTCCTTTTTGTTGTTGTGTTACATCCATTTTCATTCTCGTCATCACCAGGTTTTCAACTCTCGTCCCAACCTCACTCGGCACCTAACAGCCGTGCATGGATGCAGACCACCCAGCCCGCGTAAACTCAAACCTAGGTCACCGTTTTACATTAGAGCCTTACCGCTGACCAAACTGGCTCGGCGGCTGTGCCAAGATCTGTATAATAAAGTACATCATTGTCGAGTGGTCGGAGAAGCTCTGAATATTCAAGAAATCAGAGCACAGTGTAAGTTTCCCACCGGTCAGTCTTCTCATAATTTCCTAGAGATGTCATGACTTTTGGACTCTTGCATGAAAAGTTTACTCCCAAATATTAAATCTTATCAGTGCTCGTTCACGAACTTGTGTCAGTTTGGTAGGAAGGGGGCAACAGAGTCAGTCCAGACTCGTGGATTTTTTAAAATGTATTCAAATTTGTAGTCCTATTTTGATGACCTTGAAAGAGTAAACACGTTGAAAATCAGTAGAAAACTGACTTTCTACCATTGCAACTGATAGCAAATGAACTTTATTGTTTTAGTAGTTATTCCCAACCAATACAATGGAATAGTCCAGTATCGCTCTTTTGTGATTTAAATGTTTGTGAATTTTTTTTTCTTTAGGTTTAAAGAGGTTAGAGACGCCTAAAGCTGAGGCTATAATTAAAGCGAAGAAACGGAGGGTGGAACGAAAACTTCACGATGTTGTGGACAAGATTAAAGCAAACCCACCAAAACCACACAAACCTCCTAAACCGTCCAAACCAACCTTACTACCCCTCCCTAAGGAACACTCACCAACCTCACCATCCCCTCCCACTCCTACTGGTCACTCAATTACCTCCCCTTCAAGAAAAATGATTCCCCCGTCGAAGAGCTATGTACCCATACAGCCGACCCCACCCAAGGCCAGCGACTGGAAGTACGCAGCCATCCCCTCAGCTAAACCTGTTGTACAAAGTCAGCAAACTTCCCAGCAGACGACGAACCATATGATGGCCAGGAAGCGGTCTCACGAAAGTGGCTCCGTGCAACAGAATGGTATTGACGGTAGGACGATTTGTGATTTGAAGTCCTACTGACAGAGCAATGGCTCTACCTAGCATCGCCCCATAATTGATCGAGAAAAACTTGTGCTACTCTCCAAAGCAATCAGTTGCAAGACTAAAACCAGTCGCTACTTGATCACTCATGTTTTCTTGTGCGTGATGCTCTATAGAATAACGCTCAGCTTAGCAGCTCAGAATTGCCAGCCACTTTCTGTTACCAGTGTATTTGTTGGCTTCACAGAACTACGCCTTGTTAGTCTTCTTGTGGAAAAATCACCCCAGCCTCGTAATAAATCAGATGCAAAACTCGAATCAATCACGAATTCGTTATCGGCTTTTACTCTGGCCTCGTTATGTTTAGAAGTTACCTGCTCCTTTAAATTCTTTCTTTTACTTTGGTTCTGGTGTTGAATCAAGAGTTCTCTTATTCTTCGCAAAATTTTATTGTAAGAAACGATGCGCTATAAGGTACTGTTTGTGTTCCCGTCTACAGGTCCTTCGGCTAAACGGCTCAGTGCAACGTCACCATTGGGGAAGAAAGGCTGTGAGTGCACCTACTGTGGAAAGATCCTTCATAATCAAGGTAAGCAGTAACTCATGTTACAGGCTGCTTTGCCGCACCAGTCTTTGTGGAGCGTAAGGCATCGGCTGAAGAAAGTGTGAGTTTGTCAGAGAAGATGATGTTGGATGATTCCTTGTTGGGTCAATTTCTCTTACTTCCGGGAGTTTCGGTCTTGATTGTGATCAAATTGGTGGATTTTTAGCTGATTGTTTTCTTCATAAAAAGAAAATTAAAGGAAATGAAAACGATGTGGAGTCGGATCTTCTAAATTTGATAATAAATTTGAATTATTAATCAAAGAAAATGAATAGTCATCACAAGGAAGCTTAAAATTGTCTAGGCCGATAGAAGGGGAAGATAAATTAGACAGTATCAGAAGGAAGGATTAATGGAAAATGTGTGAGTTCGGTTCTATTGACCAGTTTGTTTAAGTTAAATCCTAAAGGAGTGTTTTCATTATTATTGACAGCGAGCTTAACACACCATGAACAAACGATGCACGCGTCTGCAGAGCCGCCTAAACAGCGGTCGTACCCCGCATATTGTGATGTCAGCCCGGCCTTGGGTCCCGGATCTACTAAGATTGTGCCATATGCGCAGCATTCAGTGACGTCATACATCAATGGACAGCTTCATTTAGAGCGTGGCATGAACAATTTGCCCAACTACTCTCCCTCAGGGGCAGCAAACAAGCCGTACCTCCTCCCAAAGCCTACAGCTCCGGTTAAGGGAAATCCTGAGGGAGGTGTCATAGTGAATTCAGTGGCCACACCAGTTCCTAACAGGGTGGTGGTCGGTGAGAATGCCAAGCCGGTGGAAAATAGCAAGCCAAGTCCGGTGATCAAGTCTGTAAGCTCCAAAGGTCACCACCTGAATCCGCAGTTCATTGATCCACCTGAGGAATTCCAGTTCCGCTCAAACAAACGCTCAAGGTAATCTAAATTTATGCTAAGAACCTATCGGTAGGAGGCTAATTGTAGAATTCTTATCGCGTGTCTTCTTCATCGTATTGATGTTCGACTTCGCTGGTCTCCAAGTATGTTAATGTTGAATTTGTCCTTTCCTTGGTTTACTCAAAATACACTACTAGCACTCGCTTTTTTGTCAGCGAATTCGCCGCGCGAGTCCATAAAAATTATGTTTGCGCGCCGTGCAGAACACTGGGGATTAGGTGCACGGCGCGCTAAAATCAATTTTTTTGTTTTCCACGGAATTTTTGACTCGTGCAACGGATCTGGCGAAAAGAAGGAACTTCTCGTAGTCTAGACTCAAAAGCCCATTTAGAGGTTTTGTGAATGATTCTCTGAGTCTTGATATGTTGTTCCCCGCTAGGAAAGCACGCAGAGTCTTGCCAGCGGACTCCCAAAAAAAAGTTGCGCGAAGACCGTGGAAGGAAGTGAAATGTAGCGTGCATCTTCGCGCCCTTATTTACGCCATGCCACCCCCGCCAGAAAGCGAAGCAGTGGAACCTATTGTTATCGACGATGACTAAGATGTTGATCAGATGCAAACTTGAAGCTCGCGTTGGGAATGGTTAAAGATGGCGACATGTGTGAGTCACATGGTATGTGATGTCACCACAGGCTTTGCATGGCTTTAGATTCAAGAAATTATCGAGATTTCGTCTGTAAAACACGTGCTATTTTGGCCGGAATCTAGACTATCTAAAGTTTATGAGGTCAACAAGTAAAACTGTTCAATTGACCTAATTCCCTTTCGTCTCTATTGTGCAATTTGTACGAAGACGGTAAATTAATTCTTCTTTTTAATTAGGAAAAAAAATCTGATACTCCCTTCTCTTTGACAGCGGATGTCATATACACATTCGCAAATGTATAGTAGTCTTCACTTGAATATACCTCAACGGAGGAGAGAGTTTACGGTGTAGAAATTCGTTTCACTTGACTTAAGTATTCTGTTTCATTTTGTGGACCAATGCATTCCTTAGACGATAAGTAGTAGCTGCTGAGTGTAGCAATTAGTTAGTGCTTGAGAGGTAGGGGGTGGGGTGATCCGAGTGATACATCCCCTCCTAAGGAAATTCCTGTAGATTTTGCTATTCAGGTTTAGAGGTAGTATGTGTTAGAGAGAATGAAGAATATATGATTCAAGGCCGCCTGGGAAAGTCCTTAAGTAAAGTGTTTTGCAGTATTGTATTATAGTTATTATGAGCGTATATTCGTTTTATATTGAGAGACCCTATGTATTGGATCAGATTTTTATTTTAAAGTACTTTGTCTATTAGTGTTATATTGTCTATGTAATTATTTATTTGGTCTTGCAGTAAACTGTAAGAGACTCGAACGCCTTCCTGGCGAGAGAGATAAAAGCCTTCAAAGGTCAACTTTTTCGTTTCGCATTAACCCTTAAACTCCTAAGAATGATTGGTATCTAATTTCTCCTTACTGTGTCAGTGCTGAATCAGACGAAAGTAATGAGAATCAAGGAAATGATCGTCAACTTAAGCCCTTGATTGTTAAACAAATTCTCCTCGGAAATGTACGGAGAACAGTATGGAGAATATGCATACCGATGTTAGGGTGCAAATGGTTAAAGGACAGTTCTCTCTTGGTCTCTCCTCTATTCTGGCGTAGGGTGAATGTGGAATCGAAGTCAGCCTAAATTGACGAATTACATTTATTATATTTCCAAGAAAAGCTTAGGTTCCTCAGCTGGGTTTCGAGCCGCCTTTTTCGTGAAAAGTCGGTCGCATTCAATCATCTTCGGCACCCTATCGAAGTGATTTAAATTCTTGAAGTTCGCACTTACTCCAAGTGAAACCTGACTGTAACTGTTAACCTAACTTGAACTATTCTAAAACGATGAAATAAATTGTGTATAGTTACTACCAAGAACGGACGTTATTGGCGTGAAGCATTTAACGCAACATAGATTGTGGCAGGGGGGGAACACCTCAATTTTAACGGAGTTTCTGCACGCGATTTTAGTACAGGTCATTAGGGTTATTAAATCCTCCGTTCCTACCCCATCTTCCCTGAAGGAGGATTCATTACCCAGCATTAAGTTGACCAAATCAACTGCTCCCTGCCCTCCTGGGCAGACACAGCCTTGTTTTGGGGTTTTGTTAGCAGACAGAAGTTCATTCCAAAGCGACTACGTGAACTAGGTAGAGCCTTGATCATTGTGACATCCGAAATCAAGAATAAAGACGCGTTGTGACTCGCCATTAATTTTTTGAAGAAGTACATTTATACTAAAGAAAAGTAATGGGGGAGATAATCCAGTAAGAAGAGCTAGGCTCCGCGTCACAATTTGAAAAAATATCCTTCAAGATTTTTCATTACATGAAACTCGACCTCTAGACTTCAGACATTCCCTTTCAACTTCCGGCTCCTTAATTAAATACCTATTATTGTTCCCAGTTCCCAGAGCCCCTTGTTTTTACTTCCTGTAGTCCTCTAGCACGTGGTCAAAAGAGAGGACAACTTTGTGAACGAAAAGCAGTGTTGAAATTACCAAACCTGCTCTTGTTGCGATTACGACTGAGAAGCAAGAGGTGAAAGTTCTCAAAATGCAACAAGTTCAGAGCATTCCCTCCATTGTAAAACTCAATGTTGGCGGTCATTTCTTCACAACAAGTCTTCAAACGCTGACCAAATCCAAGATCAAGGCTCAAGGTTGACCGCCATTTTGTTGTCAAAGTCTGCGATAAAACCTTGCGAAGACGGCGCCTTCTTCATCGACCGAGATGGAACTCACTTCCGGTTTAAACTTCGCACTGGGAAATTCCAGGTGACTCTATCGTATCTCCGTACTGGACAATTGATGGAACCAAATAATATATTTCTTAATCAAGTAATCAAGAGGTGGCAGTAGAAGCTAGGTCTAATAAAATTACCAAAATGGTAGAGATGGTTAACAAGCAGTTGCTTCCTTTTAGAATGCAAACCGTCCGTGAATTTCGAGTCTATCCTAGATCAGTTAAGATCCGTGGATCATCGTCGCTTGTAACGGTATGAATACACTTCCGTTATCAGCCAAATAACTGTAATTGAACTAAGTGGCGTGCATGATTTTTAGTACCATATGAGATGAATAAGCGCGAGTAAATTTTGGAAAGGCTGACCAAATTGCAAGAGCCCGTTGGGTGAGTGCAATTTGTAATCTTTTAAACATTTACGAGGGCTAATTTATTCCAAATCGCACAGATAACTTATGAGTTTACTTAACAATGATAAAAATGCAAAAAATTGATTGGGTTTTCCTGTTTAGACGTGTTTACTTTGTGTCATGGCTCACTGGTGCGGCCGCTTGCGTTTGTCTTGTCGTCAGACTTATTCCTTGAAAAACTTGCTCAAAGTCTGTTTTCATCATCTGAGGCTAAATTTTAATTGACCTGAGAACTGCAGCCGGGAGACTCGCTTTACCCTATAAAATGCAGGATGGCGTTAAGCAGGAATCATGGAGTACCAAATGAGGAAAACGTAAATCACATAATAAAACTTAATATTGGCGGTCATTACTTCACAACAAGTCGTCAAACACTAACAAAGGATCCGGAGTCCGAGTTGGCCGCCATCTTTTCAAACAGGTCTAAGTTTATAGAATGCGAAGACGGCGCTTTCTTTATTGACCGAGATGGAACTCACTTCCGGTTTATACTTAATTATCTTCGCACTGGGAAATTAACTTTTCCTGAGGGAGAGAAAGCCTTCAAAGAACTACAGGAGGAGGCTGAATATTATCGGATAAAAGGAATGCTTGATGAATTAGAGTTTGACTCCGAAATTATAACAAACGACAATCACCGAAGCTTGTTGTTAAGGTGGCTGCCCCCTCAAGATACACAGGAGAGGCGAAGGCGCCTTCGTCTGCTGTTCCGCGCTTCACAAGATGGCTTTATGGCGAAAACATTTCACTCCAAGTGCGACAATAAAGGGCCCACGGTCACTATTGTTCAGAGTGGAAAATACATTTTTGGTGGATTCACTGAAGAGTCGTGGGACAGTAAGTACTCGAGTGTTATAAGAATTGTGCAAACAGAGTTTAGTTATGAAGACGAACGAAACTAGTAGAGCAGTCCAAATTTTCAATATGCTCATTGCCAAAACATTTTCTCAGAAAAAAAACAGACTACGCTTAAAGAGCTACAATCATAAGATAACAATTGGAAAATACGTCAATAAACCATCGCAGGTGTCTTGATAGGGTCACAACCGAGGGCTTTTCGCAGAAAAGTCTTAATAGTATTACGAAACACACCGATGATATTTGATAAAATAAGGATAAATGTTATGGAAAACAACACTTTCATAAATAAGCATGCCATTTCTACTGCTCATAATAAAACTTATCTGGTTTCTTCTTTTCACTTTCCATAATCTCCATACAGTCACGCACCGAAAAAAAGTAAAACTACATTTTAGCTCTCGAGTTAAGGATTGAATTTTGTTTACTTGCAACTCGGGATGACAGGTACCCAGTACTTGAATTCATTTTATTTTTCTGGGAATTACGCATTCTTTGCATACATTTTAAGGGTGGGTAGAAAAACCAGATTCTCGCAAAACTTCGCCCAACAATCCATTATAAGGAGCAGAAGGAGAGCTTTCTAAAGATTTTCCGCATTACTCTCGTGACGGCTGCCGACGCGGTTTGGCGGTTGCCTTTTGAATCTATTAATTAGATGGGGTCGCACATTCGGTGGATGTAAATTTGTCAGCCTCTCACGTAAAAAGAAAGACACGGCTGACGTCTGCTGCTTTTAATTGTCTGGTTATCTGTTCTTATTTAAAGAAAACGACGAAATAAAACTATATGCCAAACGAGCCGCACGGATTATCTATAAAGTCGTCTCACCAAAGCAAAGAGCAGATCACCGGGCTAATTTAGTTTAATTATCGTAGACAGTGTTATCAAACGCGCTGTGTTTAATAGAGAGGTAACATTTCTTCAACAGGCCACGGAGATTACACGAGATGTACAGAAGCATTCTTGTTCAGCATGGTCAACCCAAGTGGCATAGAACCGACTAAAATGCCAGTTAAGCAAGAAAGTGAGTACGCCATTTACTGCAAAAGTGACTATGGACCAACGTTCGGGTTGGGAAAGGATGGGTACGACCTGCACATCTCCGACAAGGCAAACAAATTTACTTCAAGTTCAGTTTCTCTCGGTGAAACTTACAATAACCCAACTTATAATGACTTCTTTACGGGAAAAACTCATTTTCACGTGACCAATTACGAAGTGTTTGAAATTGTGAACTGATTAATATTCTGTTCAACGGACATTTAATGTGTTTTTGGGCGACTAAAATAAAATCGGGCACCTTCAAGTAACTGATTATCAAACGACATCGGTAAAGGAGAAAATTCTTGATTTAAAAAAAAAAAGGAAATAGAAAGAAAAAGATTGTTTCACAACTTAATAGAAGTTGCAAGGTCTTTCGGACCTTGCTCCCCTTTTTCCATGATTTTAAGATTTTGAATTAAATTTTAGATTCTGAAAAATAAAGAGCTACAAAAACGCTGACATTTTTACTCGGTATTGATGCAGTGCACAGAAGTGATTATAGAGACGAGTCCTCTATAAAATTTCTCTAGAATTGTAATTTGTTCTTCAGCCGGTAAATAATTTGATGCCATACACGTACTTGTTACTCTGTTAAACGAGTGTCTCAAAAACTGAGTTCTAAGACCTCAAAAATTAACTAAGACCTCCAAAACTAAGACCGAGAAAAGTTGGCGTATTGATGAACTAGCAGGTACTTGAGGTCAGTTTTTTTACAATGCATAACTACAAAAATATAAATATTCCTTTTAGTTTTTTGACGGTCATAAAATGCCACGTCCGTCTATGCTAGTTAGCCTAAGCTGTCACTTCCGCCATTTTAGCGAGTTATCCATTTCTAGGTTTACTACTCCTAAGAAAAGGTCCTTCTCCTAGAAGTAGTAAACCTAGAAATGGTAACTCGCTAAAATGGCCTCGTTGCAACAAAGTAAGCGGTCAGACCACAAGCAATGCTTTGTGAAAGTAAGGTGAGGTATTTATTGAGAATTATAAATAAAATGTATATTCCCATACAAACTCTTATATTTTCGCCATGACACTTATTTCGCAAGATGACCATCTCACAGCTGGAGCTTGGGCTGTCTGTAATCTGAAATGACACATGGAGACAACTATATTTTTGCAGTTTTTGACTTGATATTTTATTATTGCTGCTGAGAATTAGCAAATGATGCCTCCCAGTGGGCAACAGAACAAGAACAGTCATATCTCTTAAACATTAGATTAAAAATTCACAAAATTTTTAGACAATGATCTTCACATGCACCTGCATGCAATGAAGTACCGAAACACCTCTCAGTCATGTAGAATGGAAAATATTAAAGAAAACACAACAACTTTCAGGAATTGATAAGATGAGCAATCTCATTTTGGTCATTTAACAACAAAAGATGCACCTAAGTACATGTTTCTAGTTCATTGAATGCAAAAATATACAGAGATCTCTCACTCCAAAAATGAGAAGAATTGAATGAAACCCTGGAAAGTTATTTTTGTTAGCGTGTCGGTAGTTTCACAAAATTCAAAATTGAGAGAAAACTAGTTTAAAGTTTCTAAACTGATTTTTTCAAGACTTAAACACAGTTTCCATGAATCGAACTGTTCAAAACTGACCAGGGCCATAGCTGACACCTTCAGTTTGCTTATTATGATCATCTTTTCGTTTCTTAAGGCCCCTAATCACTTTGTATCGCCTCTTGGTAGTAGCTTTGCTTTTATGTTGTGCAATATTAACTCTAAGCTGGTCTTGGAGTCTGAAACCCATCCTTGGTATATTTGCCAGGAGGAATACCAAGGGCTTGGAAAAGCTTAATTAAACTAATTGAACCAATATTAAGATAAGAAACAGCACCATAAAGTCCTAATTCCAATGTCTCTCTTCCAACATAAATTTCTTTTGGAATCCTTTGCCATGTAAGCATCTTGCCATGTAAGCACTTCTGCAGCAAGTTGTTCTCACTAAGTCGAATATATTCAGGCTTTAACATGGCAATAACAGGTAAAGAAAGGCCAGGTCCATGCTTAAAGAGATTTGTATGGTTGGCTTTGTCCTTTTGATACTTGCACCAACTTGCACTACTTATTGGGCAGTGGTCATGAAGTGGGCATGCCTCAGGTACCACCTTAAACTGTTTTAACACACCTTTTTAGATAACAATCGTGCAACCGTATGGAGCCGCCATGTTGTTTTGCAAGTTGACACTTTTAAAGCGCGCCAAGTTCGCGCCCAGATTTCGCGCAGTCAAAAAACCCTATGGAACCTCCTTAAAGTCTTTTTTTCTTCCGTCTCCATCTGAGGCTAAATTGTTTTTGGCGTAATAACTGTAGCTGGGAGACTCGCCTTACACCAAGATGGCGTTAAGCAGGCAACAAGAAGCACCGAACGAGGAAGACATAAATCCAATTTCTCCGACCATAAAACTTAATATTGGCGGTCATTACTTTACAACAACTCTTCAAACACTGACCAAAGATCCAAACTCAATGCTGGCCGCCATGTTCTCAGGGAAATTTGACATGAAACCTGCTGAAGACGGCGCTTTCTTTATCGACCGAGATGGAACTCACTTTCGGTTTATACTCAATTATCTCCGGACTGGGAAATTAACTTTTCCTGAGGGAGAGAAAGCCTTCAAAGAACTACAGGAGGAGGCTGAGTATTATCAGATAAAAGGAATACTTGATGAATTAGAGTTTAACTCCGAAATTATAACAAACGACAACCACCGAAGCTTGTTGTTAAGGTGGCTACCCCCTCAAGATACACAGGAGAGGCGAAGGCGCCTTCGTCTGCTGTTCCGCGCTTCTCAAGATGGCTTTATGGCGAAAACATTTCACTCCAAGTGCGACAATAAAGGGCCCACGGTCACTATTGTTCAGAGTGGAAAATATATTTTTGGTGGATTCACTGAAGAGTCGTGGGGCACTAAGTACTCGAGTGTCATAAGATTTATGCAAACAGAGTTTAGTTATGAAGGCAAAAGAAACTAGTAGAGCAGTCCAAATTTTCAATATGCTTATTGCCAAAACATTTTCTCAGAAAAAAAAACAGACTACGCTTAAAGAGCTACAATAATAACATAACAATTGGGAAATACGTCAATAAACCATCGCAAGTGTCATGATAGGGTCACAACCGAGGGCTTTTCGCAGAAAAGTCTTCTAAGTATTACGAAACAAACTGCTGATATTTGATAAAATAAGGATTAATGTCTATGGAGAACAACACTCTCATGGTATCCGCGGGTTTCGCCCATAACGAGTTTCGCCCAAGAAGCGTTTCGCCCATAACGAGAATGGTTTCGCCCAGGCATAAATTCGATTCGTGCGGCGCGCGGATCTTAACTTCCGTGTACAAAAGATTTGCAACGATGATATGTTCCACGCGCAAGTGTTTTCAAAAGCGTTTAATTTAATTCTCGAGAAGAAAAGTGATGCAAAAAAATCATAGCAATGCTTTTACGACAAACGGACGTCTCTGCAGTATTTCGTGCGCGAATTACCTTAACAATCCCCGCTCCACAGTGAAAGCTATAATTGACTTGTTCGTTTCAACAGTAACTTGTTCGTTTCAAAATTTCATGATCTCAGGTCAAGTCACTTTTCTTCATTCTATGCATACAAACGTTTATAAGGTTGACGTTTTCCGAGTGAGAGTGTAGAAGTTTTACTTATGGGCGAAACCATTCTCGTTCTGGGCGAAACCATTCTCGTTCTGGGCGAAACGATATGTGCGAAACTCGTTATGGGCGAAACCCGCTATAACCACTCTCATAATGCAATTTTTACTGCTCAAAACAAAACTTATTTATTTCCTTCTTTTTACTATCCGCTGGCATAATCTCCATACAGTCACGCACCGAAAAAAAATAAAACTACATTTTAGCTATTTTCTTAAGAAATTAAATTTGTTTACTTTTAACTCAGGATGACAGGTACTACTCGCATTCATTTTCTTTTTCTAGGAATTACGCATTCTTTGCATACATTTTTAGGGTAGATAGTAAAAACCTGATTCTCGCGAAATTTCGCCCAACAATCTATTATGAGTATCAGGATTTTCTACATTACTCTCGTGACGGCTGCTAACGCGGCTCGGCGGCTGCGTTTGCGGTTGCGTTTTGTATCTATAAATTAGATGGAGTCGTACACTCGGTGGATGTGAATTTGCCAACCTCTCTCGTAATAGGAAAGGCACGGCTGATATTTATTGCTTTTATTTGTCTGGTTATCTGTTCTTATTTAAAGAAAACAACGAAATAAAATTATTCGTCAAACGAGCCACACGGATAATCCGTTAAGTCGTCTCACCCAAGCAAGAGCAGATCACCGAGCTAATTCAATTTAATCATTGTAGACAGTGTTATCTAACGCGCTTTGTTTAATAGAGAGGTAACATTTCTTCAACAGGCCAAGGAGATTACACGAGATGTACAGAAGCATTCTTGTTCAGCATGGTCAACCCAAGTGGCTCAGAACCGACTAAAATGCCACTTAAGCGAGAAAGTCAGTACGCCATTTGCTGCAGAAGTGACTATGGACCAACGTTCGGGTTAGGAAGGGATGGGCACGACCTGCACATCTCAGGCAATGCAAACATATCTGCTTCAAGTTCAGTTTTTCTCGGTGAAACTTACAATAACCCAACTTATAATGACCCGGAATCCAAGGCTGAATTGTTCTTCACTGGGAAAACTAATTTTCACGTGACCAATTACGAAGTGTTTGAAATTGTGAACTGATTAATATTCTGTTCAACGGACATTTAATGTGTTTTTTGGGCGACTAAAATAAAATCGGGCACCTTCAAGTAACTGATTATCAAACGACATCGGTAAAGGAGGAAAATATTGATTAAAAAAAAAGGAAATAAAAAGAAAAAGATTGTTTTCACAACTTAATAGAAGTTGCAAGGTCTTTCGGACCTTGCTCCCCTTTTTTCATGATTTTAAGATTTTGAATTAAATTTTAGATTCTGAAAAATAAAGAGCTACAAAAACGCTGACATTTTTACTCGGTATTGATGCAGTGCACAGAAGTGATTGTAGAGACGAGTCATTTATAAAAATTTCTCTAGAATTGTAATTTGTTCTTCAGCCGCTAAATAATTTGATGCCATACACGTACTTGTTACTCTGTTAAACGAGTGTCTCAAAAACTGAGTCCTAAGACCTCAAAAAGTAACTAAGACCTCCAAAACTAAGACCGAGAAAAGTTGGCGTATTGATGAACTAGCGGGTACTTGAGGTCAGTTTTTTACAATACATAACTACAAAAATATAAATATTCCTTTTGGTTTTTTGACGGTCATGAAATGCCACGTCCGTCTATGCTAGTTATCACAAGCTGTCACTTCCGCCATTTTAGCGAGTTATCCATTCTAGGTTTACCACTCCTAAGAAAAGGTCTTTCTCCTAGAAGTAGTAAACCTAGGAATGGATAACTCGCTAAAATGGCCTCGTTGCAAACAAAGTAAGCGGTCACAAAACAAGCAATGGACTGTGAAAGTAAGGTGAGGTATTTATTGAGGATTATAAATAAAAAATATATTCCCATACAAACTCTTACATTTTTGCCATGACACTTATTTCGCAAGATGACCATCTCACAGCTGGAGCTTAGGCTGCCTGTGATCTGAGCATGCGTGAACTTTCGAATCTATCGCCTTTTGGCAATCTTTCCCACGGTGTTTTCTCTTCGGTTGATCTCTTTTTCAGGGGTAGAGGGCCTATGAATATTACGGGTGCAGTTTTTGGAAACCCTAGAATCCATATCATAAAAACTGTATTACGTCAAACTGTTTTAACACACCTTTTTAGATAACAATCGTGCGACCGTATCGAGCCGCCAAGTTTGTTTTGCAAGCTGACACTTATAAAGCTCCGCGCGCTATATTCGCACCCAGATCTCGCGCAGTCAAAAAACCCTATGGAGCCTCCTTGAAGTTTGCTTTTCTTCCTTTTTCATCTAAGGCTGAATTTTAATTGACCTGAGAACAGCAGCTGGGAGACTCGCTTTACACCAAGATGGCGTCAAGCAAGCAACACGAAGCACTAAACGAGGAAGATGTAAATCGAGTTTCTCCGACAATAAAACTTAATATTGGCGGCCATTACTTCACCACAACTCGTGAAACACTGACCAAAGATCCAAACTCAAGGCTGGCCTCAATGCTCTCAGGGACACTTGACTTGAAACCTGCCGAAGACGGCGCTTTCTTTTTCGACCGAGATGGAACTCACTTTCGGTTTATACTAAATTATCTTCGCGATGGGAAGATTATCGTACCAGAAGGAGTAACAGCCTTCAGACAACTGCTGGAGGAAGCGAAATTTTACCAGATCAGGGGGTTATCAGACGAATTAAATTCGGAGTGGTTAAAGACAGAAGGAAGGGTTAGAATCAATGTCGGTGGTCATTACTTCACCACAACTCGTCAAACACTGACCAAAGGTCCAAACTCAATGCTGAACAGCTTTTTCTCAGAGATATTTGACGAGAAACCTGATGTTGACGGCGCCTTCTTTATAGACCGCGATGGAACTCACTTTCGATTCATACTCAATTACCTCCGAACCATGGAATTATCTTTTCCAGAGGGAGAAATAGCCTTCAGAGAACTACAGGCGGAGGCTCAGTTTTACCAGATCCAGGGGATACTTGATAAATTACAGTTTAACTCCGAAATTGTAACGGATAACGAACACCGAAAGAAGTTGTTCCAGTGGCTGCCCCCTCAAGATACACAGGAGAGGCGAAGGCGCCTTCGTCTGCTGTTCCGCGCTTCTCAAGATGGCTTTATGGCGGAAACATTTCACTCCAAGTGCGACAATAAAGGGCCCACGATCACTATTGTTCAGAGTGGGGACAACATATTTGGTGGATTCACTGAAGAGTCTTGGGCCAGTAAGTACTCGAGTATTGTGAGAATTATGCAAACAGAGTTAAGTTATGAAAGCGATAGAAACTAGTAGAGCTGTCCAAATTTTCAATATGCTCATTGCCAAAGCATTTTCCCAGAAAAAAAGACAGACTTCTCTTAAAGAGAGACAATCATAAGATAGCAATTGGGAAATACGTCAATAAACCACCGCAGGTGTTATGATAGGATCACAACCGAGGGTTTTTCGCAGAAAAGTCTCAATAGTATTACGAAACACACCGCGGATATTTGATTAAATAAGGATAAATGTTATGGAAAACAACAGTTTCATAAATAAGCATGCCATTTCTACTGCTCATAATAAAAATTATTTATTTCTTCCTTTCACTTTCCGCCGACATAAGTCACGCACCGAAAAAAAATAAAACTACATTTTAGCTCTTGAGTTTCGTAAGAAAATTGGTTTTGTTTATTAGTAACTCGGGATGACAGGTACTCAGTACTTGAATTCATTTTATTTTTCTGGGAATTACGCATTATTTGCATACATTTTTAGGGTAGGTAGTAAAACCAGATTCTCGTGAAATTTCGCCCAACAATCTATTACGAGTCGCAGAAGAATAGCTTTCTAAAGATTTTTCGCATTACTCTTGTGACGGCTGCTAACGTGACTCGGCGGTTGCGTTTTGTATCTATAAATTAGATGGAGTCGTACACTCGGTAAATGTAAATTTGCCAGCCTCTCTCGTAAAAAGAAAGACACGGCTGATATCTGTTGCTTTTATTTGTCTGGTTATCTGTTCTTATTTAAAGAAAACAAAGATATAAAACTATACGTCAAACGAGCCACACGGATAATCTGTTTAGTGGTCTCACCCAAGCAAAGAGTAGACCACCGAGCTAATTCAGTTTAATTATTGTAGACAGTGTTATCAAACGCGCTGTGTTTAATAGAGAGGTAAAATTTCTTCAATAGGCCAAGGAGATTACACGAGATGTACAGAAGCATTCTTGTTCAGCATGGTCAACCCAAGTGGCACAGAACCGACTATAATGCGACTTGAGAGAGAAAGTCAGTACGCCATTTTCTGCAGAAGTGACTATGGACCAACGTTCGGGTCGGTAGGGGATGGGCATGACCTGCACATCTCAGGCAAAGCAAACATATTTACTTCAAGTTCAGTTTCTCTCGGTGAAACTTACAATATCCCAACTGACGTGGAATCCAAGGCTGATTTGTTCTTCACGGGGGAAACTCGTTTTCACGTGACCAATTACGAAGTGTTTGAACTTGTGAACTGATTAATATTCTGTTAAACGGACATTTAATGCGTTTTTTGGGCGACTAAAATTAGATCGGGCACCTTCAAGTAATTGATTATCAAACGAAATCGGTAAAGGAGGAAAATCTTGATTAAAAAAAAAGGAAATAAAAAGAAAAAGATTGTTTTCACAACTTAATAGAAGTTGAAAGGTCTTCCGAACCTTGCTCTCCTTTTTCCATCATTTTACGATTTTGAATTAAATTTTAGATACTGAAAAATAAAGATTTAAAAAAACGCTAACTCGGTATCGATGCAGTTCACAGAAGTAATTCTCAAGAATTGTAATTTGTTCCTCTATCGCTAAATAATTTCATGCAATATATATTCTTGTTACGGTGATTTTGAACGGGTGTCTCAAAAACTAAAACCTAAGACCTCAAAAACTAGGACCCCGTAATCTAAGACCGAGAAAAATTGGCATATTGATGGACCAGAAGGTACTTGAGGTCAGTTTTTCTTGTTGGGATTAGTTGGCGTCTAGCTTAAAAGCGTCAGAGTCAAAGACTTTTCATCGATAAGTTTTCAAGGTCTTGGTTTTCGAGGTCTAGGGTCTTCGTTTTCGAGACACCTCAGGAAAAACTATGCAAATGAACTGACGAAGAATCAATAAAACACTCGAATTGCAACACTATTGATAAATTTTCCTTATGTTTTTTTCGTCCGCCACGTCTATGCTAGCTATTATGATTCGTCTGTGAAGCACTGTTTGTTCAAAACCGCCGTCAACGTTGCGATCTACGCCTGTTTAGCTTCCTGTTTTCTACTCAACCTTCGTTCGAAAAAAAGATTCGAATTGCTATAGATTAATTACGGAAACGTTATTGTGCGGCTGGAAATCAGATATTTCAATACGATCTATTAATAAGCAAGAGCAGGAATTTTATTGAAATGCAGCAGGACTCCGGCGTTCCTTCGATTGCAAAGCTCGATGTCGGCGGTCACTATTTCACAACAAGCCTTCAAACACTAACAAAGGATCGAAACTCAATGCTGGGCGTCATGTTCTCAGAGAAATTTGATATGAAACCTGCTGAAGACGGCGCTTTCTTTATCGACCGAGATGGAACTCACTTCCGCTTTATACTCAATTATCTTCGCAATGGAAAATTAACTTTGCCTGAAGGAGTAACAGCTCTCAACGAACTACAGGAGGAGGCTGGGTTTTATCGGATTAAAGGAATGCTGGATGAATTGAAATTCAATTCAGAAATTCTGACGAATAACGAACACCGAGACTTATTGTTGGGGTGGCTTCCCCACCAGAATACAGAGAAGAGGCGACGACGCCTTTGTCTGCTTTTCCGCGCTTCTCGAGATGGCTTTTTGGCGTCAACGTTTCACTCCAAATGCGACAATAAGGGACCCACGATCACTATTGTTCAGAGTGAGGAAAACATATTTGGTGGATTCACTGAAGAGTCTTGGAGCAGTAAGTACTCGAGTATTGTGAGATTTGTGGAAACAGATAAAAGAAACTGATGCAACCAGACTAATGATTAAAATGTAATAATCGTTCGCAAGAAATTGGAGAAAATACGTCAAAGAATCATCGAAGGTGATTTAATCGCTGGCTCCAAAGCGAGCTTGTGAACGGTTTTTCATTCCCAAAAGAAAAAAATTGACTGTCGTTTCTAGGAAAAATATGGATTTATGAAAGCGAGCTTGTCGCGTGATTAGAATTTGCTTTGTTTTTAATAAAGTAATGCACCGTCGATTCAGAGAAAAATATAGATTAGTGATGTTGTACACAACGTTTCCGAAAATGATCATGGCTCTTTTTCTGGTAACATTAAAGCTGCTTCAGAAAGTTTTTAAATGAGCCACAAGTGCCCCGACGAGAAAGCGAGTTTTTGTCTCTTTTACTTGCCAAAACGATATTTCAATGATTGTGTATTCCAAGAAATTAAATTTGCCTGCTTTCAAAGCCAAAAGTTCTAGTATTTCATTGGCTGGTATTTCATTAAAGCGATGACGTAGTGTGCCCTAATTTCTTTTTCGAGGAAGTACTTAATATACATGTGTCACAGACAACGTACGCTTTACATTAACTTATTACTTATCCAGAATTGCCAGACTCTTACGAAATTTCGCTTGAAAACATTTTTTGAGCGTCGAAGAGTAACCGTTTGATTTTCTTCATTCTGAATACGTCTCGCCCGGTGGCTGTTGAAGCAACACGCGGTTCCACGAAAAGACATAGTATACTTAGTTTTGACTCGGTAGCGGTAGCGCTTCATATATGAATTCGTTTCATTCGATGGAATCGTATGCTCAGTTTACCGGTGTTACGTTATTTTCTTCTTAAGAAAATGACGGCTAAAATTACTGAGATATACTGTTTTAAATATACTAAATCTCGTTTTCTTTTTTCGGTTTCCTCAAGTGCAATACGGATACAATATCTGTTTGTTTCCTGAAGGACAGCTGTTAAGATGACGTGACTAAGGTGGATCTTGCGCTGACATTTCTGTCAATATTTTGCCTCTTTGTTTGTTATTTCTTCTCTGAACTTATATAGAAATGAAGACGAAGCCCCCCACTCGATTAGCACTGAACATAAGCTAACATCCTTGCCTTGAATATACACAGTCAACCTAATCGTGGAATTTGAAGTTGTCTTTCTTTCTTTTTTCCTCTAATTTTTAAGGTAAAATGCTTTTATTTACACTCTACAGTCTCTTCAACTTTTCTGTCTGCTTTACGGTCATTCAGCATAAGTAGTGTTTTTGAGCAAAGCAGATCTGTTAGCTCGGTGCAACAGACCATTGAGTATGACCGCTAGAGTGCGAGCAAAAGAGTAATGCAAAATCAAAGCTTCGTATCTCCACTTCTGTGTTTCGTGCTTTGTTCCAGTGGGTTAAAATGCGACTTCACCGACTTTCCTATCCAGATACCTAATTACTGGGATACCTAATTACTGGGATACCTGTGGTAGCCCAGTCATAAAATGCCTTTGTTTTTTTGTCGTCTTTTTTTTTTCCTCCGCCACAAAATGGAAAAATTGCGCAATAGTACCCAGAGGTCATTGGGCCCTCAACACCATGACAACTAACTGTGATCCAATGAGGTGTTCACATGCTGATCACGCGTGTTATCCCTCAACACCATGACAACTAACTGTGATCCAATGAGGCGTTCACATGCTGATCACGTGTGTTATCTTGATGATGATTGACGTTGTCATGCACAGACAGGGTCGGGTCACATGACGAATCACGAGATTTTGCTCATAAAACTCTTTGGTCAGTTGTTTTGTATTTCAACGTATTTGGATTGCGATTTCCTGGAGCTTTATGGCGCAAACGCGCAAAATACTTACAGACGCATATACAAGTCGTTTTAATCGCGGCTAATCCACACTGAAAGATGTTATTGAGCGGTAATTTTGGAACGGATTGAGTCACGAACGCTTGAAAGCCTTGAATGCCTTGTACGCCAAGTATGCCAATGTCTTAGTTGAAAAACGTTCACTTGTTGTAAAAAGCAAAATATGAAATCTGAAACCAAACTGCATATACTCTGTGCAATCTATTGAACAACGCTACTACCGTGAGACTGAAGAACATAACTATAATGGATGCAAACTGCTTGTGAAGAAAGACGACATGTTGCATTCACTTGATGGCAAGGAACGTAGCTACGATAACAGTACGAATGGTATTAATTTCACGATCAGAAAGGTGAATCTTATGTTTGTTTTCATTGTAGTTGCATGGATATTCTTTTTTTAATAAATACGTGATCCAAAACCCTGTGTTTTTTGTGTATGTTATTATGTTAAATATTGTTTACGCAATTGTCTCGTCACAGGCAGCCCAAGCTCACGTCTCGACAAAATCGAAAAAAAATGAACGCGTCACGCGTTGTTTGTGACTCGACTTGTGTTAAGTTACAGTGTGTAATAACGTGATCTGGAATTTTGTCGGAGGAACCCTGCACGTTATAAGGAATAGTATAGGGTTGGATAATTATGAAGGGCACACAAGGAAATGTACATGGGAACGAAGAAACAACTCAAGTAAATCGATCTCAAAATGGTCGATTTACAACGATACATATTTCGAAATATGAACATTTTTCTCGTAAAATCAATAAAAAAACTTTACCCTCGCCTTATTGCATTTTCATGTTAAATACAAATAAATCGTAAATTAAATACCAGTCTGAGTTTCCGAGACCCTGTGTATCCGTTGTATTTTCTGGCGATTTCTGCCGTTTTAAGCTACTTACACGAACTCCCACACCAGTTTGCAATATTTTGGTTCCACCGCTTACGTCACGACTTCTCGCTATTGTTTTTTACCATCACTGGTATTCACGTCATCTATCTCAACTTTAATTACGTTGGTAAAATCTGTACAGACTCACACCAACCAACTCGCGCACAAAGTAAGAAGACTATATTGAAGGCTTGAAATAATATTGCGATCGATTTTCATCACGAAATGGGCCAGGAATATTCCACAATAGTGCAAATGATCGTGAAGGCGGATCGCAGAAAAGCGATTGCGTGACGCTCGGTAAGCTGTAAGATGACATGTTATTATATACCAGACGTAAAAACTCTTCAGATTCTTAGTCTGCATTTTGTACCCACTCTGCAGTCTGCAGTCTATATTTTGTGTCCGGTCTGCAGTCTGCTGTCTGCATTTTGTAGTAACAGGTATCCGTGGCACCAATACAGTTTATTTTTGGTTATAATTTATTCGCAAAACACACATAATCTACCACAAAATACCTGTAAGTGAGGTAATTCGACATTTTCGTTCTTTCCCACATTAATATTCTTCTCTCCTTTTGTAAGAATGTAGACATCACTCACAATGTTTCAAGTAATCCACCCACCCTACAAAAAAGTAACTCTTGCATGCATAGCATGCCTATGTTTTGAAATAGGTGTATGCCCTTGGCCAGACTTGAGCGCGCTATTTCAGTATACTAGTCCGATACCCGTAGTATCACTACACTTGATTCAAGGATCCAGTACCATCCAGGTATCCCAGTTACCCTGCTCACAGGGTCTAGTTCTCTAAAAAAAATTGAAGGCAAGAAAGCACAAATTCAACTTTATTTACAAGTAGGCCTATAAATTCTTCAAAGCCATCACCCGGTTAACTTGAAACCACCACGAATGACAGCGCAGTACATTTCTTTCAAATTTAATTTCACCATTTATTTTTTCTGCGGTAGCTAGAGAAAAATTTTCCTAACTTAACTGAGGCAATTTCGCTTTTTTGATAAGCGCGTGTAACTTCGTTCGTATACGGATTTGAAGATCCGTAACCTCAAATACCACTATTGGGATGCCTGTGCACAGAGTCGCGAAGACCGCACAAGGATAACTTCAACTTTTACAAAAAAATTACTGAGGGCTGATAGTCTCCCTGCAGATCACCGAGTAACATAAGTGCGAACAGGATTATCTACCTGTGCGTTAACCAATGAAACTTTCATTTCGTTTTCAGGTCAAGGAGGTTACGCAAACTGCAAGGAAGCATTTTTGTTCAGCATGGTCAATCCGCGTGGCCTGAAACCAGCCAAAATGCCACTTAGTCAAGATGGTCAAAAGTACGCCATCTGCTGTAGAAGTGACTATGGACCAACGTTTAGGGGAGGTAGGGACGGGCACGACCTGTACATCTCAGGCAATGTAAACATTTCGGCTTCAAGTTCAGTTTGTCTCGGCGACGCTTATGATACTTGCGATGCTTATAAAGGTTTATATGACACTATTCTTAGAAGTGATTACTTCTTTACGGGGAAATCGATTTTCAATGTGACAAATTAACATGTAACTTGTAAGAAGTAAGTAAAGCCTTTACACGGGCCCAAGTGGCCAATGGGGCCGGCGCTTAACTCCGGTTTTCTTAGCATGAAGCGGCTAGGAGTATTACTACTTCCCCCTGGATAGGATAATAGTCCATCGCAGGGTTACCCCCCATCACATTTGCTGATACCCTTTTGTACACCTGGGTGAAGAGAAGCACTGTGAGAATAAAGTTTCTTGCCTAAGAACACAACACATGATCCCCGCCAGGGCTCGAACCCGGACCACCCGATCCGGAGTCGAGCGCACTAACCATGAGGCCACCGCGCCTCCACAACTTGGAGAATGTAGACAGTTCCTAAATGATGAATGAAGTCGGTATCAAAGAAAAAACAAGGTAACTTCCTGAAACTGACTGTGATTAACAAACGAATAAGAAACACACAGGAAATTTTAGATGTAAAAAGAAAAGGGAACAATGAATGAAATATCTTGTAAACTGAGAAATTTTGTCTATTTTTCCTTGAAAATCGAAACAATAGCTGTCACAAGCGTAATACTTATTTACATAAAGTTCGCCATATTATGATCAGGCAGATGTTAAAGGCCCGGATTTGACTTGTAAATTGGTGAGTAATTAAACCTCATTAAAAGCAAAGTGCGTGTGTTTGATGGGTCTTTGATACTTTGTTTCTTAGAAAAAAAAATCTTGATTGGCGGTGACAACACAGATGAAACACAGGTGATAGTTGTCATGACCCTGTTGCCCCCTTAACTGACAAACAAAAGTTAGCTCTTCTCTGCTCTTCCGCAACACTTCGTTTCACCAAATGAATGCCTGGAGTAGGCTGGTTTATGGTGCAGTATTTATAAAGATATCTTTTAACGTCTTTCAAGAGGCGTAGGAAACCTCGTCCTACGGATAGATAAATGAATGGGAAGAACAAGCAACAGATAATCTTTTTGAAGAAAGGAAACCTGTTCATGAGGTGTGAGTGCGTGGTTCATTTTTTCACTGATTTAGCAAGTACCGAAGACGTAGATTAGAGAGAGTCTGCATGAAAGGGGTGGAGCTGTCAGCCGTCAAACGACCTAAAAATTTAAATGTCTATAGTCAAAAATGGTGAATTTAGCCGTCAACCGTAAAAAAGTAGCATTAAATTAGTGGTTTTAAGTTGTGGCAAGATTTATTCACAGCCCTATCCATCATTATGCATGCAGTTCTTTGTTAAAAGAAAACGATAACGCAAATAATTAAAACTATAACAAAATTCTCGAACTTAACTGGTCATCACCAGCTCGATTTGAGTACTAACCCCTGCAGAGAAACTGTAGAAGAATTTGTGTCACGGTTTTCACAGCAGTGAAAGTACAATCAAAGGTCAGTAGGACAATATTTATCATTTTGAGTACAACTTTAAAGATCCTGATCTCAGCATGCAAAACTATCTTTTCAGTATTTCAAATCGAAGCAAACACAAACAGGGTTGGATAATTATGAAGGCAACATAAGGAAATGTACATGGTACAACTTGTTTATCGATGGAAATGCTTCGGAGATGAAGGAAAGCAATACATAAATATCTCATAAAGAACGGGCACAACCGCCAGTGCAGTAAGACACAAATAACTAAGATCTGCATTAACATATACCTTTGTTTCTCTCAAAGGTTTGGCGGTTTTAATCCAGTGTAAGACTATCCAAGATCCGCTGGAATAATGTTTCGGATATTGTTTACCGCACAAGATGGCACAGCGACCCTGAAGTGTTTGTCGAGATGACCCCAACACCAACGAACAAGCTATTTGTAGGCAATTTAGCGAAATTTCCTTCCAGGAAAGAAGCGAAAAACAACTAGCTGTAGTACTGTATTATTAAATCAATGGCAGAATTAACTCAAGCAAATCGATCTCAAAATGTAACAAAACAGATGAAACAGAAAAATTTAGCTTACTCGTTTCCGGTGCGATTATCTGTGCCTTACTGCTGCCTGTAGGCGTAATAGGCCGTCTCCAGCACCCAGAAATCGAGGCAAATTGATTGAAAACCTGGATGCTCAGTGATACAACTAATCTGGGTTTCAGGCCCTTGCTCCTCTACTTTTTGCCACAATTACCCGATTTTCGTACAACAAACACTTTCATGAGTTGTCGGCGTTGGTTGACAAGTTCCACACTCGCACCTTTGATAATTACTCGGGCTTTCCAAAGGAAACGCCCGAGTTGAAATTCCGGCTTCATTTTTATTTTCGTTCGGTCGCAAATCGCAGTCAAGTCCTCATCACGCATGCGTGACGTTTGACTAATGAGCACATGGCATGGTGTAATGGCGGACGAAGAGAAGCTTTCGCGGTGCAAAATCAGCACAGACACTGTGTATAATACGTCCAAAACGCACACAAGATATGCACAGATCGTTCGCGGTAGAACCACACTAAAAGATGTCGAGCGTTTTCGGAACGAGTCGGTCCGCGAACACTACGAGAGACCTCTTTATGAGCAAACATTTATGAGTGAACCTTTCATGGAGAAACATGCTATATCAACTGAGCTATCTAATGTTAATCGAGAGAAGCATCGACAGAAATCTCATCATGCACGTAAACGTGATCGTGAACCAAGCAGAAAACCAATTCGAAGTTTGAAAAGTTAAGGAAGAACAGCAGAAAGGTTAGGGAATTTGTCTATGTACGTATTCTCTCATGTACCCCCATGTCATCTACATTGTACTGTTATGTTGATGCCAAAAAACTATTAAATGAAAGGACGTTTAAGTTAAGCTGTCGTGAAACAAAGTTTATTTCTAACAGAAAGCCCGGGTGAACGCAAATATGCGTATAGTTTTATGCAAAACACTCTCAGGAGCTCAGGTTTTAAAAATTTCTGTTGCATTCTTTTAGATTGTACCCTTGCTTTATTGGATTTTCATGTCAAATAAAAATAAATATCACAGTAAATTAACTGCCAGTTTTGAGTTTCCGAGGAGGTCGCATCGCTGTCAACACGTTCTGTACCGTCTTCGTGCGGATCGCTTCTGTGAACCCTACGCGACTCATATTGTTAAGTTGTCGACGTGGCCCAGACTCTCCTGAAGATTCTGGATTATCCCCATCGCTGTCATGTACTAAGCTTAAGGCATTCGAGTCACTATCTTCTGAAAAAACATCTTCCAAACTACCGCTACTTATACGAGCTCCCACACAAGCTCTATCGGGGAATACGTGTTGCGCAATATCTTAGTTCCACGGCTTACGTCACGACTTCTCGCTATTGTTTTTACCGGAAATGAAATTTCAGTTGAAAATGCCGATTTTCTCCTAAAATAAGTCGAATTGGACAAAACGAATTTCAAATTCGTTTTCTAGGCCACTTTTTACATTGTACAAGAAAAGCATATATTTTTGGGTTTACATGCCCTTTAACACCGAGTCACACAACGCTTGACGCTTTCAAAAATTTCTGGGGCCGCCTGGAGCTGCATATGTACAACTGTTGTCTAGGGACCGTGAAAAAAGGAGTTGAACGGTGAGATGTGTTCTGACATATTGAACTTTGCGACATGTTGTTAAATCACATGTATTTATCTATTTTTGAAACTAAGAGCTCACAGTATGAGCTGTAATACCTATGGTGATATTTTTGGTAATTACGCATTTCCATGATGGTTTTTTTTTCAAAGGAAGAGCGAAGTTAGCTTTTGTGTTTACATCGTATAATATGTTATTTTATCGTGCCCGATGATACTTCATCGTAGCTTATAAACGGTACCGGTTGTTCCCAAATCCTACTGGCTAGCTGGACAACTGAGGAGTACCGTGATCAAGCTTCTGCGTTTTGTTTTGTTGACAATTGTCGCACAGGTCATTAATATAGAATAGACTTGTTTGTTTACCATCGGAGTTTACAAGCAGTTGTTATTCAACTATCTCACAAGGTTTTCTTCAGATTCTTTCCTCAGATGAAGCTTATCGTTTTCAGCCGATTCATATCATTTACCTCGAATCATGGTATTATTTTCAAACAAGCAACATGTAGAGACGTGTCGAATCAAGTATTCACCTTCAGGTGAATGTGCAAAGAATTAATAAAGTTTAAATGGACACAAGCTCGATTCTAGATGTTGTAATGGTACTGTTTCTTTAAAATTGCCCTATAGGAAAATTTCTGAGGAGTTCAGTGAAACGAAAACCTTTTGGATGATTCCGCTATCATATGAGTGATACACATGACTAGTTCCACAGCATAATATTATTTAAATTTGAGAAACTTGCTTACTTCAGCATGTCGTCGCATCCGAACAGAACAACAGTAATGACACAGCCAAGCATTTAACTGAGTTGGAGAATCGCGTAAAATAGCCCATCAAAATCTAGTAAATTCAATCGATATGTGATTGACGTTAAGCAGCAACATGCAATGCCCAATGCAGGCTTCCTCGATTATCAAACTCAACGTCGGCGGTCATTACTTCACCACACGTCTTCAAACACTGACCAAAGATCCAAACTCAATGCTAGCCGGCATGTTTTCAGAGAGATTTGAAGAGAAATTAGGCGAAGACGGCGCTTTCTTCATCGACCGAGATGGATCTCACTTCCGATTTATACTCAATTACTTGCGCACAGAGGAATTAACTTTACCCGTGGGGGCAAATTTTCTTCAGGAACTTAAGAAAGAAGCTGAATTTTACCGGATCCAAGGATTGATAGATGAAATAAATAAGTCAGGGAGGGGCGTCGTTAAACTTAATGTCGGTGGTCACTACTTCACAACAAGTCTTCAAACACTAACCAAAGATCCAAATTCGATGCTGGGCACAATGTTTTCTGGGAAACACGACACGAGAGCCGGGGAAGATAGCGCTGTTTTTATTGACCGAGATGGAACTCACTTCCGGTTTATACTTAATTTTCTGCGCACTGGGAAACTAACTTTGCCGGAAGGAGCAACAGCTCTCGCTGAATTCAAAGAAGAGGCTGATTTTTACCAGATTCCGGGGATATTAGATGAGCTAGATGATACAAAGCTGAAGTCGGAGATCCTGACAGACGAAGAACAACAAAACCTGTTGTTAAGCTGGTTGCCTCCTCACGGCGACGTGAGAAGACGTCGCCTCCGTCTTTTGTTCCGTGCTTCTCGAGACGGCTTCGCGGCAAATACCTTTCACGACAAATGTGATAACAAAGGACCCACAATCGTTCTCGTGCAGAGTGGAAATTATGTTTTTGGAGGATTCACGGAGAAATCTTGGATGAAAAGTAAGTCATGTGTTGAATGTTCAAGTTTACACTTGACGTTAAAGTCGTCTCGAGACGACTTTAACGTCTTAGACAACTTTAACGTCTCTAGCATAAAAACGGCCATTAACAACAAACTGCTCTTGGCATTAACCGTGCCAGATTTTTTCGGTCACAACAAAATTCAGAAACTTTATTTCTTACCGATTTTTACCGCGCTATTAAAGTTTACTTCTTTTCGAAAAGTAAAATTGTTATATCTTTTCACTTCTTGAAGAACTTTATTATCCTGGGCTATTTAATTGAAACCTTGAGTGTTTTACCTTGACAGTTCGAGCAAACTGGTGAAACTGTAGAACGACATGCATCAATCCAGAACTTTTGTAATTTCATATTCAGACGGGGTCATATATAATGCCGAATCGAGCATGAATGTGATCGATTATGCAATCAGAACCATGTGGTCACGCAATATACGGCTTCGTCGAATTGCGTTAGCTTTTAGTTTCAGCTTCCAGCGATCATCAAGAGTGACTGTTGACCAAAAGATAGTCTACGACAGGAATATCAAAGCACCCAGTGGCTGCGTACGATAATTGAGTAGAAATCCGCCAGGCTTAAATACAATAGGCCATTTTTTGTTCCCCTTGCACTGATTCATCTCTTTAGTTAACTTTAATTTCTTACTCTCATTTCCAAAATGTAATCGAAGGCACGGTGCTCTATTCAGCATTTTACAGGTCACCATTTCATTAACAGGTCAGCCAGGTAACACCATCTGCACACAAGCGTTCCTGTTCAGTTTGGCCAACCCAGATGGTCTGGAACCAACCAAACTACCACTTAAGAGTAACAGCCATCAGTGTGCTATTCTCTACAGCAGCGGCAACGGGCCAACATTTGGCAACGTCGACCTCCACATTGCAGATAATGCAAACACGTCTTCTTCGAGCTCTAGTATTCTCGGCCGTGCATACGAGAAACCACCAGCATGGAAGAACACGTCCTTAGCAGGAGAAAGAAACTTCGTGGTAAAGGACTACGAAGTGTTTGGATTCCAACCCTGACTCAAAACGGATCATACGCGGGCAATATCCGGGACTTTGTGTAGATCAAGAGCTAATGAATCCAATTTGTTTTCTTGGCGAAAATTGTCAGGGAATAATTTGCTTAAAACGGCTTTTTTTTTAAAGGAAAAGTGCTTCAATGTCTCTGGTCCGAGACGTGAAGTCACTCAGAAAAACTGCTTATTCGTACTGAATCCTGTTTAGGACAGATTGGTGAAAAATTATGGCCCCGCTTACGACAGAATGATGCAAAAACCAACTTTGTCCCAACTCTGTATTCTAGCAGTTGCCTCTATACCCTCTACGAGGATGTAACCACCGGCAGGTTTTTTTATATCACAAGGCCGGATTCTTATCTCCAACCTATTTATCAGGTCAGGCCGGAGATTGCGGGTATTCAGGTATCGGTCTTTTTGTACATAGTGAGAGATTAGGATTTCTAGTATGTATACACGATTCAACAACCAGAGGCACCTTTTAACAAGTGGTGTTAAACTTTTATCATTTTTTTGAAAACGTATACTGGTATATTGCGAGAAAGAAATTCGCGGAAATCAATTGTCCACTACCCTCTCCTCCTTGGTCAGGCCTGATTAACAGACCCATGTTTCTACCTTGGAGCGTATTATTTGCATAAATCTCCCTATCTGATTTAATACATTTAGGAAATCAATATTCTGAATGCAAGAATTGACTGGGGATGATAAAACACAAATAAATAGATGAATAAATAAAGATATATGCCTGTTGAGCGCTGACCATGTGCAGATGCTTATTCGACACCATATCATTTTTCCGATCGTTAAATTGCTATTAAAATGTGCCCTCAGACTGGAGTAAGATAATTAGATGAGTGATTGAGGGGCTGGGTGTGGAGATTTTGGACCAGGCAAGAATTTCCTTGTACACCTTTTCAGCAATAAAATGTAGTCTCAGTGAAATTGACTAATTGACTCCTACTAATGATTAGCATGCAAATTCTCCTCGCAGATTTCGAAACATTATTCGGAAAAAAAGTCCATGAAAATAACAGACTTATCAACCGGGGGGTTTTATGTTGATATCTCCCAAAAAGTTTTCAAAGAAATGAATGGCAGCTAGTTGGGAGAATTCAAGAATAATCACAAGTTGGGAGTCAAAAGTTTATTGTGTGCTATTACTTGATAATCCGTGTAAGTGAACTTTAAGCGAAATTTTTGGAAACTTAGGAACCAGTTCGCTCGATATCATCTCTGCTCAGTTTAACTTATTATTTGCATTGCTTTTTGTAACTAATTGGCCAGTCAGCACATTGATAAATAAAGACATCGTTGCATGAGAAACCATTCTCATTTATTTATGAGTCCTAAAGACAAATCATTTGTCACTCAAAACGTACTTAGTCATTTCATCTTCTTCTCGACTGTGCACTGTTAGTCCGCTCCAGCTGATGAGGTTTTAGAGTATCATTATCTTTCAACCTATATTTTGAGGTATTTCTTGAGTTTTATCGTAGTTTAGCGGAAGACATATTTACTGAAGCAGTTTTTTCTTACAAAATTGTTATATTTGTTGTGACAGTACTTGGTTTAGTAAATAAGAAGCGGCGATAGCGAGAGAGAAATACCTATGTAGGGAGAAACTGGAGACACAGTCGACCATTATATCGTAGTTTTGTCTTCATTATACTATCATAAGACATGGACACTAAAACTGCGCAAGGCACATGTTAGAGTGCTCTAAATAATTTAAATGGCTAACGAGAACTAACTACTGCAAAGCGCAAACTTACTCGTTACGAAGAACTAAACTTTGGAGGAGAGAATGAATGCCTCAATTACGGTCGTGTGATCACTTTTCAAATCATGTGCACTTAAATTAAGTCGAATTGAAGCTCATTGACCCGCATTGTCTTCTAACAACAGCAAAACAAAGATACAGATAGCTGGAAACCGTGATACGCCCGGAAGTTTGCAAATTGCTGAGCTGGAGCTGAGTTTGAAATGAAAAGCAAGACTATTGTTTAATGGCAACAATGGGAATTATCCAGACTGTGTAATGTCGAAAGACTTAATTGCTCTCCACTCAAAGAGTCGGACCGTTTATTCGCACAATACAGGTTCGGCTTCCTTATCACATCTGACGCGTAAGCCACGCACGGCCGCACAGGAAAAAGCGGGACGAGCGGAAAACGAGTGCGAAGGGGAATAATGAGAGGGAACGAAAGCCTCTCGCCACGCCCCTCACGTTTCCTTCATTACTCCTTCCCGCTTTCCGATCTTCTTTTTCCCTTTTTCGCTCGTCTCCCTTGACGGACGCCCGTGCACTACTTTTTTTGGCCCTCAAGGCTCCCAACCATACTAATATGTCCCTACCGAAAATATCAGCTTTCAGCTGAACCAAGTCGAAGGAGATTATGTTTTCCCAGTCTAGCGTTTTTATTTTGTTTTAACCAGTCCACAATAATGCGCCCTCATGTGAAACGCCGATATGCAATGTACCATGGTTTTAGCTTGTTGTTTTCAAAGAGACGCCCGTAAACGATGGCGGAAGCAACATTATCTGATTATTTGACGTCTTATTCGTCTCCGTTTTCAAAATGCTTCGTTTTAACTCGCTTTCTATTGACTCAGAGAGTTTCCTAAACACGAGACTGTTTAAACACCCTATTTAAATAATCTCCGTTCCCATCGGCGTTTTTAGACGTTTTAGAGTGGATGGTAAACGAGAACGTTAGTGTGGATTGGGCCTAATTCATAATGCAATCTCGTTTCACTTCGTCCTGCAAAATTTCCGCTTTGCCGATTATTCGAGACCTAACGATCCGCCAACGTCAACGGCAACGGCAACGTGAGAAGTCTGGGTCGAGCGGGGGCTACGTCGTGTTGGCGTTCCCGCCAAAATTTTAGGAGCGAGAACGTTGACGACGGCCATGGATGTTTATTGTGTTTAAGAGAACGAAAGTCTGAAAAACCATGTCAAAGTTCCGTGACACCATTTTCCTGGCTCAGTTGATTAACGCGGAAGAATTTGCTATGATTTACACTAGCCTAAAAATCCGGATTTACCCTGCACCAACTACGAGTGCTTCGACCTCGACAAGATGACAGATGATGAATGTAAACCGAGTTTAGGTTTTACATGGATGTCTTTAACAATTTGGCAGATGTGCTAACTTTACCGGATCGAATCATTTGCTACAATGATGTAAATGTCGACATGGTTGAGGCATTATGTATTTTTCTTAAAATATTTGCCTATCCCTGTAGATACGTAGACATGATACCCAGATTTGGAAGGCCAGAGCCACAATTGTGTATGATCTCAAATGCTGCTATGAACGAGTTGTATCAAACACGGAACTGTCTTCTTTCTGATTTGAACCAGGATTGGTCAAGCCCCGATTATTTAGCGGAGTTTGCTGTTGCAGTTCACAACTGGGGAGCTGCTCTTGACAACTGTTGGGGTTTTGTTGACGGTACTGTAAGGCCCATTTGCCGACCAGGACAAAACCAAAAGTGCATATGCAATGGTCATAAACAAGTCCATGCTATAAAGTTTCAATCCATTGCAGAGTCTAGTGGACTTGTTGCCAACCTGTTTAGGCCCGTTGAAGGAAAGAGATATAATAGTGAAATGTTAACTGGATCTGGAGTGTTAACCTAATTGCAACAATTTTCAGTGGACACAAATGGGAACTCTCTACGTATTTATGGAGCTCCAGCATATCCCCTTTGCCTACATCTGCAAGGACCTTTTCAAAAGCTGGACTAACTTCCATACAGTCTGCATGGAATGAATCTATGAGTGAAGAGAGAGTGTCTGTTGAATGGAATTTTGGTGATATAATAAATTATTTTAAATCTCTGGACTTTAAAAAAAACTTAGTTTTTAAAATAAATTTAAGTGCTGTTAGCAAAATGTATGTGACATGTGCCCTTCTTCACAATGCTCGTGTTTGTTGTTACGGATTCACCACATCAGACTACTTTGATGTTTCTCCTCCAGAAATTGGAGATTATTTTCACTAAGTCTGCCAAACAGGATTTACAAAAGCTAAATAACACTTTTCCTTTAGAAAACTGAACTGCTCTTTAGTAAAAAATTATACAATTGAGAAAGGCTAACGTATTGGAATTAAAGGGAAATAAATGCCACCAAAACAGACCATTTAATGGGAACAAAGGGTGAGGATGTTTACAGAGAGTGATGCAATTTGATAGTTGAATAAGTCCTATTGCCTTGATAAAAGCTCAACCCTGGTTCCTCCAGCGCTAACCACCTTAAAATCTACAGGCTTTTAGCGCTGGCATAATATCAATTTTGTGACTTTCAAAGGTTAGCAATATTAAGCAACATTTCCTTTACAGTTATTTTGGTAAACCAATAATTATTATCATAAATCTTTAATTTTAAACATCCTTAAAAATGTTCTCACGCTAATAAAAAATGTGAACTTTTTGTGCATCTAAATGACCTCTTGCATATATTTATCAGCATCACTTCTCAGCAAACTTTTTCATTAGCTCCCTTAATGCAAGGGTTTGTTGTTGGTGCTGTTGCATCATGTTTGCATAAAATGCTGCATTTGCTGCTGAATATCTCTAGTTTGCTTGTTCATCAGATCAAACTGCTGTTGTCTTCCTTCCTGCTCCTTTGCTTGCAGTGCTAACTCTTGCCTTTTTATCTCAAATTCATCATATTTTTAAGTGGCTTCATCTTCTGCCTTATCCTTCAGGTAAGCCAGAGTGTTTGCACCACTAGCTCTACTCTTTTTATGGTCTTGCTCCTTGTTGTTCATCTGCATTCCTTTTTGCACTATCTTTAAAAGTTTCTAACGATCTCTTCTGCATTTCCTCTGCTTTCTTTACTTCTTCCTGTTTCTGTTTTGTTTTATCTATTGCTTTGTCAGACTCATCAAACAGTTCAATGATTTCATCAAGTAGCTGATCTAGTTCTTTTATCTCTTCAGGGGCAATAGCTGAGGCTCTGTCTTCTTCCCTGACTTTTTTCCTTCTTGGGCCTAATTCCCTTTTCCATTGTAGACTAGTGGTCATGAACAGACTGATGAGTAACACAGAACTGTCGACAAGGAATAGCATTTAATGACACTACCAGCTTTTTCCAATCATCTCCTCTTGCTAGTTTCTTTCTTATGCAGCCATGGCTGCAAAAGGATCATTCCCTCAACATCAGCAATTTGTGTTCTTCAGTCCATTTCATTGATTGACTGAAAGTGCAGCGCAACAAAAATTACTTCATGAGGAAGAACTATTAGTACATCAGCAAAATTTGTAATCAATAAAATTATCATTGTACAAATGTGCAATTTGAACTCTGAGATTTACTCAAACTTGGTTCTAATCATGATTAAAAACTTTTAAACAAAAAAAATAAGGTAAAATTTGGCTGGTGTTAACTAGATCATCATAAGATTAGGCAATATCTTAGCTTTCTTTTCTTATTACAGTCTTCCAATAAATTAGCTGAACTTGTTGACAGATAAAGAAATGATGGCCTCCCCTTTGCCTTCCAAATGAGGGAAACATATAATTAAGGTTGGAAGGATGCTTTCAAATGAAAACAGACAGGAATTACTTACACATATGTAGCATTTGCAAGTTAAATATAGGGAAATCAATAAATCTTGGATTTTGTAAAATAATTTTTGCTTAATTAGTAAACAGTGGAATGTCAACTTCCCTGTTTTGTATTTGTTTTTGATTCAGTTATGAATATAGTAATATTTGAGGTAGCCAGGAATTCCTCGATAGAACTGCTCAACCTAGCCATTGAGTTACTTGCTAAATAAGCTTATTCTATGCTTATAAATGACAATTTGCTGAATGAAAAGAAATACACTTTGAATCGGTCGAATCTAGTACCGTTGCTGACCAAATCCTTCGACTATTTTCTAGTAAAACTAAAATAAAAATTAAGCTTAATTTTCTCTTTTTTGACTATGAAAAAAATTGAAAAAAAAGCTTATAAGATAGCTCAGCGAGAGAAAGTGAAGTGCAACCACAAACAAAAACAAAGCATAATAATTCAAATCTCTCTCCATTCAGTTTGTGGTCGTTTACAAAACACTCCGCGCTCTGTTAGTTTACATTTCATACAATATCTAATAAAAAAACTAATTTTCTTTAAATTTTGTCGCAAAGTTTCGTTTTTACCTTAATTCCTTTGCCATGGTTTGGCCTGGTTAGGTAGAGAAGTCCCACGTTTTCGTAGAACGTAACGAGGCTTGTTGATGTCCGCGCGTGAAGGGAAACCGCTGTCTCAGAAATCTACTCATGCGCAGTACGCAACCGGAAGTAAAATAAGTCTCACGTCGCCGTCGCTGTTGTCAGGTCCTTTTCAAATCGTTATAAGGATAATATATTAAATCTGCTCGACAATATCACGCTCATTGTGGTTCAAAGCGTCAGGTAGGGAAGCTAAACATGCAATCCGTAAAACTCAATGTCGGCGGTCATTACTTCACAACAAGTCTTCAAACACTGACTAAAGATCCAAACTCCATGTTGGCTGCCATGTTCTCAGAGACATTTGAAATGAAACCTTCTGAAGACGGTGCTTTCTTTATCGACCGAGATGGAACTCACTTTCGGTTTATACTCAATTATCTTCGCACTGGGAAATTAACTTCACCAGAAGGAGAAGCAGCTCTTAAGGAACTGCAGGAAGAAGCTGAGTTTTATCAGATCGAAGGCCTCATAGAGAAATTAAAAGTAAATTCGGAAAGTTTAACAAGCGTGAAACTGAATGTAGGCGGCCACCACTTCACAACAAGTCTTCAAACACTAACTAGAGACCCAAACTCGATGCTGGCCGCCATGTTCTCAGGGAAGTTTCCAATGGAACCTCATGGAGACGGCGCTTTCTTCATCGACCGAGATGGAACTCACTTCCGGTTTATACTTAATTATCTTCGCACTGGGAAGCTAACTTTTCCAGAAGGAGCCACAGCTCTCGCGGAATTTAAAGAGGAGGCTGATTTTTACCAAATTCAGGGGATTTTAGACGAGTTAGATGACACAAGGCTGAAGTCGGAGTTTTGACAGACGAAGAACACCGAAGCATTCTGGTCAGCTGGTTGCCTCCTAAGGGAGAGATAGACAGAAGACGTCGCTATCGTCTTCTGTTCCGAGCTTCTCGAGATGGTTTCTCAGCTGCGACTTTTCACTCCAAATGTGACGACAAAGGACCAACAATAACCATTGTGCAGAGTGGAGACAACAAATTTGGTGGCTTTACAGATAGCTCTTGGGGGAGTAAGTTGTGTACATTAAGCAAATGTAGTTAATTTTGATTCCCTAAACTGATTTCCACGCAAAAACTTAGCATTGAAGGAAATCAACGTGGCAAAATAAATTATCCAAAAAGTGAAAGAATAATGCTTGGTCTCTTAGCAGAAATTTACCGAAGTTCACAGAGAAGAGAAAATGACTAGGAAGAATTTCATTTAGAGGCCTCCACCTTATTGTGGATCTAACAAAGAAGACCCGATGAAAGTAGCTCATTATGCGTCATCTAGTGATTAGCCATCAGATTCTGAATTTAGGTTTTAGTTTAATGATCAGTAAGACTGTAGCAGTATTTCTTAGGTTTCCAAGTTTTCAAAATTTTCACCACCGGTACCAACTTGCACATTTGAAACTTTCTATCCTTGTTCAATTATTCTCGCCTGATAAAGACAATAAATTCAATTAGCACTTACAACATAAGTGAATAGTGCTGTTAGCGCGAGCTTATTGGTTGGTGCGGAAGTAAACAGCAAGTACAATTCACCTCCGAGCAGCTGAAGAGACAAAATTAAGCGTTTAATTTCCGACCATTTTACGGTGTATTGAAAGAAATAAACTAATTTTCTGGTTTTTGTATAGTATACATAAAAAATACATTACCCACTTGAGTGACGTTGAAAGTGATGGATATTTACTTCGCCGCTTCAGTTTGGTTAACAACTGTTAATTATTATACATTAGATTTGATATGAAATCAATCAATATATAACAGCGTGTGAAGTTGACATAAAAACGCAATATGAGCAGCGGCAAGATAATATACTCTTGTCAGCGGATATTACATTTATCATGTCGAGTTCAAAGTCTGCCTAGTTTCCAAGCCCCTCGTCCGTGTAGTGTTCTGAAACTTTTGCAAACTTTGCGAGTAGCGTTTTCTTTTGTAGATTGTTTACAAAATGTACAATAAATCAATTAGTGTTGTTGCTTTTCTTGTCAGGAGATAGTGACGAAAATTGTAGAGAGGCATTCTTGTTTAGTATGGTCAACCCATATGGCTCTGCACCAACTAAAATGTTGTTACGTCCTGACCCAGAGGTGAATTGGAGCGGCAGACCAGGAGGAAAAAGCTCCAATCTGCCGATTCTAGTTGGCATTTTATCTGAAGCGCAAAGTGGACCAGCATTTGGTTCGCGACAGGAAGATACTTTTCGGCGATACGACCTGCTCATCTTAGGCAACGCTAACGTAAGGGCTTCAAGTTCTGAAAGCCTTGGCGCGTCATATCAGTGCCCTGAAGGACATAAGGGAACTTTCTTCACAGGGAAAAGATCTTTCATGGTATCAAATTATGAAGTGTTTGAGGTCTTTAATTGACATAAGGTAATTTTTCGAAGATAGAAACGATGTAGGCGCCCCCCCCCCCATTACCTTATTTAGGACTTAAAAGCGTGACAATAGCAACATGTGTTTTCAAAATGGGTGTAATAAGGGCACGATATTAACACTTGTGAATTGAAGGAAACACGCATTAGTTTCGAAATACACAACGACTAGTTCAAACTACTTTAAAAATAGAAAATCAAATTGCTAAAGTTAAGAATTCCTGGGATGCTTTCAAAATAAAAAATAATCTCGTTTTAATAGTCTTTTTTTATTAGTAGTGTTAGTATAATTGTAAATACTTTTGATGATGTAAGTTTTCTTTGTTTATTTTAATAATAATAATAAAAAAAAACAAAAGGAAGAGATCATTTGCTGTCTTTGTTCACATTGGTATGAGATATTAGTATTAGTAGAATTAAATTTATAGTTGGAGCTATTCTTCGTATCCTATGATGTGAATGGATCCTGAAACCAGAAGCGGTAAAACTGTAAAAAATAGACTGTGTTTCGGCTGGCCTGGCCAAAATAGACTTCTGAAGGTAGACTGGACTGACTAGAATGAGAATTTAGATGTTTATGGAGCAATATTTGCATGATGCTGGTGAAACATAGAACTGTAACGTGTTACACAGGGAAAAATTAAAGGTAAGTGTAACACTTAAATAATATAAGATAAATACAAGCAAATAAACTGAAACGTGTCTTCGTGGATTTGTAGACACTCAGGATGAATTCTTCGTTCGAGGTTGCTAATTTTAGCATTACGGGTGAGCAAGAGATTAGAACGGTTTATAATCTCTTCGTGAGAGCCAAAAGGAGCGCTGAATTTCATACCGATTAGTTCCCAATCCACCCAAAGCGATGTATAGCGCTTAGGGACAGTTGACTGTTGGGATATTCCGTGATGACCTAATTACGTAAAGCTGAATTTTAATTAGTTTGCCTGAATCTCTATCACGAACAGATGGTTGATGTGCCCTGTAAGCCATCAAAACAGGAAATTTAAACGTATTCAGTAATTACTAAGGCTTGATGAGGAAAGTTAACCGCTGGAACCTTAAAATGTCAATTTGACGTCACGTGTTTATTCCAAACTTTCATTTTTAACTGATATATTCACAAAGCTCCGCAATCGTCGTTTCGGCGTCGCTACTCGCGGGAAAGACTGGTCGCTTTTTTATTTCAAGCCTTGATAAAGTGAAAATTTACCACTGACTTTTAGCGATAATGCAGAACGGACACGACCAGGGAATTTCCTCGACCGTAAAACTGAATGTCGGAGGTCATTTCTTCACTACAAGTCGACAAACACTAACCAAAGATCCAAACTCAATGCTAGCCATTATGTTTTCGGGAAAATTTGACATGAAACCTAGTGAAGACGGTACTATGTTCATTGACCGAGATGGAACTCACTTTCGATTTATACTCAATTACCTTCGCAGTGGAAAATTAACGTTACCTGAAGGAAGCACAGCTCTGAAGGAACTGATGGAGGAGGCTGAGTTTTACCAGATCCAGGGAATACTTGACGAATTAAAGTCCGTGACAGATAATTTAACGATCGTGAAACTGAATGTTGGCGGCCATCACTTCACAACAAGTCTCCAAACGCTGAAGAAAGATCCAAAGTCAAGATTGTTCACCATGTTTTCAGGTGAACATGTAAACAACAGCACCTTCATTATTGACAGAGATGGAACACACTTCCGTTACATACTCAATTATCTTCGTGATGGCGATGCGAGGTTACCGGAGGATGAATCTGCACTGAAAGAGCTCGAAGCTGAAGCACAGTTCTACCAGGTTGAAGGGATACTAATGAAATTGAGCGTTATGTCGGAGATAATAACGAATGAGGAACACACAGCCAAGCTGCTAAGTTTCCTACCCTTGCTTGACTCAAGGAGGAAGCGACATCACCTTCGTCTACTGTTCCGAGCTTCTCGCGATGGCTTCTTCGCCAAAACCTTTCACTCCATGTGTGACAACAAAGGACCTACTGTTACCATTGTGCGGAGTGGAGAAAATATATTTGGAGGATTTACAGAACATTCTTGGAATAGTAAGTGTGAACTGATATACTGATATACACCAGTGGAATGATACACTCGAATAGCTTACGAGTAGAAACAAAAGTTCTGTTAAAATTTCTATTATAATGTACCGAAATCTACGAAGTCTAACTTAATGTTTCACTTTTTTATCTTGTCATTTTTATCTTTTTTGAAAGTGATGTGCACTTGTGGGGAGGGATGGTTGGGCCAATTGAGGGTAATTGGGTATGTGTTACTGGCTACTCAGAACCCTTACCCCATAATGGTTTATTCTGTGGCCAGTTATTGAACCCATCTTAGTCACTTTTGAGCAAATGTGTCAATTCACATTTTCTCCGACATAATGCTCAACACTTGTGATGCCAACTTAGTGACTTTCTGTTCGTTCATCTGAACTCTACAAGTCTTTTAAGTAGGTCATTCTGAAATGAATTGACACATTTATTAAGCTGAGTGTAGAACTTTTTTTAAAATAATGGAATGTAATGCAAGTCAATTGTTGAATATTAAAACAAAAACATGAAATACAGTAACTATTTCACTGGGAATCTTACTATTTTGAAACCCCTATTTAGCAGAATTTTCTTACCCCAAAAAACAGGAAAATGTATGACCCCATTCTAGTAACTCTATTAAAAACCAACCCCATTATAGTCAATACAGTGGTGAAAATGCCACCCCATTTAGCGGCATTTTACAAGGAAGTGACCTCCCCCCCTTTGCAGGAAGTGTATAGTAAGCAAGTTCCTTTTGTTATTGGCAATATGTATTAACCTTTATGAAAAATATTTGATTTTTTTTAATGGAAGGTGTCTTCTCATTAACAGGTGATGGTGATTATGCAAGATGTTCAAAATCATTCTTGTTCACTCTGGTCAACCCACAAGGCCTGGAACCAACTAAAATGCCAATTACTACTGATGGCCAAAAGTATGGCATCTGCTGTTACAGTGAATATGGACCAACATTTGGTAGAGGTCTTTATGGCGGGTATGCTTTGAAAATTTCCGACCATGCAAATGTGCGCAGCAGTGACTTTGGTATCAGTGACTCCTATGATTTTCATCAAGATTTCCGTACTTTCTTTACAGGGAAAACACAGTTTCTTGTGAGTGATTATGAAGTCTTTTCGCTCGTAAACTAGCATGTAACAAATGATGGCTTGGGTGTTTCTTTTAACCTTTTGACCCTTGAGGGTGATTAGCATTGAATTTCTCCTTACAATTCACCCCCTGAATCACACATTAAGGTCATGAGATTAAAGGAAATGATCACCAACCAAAGAAGCTCTTGATTTTGATAGAAATTCTCCTTGTCAGCACCTTAGGAAATGTTTAGAGAACAGTATGGAGAATTTGTACACTGATATTAGGGTGTAAAGGTTTAATGAGTTACTTTTCCTTTATCTAGTGCTTTTGCAGGGGGTAAATAACAGAAAAAGGAAGAGTTGAGTTATAGGTCCAAAGAGGTGTAGAAAATTATAAGTAGATAAATATTATGCTAAGGTTTTTTTTCCTTCATCATGATAATATTCAAGTATTTGACTTTTCAACTTATAGCATACTGATATTCTACTTCATGTAATAACACTTGAAAGCCTGTTATAGACTAGGGCTGGGTTGTTTGAAGCTGGTTAAGATAACCCAGGGTTAGTGTGAAATTAGATTTCACATCTGAAAGCTTAAAAGAAAATTCAGTATGAATTTTTTTTGTCTGCTGTTTGATGATTTAATGCTCTAAACAGAATAGAGAAAATTATCCAAAAAAGGCTTTTGAACAAAGGAATAAAGATGCTGGGATTAAAATGTAACCTTGGATTAGCACTAATTGGCCTTCGAACAACTGGGCTCTGCAGTCCATTTGAGACACCTTATGTTGCCGCAAGGTCTTAGTTTTCTGAATCCATCAGCCCTTTAACTTGCATGAGTGACCAACAAAGAATTTCTTCTTACAGTATCAAGAAAAATATTACAAGGGGATTATTAGTTGATCCAATACCAAATTTTCTGAGCTAACATGATTAGAATTGTATGGCAGACAGTAAGGAGAATTAGTAAATGGGATCTTGGGAGGGAAAGGGTGAAAGGATACATAATGGGCAAAGAAGGAAAGGAGATGGCTGAGATCATCCCTTATCCATGATTAGAGTTTTGATGTCACCATTGTTTAAAATTGATTATAGTCCACTAACTATCAAAGATCCTTAAGATCCTTAAAGTTATAGGTTCCAGTCTTTATGAAAATTAACATGTCAACCCTTTGACTCCGAGAAGTGATTAACATGTAACTTTTCCTGATGATATCCATACATTATCCAGCGAACAGGTTATGAGAATATACAAACGTATTGGGAAAAAGTTGTTATCTTGATTTAACATCAACTTCTGTTATCAAATTTACAAATAAATTATGCGTAGCCGCTAGAGGGGAGAATAAACAATCAGATCTTGGGAGTTAAAGTTAAAGAGGACATCTATTGCTTTTCGTACTCCTTGTGCCTAGACTGTGAGTTTCAGTTAGTGGTCTTTTGTGATTCTCACAGTGTATGTTCAAGGCAATCAAAATCACAGGTTAAGCATTTCTGAGAGCACTAGTAACTTCAGGACACAGTTGTTGACTCTCCCTTGTTATATTCCTGTGACAAGTCTTATAATTTGTTTGGTCTTTATTAAGTACTAACAGGAACACATCAGTTTTTCCCCTTTCTTACTGGAAACATCACCCAATATTATGTGATGGCTGCCTTTATTACAGAAAAGGGAAATTGGCAAAGAGAGAGTGTTGCATCACACTTGTGAATCAAGCCTGCAGCTCACTTAGTACAAGTAATTTAACATCAGCAGACTTAATTGTGTAAACTTGGGCCAATAGTTGGTTTTCCTTTTGCAAGTAAAAGTACTGTCTTGCCAGGCACTTAAGAGATTGCTTATGGATTTAAGTTCAGTTGCTCAATTGCTTAGATTGCATGTGCTTGATATGCCTGGTGTGCAATCTTAGAAGATATTTGTCTATCCCTTCCTTCCCTCCTAGTATTTCATTGTGTTGGTCTTTTGGATCTGTTTCAGTTTTGTAACAGACAGCCTCTCGCTATTTAAGGATGCATTTGAGTAGTTTTATTTTTAGCTTATTTCTTAAATATGATATTATTTGCAAAAATAATAAGTTGATTCAGTAACCTTGTAATAATATAGGTAAGTAAGTAAGTTTGTAAGTAACAACTTTATTTAGATCTAGGGTTACACATGATAGTATGACTGATAAACTAATGGCCCTCTGCGCTAAACATCTATTGAATAATGATAAAATAGTGTGAAGATAGAAGGTAACTGAATAAAAACTGAAAGTGAACTTGCCTTTGTTCCAAAATTTGTTGTAGTATGTGGTAAAGATATTGTGAACACCGTGACTTTTTAAATGCATCAGTATTTGCAACAGTGTAAATTTTTTAAATGTTAAACCTGAGTATTTTTGGGAATAAATTTGGTGTAGTGCACACTCAGTGCAGGCAAGTAATGTGGTTGTTTTGATTCTTAAGAAGCCGTGTCATTCTTGCTGATTTGAAGAGTGCCTCAAGCAGGACAGAAAAATATTCCTCGGTACAGGGCAAGGAAAGCTTTATGCAAAAAAAGGGGTTTTATCATCCTCCAAGGCCTTCAATACTTCAAACACAATCCTCTATTCTCGGGCCTTATTTTCACCACTGCTCAAGTAGTGTTCACAGCTGTGAAGATCGCTTCCATATTCATGTTTTTATCCGCAGTTTACGCATATGACTTTCATATTTTTACAGTCAGTTATTCATCACTTCACGGTTTATTTGGGACCAACATAATGAACAGCTCCCAGTTGGCTTGTCAGCTCAGTTGGTTGAGCGCTGCACCGGTATCGCTGAGGTCATTGGTTCAAATCTCGTACAGGCCTGAATATTTTCATGCTTTATTTTCACCACTGCTTACGTGGTGGTCATAACTGCGAAAATCTCTTCCATAATCCTTTATATCGAGTACGGGGCAATAATTGGGCAAATCAGAGCAATTGATAAATGTCTTGTCTGGTTTTGTCTTTTGGGCTAAGTTTTTAGCGAAGAATTAATCAGCTTAAACGTGGTCTGAAATTGCAAACATAACCTCGCGTGACAAACATATTTATTCGACGGAGCACGCTCACACTTCTTATTCATCGTCCCGGGGGGAGGGGTGTGGAAGATTTGAGGGGGTATGACATAGTTCAAGGGGGGCGAAAGGGGATGATCAGTCATCGCCAATAGAGTTTAAAGTGGGACTACTGTGTCAATGAGGGGAATCATAAAAATATTTCAGAGCGCTTGGGGTGATCAGGTAAATTTTATCGTGAAACAACCAAAATCCTCCAACCCCCCCTTCCACCCTCACCCTCCCCCTTGGCAATAATTAAGATTCTCATCATATCTCGCAAATTTGGTCAGCGAACAGAAAGCAGGAGTGATTTCAAGAAAGTATTTTACACTTTACTCACAAAAACCTGTTTGTAGCGATAAGCAGGTACAGAAAGTAGACAACATGCAGCATGATCAAAGCATTCTCTCGATTGTAAAACTGAATGTCGGCGGTCATTACTTCACTACAAGTCTTCAAACACTGACCAAAGATCCAAACTCAATGCTGGCCGCCATGTTCTCAGGGAAGTTTGAAATGGAACCTCGTGGAGACGGCGCTTTCTTTATCGACCGAGATGGAACTCACTTCCGGTTTATACTCAATTATCTTCGCACTGGTAAATTAACTTTACCAGATGGAGCAACTTTTCTGAAAGAACTTGCCGAAGAAGCTGAGTTTTACCAAATACAAGGGATACTAGATGAATTGAAATCGATTTCGAGCGTGAAACTGAATGTTGGTGGCCATTACTTCACAACAACTCTCCAAACACTGACCAAAGATCGAAACTCGAGGTTAGCTGCCATGTTTTCAGGGGAGCATGCCGAAAACGGCACCCTTTTCCTCGACAGGGATGGAAAACACTTCCGGTTTATACTCAATTATCTGCGGAACGGAGAGCTAGTCTTACCGGATGGTGCAACGTTTGTAGAAGAACTTTTAACTGAAGCGGAGTTCTACCAGATTAAAGGGATACAAATGAAGTTGAGTATTAGATCGGAGATACTCACGAATGAGGAACATATCAGCCTGCTGCTAAGTTGGTTGCCCTTGCTTGACTCAGGGAAGAGGCGACATCGCTTTCGTCTTCTCTTCCGAGCTTCTCGAGATGGCTTCGCAGCCGCAACCTTTCACTCCAGATGTGACAACAAAGGGCCCACTGTTACTATTGTGAAGAGTGGAAAAAATGTATTTGGAGGTTTTACAGAACAGTCTTGGAAATGTGAGTGGTAAATTAACTTAATTGAGTAGAAAATAGTAGCTAAAGATTTGAGTAGAAACGAAAGTTAAGTTAAAATTTTGGCGTGAAACAACGAAAACGTTGGGTTCACTTCTTCGTGACTATAATACCGTTTTGCTTATCTCCCTTTCTTCTCTAAACGGCTTCCGGCCAAAAGTAATTTCATAAGAAAACACTTCAAACGGCCCACGAAGGCGAAAAAAAAAACCACAAAGCATCGATTAACATTTCATTCAACTTTATTGAGATATTTATACCGAGATGTAATTTAGATATGCAATTTTCAGAGTCGTGGATTTTGTTTGTGTGATGTCAGCAATAATTAACCACGAACACATACTGTGGTCTGCCTGTGATAAAAGGAACATCATCTCATCAACAGTTCAAAACCATGGGTCAAATTGTAACGAAGCATTCTTGTTCAGTATGGTCAACCCACATGGCCATGAACCAACTAAAATACCGCTTACTCTTCAACGCCGAGGGAATTCCATCTCATGTAGAGCTGACCTTGGACCAACGTTTGGCGGCGAGTTTCACGGCCAGCATGCCCTAAGAATCTCAGACTATGCAAACATATCATACAGTGAGTCTAATGATATTTATAACGTGTATAATTTTCCTCCAGAACGCGAGACTTTCTTCACGGGAAATTCACGTTTTGTTGTGACAGATTACGAAGTGTTTTCACTCAATTGAAGTAAAACAAATGATTTGGGGCAGGAGGGGGTGTACCTTCTAAAATGGGGATGCTTTGCCCCAATTCCTGGAAAAGGATTAATAAAAGAGAAGAGATTTCATAGATTGAACTACAGAAAAGGGTGTAGAAGGGTTGGACTTAAATCAGGTGAATACCGTTGGAGGGTCTCGATAAAGCGAAATGATATTGTAGTATTGCTGTTTGTCTCCCGTTGTGGTTAGTTTCATTATGAAGCCCTGTTAAAGTACATTTGGCCAGGCGATACGACTCTGAAACGGCGACACAATGGGAGCTGAAATGACCAGGAACAACGAACCGCTAACGCGAAATCGACAGCGACATTGGCGTTTTAAAAATTAGACAGCGACTTGCTGCGTATTCGGGCGGAAGAAATAGCGTGTCACACGTTGTGTGACGCGTTGTTAAGTTGCGAGAGGAACCATTCAAAACACGTTACAAGGAATAGTATGGGGAACGAAAATATGGTCAATTTACAACGATAAATATTTCGAAATATGAACATTTTACAGGTAAAATCAATCGATCTTACTCAAACCTTGTGTGTCCGTTTTGATGGCAAAACAAGCTTTTAAAAAACGGCAGAAATCGCCAGAAACCATAACGGATACACAAGTTGTAGGTAAGTTTTGTTTGTTTCACGTGTAAAATGTTCATATTTCGAAATATTTATCATTGTAAATCGACCATATTTCGTTCCTCGTACTATTCCTTATAACGTGTTCAAATTCTCAACGGTTCCCTTCTTAACTTAACACCCTGTCACACAACGCGTGACGCTTTCATGAATTAATCGTTTGCTTTTTCTCGAGACGTGAGCCCAGGCAGCCTGTGGTGTAACCTGTGTCGTCTGACTCTCTTCTGTTATCTCCTCTTCTCATCTTTCATATCACGTCACGCTCTGTGTCGTTTATGGTCACGCGCTCAAAATTCAGACTTGACCTTTTCTGGGTTTTTTCTCTCCGTCTTCCCGTGTCGCACTTTGTAAGGCTATCAAGTTTGGTTGATAATTATCCGAAAATATTTCGGGAACAAAATTACGCGAACGCATCTACGTGAAATATTCTTTACTTTAACATTTCCGATGTCGATATCAGTGGCTTAGGACGAAATTCCGACAGCGACATGGGAACCTTCTGAAATTGCGACGTGAAAAGGTATGAAACTCAGACGGGGGACATAAAGACCACCCCCCCCCCCCCTCCCTAACAGGGCCTCAATTATGGATCAGGACTTTTCGACTCTGTGCATGCATTTAGTGTGGTAGTGGTTACTAAAATTTAGTAATCTCTACTAAAGTTATGTATTATAAAATTATAATTTATAATCCACCTGCCCTTAAGCACCTTTTTTTTTCATCATGGGAGAATATAGACATGAACTGTATTTTATTAGAGGTGTAGAGATGGGGGGATTTTTCAAAAGGGGTACTTTCCTGATTGTCATGTCGATCAAACAGAGGGTGACCAAAAAAATCAAAGATCAGCCACCCCAGGACCCCCCACCCCGTAGCTACATCCTTGGTTGTATTTTGCTTTTTACAGTTGAACTACCCAATCTTTTACTGAACACTAACATTTACATGATTGTGTAAATGTAAACGAAATAAGGTAACAAAAGCTCCTGTATAATTTTTAGTTTGTGTCGTTATTTCTGTAGTTGATAAGCTAATACATCAAGTTACATATCGTCACAGGAAAAACTTCAACTCCTTGAAAAGAAATAAAAAAACCCTTACTTTGTGTAACCATTTAAAACTATTCAAAAAGTTAAGTATTCTGTATAGTTTGTAAGCTAATACATCAAGTTATATATTAGTTACAAGAAAAACTCGAACTTCTCGCAAAGCAACCACCGCGTTGGAAATAGTTAGAACTCATCATATAGACTAGTATTCTATATATTTGGTAAGCTAATATATCAACTTATACTTCGGTTACTAGAGAAAGTTTAACATCTTGTACAGAAACTAAGAAACTGGTGTTGAACGAGTTAAAACTATTACAGAAGTGAGAATTTTATATAGCTAGTAAGCTAATAAATCATGGTATATTTCATTTACTGAAAAAAAGTTTAAGTTCTTGGATAGAAATAAAAGTTCAAAAACGAGTTCAAATTTTCATGTGGCGTTTTGGTAAAATCCCTCGAAAAGTCAACAGTCAGTTAAGCTTCGGCTGGCACTCCTTCGGCTGTCACGGTGGTAGTTTCCTTGGTAACTATCTGGGCTGCTATTTTGCTGGCTTCTGTAGTTTTAGCAATCTTTTCATTATTTGGGTTGAAGTGTTGTTTAAGAGCTTCTGATAGAGCTTCTGTGTGCTCGTTGCATCAGTCGCTGTAGATGTGCCTGAAATTATCATTGAATTGTAGTATCCATAAAAATACGTTATTGAGCATAAATTTGCAATTAAAAGGTTCTTCTATCTACCCTCATAACTGATCAATAGACAATTTAACTATCGTTGCCTCCGTTATTTTTATCCAGCGGAATAGTTTAGAGAACGAGGGCTCCAGAAGCGAGATTGAGTTATTGTCGTGTTCCATCCTCTGGCAACGTGACCATGAATAGGTAAAATTCCCTCCAAAAGAGCATGAATGCACAAAAAGAAGGGTTATTTTTAATATTTTGTCAGAATGAAAAGTTTAAATAAAAGCCACTAATAATCGGGAGTTCATAAACATTAAAAAGCTCGAGATTTCAGCACTTTCGTAAACAAACGTCATGTGTGTCTCCTCCATTGAAATAAACCACTGCCCTTTTCGATTTAGTGTCACGAAACACAAAAAACATTGTAACCATGACGGCCAATCACAGTAAAGTGCCCTAAAGAACCAATGAGAACTCAAAACCTACAAATTGATAAAAACGCGGGAAAACGCGAGTGACAAAGGCGTGATTGGCTTACGTTTGCATCTGATTGGTTAAGAGAGTGGCGAGAGGTTTTTTTTGGACCAATCATAAAGCGAAGCAAAGTAAGGATAATTCAGTCCCAGATTAGGTTTGGCACTCAAAGGGTCAAAGGGAGGGTAAACATCGATGGTAAGAGAACGTAATTATACCAACAGATACATGTTGGTTTAGTGAAAATCTAGGAAGTTTTGAGGAAGAATATTTCTAAGAAAACATTGAATCAGGAATGAAATTACGCACTTAAGGTAATTGCTGTTTTATTTTGCTTTTCTTTCCTTACGCTCATTTCCGGATACTTCGCCTGAGCCTCAGATTTCACCCGACCCCTCCCACGCCAGGGCTGATTTGCAACGTCTTTCGACCGACACATCATACACTGACGTGGGGAGGGTCGGGTGAAACTCAGTTAGTGATTAATTTGAAATTTAATACGGTTAATCGAAGGATTGTAATCGACCTCTTTGGTCCACATCATGTGTCGACGGTAGATGATGAGCAAATGTGGGAAATCGAGCAGGCTTTTGAGGTGGTTAGAGGCGGGTGATTGCACTGATTTTTGGCCTGGCTCTTATACGTTTATCGAATTTTGACGTGCTCGAAGCTGGGAGGTGAGCGACATTTGGAAGCGGAAGAAATTCGGCGAAGTTCTGGAGGCTTTCGGCCCAGACGGTCCTCGTGTTTTTCCTTTGCCTTAAGAGAGGCGTCAGTGCAAAGTGGCGAAGGGACCGTCCCAAAAACCCGCAAAGTCACTCGAGACAACAGAGAAAAACGAAGGTAAGTGAACTTTATTTATCTGACTGTCATTAAACGGATTTTGGGGATGAAATGTTACGATTTGCGGAGTTTATTATGAAACATTTCTCGGGATCACTTGCGTCATGCCGAGATCGACCGTTGCAAATTACAAACAATGTACAAGTTCAACTACCGTATCAAATAACTGACGTCACGCGGCCTCAAACCCGCAGGGATGTCTGCCTGTGGTGTACTTCATCGAGAGTGAAACATCGAGCCCTCTCAGGATGTACAAAAGCATTTTTGTTTAGTCTGGTCAACCTACAGGGCCTGGAACCAACTAAAATGCCAATTACTTTTGGCCAAAAGTACGGCATCTGCCGTTACAGTTAATATAGACCAACACTCGGTAGAGGTCTTTATGGTGGGTATGCTTTAAAAATTTCAGACCATGAAAATATGTGCACCAGTGACTTTGGTATCAGTGACACCTATGATTTTCATCAAGATTTCCGTACTTTCTTTACAAGGAAAACACAGTTTCTTGTTGGTGATTATGAAGTCTTTTTGCTCATGAACTAGCATGTAACAACTGATGGCTAGGGTATATCTTTTAACCTTTTGACCCCTAAGGGTGATAAGCATTTAATTTCTCCTTACAATATCACCCCCTGAATCACACATTATTAATGTGTGAGGTTATGAGATTAAAGGAAATGTTCACCAACTAAAGAAGCTCTAAATTTTTTGGAGAAATTCTCCTTGTTAGCACCTTAGGAAATGTTTAGAGAACAGTATAGAGAATATGTACACTGATATTAGGGTGTAAAGGGTTAATGAGTTGCTTTTCCTTATCTAGTGCTTTTTTAGGCTCTAGGTTGATAAAAGGGAAAAGAAGGGTTGAGTTATGGGTCGAAAGGGGTATAGAAAATTATAAGTAGATAAATATTATGCTAAGGTTTTTTTTTCTTCATCATGACAATAATCAAGTATTTGACTTTTCAACTTATAGCATACTGGTATTCTACTTCATGCAATAACATTGGCAAGTCTGTTATAGACAAGGACCACGTTGTTTGAAGCTGGGTTGAGATAACCCAGGGTTAGTTTGAAATTGGATTTCACATCTAAAAGCTGTAAAAGAAAATTCAGTTTGAATTTTTTTGTCTGCTGTTTGATGATTGAATGCTCTAAAAATGGTAGTGAAAATTATCCAATAGAGGCTTTTGAACAAAGGAGTAAAGATGCTGGGATTAAAATTCAACCTTGGATTAGCACTAATTGGCCTTCGAACAACTGGGCTCTGGAGTCCATTTGAGACACCTTATGTTGCTACAAGGTCGTAGTTTGCTGAATCCATTCACCCTTTAACTTGCACAAGTGATCAAGACTGAATTTCTCCTTACAATATCAATACAATATCAGGCAGACAAGTGATGAGAAATAAGAAAAATATTACAAGGGGATTATTAGTTGATCCAATACCAAATTTTCTGAACTAACATGATTAGAATTGTATGACAGACAGTAAGGAGAATTAGTAAATGGGATCTTGGGAGTGAAAGGGTGAAAGGATACATAATTGGCAAAGAAGGGAAGGGGATGGCCGAGATCATCCCTTATCCCTGATTGGAGTTTGAAGAGGAATAAGAAAAGGCTCATTAATCTATGTACTTTGTTTGGCAGTGGTCATTATAAATTTCAGTTTCATGCTCTGGTGTTTAGAATTTGGAAAAAGAAAACTTTCAGAATCCATTCAAAGCATGATGATGTCACCATTTTTCAAATTTGTTACAGTCCACTTACTGTCATAATTCCTTCAAGTTGTAGGTTCCAATCTTCATGAAAATTAACATGTTAAAGGAGACATTTATTGCTTTTCACCTGTAACCTTATATGCATGGACGTGAGCACCACTTGTGCCTAGACTTCAAGTCTCAGTTAGTGGTCCTTTGTGTTTTTCACATTGTATGTCAAAGGCAATCAAAGTCAAAGGTTAAGCATTTCTGAGAGCACTAGTAAATTCAGGACACAGTTGTTGACTCTCCCTTATGAAATTCCTGTGATAAGTCATATCATTTGTCTGGTCTTTATCAAGTGCTAACAGGGACACATCATTTTTTCCCCTTTCTTACCGGAAACATCACCAATATTATGTGATGTGCTTCTGAATTACAAACAAGGGAAATTGTAACAGAGACTTATTATTAGTTACTTGTAGGAAGTGAGCCTGCAGCTCACTTAGTACAAGTAATTCACCATCAGCAGACTCAATTGTGTATATTTGGGCTGCTAGTTGGTATTCCCTTTGTTTGTAACATTAGTGTCTCGCTAGGCACTTAAGAGATTGCTAAGGGATTTAAGTTCCTACCCTCTCTCCGATGCTTTACCACTAAGCCACAGAGACTCTTTGGGGCTATGAATAGAGGGGGTAGGTTTCTAAAGAAATTGTGGTGCTGAGTCAGTGGGACAGTATAACATGCTAATTTTGTATTATCAACTGTGTTGATAACATGAATTGGCCACCATAAAGAGTTTAAAAGCTGATGTTTCAAGGCTAGGGTTAGCCCTTTGTCTGAGTGATTAGAGAAATTGTGGGTTGTGTGTGGGTTTATATGTGGAAAATGGAGCTATGAATTTGGTGATTAAAAAAACAAGAATAAATTAGTTGAATTAAAAGAGCTTGTTGATGCTGTGGGGATTAGGGTGCCAATTTGAAAGATAAATTTTTGTTCTCGTATTTGGCGGCTTTCGGAAGTGTCTAGTTGTAGGAAAAGGCTGGAAACTTCCATGTGCTATTTAGAATGATTAGGGAGATTAAAGTGTCTAGCAACTGGGTTGGATGTGTCCTTATCATTTATTTCTATGTCGCAGAGGTTTCTTTAAAAAGTTACCCCTTTTGTTGTCAATAGTATGTTTGTTTATTATCTGATTTTTAGCTTATATATTTAAATAGGAGTTTTATTTGTTACTGTAATTTAATAACCTATAATAATAAAGGCTACTTTTCTCCAAAACTTTGCTTGTAGTCATGTTATGTGGTTTATATGCAGTGAAAACTATGATGTATTAGATGCATCACAGTCTTTAAAATTTAATAGGGTTCTCTTGCGTGCTACACGGCAAAGAAATCAAATCCAATTAGCTGCAGGAAGTACTCAAGTTGCCAAGAGTTCCTTTTACAATCATGGCTGTATTGTTTATAATAATTTTTGTTCACATTAATTATCTTAATTGTATTTTTCCCATTTTTCCTATATATGTTTTAAATGTTTCTAAAGATGCTTTTTATGCATTTGTAATCAGAGTATATTTAAACTCAGGGTTCCTGTTGATAGCAGGGTAGTGTACTTTTGGGCTTCTGACAGGACTATTGGTTATTTTTTAAATAAAGGTGCCCATCTGTCTATCTTTCTACTTGCAACTTTAAGTAAATTATTTTATTTTAAACTTGAGTTTTTTAAAAATAAATTTAGTGTCGTATTCATTCAATGTGGATCAATAGTGTTCTTTTGATTTTCAAGAAGCCATATCATGTTTGCTGATTCGTAAAATGTCTTGTAAAAAAAGGGAAAAAATATTACTTGAGGCATGGTAAGGGAGCTTAATGCAAATAAAATGATTTTATCTTCCTTTAAGGCCTGATCGTCCTCCAAGGCCTAAGTGCGGGTAGAAACTGAATTTACTCCATTGGTCTTCGCTGTCACAATCGGTTTGGGTATTCCCGCATTTTGGGTAATTTTCATTGCTCCACCCACTCAAGGATGGCAGCTATAATGTTCACCTACACAGTACTGACTTCTCGCCAAAATTACGTTTGCCTTGTAAGTTAGGAAAAATCAAGATGGCGAAAATCAATAACATTTTTTTTAACAGCTCTTCTTTCCAACTTCACGACCTGACATTTGAAGAGTACGCAACGGAAACGATCCCGTCGAGCTCTCATCGATTATTTGATCTGATAAGAAAGCTGACATCCTAAACAAAGCTCAGGCTTACCTTTTAAGTGTATTTATTAGAGTGCGCTTCTCTAGTCACCGTTATGAGTGCCCGCGTTTTTAGAATACCTATTTTTCTTGTCTAGTCCAGTTCAGTACAGTTTGATTCAGTCTTCGATTCGAGCGTTCGGCATAATTTTAAGTGCAGAATCCTTTCTAAGAACTGGGTTAATTCATGAACTCTGGTAAAATCAGACTAAATGACAGTTTCTTTTTGTCTTTTAGACCATTTTTTTAGCATAAATGTAAACATTACCTCACGTGACCATGATACTTTTATTCATTCGACGAAGCTCGCCCACGCTGCATTTTCAGTTCTTCCTAGTTTGGTTAGCAAACAGTGAGGAGTGATTTCAAGCCTTGCTAAGGAAACGAATTACTTTTTAGCTTAAGAAAATCTAATTTTAGCGGCGATATACAGATACAGAAAGCAAGCAACATGCAGCAGGGTCAAAGTATATTTAGTTTTCCCTCGATTGTGAAACTAAATGTCGGCGGTCATTACTTCACCACAAGTCTTCAAACATTGACCAGAGATCCAAACTCAAAGCTAGCCGGCATGTTTTCAGGGAAGTTTGAGATGAAACGTCTTGAAGACGGCGCTTTCTTTATCGACCGGGATGGAACTCACTTCCGGTTTATACTCAATTATCTGCGGAACGGAGAGCTAGTTTTACCGGATGGTGCAAAATTTGTCAAAGAACTTGAAACTGAAGCGCAGTTCTACCAGATTGAAGGGATACTAATTAGGTTGAGCCTTTTTTCGGAGATACTCACGAATGAGGAACATATCAACGTGCTGCTAGATTGGCTGCCTTTCCATGACGCGAGGATGAGGCGACGTCGCCTCCGTCTTCTGTACCGTGCTTCTCGAGATGGCTTCGCAGCCGAATGCTTTCACTCCAGATGTGACAACAACGGGCCTACTGTTACTATTGTGAAGAGTGGAGAATATATATTTGGAGGTTTTACGGACCAGTCTTGGACGAGTAAGTAGTAAATTAACTCAATCGGGTAGAAAAAAATGGCTGATGATTTGAGTAGAAACGAAAGTTAAGTTAAAATTTGGCGTGAAACAACGAAAACGTCGGGTTCACTTCTTCGTGATTATAACACCGTTTTGCTAATCTCCCTTCTTCTCTTAACGGCCTCCGGCCAAAAGTAATTTCGTAAGAAAACGCTTCAAACGGCCCACGAAGGCGAAAAAAAAACCACAAAGCATCGATTAACATTTCATTCAACTTTATTGAGATATTTATACCGAGATGTAATTTAGATATGCAATTTTCGGAGCTTCATTTATAACCCTCGTGGATTTTGTTTGTCTAATGTCAGCAATAGTTAACCACGAACACATACTGTGGTCTGCCTGTGATAAAAGAAGCATTATCTCATCAACAGGTCAAAACTGTGTTTCAAGTTGTACCGCAGCATTCTTGTTCAGTATGGTCAACCCATATGGCCGTGAACCAACGAAAATACCGATTACTTCTTATGGCCAAATGCGTGGCATGTCATGTGAAACTGGCTTCGGACCAACGTTTGGCAGCTTGACTTACGGGTTTGCCCTAAAAATCTCAGACCATGCAAGCATATCGTACAGTGAGTCTAATGGTAATAGTAGCGATTATAGTTTTCCTCCAGAACGCTCGACTTTCTTCACGGGAAATCCAAAATTTTTTGTGACTGATTACGAAGTGTTTTCACTCAATTAAAGTAAAATAAATGATTTGGGGGAGGAGGGGGGGGGGGGACCTTCCAAAATGGGGATGCTGCCCCAATGCCTTGAAAAGGATTTGTAAAAGAGAAGAGATTTCAAAGGTTGAACTACAGAAAAGGATGTAGAAGGACTGGACTTAAATCAGGTGAATACCGTTGGAAGGTCTCGGTAAAGCGAAATGATATTGTGTGTCCGTTTTGATGGCAAAACAAGCTTTTAAAAAACGGCAGAAATCGCTAGAAACCATAACGGACATACAAGTTGTAGCATAGGCGGCCCAAGCTCACGTCTCGAGAAAAAGCCAACGAGGAATTCATGAACGCGTCACGCGTTGTGTGACTCGGTGTTAAGTTACGGGAGGAACCGTTGAAAATTTGAACACGTTATAAGGAATAGTATGGGGAACGAAATATGGTCGATTTACAACGATAAATATTTCGAAATATGAATATTTTACACGTAAAATCAATAAAAACTTACTCGTGCCCTGTGTATCCGTCGTAGTTTCTGGCGATTTCTGCCGTTTTAAGCTTGCTTTACCATCACTGTTATCCATGTCAAAAGACGAAGTCAAGGCTGCACACTCCGATTTCGACCGTGGTCCACGCGGAGGTGGTTTGCGCCCCGAAAATCCTCCCGATTGGCATTTTTCTCAGCCACACTTTACGATCTAAGATCACTGCACCCTGGGACATGTCTCAATACTAAAACTTCACGCGCATTTCGCTGGAAACGAGCGTTTTCTACCTGAATTTCCAAGGTAGCTTCTTTCTGGTTATGCTTTGAACACGCAGACTGGACACGGCCGCGAAAGAGACTTGGGTACAAGGTCGAAATCGGAGTGTTAACGCCCTGTCACACAACGCGTGACGCTTTCATGAATTAATCGTTTGCTTTTTCTCGAGACGTGAGCCTAGGCAGCCTGTGGTGTGACCTATGTCGTCTGACTCTCTTTTGTCATCTTCTCTTCTCATCTTTCATATCACGTCACGCTCTGTGTCGTTTATGGTCACGCGCTCAAAATTCAGATTTGACCTTTTCTGGGTTTTTTCTCTCTCGGTCTTCCCATGTCCCACTTTGTAAGGCTATTAAATTTGGTTGAAAATTATCCGAAAATGTTTTGGGAACAGAATTACGCGAATTCATCTAAGTGAAACAGTCTATACTTTAACATTTCCAATGTCGATATCTATGGCTTAGGACAAAATTCCGACAGCGACATGGGAACCTTCCAAAATTGCGACGTGAATAGGTATGAAACTAAGACGGGGGACAGAAATACCCCGCTCCCCTCCCCTAACAGGGTCTACATTGTGGATGACGATTTTTCGACTCTGTGCGTGCATTTAGTGTGGTAGTGGTTACTAAAATTTAGTAATCTCTACTAAAGTTATGTATTATAATCCACCTGCCCTTAAGCACCTTGTTTTTTCATCGTGGGAGAATATAGACATGAGCTGTATTTTATCAGAGGCGTAGCCACGATTTTTCAAAGGGGGTCACACTGTATCAAACAGAGGGTACTCATCAGATAGCTAGCTACGCCCTTGGTTGTATTTTGCTTAATACAGCTGAACTACCAAATATTTTACTGAACACTAACATTTACTTTACATTGTGTAAATGTAAGCGAAATAAGGTAACAAAAGCTCCTGTATAATTTTTAGTTTGTGTCGATGTTTATGTAGTTGATAAGCTAATACATCAAGTTACATATCGTCATAGGAAAAACTTCAACTCCTTGAAAGAATTAAAAGACCCTTACTTTGTATAATCTTTTAAAACCATTCAAACAGTTTAGCATTCTGTAGAGTTTGTAAGCTAATACATAAAGTTATATGTTAGTTACAAGAAAAACTTGAACTTCTCGCAAAGCAAGAGAAATGGCTAAAATAGTTAAAACTTAGCATATAGACTAGCATTCTATATGTCTGGTAAGCTTATATATCAACTTACACTTCGGTTACTAGAAAAAGCATAACTTCTTGTAAAGAAACAAAAAAACTAGTTTTGAACGAGTTAAAACTATTACATAGTCAAGTATCCTCTATAGCTGGTAAGTTAATAAATCAAGTCACGGTTATATTTCAGTTAAAGAAAAAAGGTTAACTTTTTTAATAGAAATAAAAGAGCTATTTGGTTGAACGAGTTAAAACTACTAATCTGGCGTTTTGGGAACATCCCTCCAAATGTCAACGGCCAATTAAGCTTCCGCTGGTACCCCTTCGGCTTTCACGGTGATAGTTTCCTTGGTAACCAGTTGGGCCGATGTTTTTCTGGCTTTTGCAGCTTTAGTGATCTTTTCATTGTTTGGGTCGAGGTGTTGTTTTAGAACTTTTGGTAGAATCTCCTGTGCGTTCTTTACATCAGTCGCGGTAGATGTGCCTGAAAATTACATCGAATTGTAGTATCCATAAAAATCATACGTTCTTGAGCATAAATTTGTAATTAAAAGGTTCTTCTATCTATCCTCATAACTGATCAATAGGCAATTTAGCTATCGTTGCCTCCGTTATTTTTATCCAGCGGAACAGTTAACAGAACGAGGGCTCCAGAACCGAGATTGATTGGTGGTCGTGTCCCATCCATGAGCTGGTAAACTTCCCGCTAAAGATGCATGAATGCACGAAAAAAAAAGATGATTTTTTCATTTATCAAAATGAAGAGTTTAATAAATACCACTGACAATCGAGAGTTCAAAATCATTAAAAAGCTCGAGATTTCAGCACTTTCATAAACAAGCGTCACGTGTATCTCTTCCATTGAAATAAACCACTGCCCTTTTCGATTTAGTGTCACGTAGTACAAAAAACTTTGTAACCATGACGGCAAATCACTGTCAGGTAGAGTACCGTAAGGAACCAATGATAATTAAAAAACCTTCAAATTGACCAAAACGCGGGAAAACGCAGGTGACTGAGGCGTGATTGGCTTACGTTTGCATCTGATTGGTTAAGAGAGTGGCGAGAGTTTTTTTGGGACCAATCACAAAGCGAAGTAAAGCAAGACTAATTCAGTCCCAGATTAGGTTCGGCACTCAAAGGGAAAGTAAACGACGATGTAAGAAACCGTGATTATACCAACAGATACAAGTTGGGTTAGTGAAAATCTAGGAAGTTTTGAGGAAAGAAATATTTCCAATAAAACATTGAATCAGGAATGAAATTACGCACTTATAGATAAATGCTGTTTAATTTATTTCGCTTTTCATTATTTAAAGCCACGGTGCTCGCCTTGCCAACTTTTCTTATTTTCCTTACGCTCATTTCCGGATACTACGCTAGAGGTATTTTTTTTTGTGAAAGTGATGTCTACGATTCCTTCAAGGTGATAGGGCTTTCGGAAAGTGCACTCACCAAACAGGGCCTGTATCTGTTGAGTATCATCCCTGCTCAGCTTGTAGTCCGGCAGATAACCTTTATACCAGGGGTACATAATGGACTCCTGATTGCGGGAGTGCTTCAGACCCATAGTGTGTCCAAGTAGATGAACCGCCGCCCAGTATAAGTTGATGCCGTTGTCTGTTCCTGTGGTGAATGTTTCATCGTCATCAAAATGGACCTCAACAGGTAAATCTGAAAAAAATATGGCAATAAATGAGTGAATAGTATTAAATTAGGCTTATTTCGGGATGCTACAATTGCTGCAAACGTAACGGCCAAAAATCGACGAATCTTTTTTATTTTTTACACGGTAACTATTTGTTCTTTCTAAGTTTAGATTAGACCATCTTCGCTCATGTTTGGGACCATGGGGCATCAATCATGGACCTCCACCGGACTCTATTAGGGCAGTCCTCTTTCTTCCTCCATCTGATGCTATTTTCAGCGAGCTTGTATCGGACACCGCTGTTCTTTATAAAACATGCCAAAATTCTCAAACTATTTGCTTTGACCCGAGTTACTAATACTGTGACATTTCATAGAAAAAGTTACCGACTGAGCTTAGGGTAGTGAATCCAAAAAGGTGGAGAAATTTAGAGGTTGATTGATTGTCCAGTTTCTGGTGTAGAGTCAAAACGGAAGCAATTTGGACATTACAATTTTTTTTTCGGATTAGTTCTTTTTTTTATAAACCCGAAGCTAAAAAAACTAATATTGACATGTTTTATATGAATGAATGGAGATTTGTTGGCTTTCTGTTAGGGACCATAAGGCTTTTTATATTCTTATGATCCCTTTCTTTCATTGGCAGTTAGTTGGCAGTCAGTCCCCCCCTTTAATACTGTGTTAGTGGCGAATGATCACCCCTCCGTTGAAAACCATGCCACATCATCCACAAACTCCCCCCCTCTCCCCAGGCCACTAGTCCTTTATTGCTAAGATACACCACCCAGAGAAAAAAAAAAAACGTTTCTCTCACCCTTGCTGGAATCTGGATAAAACACGTGTCCGAATGTTCCTCCTTTTCCATCAAATGGGTACGGATCACTATGTGATCCTTTCACAAATCGAACAAGAACTTTGCTCTTTTGGTCATCTTGAGTCGAGCGCTTCGTAACTCGGCATCTTGATCCGGCTGGAACATAAATCGCCAAACGTCGCAACAATCTGCTCAGCAATGAAATTTGTCCCCCAGCATATGGGTGGGACATAATTGTTGAGATCATTTCCTGAGATGGAAAAAGGAGTTGTTTACCTTACATAACATCTTGACGATTTCCAACTTGTGAGATTCTAACACCTCGCTAATACGCCTTTATTGTTTAGGTGTTTATTCCTTTCATTTTTACTCATCGCTCGTTGATCAACGAGGAAACAGATAATTTAATTGCATGTAGTTATGTTTTTCATGTCACGCAATCTACGTCGAAAGGATCACACAACGAATCAAAGGAACCTATGTCTTGGTGCCAATCTTGAGCCCAGGGTCATTAAGCTCCTTGCCAGCGGTATTTTCGGGGACCATACCGCTGACGAGGAGCCGAAATGACCCCGATATTGTCTTCGTGTCTGTCTACTTGCAAGCTTATCTTTCTCTCTCTCTTGTTTAGGTCTTACGTACCCCTCGAGCTGCACAAAACAGGTCCACGTATCTTTGAAAGTAAACAGAACGTTTGTTTTTTCCTTTTTTCTCTTCATGTCGGTGTGGCTCGTCGTTTTTCTCCACATTTCCACATCGAGGAATGACAAACATTTTTTTGGTGTCGAAATCCAATTCCCCGGTGACACTTAACCCAGCCATGCGCTGTACGTTTGAGATCATTTCGGTAAAGTTGTTGTCTTGTCCTGGTTTAAAAACCTTGTACTTTTTCATCCATTCCTACAAATGGGATTAACGTTTTGGTTTAAAGAGTTAGATTGAACACTGACCATGGCTTAGTATACGCCTGACACATCAGTTTCTCAAGGGTGGAGAGGCGGGGGGGTTGGATTCTTAGGAAGCGCGTGACCCCCATTTTTGGATAATAAAGCAAACGGAACACATAGTCTAACTGAATGCAATCGAGTCAGCCCCAGTAAGCTCAGCACGGAAACTTAAACACAATGGCATACTTACTTGTGCTGTAATTCTCTAACGCAGACCAAATTTATAGTGCGAAGGGAGGGGGGGAGGGAGTCTAACATCATATATGGGGGCATGACAGGCTGGGTTAGTATGTAATTAATGCGCTTATCGAGTGAAGGGAAATACCAACACCTGTAAAATATTAATTAATTCGCTGACGGGGTGAAAACGACTCAAAATGAACCCGTTGAACTTGGTTGGAATTAATATTAGTCAAAAACTGTCTGAGAATGTTACAGAACATTTACCAGGTAGTAGACATACGAAATCAAGGTTTTGGTGTGGTTTCAATGGGAAACAGTTTCCCAGTTGAAATGTGGCGGTGCAGTGTTATCATGTTGACCTCTCAAAAGAGTTGTTTAATTTGCGTCGAAAAAGTCTAAATTTGATTTTCGCACCTTTTAATGAAGTTTTTTTTTTTCTCATATTTATCTGCAGTTAGTATCTAACATAAATATTTTGTAGGCGAGGACCGCTGTTGAATTTACCTGGTCTAAGTGCAAAGTGTACTTCATCGAGAGTGAAACATCGTGCCCTAGACCCTTTTTCAATGATCTCAAAAGGAATCCATTAACGATCAGATCTCGGGTAGTTTCTATTTCGTTCAACAGTTTTTAAATTCTTTGAGGCTTCATCGGTAATTTGCTCTTAATTTAGCAGATAATGCGCGATAAACTATCTTAAGACAGCTTTTTTAGAGTCTCTTATCAGGAGTATAAGTTTCGGCCAAGTAATTTAATCAACGCGTGCAATCAAAACTATAAATGTTTTCTAATTTACAAACCTCAAAGCACGCCTCAGCTATGTTTAAGAGCCAAATATCTTGGAATTGCACTACACAACAATTGCACAAAACTTTACTGAAACATCTCTGTAGTTAGTGAACTAGCAAAGCACAACCGACCATATGGGCCAAAGATATCAGAGGATAAATTTCTTGGAGTTGATCTGAGAAAGAGATAACGATTTTAGTCCGATCTGTTTTTAATTGCAGCGCGCGTGCTTCGATTCCATTTAAAATAGTCTGTTGCTTTTATGGGTTCTGAGAATAAATCAGAGTCTCAAGAGAGATTTTTCTGTAAGACTGCAAACGACTTCTAGATCCTCATAGCTGTCTGATGTAACGTTTTAAGTTTTCCTTTTCGTACTGCTAATGGCTCAAAAATTTAGTCTTTTAAATAACGCTAAATAAACTGGAGTGAACTTCACAACATATGAGACCTTAGGCAATCAGAACGAAAACGCCGAGGAAGACGTCAATTTATAATAAATTTCGCGAATGGCTGGATGAGGTTACTGTCTGTAACGGCGCCACACCTCAACTTCAGTAAACGTATCTGAACAGCTTAGGGTTCCAAATGGAAAATTAAATAATCTGCCGTCTGCCCATCTGTCCCCAGACTACGCAAATTTTGACGATTTCACATTGCTGTTTTGCAAAGGACGGCTAAGAAATGTAAAAAGTTTTAAAACGCACGTGCTGAGCTATTTTTCTCCCCATTAAATCTTTTGTTTTACCACGTCCTCGTTGGCGTCGCCGTTGTGGTTTCTTAAAAATATCCTAATATTATCTTACCAGAGCTGTTTCGTATGTGACTGAATCAACGACTTCTTTGGGGGGTTTACTCGAGTCAGCCAACGGAAGTGGTGCCCCCAATGTACATCGACTGCACCAAGTACTAAGGAGAAAAGCGGCAGCGATGACAAGCCACTTAAAACTGAAACCTCGGGTTTTCATCGAAATGCTCGCGGAATTCATCATTCTCTCAACAAGGCCAATTGCGCTGAGATTAAAATTCGTAGAAACTGTTAGTTCTACTCTTAAATGTACTTGCTGTGTTGCAATTTACAACTGAAGACTTAGAACTTACAAATGAAGCGAGAAAATCCAGTAAACGACGAAAGTCTGAGCAGATCTGCAAGGGGGCATTCAAAACAACAGATGCACTTCAAGTGACACCTGAAGTGCGGAACGCTTCATATCTTTCAGGATGTAGATATCTAATGAAAACATCTGATTCAAGTTTATTTTTTTTTTTAATCGTGCCGAAGCTCCGTAAAAACATTCCAGGTTATCTGTAACCAAACACGAAACTTGTTTTGTTTTCTGATTTTGAACAGTACAGAAATGCTGACCGCCAACAAAGTCGTGCTTGTTAGAGGAAAGGATTTCTCCCTGGGTGGGGTTTAAAGCCCCTGTCCTTTCCCGATGGTAGAGATTACTAAGGTATATTTTAAGCGCGGTACTTCACGACGTAGTCTGAATAAAAAAGACATAGTGGTCAGCACATCTTCGAAAAGTGAGGATTTTAGGCTTTTTCAAATAGTTGGTGAGAGATATTTAGGACGATGATGTGTTTTCGCACTTCCTCTCTTAATCCTAATTTATGGGATCAGGAATGGCACAGTGGTGATAAAGCTCGCCCCCTACCACCGTGGCCTGAGTTCGATTTCTGGACCAGATGGATTGAGTTTGTTGTTGGTTCGAGGGTTCTTCCCCAGGTCCTCCGCTTTCCCTTTCTCTACAAAGATCAACATTTCAAATTTCAATTCGAGCTAGAAACAGCAGACAAGAAGAGCCGCCCCGTGGAGTGTCCACTGCTGCATCCCGTTTATTACTTATTTATTTATTATCGAGATTAATATTAACAGGAAGAGAAGATAGATGTAGAAACCGATCTCCCTCTTAGCCCCAGTCCGCGCGGCTATCCACACAAGTTTGACTTTCGCGCGGATCATACAAATACAAAGTGTGAGCTCAAGTTGAAATGCAATCGCTGGTAAAGTTCTTATGCCGTATTCTAAAATCGTCAGGTAAATCGCCCTTTCTTATGTTATTAGTATTTCCTATGTTATTTCCAATTTTGTAATTAGTCATTCCATTCTTAATGTACTATGTTCGTAATACTTTACTTAGAAACCACTGGCAATGGCGTGTAAATAGAAAAGTTCGGTCGAGTCGTCAGGAAATGAAACTCCTCTTAAATTTATTGCTGATCCGTTGGTTATAAGAGGTGAGAGAAAACTTCATCAGAGAAATACTGAATCGATCCCAGGCAGTATTCTTAAGTACTTAATTACTAGCGAGTAGTTAGGGAGAGTCAACTTAGGATCTTTGCAGTCAAAAGAGGACTTCTACAGTACTGCTTATAGGGGTTTGCTCATTTTGGGGGTGCAATGCATGCTGGGACCTTGCGTCGATTCACGGTGAGTTTCTCTGCTGATTATACACTGCTGGACTACTATTTCACTGGAGATGGTAAGGAAGGACTGGGCAAGGCAAAGGATGCACGTAGCGAGTAAGTATCGCCTAGTCGCAGGTTGGTAGCGAGGAGGTTTAATTTTATTACCAGGAATCGAAGGAATGTGAGTCAAATAAATGGAATTGTTTTGTACTTCCGAAAGGAATAACACACACATTCTTCTACCAGTGCCGTTACATCGCGCATCTGTTCTTTCAGCGGTGTACAAAATTACTGGCAACGAAAGAAAGCGACAGAAACAACTCTGGGCCATTTTTTTATTAAATCTTTTTTCGTACAAAGTCCTTTGTTTAAAGATAATTTTTAAGCGATTGTTTTGAGTTTTTTTTGTCCCCATTTAATAAAACTTTTATTAATTTATTGATGTATTTAGTACATTTAGAAACTGTTCGCCAGCAATATTTCAGATAAAAAATATTTTTTCTTGACAAATGACAAATATTAAGAATTACTTTTGTAATTTACCGCTTTACCACCACTTTAATCTACCTCAGTCAAAACCATTGAATCAATGTTAGGCCCTCAATGAAAAAGACAGCTGAAGCAACCCGCGCATGCTCTGAACATGCATCAGTTCTCCCTTAATGGCGTCATCTTAATACATGTTAAATAGTCTTTTTTCCTATGGCGGTCGTTATTATTATTTAATCAGTCAAGCTCCTAAAACGGAGGACCATGGTTAGATGTAAGACACTGCAGTAGACACCCACAATTTAAATTGAAATCCGGTTCCCAGAAACTTACAATCTCTTAACCCTTTAACTCCCATGGGTGACCAAGACAGAATTTCTCCTTACAATATTAATACAATATTAAGCGGGTAAGTGCTGAGAATAAAGTAAAATATCAATTAGGAAGTTTAAGTTGATCCAATACCAAATTCTCCAACTAACATCATTAGAACTGTATAGCGGACGGTAAGGAGAGTTGGGAGTAAGCACGACGGAAGTCCTATATGGTTACTTACAAAAAAAGAAAAAAAATTGGAGAGGAATTAAGTTTTTCTTTTTAGGATATCATTCCGTGTGTATGCACCTTGCCGAACGTCCCGTGACTAAGCCTAGTGAGTAACCCTGCCCAATCATACTGATAACTTTGCATTTTGGTTAGTATTGTGTTCACTCGGGTTTGAAAAAGAAAAAAGCTTGCTTTATCTATCACGACTATCTCGTGTTATCGTTTATGGATGAACTCTGCCATATTTCAACCTGCTTGCTATGAACTGTTGTTGTTGTTTTTGTTGTTGTCTTGTACGCGGGTCATTAATGCGAAGGCGTCTAAGTTTCCCTATTTGCATCTTTAAACGCAAGTCATATCTCTGCAATGAATCACTCACCTATTTCAAATTAGAATGGAACAAACCAGAGTTGGATCACTGGCTCCTCATTATGTCAATAAATATAATCACATTTTAAAGATATAAATACAAATCATATGTTGGATTCTCTGGTATTTTCTAGTTTCTTAACTAGTTCGTCGACATTATGATGTTTAAATGAGATAATTGAACCGAAAGAAGATGATGGTCTCTTCAATTTCTTGTCTTCTCTCCTTTTCTTGGGTTCTTTTGAGGGTTTTTCGTCTTTGTCTAGGTTGAGCCTTCGGTAGTTTTCTTGGAAGCCCAGCAGTATTGGAATACAGCCCGCACATGCTCCAAACATGCACCAGTTCATCCATTCGGTTCCTGAAGATGGAAGACAAGCGATTGACCAAGTCAGAATGTTTACAGAATATTTCCATGTGTGTCGCTGAATTAGTAATAAACCCAAGAAAATCGCAATAAACGGGTTCCGTATTAATCACAAAGGGGACAAAACAGTACGGGTAGGATTGTGAGGAAAAAATTAAGACACTGGCAGAAAACGTGGTAAATAGCGTAGCTATTTCCTCGCTCCCAAAATGTTGCTTTGTAATTCAGTTGGTAGTAACGCCTAGCTGGTATTCAGCAGGAACGTGTTCAATTCCCCTCGAAGCCTGATTTTTTTTAGCGATTTTCTCTTCTGCAATAACTTAAAATATAGTTAACTTGTGAAGATCAATTTAATACCAGACAAATTTTCCTCAATTTACTTTTACTTACCGACTTTAGGCACCATCAAGACGAGCAGGAAGATAACAGTAAAAGTGTTATTAATGATAGTCAAAGCTCCTGTGGTGACTCCTTCCGCTACTGGGTAAGTGGACTCTACCGTCAGCTCATAGAACAGAGGAATAGTACCACTGACGAAAAATCCTCCTAAAATACTGGATTTGTATAGGGCAGCTGAAATATCAAAAGTACCAGACTTGTGATGAGTATTCTTTTTAATGAGTATTCTTTTTAAAAAATTTCTATAAGCGATCCGCTATCGATGTTCAGTTAATACTCGTCGGTTAAAAAGTAAAGACAAAACTGTTACAACATTTGTCACAGAGGATGAAGTAACAAGGCACTACAGCTGTACTATTGTCTTTGTGACAACTAAATTAAGGTCTTCATTCCAAATAATTACATTTGCATTCTTTTACAGACAAAGCTTTTAAGGTTTTCTTTCTTACCGTCATCATATGCTATCATCCTCAGACAAAGAAGCGAGAACCATAAGAAACAACCTGCGGCTCCGAAGAACAGAACGAGCAGAAGGAGTTTCATTTTGCCGCCAAACAGATCTGCGCATCTCGCCAGGATTAAACCTGCTCCAATACCAGCTAATGTGGCGTAAAAACCGATCCAACCCGCCTCGTGCTGAAAGAAAATAAGAAAATCGTAAATCGAATGAGAAAGACACACTGGCGTGATGTGTGGCGTGCTGATCAAGAACTTCGCGTTCGCCAAGGTCATTGGGCATACTTTTCTCTTTCTGTGCCTCTCTCCACTAAAAAAATCTATGGATACCAGCTATGGAATGGGATTCCCCCTTAGGGGGGCAGTAACGCCCCTTCGCACCTCACGCAAAGGAAACTGGGTGGGCGCCGGCGGTGTAGACCTCTGGGTTTGCCGTGTGAGTCCTTGACTGGACTTGTTTATCAATAATATAAACGCTAATCGGTATCATTCTATTCGCTAGCTCGGAAACAATTAACCATGCTAAAGATGGGTAGATTGATAGCCTAAGACTACCCTTTTTCTCAAATTTATCTGCAGTTAGTATCTAACCTAAATACTTTGTAGAAAACTGTCTGAGAATGAGAATGTTACAGAACATTTACCAGGTAGTAGACATACGAAATCAAGGTTTTGGTGTGGTTTCAATGGGAAACAGTTTCCCAGTTGAAATGTGGCGGTGCAGTGTTATCATGTTGACCTCTCAAAAGAGTTGTTTAATTTGCGTCGAAAAAGTCTAAATTTGATTTTCGCACCTTTTAATGAAGTTTTTTTTTCTCATATTTATCTGCAGTTAGTATCTAACATAAATATTTTGTAGGCGAGGACCGCTGTTGAATTTACCTGGTCTAAGTGCAAAGTGTACTTCATCGAGAGTGAAACATCGTGCCCTAGACCTTTTTTCAATGATCTCAAAAGGAATCCATTAACGATCAGATCTCGGGTAGTTTCTATTTCGTTCAACAGTTTTTAAATTCTTTGAGGCTTCATCGGTAATTTGCTCTTAATTTAGCAGATAATGCGCGATAAACTATCTTAAGACAGCTTTTTTAGAGTCTCTTATCAGGAGTATAAGTTTCGGCCAAGTAATTTAATCAACGCGTGCAATCAAAACTATAAATGTTTTCTAATTTACAAACCTCAAAGCACGCCTCAGCTATGTTTAAGAGCCAAATATCTTGGGATTGCACTACACAACAATTGCACAAAACTTTACTGAAACATCTCTGTAGTTAGTGAACTAGCAAAGCACAACCGACCATATGGGCCAAAGATATCAGAGGATAAATTTCTTGGAGTTGATCTGAGAAAGAGATAACGATTTTAGTCCGATCTGTTTTTAATTGCAGTGCGCGTGCTTCGATTCCATTTAAAATAGTCTGTTGCTTTTATGGGTTCTGAGAATAAATCAGAATCTCAAGAAAGAGATTTTTCTGTAAGACTACAAACGACTTCTAGATCCTCATAGCTGTCTGATGTAACGTTTTAAGTTTTCCTTTTCGAACTGCTAACGGCTCAAAAATTTAGTCTTTTAAATAACGCTAAATAAACTGGAGTGAACTTCACAACATATGAGACCCTAGGCAATCAGAACGAAAACGCCGAGGAAGACGTCTATTTAAAAATGAATTTCGCGAATGGCTGGATGAGGTTACTGTCTGTAACGGCGCCACACCTCAACTTCAGTAAACGTATCTGAACAGCTTAGGGTTCCAAATGGAAAATTAAATAATCTGCCGTCTGCCCTTCTGTCCCCAGACTACGCAAATTTTGACGATTTCACATTGCTGTTTTGCAAAGGACGGCTAAGAAATGTAAAAAGTTTTAAAACGCACGTGCTGAGCTATTGTTCTCCCCTTTAAATCTTTTGTTTTACCACGTCCTCGTTGGCGTCGCCGTTGTGGTTTCTTAAAAATATCCTAATATTATCTTACCAGAGCTGTTTCGTATGTGACTGAATCAACGACTTCTTTGGGGGGTTTACTCGAGTCAGCCAACGGAAGTGGTGCCCCCAATGTACATCGACTGCACCAAGTACTAAGGAGCAAAACGGCAGCGATGACAAGCCACTTAAAACTGAAACCTCGGGTTTTCATCGAAATGCTCGCGGAATTCATCATTCTCTCAACAAGGCCAATTGCGCTGAGATTAAAATTCGTAGAAACTGTTAGTTCTACTCTTAAATGTACTTGCTGTGTTGCAATTTACAACTGAAGACTTAGAACTTACAAATGAAGCGAGAAAACCCAGTAAACGACGAAAGTCTGGGCAGATCTGCAAGGGGGCATTCAAAACAACAGATGCACTTCAAGTGACACCTGAAGTGCGGAACGCTTCATATCTTTCAGGATGTAGATATCTAATGAAAACATCTGATTCAAGTTTAATTTTAATCATGCCGAAGCTCCGTAAAAACATTCCAGGTTATCTGTCACCAAACACAAAACTTGTTTTGTTTTCTGATTTTGAACAGTACAGAAATGCTGACCGCCAACAAAGTCGTGCTTGTTAGAGGAAAGGATTCCTCCCTGGGTGGGGTTTAAAGCCCCTGTCCTTTCCCGATGGTAGAGATTACTAAGGTATATTTTAAGCGCGGTACTTCACGACGTAGTCTGAATAAAAAAGACATAGTGGTCAGCACATCTTCGAAAAGTGAGGATTTTAGGCTTTTTCAAATAGTTGGTGAGAGATATTTAGGACGATGATGTGTTTTCGCACTTCCTCTCTTAATCCTAATTTATGGGATCAGGAATGGCACAGTGGTGATAAAGCTCGCCCCCTACCATCGTGGCCTGAGTTCGATTTCTGGACCAGATGGATTGAGTTTGTTGTTGGTTCGAGGGTTTTTCCCCAGGTCCTTCGCTTTTCCTTCCTCTACAAAGACCAACATTCTAAATTCCAATTCGAGTTAGAAACAGCAGACAAGAAGAGCCACCCCGTGGAGTGTCCACTGCTGCATCCCGTTTATTACTTATTTATTTATTATCGAGATTAATATTAACAGGAAGAGAAGATAGATGTAGAAACCGATCTCCCTCTTAGCCCCAGTCCGCGCGGCTATCCACACAAGTTTGACTTTCGCGCGGATCATGCAAATACAAGGTGTGAGCTCAAGTTGAAATGCAATCGCAGGTAAAGTTCTCATGTCGTATTCTAAAATCGTCAGGTAAATCGCCCTTTCTTATGTTATTAGTATTTCCTATGTTATTTCCAATTTTGTAATTAGTCGTTCCATTCTAAATGTGCTATGTTCGTAATACTTTGCTTAGAAACCACTGTGGCGTGTAAATAGAAAGTTCGGTCGAGTTGTCAGGAAATGAAACTCCTCTTAAATTTATTGTTGATCTGTTAGTTATAAGAGGTGAGAGAAAACTTCATCAGAGAAATACTGAATCGATCCCAGGTAGTATTCTTAAGTACTAAATTACTAGCGAGTAGTTAGGAAGAGTCAACTTAAGATCTTTGCAATCAAAAGAGGACTTCTATACTATTGCTTATAGGAGTTTGCTCATTTTGGGGGTGCAATGCATGCTGGGACCTTGCGTCGATTCACGGTGAGTTTCTCTGCTGATTATACACTGCTGGACTACTATTTCACTGGAGATGGTAAGGAAGGACTGGGCAAGGCAAAGGATGCACGTAGCGAGTAAGTATCGCCTAGTCGCAGGTTGGTAGCGAGGAGGTTTAATTTTATTACCAGGAATCGAAGGAATGTGAGTCAAATAAATGGAATTGTTTTGTACTTCCGAAAGGAATAACACACACATTCTTCTACCAGTGCCGTTACATCGCACATCTGTTCTTTCAGCGGTGTACAAAATTACTGGCAACGAAAGAAAGCGACAGAAACAACTCTGGGCCATTTTTTTATTAAATCTTTTTTCGTACAAAGTCCTTTGTTTAAAGATAATTTTTAAGCGATTGTTTTGAGTTTTTTTTGTCCCCATTTAATAAAACTTTTATTAATTTATTGATGTATTTAGTACATTTAGAAACTGTTCGCCAGCGATATTTCAGATAAAAAATTTTTTTTTTTGACAAATGGCAAATATTAAGAATTACTATTGTAATTTACCGCTTTACCATGGACCATGGTTAGATGTAAGACACTGCAGTAGACACCCACAATTTAAATTGAAATCCGGTTCCCAGAAACTTACAATCTCTTAACCCTTTAACTCCCATGAGTGACCAAGACAGAATTTCTCCTTACAATATTAATACAATATTAAGCGGGTAAGTGCTGAGAATAAAGCAAAATATCAATTAGGAAGTTTAAGTTGATCCAATACCAAATTCTCCAACTAACATCATAAGAACTGTATAGCGGACGGTAACGAGAGTTGGGAGTAAGCGCGACGGAAGTCCTATATGGTTACTTACAAAAAAAGAAAAAAAATTGTAGAGGACTTAAGTTTTTCTTTTTAGGATATCATTCCGTGTGTATGCACCTTGCCGAACGTCCCGTGACTAAGCCTCGTGAGTAACCCTGCCCAATCATACTGATAACTTTGCATTTTGGTTGGTATTGTGTTCACTCGGGTTTGAAAAAGAAAAAAGCTTGCTTTATCTATCACGACTATCTCGTGTTATCGTTTATGGATGAACTCTGCCATATTTCAACCTGCTTGCTATGAACTGTTGTTGTTGTTTTTGTTGTTGTCTTGTACGCGGGTCATTGATGCAAAGGCGTCTAAGTTACCCTATTTGCATCTTTAAACGCAAGTCATATCTCTGCAATGAATCACTCACCTATTTCAAATTAGAATGGAACAAACCAGAGTTGGATCACTGGCTCCTCATTATGTCAATAAATATAATCACATTTTAAAGATATAAATACAAATCATATGTTGGATTCTCTGGTATTTTCTAGTTTCTTAACTAGTTCGTCGACATTATGATGTTTAAATGAGATAATTGAACCGAAAGAAGATGATGGTCTCTTCAATTTCTTGTCTTCTCTCCTTTTCTTGGGTTCTTTTGAGGGTTTTTCGTCTTTGTCTAGGTTGAGCCTTCGGTAGTTTTCTTGGAAGCCCAGCAGTATTGGAATACAGCCCGCACATGCTCCAAACATGCACCAGTTCATCCATTCGGTTCCTGAAGATGGAAGACAAGCGATTGACCAAGTCAGAATGTTTACAGAATATTTCCATGTGTGTCGCTGAATTAGTAATAAACCCAAGAAAATCGCAATAAACGGGTTCCGTATCAATCACAAAGGGGACAAAACAGTACGGGTAAGATTGTGAGGAAAAAATTAAGACACTGGCAGAAAACGTGGTAAATAGCGTAGCTATTTCCTCGCTCCCAACATGTTGCTTTGTAATTCAGTTGGTAGTAACGCCCAGCTGGTATTCAGCGGGAACGTGTTCAATTCCCCTCGAAGCCTGATTTTTTTTAGCGATTTTCTCTTCTGCAATTATTTAAAATATAGTTAACTTGTGAAGATCAATTTAATACCAGACAAATTTTCCTCAATTACTTTTACTTACCGACTTTAGGCACCATCAAGACGAGCAGGAAGATAACAGTAAAAGTGTTATTAATGATAGTCAAAGCTCCTGTGGTGACTCCTTCCGCTACTGGGTAAGTGGACTCTACCGTCAGCTCATAGAACAGAGGAATAGTACCACTGACGAAAAATCCTCCTAAAATACTGGATTTGTACAAGGCAGCTGAAATATCAAAAGTACCAGACTTGTGATGAGTATTCTTTTTAAACAATTTCTATAAGTGATCCGCTATCGATGTTCAGTTAATACTTGTCGGTTACAAAGTAAAGACAAAACTGTTACAACATTTGTCACAGAGGATGAAGTGACAAGGCACTACAACTGTACCATTTTCCTTGTGAAAACTAAATTAAAGTCTTCATTCCAAATAATTACATTTGCATTTTTTACAGACAATGCTTCTAAGGTTTTCGTTCTTACCGTCATCATATGCTATCATCCTCAGACAAAGAAGCGAGAACCACAAGAAACAACCTGCGGCTCCGAAGAACAGAACGAGCAGAAGGAGTTTCATTTTGCCGCCAAACAGATCTGCGCACCTTGCCAGGATTAAACCTGCTCCGATACCAGCTAATGTGGCGTAAAAACCGATCCAACCCGCCTCGTGCTGAAATAAAATAAGAAAATCGTAAATCGAATGAGAAAGACACACTGGCGTGATGTGTGGCGTGCTGATCAAGAACTTCGCGTTCGCCAAGGTCATTGGGCATACTTTTCTCTTTCTGTGCCTCTCTCCACTAAAAAATCTATGGATACCAGCTATGGAATGGGATTCCCCCTTAGGGGGGCAGTAACGCCCCTTCGCACCTCACGCAAAGGAAACTGGGTGGGCGCCGGCGGTGTAGACCTCTGGGTTTGCCGTGTGAGTCCTTGACTGGAATTATTAATTAATAATATAAACGCCAATCGGTATCATTCTATTGCTAGCTCGGAAACAATTAACCATGCTAAAGATGGGTAGATTGATAGCCTAAGACTACCCTAAAACTAAGCTATCAGTTTTGTGATAGAGGCAAAACAGCGAGTAGGAGTTTATTTTTCTTAAAGTCCTAAACCTCTCCCGGCTTCGCCACTCGTTTCCACAGCTCCGCAGCAAAGCGCACACAAACTACCGGCTACGGAGATTAGAAGATGGACTCACAAAACGTTCTGTCTTCCAGGAAATCGTTTGACCGACATGAACTCACCTGTCCGATGGAAAAGGTCTCTAGATTAACTGCTAGGGAGGCACCCCAACCACTGTACACACCTGCATATGAGAGCAAAGACAGCTCACTAAATCAAATATTGATCATTGGTGGCGTAAAATTCAGAATTGGAGAAAATCGCCAGTTACTCATCTTTCAAATAAAATAAAACTTGAAAGACATTCACATTTCACTAGTTTAGGTCAGCATGGAGTAACAAAAACGTGTAACCAGTACCCTTTATATTAGTGGCGTTAGTTTAGAGCTGAGCGCAGGTTTTCTTGTCGCGCCATTTTAGTGACAAGCTTGGTAAAATATTACCTACTCTTCATACTGTTCTCTCCTAGAACAGTATGAAGACCTTGCTTGTTGACCAAGCAACTATTTCATATGCTATTTAAGTATGACACAGGATTCCATGAGTCTTAGGGTTTGTACTTACCAGTTGTGACTCCGTAAACCAATGCAAGAGTCCAGAACTGCTTGTTCCTGTGTTATAAACAAATAATTAGCCTTTTCCTTCGACGTAAAGTCAGTGCTCGAGTAAAAGATCAACTCTTAGACGAACAATTCTCGACAAGGCTAAATGTAAATTGCGAAATATAGAATTTTCAGGCCAGTTAAGTGAAAGAAGCACATGCAAACTTGCGAGACTACGAGGGGCTTCACGCTTGCACGAAGAGGGGCACATAAAAAATGAGCGGATTGCAAGTGGAAAAGGATAAATACGAAAACAGAGCGCAGTGTAGGGTTTAACCCTTAACATCAGTATGTAAATTCTCAATACTGTTCTCTGAGGTGCTGCCAAGGAGAATTTGTCTACGAATCACGAGCCCCGTTGTGGGCGATCAATTCCTTTATTCTTGTGATTTTAAGGTGCGATTCACGGGTGATACTTTTGGAAGAAATTAGATGATTATCACTCTTGGGAGTCGAAGGGTTAAGAACCGGGTCAGTAAGGAAAAGGTGGTATCTTACTTAAATATCTGTTTGGCGCCAGCAAAGAAGTCCTCTCGTTTTCTTCTCGCTGATTTACTTGGCGGTAGAGGAGGTTTGTTTGGGAAGTACATACAGACTAACAGGAAAAGAAACATAACTACGCCACACTCTGTAAAAAGAAAAAAAAATGATTAAATTAGCAAATGTACAAGCAGGCTTGATAAAAAATAATCAATGCTGATTTTGTAAACTGAAGCTAACTCACCAACATATAGTAACGTCATGATTTCTTTTTTTCCGTCCTTGAGTAGTCGCTGTTTAGCTGAAACAAGGGAGAACAAAGGAATGAAACAAACATGTAACAGAAGTGTTCAAAATAAAAGTAATGATGACGATGATTACAACAACTGTAATAATGGTAAAAGTAGTAGAAAAGAAATACGTGATTGAAACAAATTTTATAACTAATGCCGGTTTTTCCTTTGTTTCTGTCAGATATCAAGAACATTACAGTTCATATCTGACAAAATACATTTTGTGATAACAACGCGGAAGAGGTTTCCACTAACAGGAGATCAGCACTAAAACGTTTTAGATGGACGAGGACACCGTCCAGCACTAGCGCCGAAAACACGAGTCGTGGTCGCTTAAAATTCCTTGCTATGCAAGACAATTCCTTGCTATGCACCACAGTAATATGCAATGCTAACTTCTGGAAACAAAGGCAAACTTTGACAGGCATCAGCGAATTTGCGTGGTTCACAAACCTCTCAAACTTCCGAAACTGATTGACAAGTAACCGTGTGCAATGCCAATACTAAATCGAGAAAACAGGTCGTGGAGCTTAACAGACTGGACAGATGAAGGTTATCATATTGATGTAACAAAAAAACTCTCCTAATGATTTTACAGGGTCATGTATCTGAGCTGGAGGGGAGAGTGACAAATTTGACCCTTGGAGTCAAAACTACTGATAAGAGTCGAAACACACCTTCTTCTAAATCGGGAGTTATCCCGATGCCTGCAGTTCGTTGATAAATAGCTTCAATTTCCCTGGGATGAAGCTTTCTTTCCCACACTGCTAACTCGTCATACGCAGCTTTTGAAAAAGCATAGACATTATTTGGTCTTCCGAGAGTGAACATCGTGAAATAACTCCTCTCGAGTTTGGTGGTTTTCCCCTTTGGGTCCCCACCCACATAAGAACCATTCGAGTAAATCACAAGTCCTTCACGCTCGTCCCACGTGAACGTCACGTGCGTCCAATTGCTACGTGGCACGGAGAAGCTTCGTTTCCATAGCACCGTGCCGTTTTCTACTTTAATGGCCAAGTGGTCTTCCTTGTCGTAAGGAAAATCTTGATAAATTAAAAATCCTTTAAGACCATCTCTGTTTCCGCTGGTCCCCATGAAATACTGCAGACCGTTAGCGTCCAAGATTTCATATTTCATCCACAGCGCAACGGTAAAACCATTCGGGCACAGGGACGGGTCACTCACACAAGTGTTTATAAAAGGGCCAAGATTTACCCAAGCGCTTTTACCGTCAGTCATTAAACTCTGATTGACGACACCTTGTTCAGTGGTGCATTCATTGAATAAAAGTCCCTCCTTGTTCGTTTTAAATTCCCTGAGTCCTTTGTTGATTGTAACTCTCCTATAATCGTCAGGATTTCGTAAATTGGTGCTATTTTCCTTCCTGTCTTTTCTGATGGACTGGACATTTTGAATGCTGATGTTCAGATTGTCCAAAGGCCAATAGTACATAGCATCTCGGTATATAGATTCTAAAAGCCAACAAAATAAAAAAAAAGTTAATTCAAAGAATGCTCCTTCGGGCTACCACTGAGAAGGATGAAAAAAAGAGTTATTGTCTTTGAGTAAATAGGCTTTATCGTTTGTCACTCGATGTAATGACTTCCAATTAGGATCGCGACGTTCCGACTACTTAGGGCAAGTTCCCGGCTTTCAGGCGATGAAGTCGAATGGTTTACATAGGATGACTCTCGACTCTTAAAACCCCGAGAATTACAAGCATCTAATTTCTCTTTACTTTAAATCTTCTGATTGTTAACTTTAAACTTGAAAATCAAGGTAGCTCACACAAAGTTTTTAAAACTTTGCAAAAAACCGATTCATGTTTTGTTGATAACAACTATCCTGTCTTGCCGTTGAGCAGTTTCGTTTCTTACCTGAATATAAAGTGTTTCCATTGAGGTACAAATCTAAAGTATCACTATAAAAATCAAACCAACAAAAAGGATATTAAAGTCTGTTTAAACACAAAAGAATACTTCTTAATAAATTTTAAACATAAAGCTTGGCTCTAGAGCTACGAAATTTAGAGACGAAATTTTATTTATCAAAAGCGAGTGAATAGAGGTATGTAGGGAGAATTTTTAGTTTAATTCCGAGCTCTCCTTTAGGTACTCGATGCACAAACCAAATGGACAAATGCCTACGAAACATAAAAAAATCTTGGTAGCCCAAGCCTAAGCTATCTCTATCAGTCTATACGCAATATAGGCTTGCAAAGAAAGCTTTAAAAAATTAAAGGGGGTAAGTTTCTAAAGAGACTGTGGTACTGCGTCGCTGGGATAGTATAACAGGTAATTTAGTGTTAAGAACTGAGTTGAAAACGTAATTTGGCCACCGTAAAGAGTTTAAAGGTTGACGTTGCAAGCGATAGACGAAGGGCTAACGCTCGAAACGTCAGCCTTTAAACTCTTTACGGTGGACAATTTACGTTTCCAACTCAGTTGTTGACACTTACATTTAAAAAACTAATTTTTTTTATTCTTTTACAAATATCTTTTTTAATTACCTGAGATTTTTCGACACGTTGCCTCTATCCGGTATTAACCTATCCAACTCATATTTAACATCTGTGACAACTAATGGGCCTATCACAAAAGATATGGCAACACCTAGCGACCCACACAACGCCGCAACCGCTGTTGAAGTAGTCCGCTGCTCAGATGGGAACCAAGTTGATGACAGGAGCGTGGGCCCAGCTTGAGTGACAGGACCCGCCAAACCATTCAACAGTTGACCGGCGCCCATGGACCTTAGCATAATAGTAATAAAAAAGAAGTTATTTGAATCGAAGTGGCACTATGGTGAACTCGTGGATATAATATGCAGAATATAATTACAATAATCTGTATTTGCGCCGCAAGCCAGTGATTTGTGATTCCAAGAAACAAAATTGAGCCGTCATCTTGAGCCATTCCCCTCAAGTCAACATCCGGTCCGCCATCTTTAAATGCATTCTCTCCCCAGACCCTCTCCAAAGGCTGTGCTAACGCCACGCAAATTGCATATTGGGATCAATATCAGTATCTGGGTAGCTGCCCACCTACCCCTCCCCTAACCCAACCCTAACTTGTCATCAATTGACTGTTGTTGGGTTAGGGGAGGGGTAGGTGGGCAGTTGCCCAGATGCTGATATTGATCCGCATATTGAATCCCCACCTTACTCCTAACTGTGCTTCGCGTATCCGCGGGTGAAAAATGATGTTTCGAGCGTCCAAGGTAAGGGGAATGCCTTATGAGAATCACATTGTTTTGCCCAAGAATGACTCGCTGATCTGGAAAAGGTTCGAAGTAAGTTCGAGTCGAGCCTTCAGATCAGCGGTTTACCATGTTAACCATTAGGGTCATGGAAAAATTGAGGTGTAAAGGGTTAACTGTCAGCTCGTTGCTTACTCCTTATTGAAGATGCGGATATCGGAGAAAATTATATCCCCATCGAAAGGTTTCCAGCATACCGGTTGTTTGTAACTTAAGTTTAGTGACGAACTATTTTTGAAGAATTATTGACAATATTATCATCCTGGATGAAAAAAGAGCAAAATTCCACGAGTTTCGTTTTTGTGACAAATTATTTAGGTCACGACTCCCAAACTAAAGGAGACCATCTTCTTTTCCTTAAGCTGTGAAAAGAGAGAGCATGAATATTGCCGTCAAAAACCTTACCAGATAGCGTATGACGGATCTGACGTCACACATCTTAATGCTGTTCCAACGAACATAAACGCACAAGAAATAAGAACACTCCGTCTTAGTCCTATCAATCAAAAGGAACAGTGGCTGTTGACATCAATCAGATAACGCTTTGCGCTGGATAAATCTTTATCCGGTAGATAGTGCAGTAAGTTTTGTTAACACGTATCTGCTGGATAGCGTTAACTGCTCATTGAGCACCCAGATGTTAAGATGATTAGGTACATTCCCAAAGACTCCAAATTTTTTTCAAGTTTGACAAAGACGCGAGCTTAGTCGAACCGTTTAACAAGTGTTTCGGTTAAAGGACCCAACAAAAAATCCCTAATAGAAAGAAAAAACTTCCAAGAGTAAGAATCATGAAGTTAAATCATATTATGATATTCACAATTGGCAATACATGTATCCTATCGACTCTCCTGTTTTCCTATCACATTGGCTCAGCCAACCTCTCAGTTGAAGCAATATTTTCAAGAGTAAGAAACCAAGGGCAGACGGAAAGGGAGGAATCCAGGTGTGCAGGTGACCCTCCCCACTCTGAAATCAATATGAAATCGCTTTGGCTTGCCCCTCATAACATTCATAGGTTACAAAGAGTGCATTAACGTCTATCTGCCCTTGCTTCCAACGTGTGCATTTAGAAGCTGCCAGGCACAAGTTCAAACCCCGCATAATCATAGAATTTACTATGATAATTTTGTTTGCAGTTCGCATACGAGGATCATCCTTTGAGATGTCACGCTAGGCCATCTTTCCAAAATAAGCGCTGCGTGACAACTTTAACCCCTTAAATTCCAGATACGATTGGCATTTTATTTCTCCCTAAAACATCCAAACCCTATATCATCGGTGAAGAATTACCTTTCTCATCCATCAACCAGGAGAAAAAAAACATTGAACATAAATAGGTGATAGGATCCATGCTGGCCAAGAAGGCGATTTCTGTGTTCGTCCAATTGAAAACCATTTTAGCGGTAGTAGCGATTGGCCCATACGTGTTCCACGCGCAGTACTGGCTAAAACCTATCACAGAGAATAACAACAGGATATAAAAACGTCTTTTGTAGCTTTTAACCTCTACTGGGGGATCATCTGTAAGGTAAGATCCTTTATCGTCTGTAAGCAGCACTGTATCGGATGAAAGGGAGTCTTCAGCACGTTCAGGTGAGTATCGCTGAAGATCTGCAGAGAGTAAAAGAGAGAGAGAATTAAAAGTATTCATATGCATCTGATTCGGTTGACGCGCACCTTTGCGGTACGTGAGAAAAGTAGACCCTTTCCAATTCTCCTTACTTTCTGCCATATAATTGTTATGATGTCACTTCAGAGAATTTAGTATTGGATCAACTAATAATCTCCTCATAAACATTTTTCGTTATTTTCATCATTTGTCATCTTGATATTGTATTGATATAGTGAGGAGAAATTCTGCCCTGATCACTCATGGAAGTTGTAGGGTTGTAGTAGGCCCACCAACAAAAACATTGTAGCTCAATTGAAGTAAACACTCAAGAGAGACATTTTTCTTCGTCCAACACTCGCTTGTGACCTATTTTAAGTCTACATTTTATAGTCAGATTTACTAACGTCAGTCAAATCAGCAAATTTTTTAAAGGTCATTTATATTTTCTGCACATTTTACATTTCAAGGTGGCGCCGTAAGTTTGTTTGAGAGAGCAGTTCAAAGCCTTTGATTGGACTTAAGTAATAATTGGAGGGCTGGAGTATATTTTTGCACCAAAACAACGGTGAATTATGACGCATGTTTTATTCACAAAATTCTTAGAGTTAACTTAGGCGTAGAATTTGTCAACTCTGGTGGGCAGAGTGCTTTGAGAGCCGTTTCCCTTGACCAACTAATTCAGCCAGATTGATTATAAAACTGAAAACCAAAACTCCATGACGAATTTTTTGATTACAAGGCACTGCAACAAATTACTTCATTTAAACAGGAGCTGTAAATAATTAACAGTTTTAACTTTCTCGAAGTGGTGACTGCGCCTGCAATTTTCAGGAGAGATTGGGTAGTTTAGCAACAGGGTTTTTGCAACAACGAACGTGATTCCTTGACGAGAATCAGACTATTTCCCTTGAAAAATGTCTTCTCAATCTTGCTACTCAATCAGAATGGCAGGGTTTTTTTACAAAGAAACAGCGATCGAACACTCAGTCTCCTTCCAAAGTCTTTCGGGTTTTTTTCCTCGCGAATTGTCACGCTCCGTTTCGTGACAACCGAAAAAAAACTTCTGACTAATATTTTTGTTTCTTTCTTGTTTTAATTTTAATTTTTCACCACACGTACCTTGAACGTGAGCACACTTCTTGGGTTTATAATCTTCCCTTCTCACCCAGGGATCGTCAAGATCGACTTCCACTAATTCATTCTCTTCTGGATCTAGAAATGACTTGCGGTCCTCAGATTTTGAGCCGGTTGGGTACATCTTGGAACCCCTGTCTGATACCAGCACGGAGCCTGTGAGAGAGATAAAAATAAAAGTAAAAATGAAAAATCACCGTTCTGAGGCGCATTGTAAATTTTTGTGAGTGACAATTGTATCAAAGTAGTTGAAAAGCTAAGAGGAACATTTCCAGAAATCATCAGTAGGCCAGAAAATCCACTCTTGAAGTTTAAGTTTAGATGCTTTAAATGCTTAATTACGGGTACCTGTGAAAAATAAATCACCAAAATAAAACTCCATAGACAAAACTGCCGGGTTTTACATGACCCTGCAAGGTCTTTTATCAGGCATTTACATGTAAAGTATATCGCCGAAAAAAACTTCAAAAACCGGCTTTTCGATTATGACGCGAAACTATGAAGACACCCCATGATTTGTTTGTCACACAAGCGATAAGATATTTCGTTGGTGTGTTAAGATGCAATTAGTTGCAACAAGCGCTTCCAAGGTAATTGAACTTAGTTTTGCATGCACGCAATGCTCAAACAAAAAAATTATATATATTTATTATAAAGAACGATTTTCTTAAGAACAAGGATTATGCGGTGAAGTTGCTGGATCATTCCATGTCTTTCACGGTAAGTTAAATATAAACTGAACAGATGAATAAATTGGACTGATAAAAAATAAACCTTACCAATGAATATTTTTGACTGATATCAAAACTAGATGAAAACAACTCAGATATTTGCTCAAAGAACTTAAACTAAAAAAGCTCATGAAAGTTTTTCGATCTTTAAAGGAAGCTTACTCAAGCAAATCGACGTACAAAGTTCACTATTTGAAATGCTAAAATTAATCCATTACAATCTATTCTTGTTCAGAAACATGTATGCTATTATATAATACTTATTATGGCTGTTTTCCCACCGAAGCAAATCTGTATGGAATTATATTCTTACCCCTATAGGCAGAAAACCTTCCCTTACATGCATACTAAAGTTTTTAGGTCGAAAATTTGTTTCAATTCGGTGAAAAGAGTACGAAACCGGCATTTTAAAATTTTCCATTTAAAATTACACAGGCAAAATCGTCGACACGAAAATTGCAAATCTTATGTTTTTCACACAGCTAAACTTAATCTGAGGGTTTCTTTAGAAAGGAAAAGTTATAATTTCAAATCCAGAATATTTACCCGATGAAAGATTCCGGTTCTTTCACAAAGTACGCCTTCGGGAGATTACAGGAAATCCATTGTCAAAAGCAAATCTATTTCTTAGCTTGTCTTTGCCACAACGCTCCAACGCCTCGTATAATCAGTCCTACAAAACTTTGCCCTGTTAATCCGATTCAAAAATCCTTTGCATTTATTCCACGAAATAATCGTTTGTCCTGACAGTATTCGGCAGATTGTTGTTGCGGAACAAAGGCTTAGATGTTTTTTTCCCCGAAGTAGATATTGTTCTAAATTTGCATGGAAAGGGCGAAACAAGTTGTGAAAACAGAAGATGATTGACAGCAATAGTAAGGGGAAAATTTTGATTGGTCATTTCAACAAAGAGCGGGCTTTCCACGTGTGACCTGCGTGATGACGCAACCGTTATTTTTGTCACGCATACAATCATTAAAAACGTTCCTAAAAGCGAACAATCATCTCACAACTTATATACGGGAATCGTTATCGAGAATCCACCAAAAATCCCACGAAGTGAGTTCCAACGTGATTCTGGAAATGCTAGTTTCTCATTTAATCGATAATCGACAGATTTCCTTAGGCCTCGGCCTTACAGAGATCAATATCCAAGGACTGTCAAAAATGGCATCAGTGAGAATTAATACTTTGAACTGTGTTAATTCTTGATCTAACTGAGACGAATTAATGACACTTGCCAGTTTTTAAGAGGAAAGGAGCCTCAGTATTTTGAATTTAATCTCAGTTAAGAATTATTTTTAAACTTCACAGCTAGTGTCTAAATGGTACTCGAGATTAAAAGTGTTTCATGGTAACGGCCGCTTAATCATTTTCAGGGGGCGGCGTCTGTCAGATGTTTTTGTCCGTGCTTTATAAATTAAGTACGGAAAAAATTCAGAACGAACTAGCTTTGAATGAAAATCTGCATATCATTGATAAACCGCCTGTTGAGTTGAGTACGGACTACTGACTATGGAATCGGAGTGAGGGGTAAAGCATTATTTATCAAATACACGGGGAAAGTTATTACAAAGGCTCTCCGATTACCAAGAGAAGACGTAGTGAAATGTCCGCTTTTCCAAGGTCATACTAACCTAACACAAAAAGCCTCCGACAAAACGTTAAATTGAACGTAAACAAAGCTTTTAACCCCTCCAAGCTTGGTCAACCATAACACGTAATCATTGCACAGACATCTTTAAGCGTTTAAGGTCCACTGCGTGTACCATCGTTTTTACATTTGACGATGGGTTATGGTACACTATCTGCACTGTGGTTGTTAGACATCTAATTTACCAAGTAAGCCGGAAAAGTTTGGAAATGTTTTTAAGTTCTTCACTGATATGCTGAACTGACCTTGGAATTAAGACTCTATTTTTTTAGTTAAATCTTGAATCAAATCAAATATTTCTAGCCTACGGCTAGTGGTTCGGTTGAGTTTTGAACTTTACCAAATTTGCGTAATGCCACTTCACAATCTGTGAGAGTGTTGAAACTGTTTTTATTTTAGAAAGAGAAGGAAACGTCAGAGAAATTTTCCAGTTTATGGCTGATTTTGTTTCGTAACGTAAGTGAGAAAAACTTGCGCATGTTCAAGGAGCGAAGAATCAAATCATGTGTCCTGCGTTCAGGTCCTTTGCTATTTGTTTAAAATGCTCAATAGTCGAACCAAAACACGAAAAACAACAGAAAAGTGCGCGACCTTTCAGTTTCATCTACTACTAATGCTACACTAAGTAGAAAATCTCTTTCAAGTGACAATTTTCACTTCCTCTCCCCGCTTCGTAATCTTTTTGTATTCACGTGCGGAGCGCGTGCTTTCACAAATTAGTTAATCACGTTAACCAAAGAAATCTAACCTTGACATTGGAGAACTGACGTGAACATTGTTCGCGTACTTTTAGTTCGTTTTCGCGGAGTTTTAGTTAGATGTTTTTTAGCTTGCGTTCGGGTAAATTCGTCACCCCTTTGCTTGGAAATTTACGATGTTTCGGTTTTTTTTTTTATCCAAATCTTGTGGTTCATTTAACAAGTTTAATACATATTTTTACGAAGTTTGGACCCTAGTCTCTTTTCTCGGAAATGGATATTTTAAAATTTGAGGGAGAAACTCGTGCGTGTTCAAGGAGCGAAGAATCAATTCGTGTTGCTCGCGTTCAAGGCCTCTGCTCTTTGTTTGAAATGCTCAACAGCCGAATCAAAACACGAAAAAATGCGCAAGAAAATGAGCCACCTTTCAGTTTCATCAATTACTGACGCAAGCATTCAGCAATCTCAAGATATCGTTTTGAACATTTACTTCACTGGTGTATTGAAAACCATCTAAAAATCAGTGTTGTATACAAGATTACATATTTCTGTCACAAAACTCACCCCAAGGCTACTTCGATGAAAAAATAAGTGGGACATACAAACCTTTCTTTACAGTAGACACCATCGGTGACAAATCGCATTTGACTTCATTCGCCTCATTTAACGGAGCAACGCTTGAGCGCATTTTGTAGAAAAAAACGACGAAATTGTCCTTAAATTCTCGCAAAAAGAGAGTAGCTCTCATCCATCGAGTTTCATCGCGATACTCGCATTCGAAACCATTCGATCTATGGAAGACCCGACAATGAATATGACTAATTCAGCTACTAATTTCTTAATTAGTATTCATGATTTTCATGACGTCATAATTATTTAGATGGCATCATTAAGGGATGTTGACATGGAGGTGGGGACCCCAGGTAGGTGAGGTAACCCGCCTAGGTGGGGTAACCCGCTTGTTCATATAATTTCTTATTTTATCTTGATCACGTTTACATGATAGGTGGGGTGACCCGCCTGGGCGGGTTGCCCGGTCTGCCAGGTTGAGTAACCCTGTCAGCCGGGGTGACAATTTGCCATGTAAACGTCCCAAGGTGGGGTGACCCGTCTAGCAGGGGACGCTTTCATGGCAAAAAACTCGAAAGTGAAACACGTATGCTTTAAAACTTTGTACATTTCTTAGCCGTCTCACGCCAGAAATCACCAGAAACCGCAACGGACACACAAAGAGTGTAAAATGTTCACATTTCGAAATATTTAGCGTTGTAAATCGACCATATTTCAAACTATTCCTTATAACGTACCAAGTTAACGGTTCCTCGCGTAACCTGACACCGCGTAACACAACGCGTGACACTTTCATGAATAAATACATACGTATCCGGGAATTAATCTTTCGTCTTTCTCGAGACGTGAGCATGGGATGCCTTTGCTCAAACTCCCTAATTGGAAGCGCAACAACAGCCTCAGCACAACGGGGTTGTAAGATTGTATGTAGACGCGTTTTGTTTTTCGACCACGGCTAGGCGGGTTACCTCACCTACCTGTGGTCCCCCACCTCCGTGTAAAAAGGCCCTGAAAAAACGGCCATTGTGTTTAATTTTCGAAAGGCGCCGCGAGGGAATAGTGCACACAACAGGAGATACAGTTTTGTAGGAGGAAATTCTCCTAAGTCTACAAGTAAGACATTTCAAGATATCAAAGCCTATTTATTATGTATATTTTATGCATTTTTTAATTGAGAAAAATAAATCTCTTACGAGATAAGTTGGCCTAGTTTATGCGCTGAAAACACTGTGCTAATATTCAAAATAATTCGAGAGATCTTTGAAGACGTTTCCTCTTCAACAGCGATTTTTCATTTTAATCGACAGAGAAAAAAAAAAAAAAAAAAAAGAAAAAAAAAAAAAAAAAAATGGCGAGACTTCCACCTTAGCCCAGCTTGCGCACGGCCATTTTTATTTCGTCTTTATCGGGAACTAATTTCACACAGAGTACGTGCTATCATTCGGGATCAAACCTGGCTTATGCTCTTTCCCACATATCAGATCATATAGAGAATATTGAATTTTATGATTATGTCAAGGACTTCCGTTTCAGTTTAAACTATTTTTAGTCGCTTTGAAAGGCCGCGATGAGAACAAAAAAGTTCTCGCTCTTAAAACTCTGAATGTCAAAGATTCGAGAACGTTGGATATTGGTATTGTTTTTTTTTATTTAACCTTCACTTTCGCTTGCCTGCCACGTGCCAAGGTGTGGAATTCTAATTGTATAGACAGGTGATAATTTTCCACTTAATAGATTATCAGCCTCAGTTAAATTTACGGAGACTGCTCGCAACGATTTTGAGACATTCTTTTTGATAGTCACCAAATATTGACTGTTCCATGCAGTCAGTGTATAGGAAATCAGTAAGAACTGGAATTTATTTAAAATATAACTTTATGCCCGATTCATTCTTTTCAGTCATCTCGTAACTGTTAAGGAAAAATCGAGATGTTTTGCGAATCTTGACGTTATCTGTGCAGCAAAAAAGTCGCGCTGTGTCACAACATTTAATGCTGCAAGTAAGATTTAACAGTGGAAAAAATTATCATAGATAAGCAGAAACAACCAGTTCGAGCAGTCAGTCACAATTTGTTTGAGAATAAGAACAAAATCAGATTATCTCGCTTGAAATGATGCGAATTTATTGCAGTATTTTCAAGTTGGTTTTTAGGTCTATGAAATATTAATCCTTGAATTTCAACTAGACTTTATTCACCGATTTCGGAAAGTTATGACGTGCTCAGACGCAAAATGAAAATTTTCAGAAAAACGTTTGGCTGAGGAAAGAAAAACACTTTGACCCATGCACAATCAGCCTGTCACGATAACTTGCGTCAGAGGACTTAGTTTTAAAAAACTTGCCCGGGATCGTGATGTCATTCGAATGACTGTCAATGCCGAGGTCACAGAAGGAAGGCGTCACGGACCAATCAAACACAATCACGTTTTTGATGGACACTGAGGTCAGTTGTAAAGATTGAGTAACAACCGCTAAGGGCTGCGGCATGATATTAAACTAACATGAATCGTACTAATGTTTTTAACAGGATATGCCAAAGAGGAAACGCTACCCACATAGCTTGTGAACTTTGATCTAAAATCACTTAGGAATTTGCTGAACAGAATTCACAAGTTTTAATTGAGCAAAGGTGAAGAGTCTGTTTGACTCATTGAAAAAGCCCCCTGTTAAAATAAAGGAGTACCTCCGCGATTTTTCACGTGCACAATATTTCATATTGAATGGAAGGCTGACAACAGAACAGAATATTGCTTTCTTTTAACACCAAATCCTACCAAAGAGGTATTTTCTTCTACTTTCAATTGGATTCTGGACCTTGTACCACACATAACGGATGTCAAAAATCAGACAAAGCGGAAAATCAGAAATTCCGATCTCAAACAAAGACAAATTGTAAAGAACATAAACTTGCGCTCTGTAACATAACCACGTGACTCTATGTAAGGAAACACTCGCTGACGGTATGGTTTCACTTGGAATTTTTAACAACAGAACGAGACGGTTAATTTTGATAATTTTTTTTAATAAAATACCTTTTTAACAGGTTCACGGTTTTAAAGGGCATCGATCAAATAGATTGAGAACAAAGAATTGATAACAGAAAGATAATGTGAGTGGAGATGTGAAGAGTGTAACAATTCAACGTCATTCCTGGTCACTGCCCAATTGTCGTTGCTGCTTTTCCACTTGAAAAGAACGTGGAACGAAGTGGGATGTTGTCGAAAGATTATCCGTAATGTTGCCGCTGCCTAAGAATTCTCTGGTATGTTTTTTCGTCTGAGTAAGGCAATAAGAAAAAGAAAAATTTCCAGCGTTAGCGAAGCCAATTTCATATCTCCACACCTGACAGGTCAATCAAAAGCCTTTTCAAAAGAAATGACAGCCATTTCGTGCTTTAAAAACACCGACCTCAAATTTTTTCAAGAAACAAGAATCACTAGGGTTTTCCTATTTAATGTTGACGCGATCTTTGACCGCATAAGAATAGAATTTTGCGTTTGATGTGAAGTTTAACTCACATTTTGCGCACGCAACATCTGTTTCGAGTACGTCGCGCCCGGTCAGTCTAAAGTTATTGTAGGAAACAATGTCACATCTCTTACTCCGCGAGTGGTTTTACCTTATGTCTTTCATACATGACAAATACATTAACGATTTTACTCCCAGCCGTTAAATTAAAGAAGGCGTTCTGAGGTGGCTCTGGAAAAGCGAAATATGGAATCCAGTGTTAGATAAAAACAAAAACAAAAAAAAAAAAACACGAAAAGAATCCAGAATGGAAACCAAGTGTTGAACCTCAGGGAAACGCTGTGAACAAAGAAAACCCGCGAAGATGTTTCTAACGACGTTAAGAAAGTGTGGGTGTTTAGGGAAGGAAGGGTATGTGACCTTTAATAATATTATTCTCTCTTACAATACAAATAATCCGCAGGGTATAGATTAGAGCTATCAACAAATCTTCTCGAGCCTCAACTCGCATGACGTTGTGAATGCTGACAGGTTTTGTCTGTTTCTTTTTATCTTATAAAAACAAAGATTTTTTTTCTAATTCGTCCATCGATTTCTCCGACTCGTAACAAAGGCTTTCTAATTCTGAAGAAAAGTTAGCCATAAAAATAGCGAATTTAATACCAAATAGGTTTTCACAAACACCTGTAATCTTACAAATCCCTGCACAGCAATGATTGTGCAAATTTAGAAGACCATTAATAAGCTAAAATACTCACGCTTAAGACTAAAGTATTTCTGACTTTTATCGGGTATGTTTTCAATGTAAACGCAGACTGTCAAGAGCTTTCTTAACAGTAGAGCGCGGTGTAAACACTATTCCTGAATCCGTGATCTAACATTTCCCGTTTCCCTCGACATTTTCCGCTCCCTGGGGAACACAGTAGGACATTAATAGGGTTTTACCGATTAATGACAAAGGTTTCGAGGTTGATGCCTTTACGTCGCTTTTTGAGGTTGCGTGGAAAGGTTAAATAATTTAAGATAATGCCCTTCGAGTCTGGACAGTGTGCCTTTAATCGATACAAAAAAAAAAAACCGATTCCTGACGAACAACGATTAACCGAATATCTTTAATTCACGGCTATAACCATATCCTTGGCAATATTTTGCACTCCAGTTGTTGTGCCCATAGTGAACTTACAGTGAATAATTTTCAGTCATATCTTTCCCATGTAACATAAACAAAGCCTCGACCCAAAGTAAAATTTTCTTTTAACCAGAGAGGGAGTAAAAGCTGTTTATTTTCGAGCCATGTACGAGATAACTTCAGTACAATCCAAGCATAACAATAAAAACTCGTCCCGTAAGATCTGGGCAAACACAAATTATGTGCAATTATCATACAACAAACATTTTTACATCGCTTTGGTAATAACCTTGTGGCACAATACTCAAAAAAGATTTTATAAAATCCTTTCTACGGTTGGACTAAAACACAATACACCAGCTTGAATAATCAAAAGTTATTTGAGAACTTTCTATATCGTTTTATCCCATCATGAGCTTTTAAATTGTACTCAGCACTGCGTGTAGTCAGGAGTGTATATACCATCCACGTAATGTTTTCATTCGTCGTGCATGATATTTATTCTCTACAAGAGATGAAAAATTAGTTGAGGTGACTCACCGTTTAGGTTTCTCTCTGCTCTCAATCCAGTGAAAAGCAATCGTTTTTTCCTCTGACGGAGAGATTGCCCGGAGAGTCGTTTTAACTTCGCTTCTTTTGATCTTATTTCAGGAGCCATTTCCTGGGATCGAAAATGCTTTCAAGTCTACTCAGACTGGCTTCTGTGATTATTTAAAAGAAAAAGATAAACTGTAATAGAATCTTGACGGAATAAGACCATCGACTCATGGAAATTGACAAAAAAAATAATTTTGATCGTGTCATTCCGTTAATTCTTTTTTACCAACCGTGTCTTAAGAAATTGGCTCTCGACCTTTACCTTCGCGGAATCCATAACAAAACCCAATTTTTCAGTGTTTACCATATCTCATCACGTTCCAGTAATTTCCACTGTTTTTATTCGCCCGTATTTATTCAGGTACATTGAATGAATGGAATATTTTTCCGGCAATCTTTAGTTTGGGAAATCGAGTTTATCGCCGTAATTGGATGACTCAAATCGATTTCGACTTCTGTTTATGGATGGAAACCTCTACTTCCGACAACTTGCAAGCTCACATCACTTCGCGCACGTAGGGAGTTCGTTGAGCTAAATATAGATAGGCTGGGGTATCCCTTGAGCGGAATTTTTTTCAATACCTCCATTCATGAACACAAACGAAAATTGGTCAAAATTTCCCTTCAGGCGCGAGCGAAGCGTATTGCACAGACGGTATTCGTGAAGATAAAAATATTGCCGCATCTAAACGTTGTAAGCACCGATCAAAAGTCTCTTGATTCGTTGTGGATTCAAACACATGTTCTGCTCTTCAATTAACCCAGAGGGAATTTAATTTAAAGTTGTATCTAACAAAGAGAAATCTGCGATGGTTACTAGAGCGCTTACCTCAGAATTTCCATGCAGAGGAAAACTCGGTAAAATTAAGCTGCAAAAGATTTATGTGCGAAGATCATGCAGCTGATCCCGCAATCCGACCAGGCCTGCACAACACTGACAAGCTTTGAGGGTCGCACACCACAAAGTAAATTGATATCAATTTTCAGTTGCCCAATATCCGAGCCGGCCGGACGCGCGCTATGGGGTTAACACACTTTCAAACGACCAACCCTGGCGTTGCAAGATCGATGCTAACAAAACAGCTGATCGAAAATATTACAACAAGCCTGCAAGTGTCGTGAAGCAGCATTTGCTGCACGGATATTCATGGGTTGAATCAATAATTTATTCCAAGTCGAGGTTGTAATCAAAATTTGCATCTGCGATACAATGATATCGCTTTTTGGGAATGACGCAACAGTTCTCTAGGAATCGAACGATTTTGAGCTTGACTAATCAAAGATTTAATTTTTTCAACATTGGCGATTTGTTTTGAGCTTTAGTACTATTTTGAAAACGCAAATCAACAACAGATGCGCCTGTTTGCTTTTATTCCTTGTTAGAGGTAAGTAAAAAGGCTTTTGTCACGCGTCACACCATCTTGTTAGGTAAATTTGGCCCAGAACAACTCCTCGTACGAGGAGGACTGGACCAATTATAGAAAAAATTTCAAAATGGCGGACGAAGACGAGGAAGATTATATGTCAGACAAATTTTTGCTAAGTACGACTGATAACAACCCAGGTTTAGTTCCAGACAAAATAGCAAAGAAGTATAGGAGAGAGATGAGGCATAAGGAGTTGAATCAGCGAAACAAAATGAAACCGATGAGAGAAAGGGAGAAGGAACATCGTGAACAGGGTCTGGCAAATGCTTTAGACAGCAGTAATAAAGGATTCGCTATGCTACAGAAAATGGGATTCAAAAAAGGAATGGGCTTGGGAAAAGAAGGTACGTTAAAGAGTTTCCTGCAGGAATATTGTACCCATGTGCAAGGCATACAGTTTTCGGGATACAAAGTCTGCAGCGAAAGTTAAGGTATAACTGAATGGTATCTCAGGAGATTTTTATCTTTCGGTATTTTTTAAGTATTCAGTACATAATTGTACCTGTAACTACGAGATATTTTAAGGGCTGGATATGTAGCAAGCAGTTAAAATTTCATTTAAGACTTAAGATATGTTTTCTTATTACTGTTTATTTTTATTTTTGTGGAACTGTATGTACCAGTCTTTTGAAACCAACTTTTGATAAGAAACCAGATGCAAAAAATTTGATTTTTCTATGAAAAATGTACTGTTCTCATTTACGATTGACCACACTCATTGGAAGCCTCTAAATAAAAAAAATTGAGTTTACTTTTGATTGCAGAATATTTAATTTCATGCAAGTGCACGTTCATTACTTAGTATACATAAAGTAACACGTGGAGTGGACTCCTTACACCTTGAACTGACTTGAATCTTCAAGGAAATAAGGTCGATCATCAAGAGTTTGAGTTTTTAGAATCTTAGATCAAATAAATGGAAATAAAGAGAAAAGCACTGTTCACCCAATTTCTAATTGTGCTGGCAAATGTAAACAAATTTAGTTACAGTGGAGAAGAATCAAGAAAAATAGAACAGTTTAAAGGAAGGAAGGAAGTGTTGGCAAAGCTTTTTGGTGATAAAATGTAATTTAAACTAGCAAAACATGAACAGATCTGAGACAATTTGCTCTCTGCAAAGAATAAAAAATGAAGAAGAAAAGAAGAAAAGAGAAAAGGTAAAGTTGGAAAAATTGGAAGTTTCTTTAAAGTAAATTCCAATTTTGAATCAAAGCACTTTTTTACTTGCTTGAAGTCGGGAGGCTGTAAGCTACGCAAGTCAACTTTTATGATGTTCAATTAAATATTCATGTTTGTAATCAATCATGTGTAAATGATATCGCATGTCTAGGTTTTATGCAAATCTGAAATGTGTATTTGATTTGTTTATGAGCATCTTAAGATTCTGGACACATCTCTACTGCTAAATAATTTTGTCTACTGATAGACTTAAGCTGCAAGTTGTGGACATGTCTTCCGTGTTACGATCATGACTCTGTCCATAAGTTGTAGTTCTTCATTCAAAAATATATAAATTCAGACTTATTAGCACCCTTAGTGTTTAAAGTTGTTATGAATACGCAGTTTTAAAACAATCTGATGAAACTGTCATCCATTGAGTTTGCTTGATGTTTCAAATCTGCCAATTAGTTTAAATGTCATTACCTATTGTGGCTCTGAAATACAGCGACTTGTATCTTGTATTTTGCTGTTCATTCTGCTCTTGTAATCAACCAGAACTCGATTTGCTCTGATTGCAACCATCAAAATAATTTTCTAGTCACTCTGTGTTATCATTTTGTTTGAAGAGCTGAACAATGTTTTGGCTGTAGTGTACTGTGTACATACATACCATGTAATTGGTGTAGTCTGATAGTTAAGCTTCTTATTGCCCACTTGATCATTAGAAATCAATGTAACGTGAAGAACCTGCAAGGTCAAGAATGTCTTAATTTAGTTTGATTCAGCTTGCTTTGGAGGTGTGATTAGGGAGGGATGTGGGAGGTGAAGCCCAAGGGAGACTGGGATAGTCTTGTTAAGACTGATCAGTGGTGGACTAGCCTTAGTCCTTTCTCAGGGCTCTCTCTTGGGGGAGTCCTTGTGTACATTAAAGATATTTTGATTCAAGTCTGGTATGATCTTGTCATGAAATTATATTTAATATGAACAAACTATCTTCTCTCAAGATGAACTGAGCAATTGCTTTCTGTTTCATAACAAGTAGCCATTAAAAACTTACATTATTATCATGACTTTTTCGGCAACAACACATTATCAAGATGAGTGTTCTTTCTCCCTTTTAAATTGTTTGTAAGTTTACATTAAGCAAAATGACACAATGCTTTTTGACACAGAACACTTACACTGTATGAAATTTGGTGGACTACAGCACTGAGAATTTGAATCAAGCAAAAAATTTGTTATAACTCAGATATTACAATAAAATTAAGCAATGCAGTTGCCATCATGATCACTGTACAAAATTCTCATTATTTCCTATCTTAGGGACTGGAAGAGCCGAACCTATACCATTGACTGTTAAAGCAGGTTTGAGTACTTTTATTTACTTCTTTGCCTTAGATTGAACCTGGATGGCATGGCTCCATGAGACATCGGAGTCAAATCCACACCAGAGAAATAAAAAATGATCGGTTATTCCATCTTTTATAGATCGTGGAGGTCTTGGGCGTGATATGCTCTTAAAAAGACAGAGAGAGGTGAAAGAGGCATTGAAACATGAAACTGCAAAGAAAAGAGTGAAGATTGAGGAGAAGCAGAGAGACAACTTCAGAAAACACATGAGTGGCAGGTTTGCCGAGAGGCAAACATCAAGTGATTTATATAAGAGCCAAAAAGCATGTGAACAGCTGGACAAATCAAAGGTGAGGAGCTGTAAGGATTTTAGAAGCTTGCTTATATATAAGTTTTTGTTTTCTTGTCTAATACTGGGCTAAAACATGGCCTCATCAGATACAGAGAGGCCTAACATATCAAAAGTGTTTTAAAGGAATATCTACAGTGTATAATTGCTCAATTGCTCTGACGAAGGGTTAATGCTTGAAATGTCAGCCTTTAATCTCTACGGTGGCCAATTTAAGTTTTCAACTCAGTTGTTAACAGTAAATTACCTGTTATACTCTCCCATTGATGCAGCATCACAGTTTCTTTAGAAACTTACCCCCTTTATTCTACAACTTGCATAGTTTTGAAAATCAGTATTGTGTTATATTTATGATTTATCACTGAATGTTCACTTTTTTCTAATTATTTTGTGTTTTCTTTGATGCTTTTTTTTATTGAGAAATCGAATAAGTGGATTTGAAAGGTAACTAAGCATAGGTGAATTAGAATTTTTTGCTATCACTTCTCTAACTTGTAGGACTTACCTTGTGTTGAGAAGTGGTTTTGGCCACAGGAGGAAACAAAGGAAGATGATGAGAATAAGGAAGAAGATGATGAAGAAAATGATGAGGAAGAGGAGGAAGAGTTGGAGGTTAGTTGTCCCTCAGGAGGAAAATATAGAAAGCTTTCTTTGGTGCATGCTTCCACATTCATTGTCAGTTTTAGTTATTGGTATACAATATTTTTGCAACAGGACACAGAAGTATGTCAAAGCCTTGGACATTTCAATATTGGAGATTGATATGATAAACTCTTTTTAATGGAATATGGTACTGTGAATAAATTGTTCACAGAGTTGTTGGAGTGAAGAATCATGGAAGGGCTTGCTCTTCAATCTAGTAAGATTTCTCGAAGAATTTTTTTTTCCTGAAACTTCACAATTTCAACCACATTTGTCAAAACTACCATGAGAATTTCTATAATAATCTACTCCTGACTCTGAGAAAAGTTCTTTAGTTCCTTTTATATCTGGCGAGTGTTGTTTGCATGTTAAAGAATTAAACCAGGTTATGTGGTTGTGAAGGTGGTTGTAACATAGGGTTTAGGTTGAAAAAGCTCATTTTGATACTCCAACAAACAGCGAGCAGTTATTAGGGCCATCATAGTGATTTGTTTTTCCGTGAGCATACAGTATGTTAGCAGCTTATATGTAGCCCAGTAATTTATGCCTGCATAGTTCCAACACTGTGATGTTTTCTTGCATGCTCGATAACAGCCATCAGAAAAGCTCATGCACCTAACAATGTACTTGAGAAGAACTCATCAATACTGTATTTGGTGTGGGACCAAGTATGATGGTAAGTAGAACAACCAAACATAGGAGATTTGAAACGGGTGGAGGGGGGGGGAGGGGGGGGGGGGGGTGGGGCAAGTGAAGAGGGTTGTTATAAGAGATCTGAAGGGGATGGCTCGATCTTGCATTTCTCGCACAAGCCTTTGTGTCATTTGACATCTTTATGGGGAATGGGTAGGAACAGTGTATTTTAGTCTAGCATGTGTATGGGGGGGGGGATGGATTTAGCTTGGCGAAGGTCATTCTGTTGTGCTCTGCTGGTCCACTGTGATGTGATAAAGTTTCACGAAGTGAAGGTGAACAAAAAGATTTTGTTGCAGCACCATCTATGTTCTTTTTAATTTTTAAGCAAAAATGCAGCTGCAATCTTTCAATACTAAAGTAAGGATAATTTTGTTTTCTTTTCAGATGATCAGGACATGGCCGACAACTGTCCGGGAGATTCAGCACAAGATCATGAGTAACAATCGTGAAGGAAGAAGAGAAAAAAACACGGTATTTTATGGAGTCCATCATATCTGTGTTAAGATTTTCATTACGACGACTTTCGAACGATTACCGGTAGTAATGAATGTTACGACCATACTCGTCATAAAAAATACCGATTGTCGTTGGTCACTCCCGAATGGGTATTCACGACCGAAGTCGATCGTAACCGATCACTAGCGATCAGGACTCGATGGCAGGTTGCGATTATAATTGAGAGAGGCAATTGTTCACGAAAGTAATCGCATGGCTAGCGACAGCTAGACTACGGGGACAAGTAATGGAGGATATCAGGCTGACAGGGGTTCTCATTGACGATGGACAACCTGAAGATGACTTTTTTTTTCTTAAATATTAGCTTACTTTTCTAAATGCAAAAGCTGTGCTCGGAAACTTAGGAATGGTGAATGAAAATTGAAAATATATCTTGAAATCTTGCTAGCTTTAGCAATGAGTCTCCAAGTCCCGTTAATGGTGCATTTAGTTATATGTTCATCTAAAATGATGTCTGGTATATTTTTTCAAAATCTAAAAGTCTCGGATTTGTTCATACAGCCGACGAGCTTGGTCAAAGTTCGTTAGGATGGTCGAGATTTATCTTTATTAGCGACGGAATCCTCTGAGCGCGTTGGGCGCTCTATAAAGAGAGGCGAATGCTTATCTGCTTTTCTGCCGAGGAGAACATGCGCATCACACACCAAGAGGAAGGATACACCGCATTACAACTCGATTAAGAAGAGGAATTCAGCTATTTCCCTTTCGTAGACATTTTAAGCACCCTGTTGAACTAACCGAGATAACAGTTAAGTGAATTAATCGATTAGAGTTGAAAACAAAGTAGTACTTGCTCCGGATGAACGGGAAAATGAACATGACAAAATGTCAGGGAAGCTTCTCATGTCCCAAATGCTGTCATGAATTGGTATTGGCATGACTAATTACAAGAATTGCAAGAGTGTACGGCGGGAGCGCCTCTCCGGAAAAAAGGAAAAAACAATTCAAGCACAGAAATGTTTGTTTGCGTAAGTTAAGCATGATTAATTGTGTAACAAATATCCTCACTTTTACTGAACTCTTTGCTTTTGTTGAAATAGGACGCATCTACTTTTATCCTGAATATTTTTTTAATGCACTTTGTAGGAGGGGACTGAGTTAAATTAAATGCACTCAACACCTCCTTTCTGATCCTCTGATAGGAGAGGAAATTTTCTCACTTTAACACTTGAGAGCTAAGCCAAAGTACAACATTATAACGAGGAAGGAAGTCGTGATAGGTTTTCAGAACCTTATCCGGGTCACATGCAAGCGTTCTGCTGAGGTCGTGGGAATGAAATCAAAACAGCACATTGCTCACACAGGGAGTTTCATCACTAGGAGTCTCATCAATGTTTACACAGTAATCAATCCCTGTCACATTATTATTCGATGTTCGACCGTGGTCTAGTTTGAAAATTGTATTTGAGGAATAAGAGCCAGTTAAGAACCTTGATTCGTTTCGAACCTTTCATGTAAAGTCAAATTTAGCAGACATCAAGTTAAATCATGCGACAGGTACTTTGACCTTGTGCACCAAAGAGGCTTACATAACAAAACACAACATGATAGTTTTCCTGGCCACGTTCGCCTTAAGCTGTAGTTTATGTAAATAATTAAGCACGTAACCCGAAGAACATTTTGAGAACTTTTCCAGGCTCACAAAAAGCGGCATAACACAAAAGAGAGATGAAAAAAATAACAAAAATTAGAAGATTCAACCTCGGCTCTAAAATTCGACGCTCTTAAAAAAAGCACATTGTGTACCTAATGGAAGAGGCAAAAGTTAGCTTCCATACCTTTCCATGCCTACATGATAGAGATTATTTTTTCCCCGCTACGTAATTTACTGAGACCTTACCGGCAACAAAAACAATTTTCCTTTTCATTCGCTCGTACCATAGGGTGGGACAACCATGCAGAAAATTGATCATAAGTCACGTACTGTGCAATTGATAGTTTGCAGGAAGCTACAGGGAGATACCGGACGCTTGTAGTTCTAGGCGATTTCATCAAATAACCATAAACTGTACAGATATCAAAGAATAAAGGCGAAAGAAATACTTACGTTAGTGTAATTTTTGTTTTTTTTCCAACTCACATCACCTATAACACATTTCACTCGTCAGCACCAAAACATTCACAAGGGAACGAGACGATCAATTTTGTGGCAGCTAGAGAGGGTGAACTCTGGATCAGCTCCGGTGGTCGACACTCAACCGGAAGAGGTGATGGGAGCGCGTGACCTTAAAAAGGGTCAGGATAGGCCATGAAAGAGCCGACCGTCCGAGGGTCCATCGGTCCAGTCCATGTTGCATCCTTTCTATTCATTAAAAAGCTACAGGAGTCTCGGCGTCTCGGCAAGTTTCGGATTTTGCCGTCTGCCAAACCCAAATTTTGAAAGCATTGGAGTGAAAGTTGTTAAATTAGAGGCTGGGACATTGTGTGAACACTTGGGTTGTAATTGTAAAAATAAGATGTCTATTTAAGCAAAGCTCAATAACCTTTAAGAAACTAATCAAACTGGAGTGTTAGGTTCTTGAAATATTCTTACAATAATGAGCTTCACTCCTGAAATATTGCAAAGTGAGGTGAAATAAGTCTTAGTAATCTCTTGGGAAATAACTGCAAAGTCGAGTCAAAGTAAAGATACCTGACATGGTCACAGTAAAAGCAATAAATTGAAAAGTTATGGAACTTCTCAAAGGATTAAGAAAATTGAAAACCTTTTTGTTCGATGGCGTGGAGATGTAATTATGCTGCGGTTCGTGGTTATGACTGACTTCGAAAACCAATATTAAAGGCACTTGATGAAGTGTGAATTAGCTTTTTATTTTTCCAATACCCTTTTTTTAATTTACAAACGAATTTATTAACTGGTGGAATTAATTTTATGTCGTTTGAAACCTTACTTAATGTATTGAAAGGAGTACCAGGCTAAAAAGCGGCAACTGGCGGTATTGAAACTCAACGCGCTTTTCGCGATCAGTTGAGTTAAATTCTTTCATTTTGTTTTGAGAGAATGTGATACGACAATTTGTAGCTGACATTTGTGGAAACAAGTCACTGACTTAATGTAAGCCAAACATCAATAACTTGAGGTGGGTATAAAATACGTTTGTTAATCTATTTCACGATTGGTTCCTCGACTTCTTTCAGTACTAAGAAGGCGCAATGGCAGCAGCCTGTTTTGTTTATGTATTTCAAGGACTAAAAGGAACGTTATTGCTTTCATCTAACATGACATTGTTTACAGGCTTTCTCAATAGACTTGTGATTCGTGGAATTCCTTTCTCCATTTCTTTGGATTCTCGTCTTGACGGAAGGCTGGTTGATCTACTAGGCCTGCAAATTAAGTTTTACAAAAATAATAAGAAACAAAAGGAAGCAAAAAAACAGAGGAGAGAGAGAGGCTCGTGCTACCCTTTTCAACTGCCCGCATTGTTTACAGCACTCTACCCATATTGCGTTCGGAAGTCAACGAACACAGAATCTTTCTGGGTTTACTTTACCTAGATATGACTCGTTCGACAGAAACAGACTGCAAAACATTGGTGGCCCTGTGTATCACAATTGTAGTTTTATTCATCATCTGGTTGGCTGTCCTTTCCCTAATTGCTCTCTACTACTGGCGTCAGAGAATTAGAACACGACCAAACAGGTAAGTCCAGATTAGAAATCTGTCAATCAGGTGCATGATGACCCAACTGGTGAGCCCGCATGACTGTGAGTCAGAAGGTTTGAGTTCCGTACCTTGCCGGGTTTTAGATAAGATGATGTTGGGGGTGGGGTTGGGGAGTGGAAACTTTGACCCGAAATGGTCTAAGTAAACTCGTGTTCACTTAATGGCCGTAGACTTCATCAATATGCAAATTTTTAATTTTTGCCCAGTCACTCTTTATTGCTTATCTTCATGGAGTTTTTCTTGTCAGTCATTTCTGCCAATTATCTCCTTTGAAAATCCTGGCATTTAAACTTAATTTTCATTATTCATTCTCCACCCTTTGGTAAAGAAACGCCATTAATCACGTGGTTGACCCAAGTTCATCAGAAATGACAGCATGGGACTCTGCACAAGGGACTGATACGGTGCAAACAGATAATGCGCCAACCATGGAACAGTACAACAAGTCGACACAAACTGCAGCTCTACTGATGGATCATTTGGTGACACCAGAGAGGCCGTCACAGCGCCTTCCTCCCGTCACAAGCAAATAATACTGATATTCATCAGTATCAAGTATTAGTCAACGAATAAAGTTAACACTGATTTGTTTGTACAGGGTGAATATCACATATTTCTCTTCGACTTCGGAAGTGGGCTTGATATCTGACATATAATAATTTAAAAGGAACTGGCTAATAGGAACTTTACATTAATTCATTGTCACATAGCGAGAACATTGAAGACAAAACATTGTGGGAGGACATGGAGCTCACAACATAAACTGTAGCACCGTTGTTTTCATATGTCAATTCTGCGGCTTTTCTAACCATACGTGTTCATTTTTAGCTAATATAACCGGTTCCCATCAACGGGAGCCTCTATATCCGCTAGTTCCTTGAAAACACTCCTTTCCAGTTGAGTCCACCGTGAATCGCAAAAACTGATTTCGCTGCTCAATGCATATGAGCGGATGTTTGACATAAAACAATAGGATTATCATACCTCTGTTTTGATTGCATGGGTCTTAGAACTCAAAACTTCCTCTGGAAACCTTTTTATTAATAGATCTATTAAGGAAAGGGTTGACTCCAAGGCTTTACAGAGGAGATGGAGGATCTTAGCGACTGGCTACTGAAGTTAACCAGTGTGCGTTTGATGCCTTAAAATTTCTTCTCCCCATGTAATGTCTTTCTGTAATGAACAGCAGGTACCCATTTAAATAAATTATTTGTGTGTAGAGTTCAAAGAAAAGTTCGCCGTAACAAAAGCGTAATAAAAACAATAAGTAATAAACAGTTTAGTGTTTTAAGACTGGCAGTCGTTAATGAAATGTTGTTAATTCATAAAAATTGTAGATGCTAATAAAGCAAACTCGGGGCCCCTTTATAATTCATCAACTAATTGCCTGCATGTCCAAACGAAGTCTTTGACGACCTAAAAGTACACCCTTCTGTTGTACACTCCCGAGGAAAGAGAACAACTGTTTGGATGTTTTCAGGTATTTGCTTTGAAACAGACTGAGCGGCGATCTCGGAAAACTTACCTCTTGGGGCTGCGCTGTAGACACTAAGCTTTCCTAAGTTACTCTTTTCCCTCTTTCGCAATCACAAACAACTCTACATGCATAGACGACGATGACGAGGCAAAAGTTCCTACCTTGTTGGCCATTGTTCTCGTGGTCTTTCTGTCCAATGCTGTGCTGATGTCTGTCACTTATCTCGTGTTCCTCTGCAGTGGTCACGTCAAACGAACACATTTTATAAAGAATAGATCTGCTCTTCCAATTTGACGTCTTCCCGTGATGACAAGACACATGACAAGAGTTGAATGAATCATAAAGGTCGTATTCATACACACAAAATTCACCAAAGTTTCACTGTGATATTGCGACAAGCAGCAAAGTGCGTAAGAAAATGAAAAAGAAGTGAGATCAACGTCTGATACCAAAAAAATAAAATATATGATGAACAGCTATTCTTGATTGCAATTGTCTCGGGAAAGAGGAGAGGGAAAGAGGAGAGGGAAAGAGGAAGGGGAAGGGGAGAGAGAGACAAGCAGCGGATAAAATTTAACCTAGGCCCTCTATTCAAGAAACCTGCCAAATCCGCAAAAATTTTAGGAAAAAAGCACGAAGCCTACAAGTGCGCCTTTCTAGAAACTATCTAACCCGCCCTGTCAAAAATACTTGCGTTATTTCGATATGTAGATAGCAACAAGTTAAAGGGTAATGGTTTACGGCCGGAATTTTTTAAACCTTAAATGAGAGCTTACCGACAGACGATGGTGGTTTCTTTTGGTCGGCTTCTCACCCACCGCCACGGAAAGACATTTCTAAAGAAAATTCCATTCATATATATGGTACAGTGCGGCCGTTCATAGCTTAGAGGCATTTATGTCCAGGCTTTAAATACGAAAGACCAGGGATAACTAACAGCACAAATAACAAAGAAAAAATTGAATTCACTTTTTCTCGTTAAAAATTGCTGCGCGAAGAATCCTGATAATACATATCACAACTGGTATTTACAATTACAACAATCTCTCTATTGAAAGTTTGGTCACAAAAGACAAATTAAGCTTGTTAATTACCTCATAACTGCGCGGTTAACCCAAAGGTGAATTATTCTGTTGTCGCACACACAAAATACGAGTTCTGTCTCTTTCATAAAATAACCTTTTACTTAACAATTCTTCCATGAGAGCGCGTTGGACATGAGATTTTTATGACCAATCTCGTATCCAACAAGAACGAATGGAATAATTGTCTCATCAAATTTCATTACATCCTGAAATTTTGGATATTTGAGGCTTTTTCAGCTCCGCAACAGTTAAAGCAGAGCATTTCCAAGTAAGGTGACTCGGAATATGAGCTGATAATCGGAGTTGAGTAAACCAATCAGAACGCCAGAAATGCAATATTCAGAGTTGAAAATTCAATAATAGACAATACTTATGCCCTGCTTTTCTTATGTACTGTCACCTGCGTTCTTACAAGGAGAATACCCTTGTTTAAATTACCTTGCTCCACTTATGTATATATGTATATTTAAATAAAGTTCTTGTCCAAAGGTTTGCAACCAGTAAGTCACATGCCACATCTGTTTTCATCACCGAAACTAAGAGCAGTAAATCTGCATTTCATGATTTCATGCATTTCTCGAAGAACAACCTTTTCAGGCGAATTGAAGAGTGGAACTGAAGCCTGTTTTTTAACTATGTGTATCTTCAGTAAGGGTTTACGTAATGATTGAAAGCTCCCAGAAGTTATTCAAAAAAGAAAAAAGACAACAACAATACGACTAGAAACAACAAGCCTTAAGGCGCTTCCAGGTTTAATCACTTTTTCTGTCGACTTCTTGTAACTCTTTTAGTAACAGTCTCTGTTGATTTCATAGGGGCAGTTTTTCTAGAAACCTTTTTAGGAGACGCTAAAGATTCTTCATCTTCAATGTGTTCCTCGTCTTCAAAATTTTTCGCAGAGTCCTGCAAAAGTGTAGTAGCCTCTGGAAGTGAAGGCGTGGATTTCTTTCTCTGTGATCGACGAGAAGAAAGTGTACCCGCCGCCGTGACGGGATCAGGGGACAACTGAACTTCTTTTACATCCAAAGATTTCCGTGATTTTCGAGTTTTAGGTGTCTTTTCAGCTTCTTCGCCGTTAGACGTATCAGAGTTAGGTGTTTTAACCTTAGGTACCACAGGAGTGTCGTGAGATTTTGTTTGAAACCTACCAGAGACTTCCTCAGTTGTCAAACTATCGGACACCCGAGACGAGAGAACGTCTATAACAGTATTAACCAAAGCATCTTCGGTTGATACCGAAGATTTCGTCCCTTCGTCTTCACGGGACCTATCTGCTACGACGTTTTTCTGTTCAGCCGATGACTGCTCGTTCGCGGGTGTTTCATCGTCTCCTCGACTGTCACGTTCTGACGCTTTATCATTGAAGACAACATGCTCGGTATCCGCCAAGTCAGAGTCTTTTGAGGTTAATTGCAAAGAGGTACGTGTTTGTCTCTTGACGGAAGGTTTATTAGTTCGCTGTGAGATATTTCTTGGGGCTGATCTACGACTTCTTCGGTTGCTGCCAACGTCCATTGCTTCATCCTCTTCCGCTATATTGGAAGATACTTCTACTTGACGAGATGTTATGCTTCCCTGTGGTACCTCTGGTTCTTGTGATTTTTGCGCAGATTTCCGTGTTTGTCGTCTGTTGGTGAGTACACCAGACTTCCCGTTTCCTTCTATTTCAGGTGAGGTTTCTATCTTAGGACTTTCAAAAACCACTTTTTTTCCCTCCTCCTGGCTAATGACAACAGGAGTCTCCATGGAAATGTTCTCGTACTCTACATTCTTGCTTCCTTCACTGACCCTTTCCGTGAGCACTGAACCTTCCGTCTCTGCTGCTTCCCTTCGCGTCTTCCTCGTTGGTGGCCGAGGGACCACTCCTTCCATTTCAGTGCTTTCCTGTTTTCGTTTTCTTCCCCGTCCCACTTTCCCTTGCCGTGGACCTGCCGGGGCAGTCTCTGTCTCTGAAGAAGAAACCAAACTTTCACTTAGCCCTTCCTGGGAGTCACTTCCGGTCTCCGGAGCAGCACTGCCCTGACTCAATATATCTGATGATTCAGCCTTATCAATGTCGCTCACATCCATTCCTCCTCTAGACTCTCTGTCTTGAACATCTTGAATGTCCAGGTTCTCGGCTATTGTGCTTGGTGCTCCACTCATTCGGGACCTTCTCGCCCTTCCAGTAACTGCTGGAGTTTCTTCCTCGGTTACTGTAGAATCGGTATCCTCTGTTGAAGTAGCTGGTTCGGGTCTTATGGACCTCCAAAATTGCCGGGTACGTTTGCTTCGAGCGGGTTGCATACCGAGTGACCCATCCTCCTTTTCGGAGAGTACAGAACGTACACCTTCGGTGGAAACTGTTACTTTAGGGTCTTTCATCGTTTCTGGCAAAACGCTATCAGCATCATGATTGTTGATATCGCTGGTAGAGTTGTGTTCATTCTCACTACTCTCCAACAACTGGCCATTATCTTGGTCATCTTGCTGTCCTACAATTACTGATTCTACGCTATCACTTAAGATCTCTTGTGACGCCACCACGGACTGTTCAGAGGTAGGGGTGTCTACTCCTTCATGACCAAACAAGTTTTTGTCTTCAGACGCAGTAATGATGACATTAGATTCAAAATCTATTACAAAGGAAAGAAAAGAAAGAACCAGGGACGTTAAACGAAAGACAAGGCATCAGTACGCCGAGATGAATAAGTATCACTAAAAGGTTTAATTTCCGAAACCATTAAGTGATTAGCTATCTATTTTTAAGTACTCCCATAAAACGACACAGACAGAATTGGCACCAAAATTTAATTTCCTCGTTGAGATTGAATTATTGTGACATTTGTTACCTGCGTCTTCTTCACCAGGAGGCTTTTCATCATAATCGACCATCTGTTGTCCTTCATCGCTGAGTGCATTAGGCTCTGCTTCATACTGCTGACTGACTGTTAGATGTTCCTTCTGGATCTCTTTCTTCTGGTGTTCTTTCTCATGACGAACACGGGCTTTTGCTCGGTCAATCTGGTTCAAAACCATCTCAAATCGGGCAGCTGCTACTTTACTATTATTCTCTGCAGTATCCTGCTCGGAACTCGGATCCTGTTGGGCTGGAACTGATGTGGCTGATGTTGCTGCAGTCACTGGAAGCTGCGGCCAAGGCGCTGGAGGTGTGGCTTGCGTTGGTGCTGAATGATGAGGTCTTGCCACAGGAATTGGACCATACCTTGTAGATGGGGGAGGTCGGTAAAGGGAGGGAGTATGGTAAGGGTAATTTCCCCATGTACCCGCACAGGGGACTGGAGTAATGGCTGGTGTGGGATAACCTGGAGGGGGAACTCCAGGGGGTGGAATAGCACGAAGCACCCCAGGGAGTGGTAAACTTGGAGGTGGTATCCCAGGGGGAAGAATTCCAGGAGGCAGTACCCCTGGGGGTGGAACACCGGGTGGAAATATCCCAAGGGGTGAAATACCAGGAGGGGGGATTGTTGACTGTGATGCAGCTGGTGGGGAGAAAGGATAGGTTCCAACTGGTGGTGGCGGAATGGAAGGTGGGGGATAGTACGATCCATAATAACTGGGATATGCTGGTGTGTAGCTGAGAAGGAAAAAAGAACAGCAAAGTCAAAAAGAAGATCTGCATTTAAAAAACATCACAGATCGAAATGTTGATAAGAATCATCTTTCACTCACCCATGGTAAGGAACTGGTGGAGGAATCCCAATAGGTGGTGGGTACCTTGTTGGAGGAAGCCCCATGGGAGGAGGGTAGGATGGGTATCTAGGAGGTTGTTTGAAGGGTACAGCGGTTTGTTTGGTGGATTTGTTTGAGGTAGGTTTAGCTGTCGTGGCTGTGGCGGATGAAGATGTGGTAGGTGGCAGTCCAAAGATGAGTTCAAGGTTTGCAGTGGACCAGTTCAGGTTGAAGCCATACTGACATTTCTGGCACTGAAAAGATGGTGGTTCACTGTCACCTAATTTATGTCATGCAGGAGATCAAAAGAACAAGTTAGTTTATGGGTATAACTTCGTCCCAAATCAAATTCAGCATCAACTTCATCAAAACAAAGGGGAAAAAAGCGTGGATATAAGACTCGATAAAGCTACAAATTATCAGAAATAAAACAGTAATTCATCTCCAGTTCATTTCAAACAATCCAGTCAAGTATTATTCAGCTATTACTTCATCAACCTGTTGGCCCAAATGCATCATCATTCAGGATCTTTGGATGATGAAGGCATTCCTTTTTTGTTTTGAAGTCAATCTTTTAATCAATTTGCTTCATTCCTGATACCCCAGCAAAAGACTACCAAGCAAGTAGACTCCCAGTTTGTTCATCAAAATTAAATGAACAAGGAGCTGGAGCAATATCAACTAACAAAGGATGTACCTGCTTTTGTTTAGCTTTATAGTTGGGTGAATTTGCCTCGACCATTTGTCCTTTAAGATTAGGAAAGATCTTTTACCAAACCCAACATGAGCTTTGAAGCCCCCATGTAGCCTGACAAGTAGATGTCATTTAGAGTTACATTGTATGGTTAGCTTTTATTAACAGAGTCCATTACAAAACAAAGGCTGTATGTATAGTTGAAATGTCAGAAATTAGAGTCTGACAGGATCATTCCAAAATCAGAACTTTGGAAACTGCACAATTTCAGGATGCAAAAAACATACACAATTTATGAATTTTATTTAAAACTTTATGTAGCCATCCTCCTAGGGCTGGGTGGTACCGTAAAACAAGTGACAATTGTGATTCAGGGCCCCCATAAGTGAATATCACAAGTCATAGGAAAAGCAAGTGACATGTAATTTTTTTTAACTGAGTTTCCTGTCAGACCACTTCTCTCCTTGGAGGCTCTGGATACTTATGTGGGGTAGGGGGTAGGGTAAAGAGAGCATTCACAGTAATCTTAATTGTGGCAATGTCTGGTCTTGGGCTTAAAATAAATACAATGGTAGGGGTCAACTCTTGAAATAGTGTTAATTCAAGTTCAATTATTGGAAAATCTGACATATGTCCTGAAATGTACCAGAGTTAGAGGACATTTTGGAAAATTGTTTTTCATGAAATAGTTTTGTTTATAGTGTCAAGTAAAATTGTATCCTCTTAAAACTCTCCCATTGTTTTTCCAACTCCAGCCATCATTGCAAACTGGCTTACCCTGCCTGTGACTTTTGTCTGGGTCTTCTTTCACGAAACTTTGTTTCATGATGTAGTGAAAAAATAGATGATAATTCCAAATAATCAATTCAACAATTGATTATATATAAGTGGGGAAGTCCCTCTTCCCAGAATTAAAAATCTATAATTCTTTCTGAACTACTTCAGGACTCTTTCATGTGCCATCCCTCTTGCGTGGTTATAAACTGTGACATGATGCAGACTGACAGAGAGTAACACTTTAAGGACATGTACTTTAAATAGCTTTAAAACAACACAAATAATAATTTGTTATCCTTTCTTGGAAGGAAATAAATTTTATTTCAATTTCACACCATTTGATTCTGCAGTGTTATTTTCAAACTGATAGAGTTATTCCTCTACCTGTTGAATTTTCAAGAATTTGAAGCCATTTATGGCAGTAATAAGAGGTACTACTGGTGGTACTTCTTACTAGCTACCACCTGAAAAGGAGAACACTGATTATAGAGCAATAAAAAGTAAATTTTCCATTCCTTACTATCTGTGCTCACCCATTTTACCTCACCTTTAGCCATTTTAAAAGCCTGATTTCTTTTGAGCAACTGTTGAAGACTTTGAGGTAGATCAGTATCTTTGGTGTTTTCTGACACCATGATGATGTATTTAACATCTGAAGAGTCACAGTAAGGGCAACGCCCATTGGATGACACAGGATAGCTGCTAGCTTCTGTTGATGGTGTTTTGTTACTAGTTGTTGCCGTGGATGTTGCAGTGGCTGTTGATGCTGTCACATTGACCACTGAGCTTCTTATCAAATTGCTTGATGATGTACTAGGTTCTGAAAAATTGTCTGAATCAGATACAACAGAAGAAGCTTCCTTGTGTTTGTCATCATCCTCATGATCTGCATGGTCTGCTGCATCTTCATCTTCATCTTCACTGTTGTTCTGTTGAGACAGTTTTAACTCTTCTTTAGCAAGCATTTGTTTGATGAGTTCTTCTTCATCAATGTCATCCTCCTCATCCTCATCATCTTCTTCAGTTTCATCCTCTTTGTCTGATGAACCTGAGAGGGTAGAGATGGAAGGTAAACTCCCTCACAACTTTTCCAGTGTTTCTCTATTCTTAAATTACTTTCCAGGACATTAACTTACGAAGATAAACAGAACTCATTAACTAACAGAGTCATCTAACATATAATCCAGAATGAATACCACACAAAATTGGATGAATGTGATAACAAGAGGATATACATACTTTGCATTGTTGGGGTTTGAGAAGCATTTCCTTTTTCATGACTTTTTTGGCCTCGTAACTCATCCAAAACATATAAGGTGTTATCTGATGATTCACTTTGACTGGAACCTTCATCAGTTGCATGAAAAGTGAAATCAGACATAAACATTCAGTATGCTTGAAAGACTTATTGAATACCTAATCTAATCGACCAAAAAGTAAACTTAGAACAACCTGAAGGTTGAAATATCTTTACCATTGAGATAGTAACATGATAGAACAACAAGATGGCAACATTAGAAATTTATGATAACCAAAAATATAAATTGACATTTGTGTTGAAAGTTCAAAATAATATAAAAAAAATACTAACCTCGAAAGCGGCTCTCATCTGGGCCTGATACAGGTTTAAATGCCTTCTCGGGGTGAAATTGATGCAAGAAAGATACATGTATGATGATTGATCATCTATTCCACAACAGCCACAGATAACCACCTCCATTAGATATCATGCACAGACAGATATCCAATAGTAGTCCAGTTTAAAAACAAAACTTGCATGATTCAAGATAAAATATGTGCACTGCATACATATAGAAAGGTTTTCTGCAGTACTTTTAGATAAAAAATTTCTTTGAGTAGTTGAGGAACATTGCATTTTACGTGTGACTCTTACTAAAAATGTTGTTTAATTATAAATTCCTTTGATTCAGTCAGATACAAGAGAGAAATAGCAAGATTTGAGATGACATACATAGATCAAAGGCCAAACCTTTCATAAATAAGAGTCAGGGGAAGGAAAAGAATTGCAACATATCAAAAAAAAAAAAAACAAAAACCACACATACTGCTACACACCTGCATTGGATTGTCTAGAGACTCCAAAATTTGTCTCAAGGAAACATTGCTCCAGTTCACATTAAACCCAGCACCCAAAGGATCAGGGGGGCAGAATCCTCGGCATAGGAAAGTTGGTGGATCCTATGAGCATTGAATGTTTTTAAACATTTATAACAAGAGCAGGGCCAAGGAAATCTGAATTCTCTGTCCTGATATGACACCTAGGCATTTTAATTTATCAGTCACATGCTCTATCGGTTGAAATCCAAAGAACTCCTTAGAGAGGTACAAGAAGCCATTTTCGAAATGCAAAAGGCCTCTGTTTTAGTCTAAGAGTACATGTACAATGTAAGTGCAAAGCTTTTGATTAACCCTTGTTAATTCTCCCTTCTAGCTGCTACACATTTCCTTTGTAAATTGGTTCTGAGAACTTGGTGCTAGATCAAGATAGCAGCTTCTACCTGATAAGTTTGAATATTCTCATTACCTGTTTGCTGAATAATGTACATATATTATCGGAGGAAGTTTCATGTTAATCACTTCTGGGAGTTAAAGGGTTAAAGAAAATTCATCCTCATATGCAAATTATTAATTTTCACAAAACAGCCTTATTTTGAAAGTTAGTGTTCTTAAAACTGGGAATTGCCTATTGCTACCAGAACTATTGACACAACTGCACTGATTTCTTTGTAGTTCTTTCCCTTCCACCCCTGCCCCACACAGTTTTTTTTTTTGTTTCAAGTTTTAAGTACAGCCACATGGTGAAGATGTCACCTTACCTGATATCCTTCTTTTTCTTGACTTGACCACAGAATAGCTCTTCCTTTGGCTATCAGGGAGTGCAGAATTTCAGGCATATCCCCCATAGGAAACAATCTAAAATACATTAGAATTCTGGTTAAAATGTTCAACAAGGTGCACAAAAAAGGTCTTACAATTAATCTTCCTTCTATAGTTTAGCAAACCATGATCACCTTCATCAAATATGGAAAGTGTACAGTGTTACAAGCAATCACAATGGGAATCAAGACATGCAAAGAACTATCCAAACAACGAACTACTCAGTATTAACCCTTTCCATCCTTAAATCAGTATACACATTCTCCATACTGTTCTCCATACATTTTCTAAGGTGCTGATAAGGAGAATTTGTTGAACAATCTAAAGCCTCTTTAGTTGGTGATCATTTCCTTTATTCTCAAGAAATAAGATGTGCATCACTCTTATGGGTAAAAAAGTTAAATTGCGTGCAGTGAGGTTTCTCTCACTCCTGATTGGTCTTCTTTTTCAAGGCACATGAACAGTCTTAAAGCATTTTAGGTATTCATGGTTTACTAAATTTTGTGGTGGTAAGAAAACATACTTATCCAGTATGACATAGAGCCTGTTTGAATTCCCACAGCGAGGACACAAACCATCCTGAGAAACAGTATACTTTGTCCCTCTCAAGTCAGTTCCTTTAATCCTATCATCCATATCTATGATGTCAACACTGCAAGAGAAACATAGATTGCAGCTGTTGTATACCATTATTAAAATACTTCATGGAATTAAAATATTTTTCACTAAGAATTCTCTTGGTGACGTGCAGCAAACTTGGAATCTGCATAATTTTAGTTTAATTAGTCTCGTGACCATGTATGTCTTTTGTGTTTATTCCTTTTACATAGCTTACTTATTCATTTTCGTACATCACTTTTGTACTTCAATGTATATTTTTAAACAGGAAACAAGTCATTTGTATGCTTGGGCTAAACTTCAGAATACCCGGCCATTTTGGTCTGCCTCACTTACATGTGTCGGGAGGCTTTGAAGATCGAGGCATAACACAATAGACGTTATTCTTAATCAATGACATGTAAATGAGTGGCCGGGTATTCTGAAGTTGCTCCCACGTTGTGTATATTTTTTCCCAGTTTTTCCCGTCCCTAATTTTTTTCGGATTTCCTGGGTCACACGCCACCATATAAAAATGAACATACCACCAAATCAAAATACATTCATGATTTTGAAAAAATAAAACTAAACAATTATAAAACAAAAAAAAGGAAAAATAAAAGAAAACACACTTCATCATTTTCCAGAATGATTCATATGCTGACGGTTTAAAAGCCTGTAGGAAGGCGAGAAATATTCAAGCGAAGGCACCAAACTGAAAACTCGATTACTGATACTTTCCGCCATGTTGGTACCTATCCCAAAGTGCTTGAGGGCCTTAGCAAATAGCTGCTCATGCGCAGCTTAAAAAGCGCGAAAAAAACAAAAATGGCGGACGATGGAAGAGTCTCGGTTAATAGCAAACAAACAGTTCTTAGAATTCACGATAAAATTAAAAAGGAAGTGCATGAAATAGCAAGTAAGAAGTCTTGGAATGCGCAACAGAAAGAGGAATTTGAGAGAAAGCTGCTCGAGGTTGGCGGATTCTCTGATTTTCCTTGCATGAAAGAAATTTAAGCTTGATTTTTAAATGTACAAGGGTGCCAAGAACATGTCAGTGTCTTGCAATTTAGTGATTTACGTGTAAATGTTAATTTTGACTGCTTTTCGCTTGATCAAGCTTTACAAGGAATCTGTTGAGGAAACTATCAAAGAAAACGTAACCATTGGCGGTCAGGCCTGGGATAATGTAGGCGAGTCAGAAGCTTCAAGTAGTTCTCTTCTTCAGGAAGGTGTGTGCATGCGTATTAGAAAGTTTATATTTTGTACATTTGAGTGATCTTTATTCTAAGCGTATGTGAGCGATGTAATAAAGTCTAAGACCGAGGGCGCACAAGCTTGGAGCTTTTCAAGTCGCTGTAATGAATTTTGGCTAACTTGAGCCATAACATGCTCGCTATAAAGAAGATTTTGATTTAGTCCCCTGTGAAATGATTTTTTTGCTATTTTACGACTTGCTCTACAGCTTGACACACTGCTTGTCACTGAAACAAGCAAATTGGCTGGAAATGATTAATGGAAGTCCATTGCACTTCTTGATAGATAGTATATCATACAAAAGTTTATCACTCTTTAACTCTTTAACTCCCATGAGTGACTAAGACAGAATTTCTCCTTACAATGTCAATACAATATCAACCAGATAAGTGATGAGAATAAGGAAAAATATCAATTTGAAGAAAATAAGTTGATCCAATACTAAATTCTCTGAACTAACATTTTAAAAAGTATATGGTTGACAGTAAGGAGAATTACAAATTTGATCTGGGAGTTAAAGGGTTAACTTCAGACCACAATCTCAAGGTAATTCTGGTTGTTGAATTTGTGGCAAATTTAGCTGTTAAAATTTTTCTTGACATGGCAACCAAAATGTATTCAGTCCACTTGGAGAACTGAGACCATAGACATGACAAAATTTTTCAGGTAACATAACACTAAACTTCCAAAGAATCTGCATTATATATAACTCATCTTCTAACTCCTGTTATTCACAATAATAACACAACATTCAATGGAATAGAACCCAAAATGCCAGAAAATAGTACTGTTAGAGTCTAGACTGTCAAAATTTCTCAAGGATGTTCATACTTTTTGGGAAGAGCAGGCCTTCTAGGCTTTCAAAACTACCAGCTGCCTGCCATTCTTAACTACCCTTCTGTTGCAAACATTTTGGAGTTCACTGTGCAGTGCTAAAGACCCTTTAGTTGCAGAAGTTGCAGAAGTTTTTTGGTTCTTCATGAGTTGTGTTATGACCTATCTTAAAAATGTTCTTCAGTCCTTAATGATTACTGGTCCTTAATTTGCAGAAGTGGAGCCCCTAAACAGAGACAGAATTACAGAAGTTCTTCAAATATGTTCTGAACTGGATGATATGATCAGAGATACCACACAGAAACGTAAAAAATATCCTCAGCAGATTGTTGAAGGAGTCGGTAACATTCTCCAGAGCCATAAGGAATTTTTGGTGAGATGATCAATAACAGTACATTTACACCAAACCAGAGCCTTATTCACAGACTGACAAACCCTCACGTTTCAAGCAGTATTGAATTTGAGACCTCAGCTTTTATTTTCACTGCCTCTTAAGTAGTGTTCATAAATGCAATGATCACTAATCTGCAAGTCAATTATATGATATTCTTATATCCACAACAGAACATTCTCTGTAGCAAATTAAATATGCATTGTTGTCAGCTCAAGTAAAAAATTGTAGATATTTTATTTGTATCTCTGTTCCAATCAAAATACATGGTAGATGGCGATGTACAGAGAGAATAAACAACTTTATCAATAAATGAATTGCATTAATAAAATAATTGTAATCTTTAATGAGGATGCTAACGTCACGAAGTGGTTTACAGAAGGGTCCTCAGAAATCTAACGATTTCTTGTGTATTTTTACCTGTAGGAAAACTATCAGCCAATGATTAAAAGCAACTTATTGTCTGGTGGGTCCAATGTCATAACACCAGGTGAGGCAACAATTTTTGTTCATTTTCTATCTGTAAGACCTTTTTTTTAAATTTTATTTTACAACATGGGATGTTGTCCATAGAAGAATAATTCAGCAGAAGTCTTAACTTATAGTGAACTTTTTCATGTGTGTTGGGCAGGTACTTACCCTTTTGAATGCTTGTGGTGGATGTATTGAATGGTCATGAAGTGTTTTTTAATTGTTTGATTTTCAACTTTTATTTTAGATTTGGAAGAGTGCATACAGAGATTACAAGGAGCAGCATCTGATGTTATGCAGCTATCAAAGGTGTGTTTTTTATTAGAAAAAAATGACAGAGGGGTTTGAGGTACATGTAGTTGTATACAAGAGTACATTGTGGCTTTTGTTGACTGGCTTAGCATGGTTCTGAAGTTTTTTTTAAATTTATAATTAAGTGTTTTTGTTGTTTTCAACAAAATCTCAATGAGAGAGAGAACTCCCACTTATGCTTCCACATGAACTTTGTTTACTGGAATGTAAAATTTGCCTTGAAAGTTGCCTCCGAAATAAATGACCTCTAAGCCATTTTAATTCATTTTTGATTGGTTAACAGTATTTTTTCTTTTCTATTTTTGTTCTAGTCTTTTCCTGAACTTCACAGCAAAGCTGAACGTCTTCAGCAAGCTGTCCATTCCCGTCAAGCCATGCAGGAATGTGAGACTGATGGCGTTTTATTTGCATTGGAAAATAAGAATGAGACTTTGAACTCATCTTCCACTGAACCAACAGTGTTGCAAGATGATGAAAGCACTGAAAAACTGAAGATGGTAGATTTTCTGTGGTGGGGTGGGGAGAGGCGCAGGTCACGCCCTCCTGTGAGATTTGATGCTTCTCAAAATACTTATGGCCCGTGAATTTATGGCTATCTTATTTAGTCACAATAATAAGTGATTAGTTGTTTTAGCAGTTGCTGTAAACTGGCATGTAGTTTCATATCCTTTGTACAGAAAGTATGTTCAGGAGTCAATTTTTATTTATGATACTTTTGTTGTTGTTTTTTTTTTTTGGTACCATGATCACTGCTTTTAAGGAAAAGATAATGTTATATTTTATTTTGTACTTGCTGATTCAAATTAATTTTTAACCTTTGAAGGTTAAATAGGAAAACTGAATATTTCTAAATTCAATTTTGTACACTTAGGGTATAAAAATTATAGATTAGATGACCTGGTTTTCATGCTGCAAGTTTTTTGCTTCCCACTTTCTTCTGTTGCTAAAGAAGATAAAGAATTTAAAATATTGTGCAAAAAAAACATTTGCTTGTAGCATATTTGCTGCATTGAAAAATGTAAGTGTCCTATTAAGTGTTAATAGTATGGATAAATTTGATACAGTTTTGGGCAAAAAATCTACCAGTAATACACTCACTCACAGTAGTGAAAGTTCAATGTAAATAAAAGAAAATTCCTTGGTTGTCACAATGGCAGTATATGAAAACTTCATTTATTAGAAATTAATAAATAAGTTTTTGACCAGTAAGTCGCATTATGTATTTACTCACTCACTGTAGTGAAAGTTCAATGTAAATAAAAGAAAATTCCTCGGTTGTTACAATCACAGTATATGAAAACTTCATTTATAAGAAATTAATAAATAAGTTTTTGACCAGTAAGTCCCATCATGTATTTCAAATATTGATGTCATGTTCATTATCAGACAGAGTTTTTCATTAATCATCTTTGCAGTAGTTGTCTGTTTGAAGAGAGAGTGCTGTTTGACTATACAAAACAGTTCCTGCGAGGAAGACTACTCTCCATGTGGGAATTTAGGATAAATGTCTGAGCAGTTGAGGGTGGAGGTAGGGAAAGAGTAGAGTCATTTCTTTCCTAAGAGAGACTAGCATCTAAATTCTCTTTATGATATCAACCCCAAACTGCATAGTAAGGTCACAATAATAAAAGAACTGATCACTAACTAAAAGAGCTCGTGATTGTTTAACAAATTCTCCCTGTCAACATCTTAGGAAAAGTAAAGAGATAAGTGGGGAGAATACCCACAGTGATGTTAGTGTCAGGGGTTAAAGTGAAAGGTGATACTTTGAGCACAAAACATGTGGACAACTGGATAAAGAGCAGTTTATAGAAGGGGGGGAGGGGGTGAGGAATCTACCATTGTCTGTATTCCATTCCAGATCGTGAAAAAAAAATGAAAAAAGGAACAATTTAAAATAAGAATGTTTAAAGTATTATGTCTCTAAGTTTATAGCTCTCTGGATCCTTAGCAACTGTGAGCTTGACAGAGTATCAAAGTCGTCAGTTGATCAACTGAGGTTATGCCTGGGATTACAAAGGATAACTTGAGAGCCATTGTAATAATAATGGGAAACAGGATGGGGTGAACATACCTGTAAATATTGTAGTGTTTGTTTATACAGTAGATACCTGAATTGATTTAAGAATTACAGATGGTCCTGCCTGTCAGTAATGGGTAGAAATAAATTGGAAAAAAAAAAATTTAGGACACTTGTGTAAAACGATTTCAAATCACAAATAAATCATGGGGTTCCCTTTCATATTTTCCTCATTACAAGATAAGTGATGTGTAGAGACAAACTGTTATCCAGTTCCCAAAGGTGCGCGCGGGGATGACAGAACGAGGAGAAACTGGAACAAATAATTCGCGTTGGTATACATTCCATTCACCTTACACAACATGTACCTCCGATTTCTAAAATGGCGAACGTTGAGGAGACGGCGACCGAAAACGACATTGAGAATTATGATATGCCTCCACCTAATCTTCCGACAAAACCTCCAGACCAGGCAAAACTTACAAAGGAAGAATCAAAATCGAAACCTTTATCAAAAGAAAAGAAGGAATCGGTGCCGGAATTGCCCTACAAGGAACCATCGTGGAGTGGTATCCCAGACGAATTCTACAACTTGGAAGTTTTGAAGAATGGATGCATAATAACAAATGTTGATCTCACTAGTAAACCTTTTCATGTGTTTGGAAGGCTTCCTAATTGTGATGTTAGCTTAGAACATCCTTCGGTTTCTAGATACCACGCAGTGATTCAGTACAAGACGAGCGATACTTCAAACAGCGAGAAGGGTTTTTACCTCTATGACCTTGGTAGCACACACGGAACATTCGTCAATAAGTCAAGACTTGAATCTAAACGTTACTACAGACTGCGTGTAGGATATGTGATTAAGTTTGGGGGAAGCTCCAGATTATTTATTCTCCAGGTAAGCTCGAATCTGAAATGGTGCAGAAAAAATCTAATTATTATAGTGGTTTGTGTTTGATTGATTCGATCCATTCATCATGTGAATTATTGTGTAAAGATGCGTGTATTGGTGAAAGCACACACACATACCGTATTAAGAATGTACATTAAAAAGATTACGCGCTTCTGATTGGTTGAAAACGAGTGTATTTTCATTTAACACGAGTGTAAAGTTGTAACATGAGTGCAAGTTACAACATGATTTCTCGTGCAATTTGGTGTAAATAAGCACTAATAAATTTTCCAAAGACTAGGGCTCATACAATTTTGTTGTCTTTGAAAAATTGACTTGTGCTTATTAACACCAAATTGCACTCAAAATCATGTTGTTACCTGTACCTATAACATTAGGCACCCAACCTTGAATAAGTGCCCACCTCGAATAAGAGCCCACTTAGAATAAGTGCCCATCCTGTGGGTAGAAAAAGCTAAGCACCTAGTCTCTAGTAAGTGCCCATTTCAAATCGTTGAGTGTACTTCTCTCCATAATACTACGTTATTTTGCTTTTGTCTGCAGGGCCCTGAAGATGGTGAAGAATCTGATTCAAATGCTGCTATACAAACAGACAGACAAACAGAAGTCAGGAGCAGTGAAGTAGGCAGAGTTATGACCGAAGAGGAATATGAAGAATGGAAGAAAGAAAGAGAGGGAGGAAAACAAAATGAAGAAGATACAGGAATTGATTGGGGAATGGGTAATAATTTATATTGAGTAAAAATTTATTCTGCATTAAAAGAGAAGAGAAGTCTTATTTTGGCCATTTGCTAACTTGTCTTCTAATAACCGACCCACTGAGTTTTTTTAACTGTTACACAAGCACTACTGATGTCATGAAAGGGGTAAGGTTTTCTTGTTTTTGAAAATTGCATCAAGTATGGTATAGCTTGCTTTGCTTTCACTTGTATCTGAGAATTCTGAATTGTTCATTGCATATTAAGTAGAATTATAAATTTTGAGCCCTCCAGCAAAATTAAATGGTTTCCCTTTTCAAAAATAAATATATAGCACTTATTACTTGTGATGTAAGTGGTCCCTTGCAATGATCATATCCTTTTACTTAATTCCTTAGGGGAGGATGCTGTTGAAGAGCCTGCATATCCACCTGATTTTGGTGAAACTGAGAAGGCTGAGGAGCATCATTTCAAAGATCCTAAGAAGACTTTGAGGGGATTCTTTGAAAGAGAAGGTTTTTAATATTAATAATGATTGTGGTTCTTTATGAAATTTTTTGTGTCAATAGTGTTCCATTTATGTTGTTTATTTTTTCTTTGTTCTATGTTCAGTGACTCTGATTAATTGTGCTGTAATATTTTATTGTTATGGTTGTCAGGGCTGGAGTTAGAGTATGATGTGGAAGAGAAAGGTCCAGGTCATGCAAAAGTTTTTCACTGCAGAGTAAAGTAAGTGAAATTTTTAATGTGGAAGTGACATGGCCTTTATGGTAAGAGTACTGGATTTGAAAACTGGAGGTCCTGGGTTCATATTGTCCACTTTTTGTCTCAAGAAGATTTGCTGCTCTATAGTTTTGAGTCCTACTCCATTGCTATGATTTATGTCTAGTAGAATTTGGGGTATTGGTTTAAATGTTATACAAAAATACAAAATTTATGTTTTATTTTCTTTGGTTGGTGATTTAATACCATGACCTATAAACAAAGTTATTACTATTATAGTTATAACCAATAGTATGAATAATTATTATACTTATTAACTCTCATGATATCATTAACACTATGGTAATCGCATTTCAAATAATGACTATAATAATTTTGATATGATATTTTATTAATAACATAACCCTTTAAACCCTAATGGTGACAAGCATCGTTTCTCCTCACAGAAATACAGAATCATTCATTAAGATCATAAGAATGAAGGAAGTGTCAAACCAACAAGCTCTGTTTGATAAACAAATTCTCCTTGTCAACACAAAAATAAATGTATATTGAAGAGTGTGGAGAATATGAAGATTGACCATGTTACATTTTTTATAGATTGCCAATAGATGGGCCAAGTGGTGATCCTCTTTATGCCGAGGCTGCTATCACAGGAAGGAAGAAGGAAGCAGTATTGGAGTGTGCGAAGGAGGCATGTCGAATGCTGGATGCTGCTGGCCTCCTAAGACAGTCCTCTCATGGTAGTGGACCACTTTATATATTTGTATCAGTCAGATAAATTCATGGTTGATTTTAATAATCATAAGAAATTATATGTTTCATTTATTTCTCTTAAGTCAGTTTCAAGTTGGAGATGGATTCTATTAAATGTGTTAATTCTAGTTCTGTTGTTTCCTGTGCAGAGAGTAGGAAACACAAAGAGAAAAATTGGGAAGAAAATGATTTTTATGACAGTGATGAAGACAATTTCTTGGATAGAACTGGATCAGGTCAGTTGTAATTTGTTGCTGATAAATATCCGTGTTGAACCAAACATAAATTGTTAATTTACAAGGAAACGTGAAGCAGCCTGAGTAGAGAATTAACAATCAGATCTTGGGGGTTTAATTGTTAATAGCTTTGACTCTTTGATCTTATAGTTGAGAAGAAAAGAATACAAAGAATGAAGCGTGCCGGTAAAGATCAGTCCACCACAGAAACTTATGAATCTTTGGTAAGATATTTAAACACTTTTACAAATTAGATCAATGTTTACATTAATTTATTGCATTGTGACAGTTGGAACTATGTCCATATTTCCCTGTTCCTTGTTATCTTTACTTAATGCATTGAATTGCTCTGGGTTTTCTACAAGTTCTCAAACTTAAGACCCCTTGCCCCAATATTGTGGCAGAATTCCCCCTTACCAACTAAGCTGCAAAGGACTCTTTGGTGAGCCAGGAAAGGTGGTAGAGTCACATAAAATTATGAGACTGTCTGTATATAACAAATTCTTAACTTTGTGTTTTTATTGCTCTGAGCAAGACTTCAAAGCTTCAGATGTTGGATGATGAAATTTCAGATTGTGAGAGTAGATTAAAGCAAGATGCAGCAGGTAAGTTTTTTGTAAAGTGGATTTATTGGTTAAGATAGATGTTCTGAGAAATTCCATTTTGCAGGTGTTTGCTGCTATATTTTACTAGCCCTTTGTACTTGCAAATTCTACATGTGATTTTCAAAGAGGATTAGAATTTGTCAGTGAGCATTTTCAACCTAATTTCCAGAGCAGTTTTTATTAATTGACATCTCATTTGGTTTGACTACTTCATGTTTTTTAGGAAGAAATGGTTCAATGTCTGGAGATGCTGACTCTTTGGATGATTTCATGAGCTCGCTTGGAACATCACTAGACAAGACAACAAGGACTCAGATCAGAAGAAAAATATTTGACCTGAAAAAGGTGAATTTAGTAATAACTTTAAATTTACCATGAGTAACTGTGTGATTTGAGACTACATTGGTTTTGCTTTTATGTTGCTTTGTGTTTGATCTTGAAATAATTTTCACACAAAGCCAAGAACATGTCTTTCCCTTTGGCCTCTCAATGTGTCCCTTCAAGATTTTTGTTACTACTTTCCACTAGTTTTGGTTCACAATACTCAATCAGTAAAATTGCCTTTTATGCATGTAATGTTAAGTGGTAAAGGTATGAGAAAGGTCATGATGAGAAGATATGTAAATGCATAATATCTCCATTATTTTCTAGGAGAGACAAAGACTGGTCAAACTTGTTAATATTGCCAAGCCAGCTAATCTTCCACCAGTTGCAGAGTAAGAGGAATTTTCAATGGCAAATGTGAAATCTTATTTTAAACAATTTGCGAGAATATTCCACCCTCACATCTGTGTATTTACCATGAGCTGCGTCAAAATAACTTAATTTTAAAATAGAGTGTGCAATTAGACCTAAATTGCTGCATTTCTAAATTTGGTCCACCTAGTATTGTTTGGTGTTTTTTTTTTGTTTTGTTTTGAGGTTAATTAAAAATCACTGAAAAAATGTCAATTACTCCAAGGCAAGTTGCTACAAGCTGATACTTGTATTAACACCTTCATTAGCTATTTTTAACAATTGTTTTGCTTTCCAGGCAAGCACATGATAACAATCTCAAAAAATTGAGCACAGAATTTGAAAGTAAAGCTACTGACTCTTCATCAAGTAAGACAGCAGATATAAACACAGATTCTAGACACACATTCTCAGCTATGCCAGAAGAAGAAAAACAAACCAAAAGGTCAGCTGATAAGGAACATTTACATGAAAAGGTACTCAGGGACAACAGTCAATCAGATCCTACAGAACAGAAAGAATTTGCTGTTCCTGTTTTGCCTGCTTTGGGTGGAAGGAAAAAAAATCAACAAAAAAAGGATGTTGTAGTGCCATCAGACAGTGACAAGACTGTAGACGTAGAAGAAACAGAAAAGTTTGGGCAAGAAGAAGATGGGGAAAGTGAACTAGGAATGAAAAGAGTCAATTCAGATGGAGGGACAGAATTGCAGGAAGATGATAAGAACAGAACAGAAGAAAATGTAAGCTGTGAATATTTCCCCTAAAATATGTATTGTATATACATTTATTGTCAACGTCAAGTGGGAAGTATGATGGTATAAAATTATGTGATGATAATTAGGAAAATGCTACTTAAGAGAAAGTAAAATGATCTACAAATCCCCTCTATTCAAAAAGGGTAACTGAAATCTTATGTTGTAGCAGTTACTTTCACCACCTCATTTTTCTTTGCTTTTTTTCCTAGAATGAAGATATTCCAAAAAAGAGAAGAAAGATGAAGAAACGGTCATATGGTGTGCCCACACAGTGGCAGGCTGATAGTGACCCTTCATTTACTGCATGGATGCCTCCTGAAGGTTTGTCCACTTGTTGACTGTTGAAAGTGACTGGTTGTACAGTTCTTATAACTTAGGGAAGTGTTCCTCCAAAGGACAAGAAAATGTTTGTGAGGTGCAAACTAAGGAAGTTGAAAGGTGGTATGGTCTAAATGATCAGTTAAAGTAAAACACCAAGGTACATATACTGCCTTTCATGCCATCTGTTCAGTAACAGTCTCTGATTCAGGGAGACCCAGGTAGACATGGCCACAAGTCAAGCTGACAAAGTCGCTCTGACAAGGGGCTCATGCCTGAAACTCAACTATAGAAGGCTATAAAAGTGACTAGTTCACAATATCAACTCAGTTGATAAATCCAGATTATCCTGTGCAGCCTGCACTGAAACAGCACCACATTCTCTTTAGAAGCTTACCCCATTTATGCAAAGGCTGAGTTTTTGACTAGAAAAGTTTCTGCAAGGCTCAAAAACTATGTTGAGATCAAAATAGGAGCCTACCCCAACAACTGGAATGGCTGAGGAAAATGTATCTTATCAATGAATGGGAATTTCCTGGTAACAAAATAAAAATTAATTGGTGTTTGTCATGGTCAGAAGTTGTCTTAGTTGACTAAGGTGGCACTGGAGGATTTTTCGGACAAGATTGGTGATTTAACCCATAAATTCTCAAGAGTGACCCAGACAGAATCTCTCTTTACATTATCAATACAATTTCAAGAAGACAAGTGTTTGGAATAATGAGAAACATCATTAAGGGGATTATTAGTGATCCAATACCAAATTCTCCAAACTATCATCATCGGAATTGTATGGCAGACAGTAAGGAGAATTATTAATGAGATCTTGGGAGTGAAAGGGTGAAGATCAACACCAAGAATATGAAATAGTAAGTGACCAAGCTATTAATGATCTTTTTGTTTTGGTTCTCAGGTCAGACAGGGGATGGAAAAACACATTTGAATGAAAAGTTTGGCTACTGACGAGTCTTTAAATGAATAGAGAGCAGTTTCATAACAAAATTTGTCTCAGTTGATTTATTTTCAATGTGTAGTAGTATTGACATCAGCAGTAGACTGAAACCCAGGTTGCTCATAAAGAATTTGAGGACCTTGGTTTTCATCAGTGTCCATTTTCTTGTAATTCTAACCTAACCCCAACCCTACCCCCCCCCCCTGACAAAATGGTGGAAGACAGGGAATTAACAGCCATAAACAACCTGGTTATGGTGTGTGCACACATCTTCAAATTAAGTTGTCATGTCTCATGTCATGAGAAAAAGTTGTCCTGCCTGCCAGGGCTAGCCTACCTGCCAAAGTGAGACAACTCACCCCCCTTTCTCCCCTCCTTTAGTTGACCCACTGACCTGAGATAAGTTGACAACCTCATGTGAGTGGTGGACTGAATTTTGTAAAGAAGTAAGTGAAAGGTTAGCTTGCCTAGCATAACTCAGTGGAGGGGGGGGGGTTGTTACAGTTACTCAAGATCATATAAATGGGGCCTTAAAAGGACCATAACATTCTTTGCACATGACACAATGGATGATTGATTTTGCAATCCAATAGGACAAGAAATCTTCAGCAAGATATCTTTACTAGCTCAGTGTTTAACAGACGGTACAAATGGCATGTAGCATGATGCATTAAGGGTGCAACTTAGACTTGTGTACAAAGCTCATAAGAGGCTGTGGCCTGTTACAATTGTACTGGTGATATGAGATGTTTCTGTAATATTGGCTCCAATTAAGCAAACTGCTGTATTATCTTACAGAAATAAATTTTTAAGTGGCCAATTAAGATTATCAACTCACTCAATAAAACCAAAGTATTTTCACTCATAATACTGTCCACTAGAACAGCATCATAGTTTCTTCAGTAAACTTACCACCTTAATTCATACAGCTAAGTTCAATTTTGACATTACGTGTTCAGGACCAAAGCAAACAAAGATGACATCGAACCTGGATGTAATTTTTTTTTTTTTTTCCTGTTATCCAACTCAGTTTTGTGCAAGTCGCCCTGAACTTGGTTCAACTGTCTGAGAACTATTACGTCATCCATGGTTATGGTGGATGTTCAAGATTGTTCGAAGCAATGTTAGGCCAGCGCCGAATCGTATTGTACAAGTTTCTCAAGCTTAAGTGTCCTTTTTATCCTCTTCGGCTTTGTCCAGTAACAAAGATCTTATTCCAACTTTCTGCAGTTCCTCGATCAATTCACCTTGTTGATGCAACTGTAACACAATATCGCATCCACCGATAAATTCTCCTCCAATGTAGACTTGAGGAACTGTCGGCCAGCTCGAATATTCTTTCACTCCCTGCCTCAGTTCCTCGTCTTCTAGTACGTTATAAGCTCCATAACCTTCGACACCATGCATCCGAAGAATCTGAACAACAGCATTGCTAAAACCACACATTGGTTGCTCAGGAACTCCTTTCATGAAAACCACCACTTTGTCCTTCTTTACGACTTCATCGAATTTTTCTGTTGTCCATGTGGCTACTTGGTCACTGAGGAAGCGTAACTTAGCTGTAATACGGCCTGTAGGAGGACCGAAGGAAAGAGATTTGTTTAAAATCCGTCGAACAACCAAGGTGGCCATCTTTAAAGTCACCAGTCTTCGCAAGTCACCCTCATTCGAACTAATACCCAGACTTCCCGGCTCTTGCTCTAACAAGTCATCTTGAGGGTCGTTTTGCTATAAAATGGAGATACGACCTAATAGGGATGTGATACAATTTATACTTAACTGGACGTTGCTCGGAAAAAACCTTAATCGAAAATGGAAACTTGACGAGGTGACAATAAATTCACCTTTAATCTCTTGCGTGACTGGATTTGACTGGCGTTACTATTACGAAAGGTTCGCTCATCTTTCCGGGTTGGCACTTTAGTGAACCTTTCGAGGTTTCAGGGAAATCTTGAGTTTTCACGAAATGAAACAAAAAACTTTCGGGTCGCGTATATTTAAGGAGGAAAATTAAGCTTCACACTGGTTCTTAAATTCACGGATCACGCTCGCCTTTAGCACTTTTTAATACCCTTAACATGTAGATATGTAGACATGTCTATGACTATGTGCGCACCGAAGCGGACGGCAGCCGGAAGTTGAGAGTTTATGCATGCACTACAGATTTTTGTCTAAATCTTTTAACTTTATTAAAAATATCCAAATGAGGGCTTTCTTGCGAAATCGAGCATGGAGAAGTTGCATAACACCTTCCCCCATCCATCCCTACCATGAATGCGAGGCTGAATTCACCACTGTCATACGATCAGGCGACAAATAATTAATTCAAATCAATTGATGCACATGGATTCGCAATCTGTAGGTCAGTTTTTTGCACTTGTAGCTTGAAAAATTATGTATTTTCATTAGTTTTCACACAGTAACTTGTATAGTGGATGTTTAATCAAGGAACTTACCGAGATCTTGTGCGATTAATTTTCTCAGTTATTCGCTAACTTGACGTATCACTCACTTTGACAGTAGCTGATATTTTGGATCTTATGCAACAATCTCAAACGATGATTGGCTAACCAGATGGGGTGACGCTTTTGTCACGAAAGCCATGACGAATCGACAGTCCTATCAAGAAGAATTAAAGGACAAAGATCTGCGCGATTGCTGTACATTTTGTACCATTGACATCTTAAAGATCTTTGAAACTAAGCTGGAAGACAAGATTTACCTATAAGGTTAGCGCTTTTAGTTGTGACAGCTTCAAACTTACGCAATTTCGTCGCCACACCCCCCGTTGCATCTCAACAATCTTACAGCTGTCTCGTTGCATATTAATCAACCGCTGAAGGGCATCGAGGCGCTGCGGTCCAACACTAGACTTTTACCGGTGACATTAAAATGGGGGGACATGTATCGAGGACTGACTTCGAATGGTCTTACACAGCCGAACCTCATGCTTCAAGAAGGAAGGAAATTTTGGGTAAGAAATGCAAGCATCGAGCTCGTTTTCTTTTTTTATCGTTAAAGGGAAGGACTCGAACGCTCTCAGATTTTGCGCTTGTTTGCTTTGGCAGACGATGAAAATTTATATTTTCACGCGGAAAATTGGTACTGGTTTACTATTGGTAAACTCTGGTAACCATTTTCTAGTTGACTCTTTTATTGTTTTGATCTAATGGTTTTCACCCGAAGGGAATTCATCTGAAATAAAAATTCTCACCCTTCTTTGTGAATAAACAAGAGAGAAATGCCGGCTCCGTGCATCGGGATCTGTAGCCGCAGGCATCAGGACTCATGGCCGCTCTTGATTTAGTATTGATTCGGTATGAAATACGAGTATTTAGTCATCGAATTTTCCACGACTGTATCAATTCTTCTCTCAAAAAATTTAGACTAGAGAACCCACATGGAAGAGCATTTCTTATTTCAATCGTTACACCTAAAGGACCATGTTATGCAATGAGATTAAACTAACCTCGTGTAAAAAGTACTGTGATTTTCCACTGAAAAACTTAAATTTGTGAATTATTTCGAACATACAGTATCCAATCTGAACTAAATGAACCTTGTTCAATCTCAAGATCGAAGTTATTATTTTGGATTGCTTCGTTTCTTATGGCCTTAGTCTGATATTCCAAGCTGTAGTAGTACAACATGAATTATTTATTCGGTGTCAAGCTGAGTTGTCTGATGTACAAAGGGCGAAATAATATCATCCGTCGGGCCTGATCATTTTCCGTTTTGCTTGGAAAAAGTTTGAACAGCTATCAAGATTCGATTGAACAAAAGTAACATTTATATTCACATGTACTCTCCTGAATGACGAGGCAGGATACAGTGAAAACAGTTCATCAAATAAGTTATATAACAATCAAAACAGAAATTTACACAGATACGCTAAATGTATGCAAACAAAAGCAAAACCACTCCTTCTCTTTCTCAGTCACTTCTTGTAACAACAATAACAAAGAATAACGAATCTTTTCATGCTCACAAGAGGAGATATTGATATGAAGTAATAAGAGAATTATTTAGCATTTACAGGCAAATCTTTAACAAGCGAAGTAAAATCTTTACTGGAAACCCAAGCGCTAGAGGAAGCGAAAGGTTTCCCAACCACTTCTCACCGATTCAAAGTTTTTTATTTTAAAGCAGAAGAGTGAAAGAAACCAGACTAATATAGGAAATGTGATATTATTAGGTAATACAGGAACTAGACTTTTTATTCAAGGAATCATGTTCTGACTACAAATAATTTCTTTTTTTTTTTTTTTTGGCGAAAGAGTTTGTATTTAGGTCTTTCAACTGATGAGGAATGTCTTACCAGAGATCTAGTGCATGATCTATGATCTATGCAAAAATTGCTTGTATTTTCCCACTACCTGCAGTTTTACAGAGTTCTTAATAATAACTAGAGTTACCATTTCATTTCTCTGTTGATGTCACCTATTTCTACGATCAATGTATATTTTTTCATCAACCTTCAAGTTGCAAGTGTTTTATCTTTTCTCTGTGACAGATTCTGAAGTTACCATTTTATTTTCTCTTGATATCAACATTTTTTGTAATCAGCGCAATAAGTTTTTGTTCACTAGTAAAATATTTTCTGTTTTCTCTTTTCAGCTAAGTACCCCCAAATCAAGAAGTTGATGGGCTATGATCCAAACTTCAAGTACCAAGTATTGCTGTTAATTGTGATCCAGTTCACATTGACATATGTGCTGAAAGATTTCTCCTGGCCTATCATCTTTTTGGCTGCATATTTTGTTGGTGGTGTCATCAACCATGCATTACTCCTAGCCATACACGAGATCTCCCACAACTTGGCATTTGGCCATGCACGACCAATCCACAACCGAATCTTCTCACTGATAGTAAACTTTCCTATTGGAGTACCATGTGCCATCTCCTTCAAGAAGTATCATTTGGAGCACCACAGATACCAAGGTGATGAAGAGCTGGATGTGGACCTGCCCACAGAATTTGAAGCCCGTTTGTTTTTTAACACATTAACCAAATTTTTCTGGGTGGTATTTCAACCATTCTTCTACTCATTCCGCCCAATGTTTGTTAACCCAAAGAATCCTTTGGCTTTGGAAATCTTCAACATAATTCTCCAGTTTGGTCTTGATGCAGTGATAGTGCATTACTGGGGAGGAAAGGCCCTTGTGTACATGATTGCAAGTTCACTGTTAGGTATGGGGCTTCACCCAGTGGCTGGGCATTTTATCTCAGAGCACTACATGTTCGCCAAGGGTTTTGAAACCTTCTCATACTATGGCCCTTTGAATATGGTCACCTTCAACGTTGGTTACCACAATGAGCATCATGATTTTCCAAGTATTCCTGGTTCCAGACTACCCTTGGTGAAAGAGATTGCACCAGAGTACTATGACAACTTGCCACAACATCACTCCTGGACAAAAGTACTTTTTGATTTCATCACTGATCCAGCAATTGGACCATATGCTAGGATGAAACGAAAGGCTATGAAGCCAAAAAATAACAAAGAATAATAGAAAGACTTGAACCAACCGAGTGAGGAGAAAAACTTGTTCTATCGGCAGTATCTTGTGAGATGTAATATTGTAGTTTGATGTCAACAGACAGTAGTACTTTGATAGTATACTGTCAGTTAGGGGTAATTATGGGTTATCATGAGTGCTATTTAAAAGGCTGAATGTTTCTGTTGAAGTGATGAATATTGATCCCAAAAAATAAAAAATAAAATAGTAAAAGTTTCCTTGAGGCAAAGTTGCTGGACATTTTAAGGGAAATTTGTTGATTTTGAGGACTCAGAATTTTTCTTTGTCCCATGCTTGTGACAAGACAAAAAACATCTTTTTCTATTTCTTTATTGAGCATCTCTCATTCTATTTACAAACATGACGCTATTGCTGATCCTAGCAGTATGCAGGATGCGTGTCATATGAACTTTGTAATAGACCTCGTTCACCACAGAGTCTCTCTGGCTCAGAAGTAGAGCATCAGAGTAGTTTTTCTGTTTTCGCACTCATAGCAAAACAAAAACATCTTTCTGTAATCTTAGATTGTTTGTTAGCAAACCAAGAATTTTTTCCTCTAGAAAGGCTCAACTGTAGAGCAGTGTTCCAGGTTTTTAAATTTACTTTGAGAATTTTTTTACCTTTAATGAACCAAGTTTCATGAAAAAATACACAAATTAAATAATTTAAAGCCTTTTTACAGAAGTATTTTCTTATTCATTACTTTCAAAACTTCATGGAATTTATGATGTCAAAATAATACAGTGTGTAGTTTAAGTCCTGAAGGTTTTTGTTTAGGGATGTTTGAGGTTATAGTTATGATATTTCTTCTATTCCAGAGAGAATTGGTTAAAAATATTGAGAAAGATACTTTCAATCAGGATCAAAATGCTAGAAGCAGACATACAGAAACCTTCCAAGGACTGATTAACTCTCCCTTTCAACTGTGGCATACTTCCTGGTAAATTATTTAAGTGAATGTACATGCAGTGTTATGTCAGAAAATACACCTTGCTTCAAGGATTGACTTTCACAGTCCCTGCTTTTGTTGGTTAATGTAACTATACTGTAATTCCTCATGACATGCACCTAAATCGTATTCTCAGCCTTGCAGGAGTAAATGAAACTAATAGCAATGTTGAAACTAATGGTCATGTTGAAATTTTGCATATATGTTATCACCTGTACTTCAAGATCAAATTCCTAAAAGAAGAAGATAAGTTTATTGAAGTATAACAAAACTAAGAAGCATTATTTAATGTTCTCTCAAATTAAATTAAATTATTGCAAAATTGTTTTAGGACTTTCGTTTTGAAATAAATTGAATCATTTTGGGAAATTGAAACCAATAAATGATTAAACATTTGTGTGTTTTCATTAAAAAGAAATTTCATTGAAACTGCAGATGAAAATCATGGGAAGCAATGATCATGGCAGGATCTTTGATTTGCTTGGTTTTCATGATCTCCTGTTCATCTCTTGGTGGTATTTTTTAAACCAAATGATATCTTTTGAAAATTTTTGTACTTGTGCTTATTTGAAATTTATGTCTGTTATCTTTCTTAAACCAATTGTTTGGTTAGTGTTGTAAGTGACAATGTGGCAGAGATAACAACACTACAAGGATTCACTAAAACCTGCAGATTTATTTTCAAAAAGCAAAAGATAAAGTACTTGCAAACAAAGATGATGGCAGACGTAAATGTAGTTGTTGACTGATACAGACAGACTTGCTGGTTGGGGTTAGAACCTTGATGTAGATTGAAACTTAAATGTTGGAAAAGCTAAACTACCAATTGTAACATAAATATAAAGAAGCAACAATTAAAGGCTAATTGCACTTACAGTTGTTACAAAACTCTCCTGTGTACTGGAAAGTGTGAACACCTGCAAAGAACTGTATTATAGACTAAACTGCATTGTTTGCATAGAAGGGTTGATGAAAAATTTCTGTCCTCGAAAAAAAATTAAACATAGAAAAGGGGTAGGTAAAAAATGACAATAGACTTAACACCTGTAAAACAAAGAAATTGATCAAAACAAAGTAAACTGAGATGGTAATGTTAGGTAATGAGCAATAATGATTAAACTGTGAACTTAGATCTGAAATAAGCACAAATAAAGTGAGAAAGTGTGAAGCAATTTGTATGACCTGTTTTTATTTCTGGCACTTTGAAAGATCTTTGGAACAAGCTATAACAGAGATAAAGTGGATTAAATGCAGGCCCTGACTGGGTCAATGTGCTGTGATAATGGGCAAGACACCACCTAATAGTGAAGTCAGTTTGTGGTAAACTGTCAAGAAAAGCAGGTTATATCCTGTGGGTGAAGGAGGGGGGCAAACAGTAGTAAACTAGCATTCTGTTCAGGGAAGTAGAAGAACTTGTCCTTTCATGTTAAAGACATCAGCATATTGATATGTTTCTGAAGTGTTAGTTTGACTGGAAAGACTGACCCTTTACAGTGTTGGGCACACAGTCCAGAGCTGGTTTCCAGTCATCAATTTGAGTGGGTATAATTTCAGTATTAGTTGCAATATATGGAAGAAAATGGGGGAGATTTTGGACCACATAGCTTGAATTAAAAAAAGTTTGATTATTGTGTGGGATATTGATCAAATGAAGCCTTTAAGTGCTACTGTGGTAGCACTTAAAGGCTTCATTTGATCAATATCCCACATCATTACGACATGCTACTAAAGGACACGTTCAAATGTTTGATTATTGTGAAATAAATAACATAATGAATGCAAAAATTAGTGATTCTCCCATTTTGATGTTAAACATCTTCCAGTTGATTGGTGGGGGGAATTTGATCAGTCAAGAGAAGACTTCCCAGCTGATAAGTTTGCCTTTTTTCATAATCTGTTTTTTGATATTGCTAGGAGAACATTTAGTTAAATGACAAGCTTTGCACTGAAAAAAAAAATGCATATTAGCTTGCTGCACATTCAATCAGTGGCATGAATTGTTCACTGAATACTCCAGAACAACTGATAATGGCCACAATTAAGTTAATACAGCTCCCCTTGACTGAAATGAAAAGAAGCACAACTTACAATAATATTTCAAATCATTTTCCAGATACAACACTGCTTTCTTTGTACATTGTCCAAAAATAAGAGTCCAGGGAAAAGAAACTTGATGGGTCTAATTCAAAATGACATAGGGGCAGTACGCTAAGCTTATTTTCTTTGTAGAAATGATGCATGTCTTAAAGAAGACAACAATAATTCGTTAACACAAGGTCCAAAAATAGTCCTCAACAAATGTCACAGCAAAATATAACAGGAACTTTAAAGTATGTGAAAAGAAGAAACTAAAAAATGGCCCAAAAAGCTATTGGTAAAGCTGATTTCACCCCCATGATCAAAGACCAATTGAAAATAACCCTCAGGTATACACCACCCAAGAGGGTATAGAAGAGATTTAAAATAACACTCAGGTATACACAACCCATGAGGGTATAGGAGAGATTAAAAATAGCCTTTAAGTCCACACTACTCAAAGAGGGTTTAGAAGAGATAAAAAAATAACCCTCAGGTATACACTACCCATGAGAGTATAGAACAGATTAACTTATCATCAACAGATTTAAGTAAACATGTAGACACCAACTGACTGTAAGTGTTATGTAATTCTCTAAATTGATGACAAAAATGACAATGCCTCTGGAGAGAGCATGCTACAAATTTTTACAAGGCAGAAGCTCTTCATATGTAACTATGCAGATACTTGGTTTGGGACTACAGAAATTCAGCTTAGCAAGGTAAACTAATACAAGTATCGTGAGAAATATACTTTATTTCAATAAATGATGTACAAGTTGGGCATGTTAAAGCTTTGGTTATTAGAAGTTGACCCTCATTTCAATAATCATTAAGTGTTTTTCAGATCTGGGAATGAAATGAGGTCTCAGCAAATCCATTAAAAGAGGAGAAGTTTCTTGAACAATTAATATTTTTATTTTTGATAAGTTTTTCCTCATCTCAGTCACGAAGTTAAATTTGACTTTAATTCTCACTTTTTATCTTTAAAATAACCTTAACAATAACAATTACATTTAGGATCAGTTATTTTTTTAATATGGTTGCTACCAGATTATCTGCCATAAAATGTAGCTAATAATATTTATTCCATTACACACTGATCTCAAATAAATGTTGTCTTTGTGATTATTGAATGTTGCTGACTGAGGAAAAATTACCAAGAAATGACCCCCTTAGATAATGCTATGCCCAGCCAGAAGATTTTGAGGGTTATGAGATACAAAATACTGACGATGGCAAAAATTGGTGACCTTAATCATTATCCTTAATCATGAAATCTGTACAATTATGGTGAGACATTGCAAATCAAGAAACGCTTCAGTTTTAAATAATGTTTACATGTACCTTGTAATTACATGTACCTTGTAATGATTTTACATATATTAATTGTTATCATTATGAGTTAATAGAGGAATCCCTCCTCACAAATGCTTAATATCAAATGTACACTGTGGTGTTTACTTGATAAGTATATACCGTTTGTTAGTTTTGTTAAAGTTTAAAGGTGAATGATGCACCACAGGAACACCCTGTTTCTGAATTAGGGTTGAGTAAAATTCTGAAAGCAGAGCGTATAAGTTCTTCATGGTAGTCCACTGTGGAACCTTTCAGGTACTCCAGTGAAATTTCATCAATGACAACCTTTGCACCATCTCTTTCAAATATTCTAGAAGAAAAGCACATTAGAAAATGAACTTTTTAACTCCCAAGATATGAATGTTACTTCTCCAACCTAGCTACCACATACTCCCTTCGAATTCCCTGTAAATTAGTGCAGTCTGTTCATTGAGAGTGACTTATTAAGCAAGGGAAATTAATACACGAAAAAAACTGCACTGTGCGTAAATTTAGTCGAATTTGTGTGATGTTTTTTTCCGGGGAGAAAACCCCTTTCAAGGGACAAAGATGTTCACAAAAACTATCCTGGTCCTGAGAAGCAAATTGTTCTTGCAACTTGTTCTTGCAATGTGTTGTAGCTGCATGTCACCTCTATCTGGTCTCTTAATCTTTCAGTGAAATGTATACTAATAGGAAAGAGAAAAAAACGTGGGTACACAAACCTATCATCTTCGCTGATATCAGAATCAACGTCAAAGGCGTATTTAAGTCCTGAACAACCACCTCCCTCTACTGCTACACGAAGAAATCCGTCTTTGTCATCTGGGAATATCTTTTTCAGTTGCTGTTAATCAAAATTAGAAAAGAACAAAATAAAAAGATGAGTCAGCCTTTCCTTTAATTAGGAACAATATTGCAAGATGGAGGAAATGTTACACAATCCAACCTTTATACAGTTGTCAGTCAGCTTCAAGTCTTGGGAAGCCGCTTTGTTTTCTTCCTCTACTGAAGAAAACTGCCGAACGAAAGGTAAATTTTGTTCTTTGAAATAAATGCAACGATGTATGAGTGGTAAAACTCGACTTCTACAGGCGGGTGATGAAATTTTTCGCCGTACAAAACGGCAGGCGGCCATCGCCGTCATGTTCGTTGCTGTTCTTGGTAGCCGCGCCTTATAATTATTTCTTCACGACCTTGTGAGATTGACCAGCGGTTAGAAAAAAAAGAATATGGCGGACGATTCGAAGGTAAACCAGTGTTTTCTGTTTTTATTTTTTTTGCACATTTTCACCCAAAGCGGGGTCCAATTTTTGCAGTTCCTGTTTTACATGATGCTAAAGGCGAATTTCATACGGTATCACTTCCTATGCGAGGAGCTCTATTTTCTTATTTGTTGTTGTTTTTTTAAATTTGATTTAACATGTGATTTTCAAGGAAGAGAACAGTTTGTCTATTGACGAAACCCTCAAGTTAATGCCCTGTTGCCCACGATGTATTTTACGACTTCTTGGAGAAAGAGACACCGACTCATACACAGACAGTGTTGAGGTAAAACGCCGAAATCCTATCGTAAATTATCTATCAATGGAGTGCCCTCGTGGTGTACCCAGAATCCGAAGCCTTTAGACTTAATAGTGTGGCACCGGTACAATGGTTTTTTTCGGCGGTGGGGTCAGTTGAGTTGCACATCTCCCTGATCCTCATATCTTCCCTACTCTCAATTTGTCCTCACTCTTTTAAATTTTAAACCCTCTTTCCCCATTTTATCCACACATCATGCACAATACATTTTTGTTATTTACTTATAACTCACCTAGTGTTGAACTCGCTATCTGAAGTTCTCTATCGCTGGACTACAACGACCTCGCAAAGACCTCTGCACTATAGTTTTTTTAAAAAATATTTGTCATTTCCCACCTCCGCCCTTCATGACTTTATTTTCATTTACAAATAGTTTTATTTCTATTGTAAGCAGTTTTATTTCTGTTGTAAACAGTTGTATCTATATTATTAATAGTTTTACTTCGAATTGTCTGATTAGAATTTCATCTCTTATTCTATTTTTTTAAATTCACTTATCCATTTATCTATATTTCATTGTGGCATGCCAGTGAAGTAGCTTGTGCAGTCTTTTAAACTTAACCAAACAGCTAAGTGCATGGTTCCACTCTGAATAAACTATTGTATTATGTTTTGCATGTATTGTATGTCATTCTTTAGAGAGAAATCAAGAGCATTTGTGTAGCTTGTCTTGGTATCTTGGAAAAGGCTAATGAAAGTGCTTTCATTGATAAGGTAAGTTTGATAGAGATGAGTTAAATTGATATCCTGTCCATGCTCTTGTTCTTGACATGGAAATATTTTTATCTACAGGGCAAGGGTTTCTTTCTTTCTTTCTTTAAAAAAAGGGAAAAAATAATGAAAAAAATAATGATCCAATAATGATCCAAAGTGATCAAAAGAGATGTTATTAGGAGAAAAATAAGATGTATCATCATATGACCTGTGCAGTCCTGATTATGCTTTTATTGCAAAACATTTGACAAAAATCCCTGTAGGTCAGGCTGGGTGGGAAAGTTTTTGGCTCCTTAAGTCATGATGTAGTGTATGGTTTAAAACCTAACACAACAGTTGGCCATGCAATGTAGTTGTTCTGTTTAGGGTATTGTCTTGAAATTAATCCTTTCACTCCCAAGATCTTATTAGTAATTCTCCTTACTGTCTGTTATACAGCTCTTGTGATGTTAGTTCATAGAATTTGGTATTGAATCAACTAATAATCCCTTGACTGATATTTTTCTATATTCTCATCACTTGCATACTTGATATTGTACTGATATTGTAAGGAGAAATTCTGCCTTCATCACTCATGGGAGTTAAAGGGTTAAGAGTGTTGTGGCTGAGAATTCCTGAGATATTGACAGCCTTAAGAGAGGTCATTATCAGAGTCAACTGAAGAGTTGTTCAGCAGTACTTCTCTGTTTATTTTAGATACAATCAGCAGTCAAGAGTAGTGGTCATCAGTTTGATAGTTTTGTGTTGGCTGTTTCTGTGTCGCATTCCTTGACTCTTCGCCAGGTATGGTCCAATGAGTAATTAATACATTAATTCAATCAGTATGAAATTACATCTTTAATTTTTGAGTTAGATCATTCGCTAAATATAATTTTTGTGGTTGAAAAAAATTTCAAAATAATATAAAATCATTGTGTAGATAGTTGATTGAAAATAACGTCTTTATTTGTTATCACAACAAGTGAAACCCAAAATTTGACCCTGCTTAAGAATAAGTGTAAAACTGAAAGTGTAATCCTGAGTACTTTTGTTGCATGTATATCTTAGAAGAGACTTTTTAATTTTGTTTATAGCACTCATTATCCATATTTCTACAAGAAAAATTCAGGTATGTGTTGTTGGATGGCTTTCCTTTACTCAGACAATAATTTTTCTTAATGATTTAACTGTGGCATGAAGACATATGGTTGGTTGCGTTTTAATCTGCACAGTTCGCTGAGCTTGAATTATCTCGTTGGTCTTTTATTCAGAGGAAGATTTAAGAAGTAGGCTTCCTTGCTTGGCTGAAGAAAAATGGCTGTGAACAGAGTATTGGGATGGTTCAGGGATATTTTGAGGCACTTCCTCAAAATGTACCTGTCCTTTGACTGCGGTGAACATGTTTTGTGATGTACATCCTTTACCTAAAGGTTAAATTTATATTTCGGAAAATGCAAGAGGGCCAAATTCTTGTTTTCCTTTATGGGGCTTTTCTAAGTACTATTATTTTGTTTGATAATGTGGGATAAATTTTGTTATTTTATCCTCTTGATAACTATTTTCTTTTGGTTTGTGTTACAGTTCAGCATTTTCCAGAAAGGAACTGGATGAGATCCCAAGAGTCAAGGATGTGTTCAAATGGGTTCTTGGTCCAAAACTAGAGGAAAGATTACAAGTTAACTATAAGCCATTGGTAAGTTCTAGAGATCAGGTGTGATCTTCAATCCAAACTAGAAATGGAAGACAAGAAGGTTAGGGAGAATTGAACAAGATCAGCAAAGCAAAAGCAATTGTGTAAGGGTCTATTTGGTTACATTTGGATGTTAACCCTTTACACCCTGAGAGCAGTAAGCATATTCTCTTTACTGTTATATACATTTCCTTCCAATGACAAGAGGAATTAGTTTGACTGTCAAGAGCTTCTTCAGATGGTGATCATTTCCTTCATTCTCATGACCTTAATGGTGATTCAGCAGTGAGATTGTGTGAAGAAATTAGATGCTAGTCACTCTCAGGCTTACAAGGTTCAAGGTAGAAGGAGGAAATAGATATTTTTACTAACTCTTGCTTGTATTTTTTACAGGTTAACCAAGCTCAAAGTCTACTATCCTCTTTCCTCGGTTAACACATTCCTCATGATTGACATGGAATATTCTAACAGGGTGCCATATGCTTGTCATACATTACAAGAGCACAATCTTCCCTTCCCCCCCCCCTCTCCCTTGGCACTGTGCCTTTATATATTTACTCTTAATCAACTCACACTATTCCTGTTTGGTTAAAAGAAAAAGACTGCCATACAAGCCAGTGGTAAAGGGTCTGACCTTAAATTCTAAAGCTCTGAGGTTTGAATCCTCATTAGCAACTAAAATTTTTCCCATTAGTTTTTGTGGTGCTTGAAAACACTTTTGAATGATTGATAGAATTTTTTATTTCTTCTGTAGAGCCCCTTCAAGATCTCATTGGATTTTACCCATAAAGATGCAGAGAGAGAGGTTGAGTTTCTGTAAGTACTTGCATGTACCTAGGTAAACATTGAATATAACTTTTTTAATTTCTTTTATCTTCAAACGTCCAATAGAGAGGAAGGTCTGCAACAGGAAATTATGTTGATATTTATTTGTATTATTTCTCAAGCATAGAAATTTGATGATGTAAGTATTCATCCTGTATGGTAAGCCATGAGATGGGTTTTTGTTTGATGAAGGATTTCTACCTTTTTTCCTGTAATGAGCAGAAATGATTCACCAAAGTCAAGGCTGCGACAACGGAGGAAACGACATAAAACAGAAGTAAGTCGTTTATTAGATCTATGACTTCACTTTGCTTTGAAACAGTCAGAAAAGTTGTAACAATTATGCTGCAAGCTGATTATCTTTAAATGTATCTATATGGTGGTTTCAATTGTGGCAACCAGTTTCAATTCATTTTTATTTGCTTCAGACTATGTTGGTGAGTAGAAGAAACATTAAAAAAAAATTTAAAAGTCAAATTGGAAAGTGTTGAAAGCGCGGGAAAACGCGAGTGACCAAGTTGCCATTGGTTTTAGTATCGAATTCTGATTGGTTGAGAGGATGCCGCGGGTTTTTTTGAGACCAATCAAAGCGCAAGTAAAGCAAAACCAAAGAGATCCCGGATTACTCGTAACACTCAGTTGAAATGTCCCTCTTTGGTTTTCTGGCAGAACAATCCAGAGGAAGGAAAACTTTCATCGTCATCTGTCAACAAAGCTCTTGCGGAACTATCAACTGTGGATCTCCTAAAAAGGTAGCTGTGACACTACTTAAACATTTTAGCAGTGCAGTTTTACCGATGTTTATCGCTCTGACGTAGGGCTAACGCTCGAAACTTCAGCTTTGAAACTCTTTACGGTTGCTAGTTTACGTTATCAACGCAGTTGATAAAACCAAAGTATCTTGTTATTCTCCCCAACCGATGCAGCACCATGGTTCTTTAGAAACTTACCCTCTTTTTCGATTTTTTTATTTCTGTTTCCTCTTTACGTCCTTGCGTAGAAAAAGAAGAAAGACACGATTTTTTTCTCGGTCGTCGAGTGAAAAAGTTGAAGGAAATATTTACTCCAATCTCTTTCCCCTGCTAGCTGACTCTTTGATGTTAATCCTGTTTATTTTCCTTCAGAGTCACCGACTGCCCACCAAAGTCAGCTCAGTCACCCATTGAGTTATCACAGATAACATGTGGTCACGATTCCATCTATATTGCAGGTTTGTAAACAATAAATATTGGAGGTGCACTTGATGGGATCGAAGATTTTGGGAAGAAATCATTCACATACTGATTGTTTTGTTTAATTATATTTGTATGGACTTTAGGAAGATACAACAAGTATTCACGAACTCTTCCTCAAACGCCTTGGTTAATCGACAACGTTCGACTCCGCGAGTCGTCAGTTGAGGTAATGTTTAACCTTAAAACTTGCACAGTTGATGAACATGTAATCTTTCCTTTCAAACTTAATGCGTAAACAAGAAAACAGCTGAAGAGAAGATACAAAGCTATCAGCTACATGGTTATTTTAAATATGAAGTCAAATTCTCCCAAACGTATGCACAAGGAAATGTATAGTAGTGAGAAAGGAGAAGAAATAATCCTGTCATACACATTTTAGAGATAGTAAGTCGTCGTAAATGAAGTGGTTAATTCAGGTTTTCAATAACTTTTTTCATAAGCGACTGCCAATTAATGGTGTAATGGGAGGCTAAACAGACGGCTGTAAGAGGTCTTATGGGCAGCGGTTGAGTCAACCGCTTGGCACCGGCTTTGATTGAAACCTCTGTCTAATGGGAATGTTTCCTAATTCTAAACCGGATTAAATGAAATGAACGTCATTAAGTTCTGTCTAACATCTTTCCTTCAATATCGTGTCGTCTGCTTTTCTGCAGGAAAAAATATGTGACCACTTGACAGCCAAGGTCAAATGTGACGGTATGTATCCACTGTGTGTTGTGAGGGGGTAGGGTGGGTACGAGTTGTTTATTAGACATGTGATAAGGACGCTGATACGTGTTGGAGCGGCTGGGTTTGAGATCTTACTGTTTTCTTTATGGGGAGGAAAATATGTTAGGAAAAGTCACACCTCTACTTCCAAACGCACTCTGTTTGTCTCATTCAATTGTTCATGAATTATTTTTTGCAGATCATAAATTTGCCTCCGCCGGACGAGAAGACGTTGACGTGCGCATGCTCGGTAACGGTATGTTGGCGCCACATGTTTGTTCAAGCTAACTCAGATACGCACATTGGAACATTAGATTCTACTCATAGATGATTGTCTCGGTAGTACAGCATCAATTAGTTGCGGTTGTTGCTTAGCCCTTTTTTTATTCTTAGTTTGTTCTACACTTGTTTTAAAGCACAAGGCATCGTTTCATTATTCCTGATGAATTTGGTTTCATGTGGCCAGTAAGTGAGTATGTCCTTATTATTGCTAGTTTCTGAGACCAATGGTTAGATTCCCTTCAAAATCTCAAATTTTTAGGCTTACTTTAATCAAGTTCTTTTAATGCAGCTCACCTTAGGATATTATTGTTTTGATAATATTTTACAGATAGAAGGAAGATCGTTTCAGAGTTTAATTGTCTTGATCTTCTAGGGCTCGAACCTAGATGTTACAGTCCAGAATCTGTTACCCCTTACCGTGCCTTCTACGACTTTTAATGCGAGTATATGTTCAAAATCACAGGAAGGCCCTTTCTGGTTGAACTGATCAATCCGCGCATTACTCGTCTGAAGGAGTCTTTCTTCGCTGAACTTCAAAGAGAAATAAACTCTTCATGTTCCGACGTTGCCATCAGAGACCTCCAGCAGGTTACAAAGTAAGTGATCATGTAGCCATACGTTATTTTATTTTACAGAAATTCCAAGTGCGTATTCTTTAGATTAAGTCGAAGTTGTTTTCACTGTACGTGTAGAGAGTTTTGTTATTGAGATTGCCGCAACTTTATGTTGTAGGGAGCAGTGTCTCGCCCTGAAAGACGCGGAAACAAACAAGACTAAAACTTATCGGTAAGTCAACAACAATTCGTGGTGGGGTTACATATGATAACGCAAATTTTTTACAATCCCGCTAACTAGAAAAAAAGAAAGAAAAAAAAACGCGTGAAGAGACGGGCAAAACGTTTGAGTCTAGACTCCAATCCCTACCATCCCCTCCCCCCTACCTCTTCCGATTCCACTTCCTTGAAAGGAATATTGATGCTTCTCCTTAAACTGCTTCTCTGTCTGCAGGGCGTTGATATGGACTGAAAACGAAGTTACTGAAGAACAGCTTCAGAAACTTAATGACATGAAGGTAGAGCTTTTTCTTCCATCTATTTAAACTATGATCATGAGCGGTAACTTCGCCGCACACAGTGTATGGTTTGAATAACTAACTTCTTCCTGGTGTGGGATTGTCATGTTAATGACCGAAAGAGACCTCGGGGAGTTAAAAACTAACTTTACGTAATTAGTCCTGTAAGAAATATGCTGCACTTTCTAATTGTTTTACTGGTATCGACTACATAGGCAAAAGGTTTTTCACCAATCATAATTCAAATAGTGTGTCATTTTATCGCAGTTCTTCGTAACCATCCCTACAAAACAAAACGTTTCTGATTTGTGGACACGATTTTCGGATGACACACCTGTGAAAAAACCGTGGGTAGCAAAAGAAAATATCGTAGGAACTTGTCATAATGGAGTAACTTTTTCATAAATTATCTTGCCTGCACAGAGTTTCAATTAAATCGACAACTGATTAATTAAGATTATTGGAGTCTAACTTTATTTTCTGTTCCTTCACATAGGATGTAAAGATTTATCAGAAAACTCCTTTGCGTGTATTGCACAGGTGAGTGATTACTTTCCTTTATGTTGAAGTGTATCTGTCTATCTGAATCTCAAGATGTTTAGCCTTTTTTATATTAATCCTGATGTTAGGGTGTTAGAGGGTTGAAATACTTGATCAGGCTTGTAAATAATCAACTGCTTAACCCCTGCTTGGGAAGTTTTTAAATCATGTTACATTTACTTTTGGTATTTTTTTTTATGTTTAATCGAGTGTCGCAGCTGTTAACTACATGTAGTTGTAAAGCTTACTGCACCTCCCTGTTTGGAAGGAAAGGTTGATTAGCGTTAAAACGTCTTAAGGTTCTTTTTTTATTTTTTTTTTGGTTTGTAGGCGTCCTTTGGCTGTGAGGGAGCGATACATTTTTAGCATGAAATCAGAACGGATCGACTCCAATCACTGGAATCTCTTTCTTAAAACCCAGGCAGGAACGTATCCTAATGCCCTAACATCCGCTTTCCTCGTGAACATTAATTTACTGGGAAGGCTGTCGAAGGAAGTTCGGCATGTTACATTTAGAATTGCACTTGTTTACAATGATACGGTATAACGAGTGATAGCAGAAGACGTTTTCCTTAACTTTTGTCAAGTTATATCAAAGAGTTTGTTCATGGAGACTTCGGAAGAACGAAACCAAGCTTGGGAGATTTATTAAACGCTGAAACGGACATTTTAGAACTGGATGTAGAGGTAGGATTGTAATGATTACTTAAAGTTAATGTGTGACTTCAACAACTTGGTAACTCTGATGAGATGAAACTGATAATGCTTCGGTGTGGTGTACTGAACATATGCATTTCATTGGGAATAAAGTCCCCTCGCGAACCACAAATGCCCCGTTATCGTTCTCATTACACTCAAGATGCCTATCACTTTTAAACTTATTACATGGCCGAGCTCACGAACATCTGAAACCATACTCGCATCACAGCAAATTGGTAGGCATAATTAAACCGTCAAAAATGCTTTTGTTTTCTAATTTTTGATTTGTTTTTGTTTTCAGTCAGTGGATGTCGACTGGCCTCCAAGGAAAGATGATAACAGTGCATCAAACGACAAAAGTTAACTTGGTTGTCGAATGCCTCCTAATTTTTATACGCGAACCGCTAGTCAGAGAGTCTGGTCAGCATTAAAAACATTTGGCGTCACCTCATATCAGGCAAAATGGCGGAGTGCTGTGGAGGCGTTTTGCGTCGCGATAAACCAAAAGAAGTAAGACGATCACGACGACGATAACGTTACGATGATGATGACGATGATGACGATGATAACGATGACTCTGAAGATGATGACGATGACGATGATGACGATGACTCTGAAGATGATGACGATGACGACGGCCAATAATGATGACGATGATGATGATAATTCATGGTGTCATGAGAGTAGTATCAGCGAGCATTTGCTAATGAGGCTATAATTGGAAACAAAGAATTGTTCCTAGAGCAAGCTTCCGAAAACAAGAAGCTAATGAATTACAACCCTGTGCTTAGGATTTATCTTATATAGTTTGTCTTGAAGACGCGCCCTTAAAACGAATCAGAAGACCTATTTGCTCAGATAATTCTTTTTTGTTTTGTATTTGATGTTTGAAACACATATACATCAGTCAAACATGTTGTTTACTTTCCCGTCTGGCAACTACCGATTACAAAATATACTTGCAGACGTCTAAACGATAACAACACCATTCTTGTATTCGGGTTTTGCCTATACTTAGGGTAAAATAAGTCTTAATATTGCAGTCAAAGGTGCAAATAGTGTAAAAGTAAATATTATCTTGGTTGTAAGACTGGCTGAATGAGGCGATTCTCATTTTCTATCTAAAAATATGAGCTTATTGCCTCATAGCTCGTCTGTATCCTCCATAACTAGTCTAATTAAAAGTGTTTACAACGTAACATAAAACAGTTTCACATGATCATAAAAGGCTTGAAAGCCTTGGTTAGACAGTCTTTATCTAATCTAAATGTCTATACTACGACGTTAATTAGCCTAACATGACACCCAGCGTAATCATTAACTGTGAACAACGGAGGCAGTAACGAAATCATTAAGCGTGACCGTCTACAGCTAGTTGGAAGCAGTGCTCTGCTGTGTTTTCATTTCCTGATATTTTGGCGTTGCTTTGATAAAACCGCTGTCGATAAGACTGTACCCCATATCAAGTATGGTTGTCTTCTCGTCCCGAAACTGAAATCCAAAATCTTCTTTTATCTTTAGAAAGCAAAAAGAATAAGGAAATGAATAAGTAAGAGTGGGCGCGGGGTGGGACACACGGTATCCCCATGATTAGTTCGCTGGTCGTGGGGATAGTGTTTGAAAAAGATGAGCCGGGTCATTGTGTGGTGCTCTAGAGCAAAACAACTTACTTTCACAGTGTTTCTCTCCACCCAGGAGTATAAATGGTTACTTGCAAATTGTTGGGGAAGCCTGATGAAATGCGGGGGGTAGCCTTCCCCTATCTTAAGAGAAGTCGTAATACTCCTAGGCGCTTCATGCTTAAGAAAACCAGGATAAGCTCAAGCTGGATGGACCACTTGGCCTTAGTACAGAGTTAACCTTATCACGAATTTCACGCGATAAGGGAACAAGATTGCGAATCGCACGATCTCATCAATCGACCACGCTACCTATGAAACTACGAGTCGAACCTTTCACCAGCGCCCACCCAAAGTATTAAGTCTGCATGGTTTCTTACGAGAGGTGGTCGCTAAGGGATGTTCGACTGTATAATCAGCGACCCTCAGCCCCTTTACACAATGTTGTATCTTTTTCATCGTCAACATTCACTTCACTCGTGTGCAACAATTTTGAGAGGCTGGGCGAGGAACAAGATGTAATTTAATGTAAAGATAAATGATTTAATTATCTTGTTAAGGAAGTCTATCAGTCAAGATTCTCAATTTATTTTGTCACTTGTAACACGAGATTGCGACATGGGAAATTCTCAAACTTCAAGTCCTTGTGGAGACTCGGATGTTACTTTGTCGACGTCCGTGACAATTTTTTTGATTTTAAATCCTTCCCTTAAGGCGATTTTCTCTTTGAGTTAACTCAATGGATCAACCATAAACACAGTCGTGAGATATCTTTCTAACACTCCCTCTAAGTTACAGTTGCTAACAGTTACCTTTTTGTTGTCCAACCTCACTTCTTTGTTCAGAACAGGTATGATCATCTTCACTGTGGGATCAAACCACGAAGTAATCTTCAGCAAGAATGTTGGAGCCACTCGAGTGGGTACATTGTAACCTGTGACAAGAAAATGCGTGTTTTGAAACCTGTCGGACAAGAAAATACCCGTGTTTAACCTCAACAAAATGATAACAAGTTAGGGTCATTTCCTAACTTCCAGGTGGGTAGTTGCCCAGATACTGATATTGATTCAAATAGTCTTATGTCATTTCCCTACCTTCCAGTCCTTCCCGGCCTTGTAACCTTCTTCTTGACAATGAACAAGCTTAAGGAACAGCGTTTGCAGGATAGCTATGTGCTGGTTAGAGTCCAGTTCCTTACCGTGGGATATCTTAACAGTACGCATGCGCAGTGTCGCTAATTGGGTTGTGGTTTTTGGTTTACCACCATATCCTTGTCACCCGTGTAATTTTTACAATACAACAGACAATTCTATCAATGTAGACGTCCACGGTTTTGTGAGGTTGACCGTGATAATTAACGATTAACGAAGCCTTGACTGTGCACTGCTCTGTTGTAAAGCACACAGGGAGTGGCTAGAGCACGAAAGAAGTGTAAGGGAAACAATGAAGCTGAAAATAGGACCTATTTTGTTTTCTAGAGGATTCAAACAGAGAATATTTTCAATTCCGATATGACGATACCATTTTCAGTCATAGTTTTTAATGAGATGAATTTCATTTGATCTGCGGATGAAAATCAAACAAACAAATGATCCTCGTGGGCAGACTGTAATTTAAGCAATTTCAGTAAAAAGAAGCCGTCCTCCCAGATGCTCGAGCTACGACGAACTAAGTCACCGACAAAGCCACGTAAGGACTGAGGCACAGTTTAGAGCTTTGATCTTTCCCGTAAAGGAATCCCATCACCATTTTAAATGAAATAGATCACCTTTGACTTACGGATAAAAATCAAGCAAAGGAAGAATCCCCTCAGGTGGACTGTAATTGACGCAATTCTCAGTGTTTGTTCAACTTACCAACTAACCGTTTGTTCAACTTATTAACAAAAAGTTTGTTCAAATTACCAACTTATCGTTTGTTCAACTTACCAAGAGGTCTAAACTCTTCATCCAGTATCTTTGCCATATCATCCCACCATAGGCAAACAGAAACCGTGACATATCTGTTACCTGGAGTAAAGAAAGCAACAAAAGAACTTTATGTACCTCCCTCGGCAATGATTTTCTTAACGCCAGGCTATTCTGGTAGTGTAGAGAGCCTTACACGTGCCAGAATACTTGTATGTTTAGATTTGGTATGAACATTCAGAACTTCATGGTTGTTTGTCAGTCAATGCCACTTGTTCTCTTGTGTTCAGTCAAGTGGTTTAACTCTAATTAATTAACACTGATTGAAAATTAAGCATGATGACTTTTTCTTTTATATATCTTTGCAGAATCTATCAACGGGGGGGTGGTGTGGGAATACGTGCCCGTCTTAATGGACATCTCTCCCCGTAAAGCGTCCTACCTCCAAATTTTCCCTATTACTGTAACTCGTTATTAGGGTAGAGGGGAGACAGCCAAAAAATGTATACAAAAAGCCACGGTATTGAGGGAGGGGAGGGAGGGTATCAAAGGTAAGTGTTCCAAGAGGGGGTGACCAATCGCTCTAACCTGGGGCTTTCGATGACGTCAATGCCATAATGTGTGCTGCTGCAACATCTCTGACGTCAACTATTCCCATGGACAGCTTGGGTAACATTGGCATTTCACGGTTAAGGAGACGCCTGTGAATCTGAAAATAGGATAACATATTTATCGAGCAGTTTTCAACAACCCACTTTAGGTATAACTCGATGAACTCACGGAGTTGAAAAGACCAAGAATACTTTAATCCTCTAACAGTACATTTAATGTCTGAAAATATTATTTCAATCAGTAAATTTCAAGTCAATTCATTTCCAATCAGCTAATGCCACTGATTTGCGTACCTCCATACTAGTGCATGTAGATCCGTGTAACACTGGTCCAAGGATAAGCCCAGGATTGATGCAACAGAGCTCAAACTTCTCATCATCTGTCGACAAAAACACGTGGAAATTTGAGCAAAGAAAACGAACATGGCGTGTCGCTAGAAACGCTGCTTTATTATTTCTTTCAATCTATCCTTCTCTCGTTCGATTATGCATGGTTTCTGCAGCTTACTTGTCCATTTAATCCATAGTGTGATTTCCTACCTCCCCCCCTCGAAAAAAAAAACACGAGCTTGGCAATAGTCTCGAAAAGCAGCTGTTATCCGGAAAAGGAGCATGCGATCAAAGCCTAGGAGTTTATCAGCAATGGAGCCAATCCTAACTAGAACCCGAAAATGACTCTCTCTTTCATCTCTTAAAACCGAGCTACGCGGTAAAGGCTAGTATTGGGCCTGACCTGGTAAATTCTTGACTAGTTCCCATGCTGCCCTCTCTGCCATCAGCTTGCTCTTTTCATAAGGGATGCTCTCTTCCTCAGATGCCCAGTCTTCCTCATTAAAGAGATGGTCTTCACCAGCGCGCCCGCCTAGTGTTGGAAGAAATATAACAATACCTGTATACTATTTGGACACTGCAAAATACTCACTAAGGGGCTGATTAAATGAAAGGTGTTGGATCTTTCACCTCAGCTGGACTCATTTCCTGATATAACTTAAACCGCGAGATTGGAAAAGCAGACGGTCAGTTAGTTTCCTGTTGTTCGAACTCGGTTCCAATAACTTTACGGGCCTAAAGCCACTTTTGTAACCAAAATGTAGGGTATTTTTCATGCAGTGCAACGTCTGAGCTAAAAAATAAAAACAGTCTGTTTCATTTGCTGATATTTTCACTATTTGAATTTCAAAACTATCAATACCTCGATCTAAAATGTAAACAAACTTGCAAAGAGAACCTTTCAGCGGTTACTGCAAGTTTTCTAAACGAACGTGGTAAATGGAAACATAAGTAATGCAATTCATGATTTTGCCCGAAATTATGACGAAAACTACATGTTCGCATCCAGTCTCTTTGGAGTTGAGCGCTTACCATAGACTGCAGCACAAGAACTTGTGAGTACAACTCTTTTCACGCCGCCCTTGGTCTTGGCGCAGGCTTCAAGCACGTTCTTCGTTCCATCTACTGCGGGCCCAATCACCTCCATTTCATCTCTTGGAGTTGCAGCCGGGAAGGGAGATGCCACATGAATCACATAAGTGCAGTCCTTAACGGCGCTGTGGAAGTAAGAAGAATAGAAAGCCTTTAATTAGATAATTAGGGAAGTTAATGGTTGTGTATGGAATAAAGATAAAGGGGAAGTGGAAATTTACACCTCAATAAGAAAAACAAATAGCTTCCCCCCAAAATTAGGATGAATGTGGTTAGCTTCTAGAATGAGCATGAAACGGAAGGACAAGACAAAACAGACAAGACAAAAGATTCTCGACTCAGACCTTTCTGCTTTTCTGATCAGATGCCTTGTTTTTTATGGCTCTGATCTCAGAAAAATGCCTAAAGAATGTCACACATGAACCTAGTACATGGCCTGGCTAACCAAAGAGCACTGTATGACTCACTGAGTTCCCAGCTGGTAGTGCAACTGCATGAAAAATTGAAGGCCCTAGGCACGATAACTTGCAGTAGACTTAGATTTTTGGTACTCTTGACGAATGCTTCACCAATCATTTCTTATTCGACAGCAGAGCTTAAAATTTACCAACATTCTTTATCCAAAAATATCAACAATTTGAAAATTTCTATCTTCCACACTCCGTCAACTAAAAAACTCGCAAATTATGCGTGTACGTGAATGCGGACCTACTTTTCTGACCCAGTCTTCCTAGCTTGGGAGAGCACGATCACTGCACAACACGTATATTAAAAGATTACATCACCTCGATGAAGGTGTAACACAACATTTTGTCGTAAATCGCTCAAGGAAGGGTCAATTGCAACAATATAGTCCAAAAACTGGTGCTTTAAACTGAGAAAAATCGATTTACGTCGTAGAGGGTACCTCGAACGAACAAGTGCATGATCTGAATATTTTGCAAGAATGTTTATCTTGTTCCCTCCACCATATCTTATTAAAAAGATTATAGAAAACCGTGTAATTCGAACGTCTAAATTGAAAAAGGAATTCAACCATAATTTCTTTTATCCTCCTCTGCGCCGGAAAGGTTTAGAAGAACAAATGGAATCATAATTTTTGCAAATGAATCGTTGCTCACAGTATGCATTTGCTTGATGTAAATCGCCAGAGAAAATAAACAATGCGATACGTCCATGATGGGCACACCTCACTGAGCCGATATTGTTTACATATCATGCCTTGCTATGGACGGGGTTTGTAAAAGCTACAATTAGTCCAAAAATTAAAAAATTCAGAGTTCTAGGATTAATCTTTATTTTTACTTAACGATATGCGGATATTTTCGGTGCTACAGCAGCTCTGATGGAACACCCCGAGGGCTTGCGTGACTAAACGTGTGAAGGAGTGCCAATTCATGTTTTCTTTTTCTGCACTCCGATGATACAAGCGAGAGCTTGACCAAAGAAAATTAAAGGGAAACTGATATTGATCTCATACTTACTCAATCCAAGATTCTTTCTTTGTAAGATCTGCCTCGACCAATTCAAGCTCTGAGGACAGCTCTTTCAAAGGCTTCACTTTCTTTTCATTTGTTAGACTACGAACCGTTCCTCGCACAATGTATTCCCTCGAGTCCACCAGCTGCTTCACAACGTGCATTGCAAGAAAACCGGACGCACCGGTTACAAGAACTCGCGTCATTTCGATGCTGTTAGTTGAGAGCGACGAAGAAGAAGGTCAAATTTAGCAACCGGGTGTGATTATTTGCCTGACTGGTCAAGTCGGCGCTTCTTGGGTGATTATTCGGGTCAGTCAGGAAGTGTTCAATCGGACTGGATTTGATCATGAAGTGGACGGCGGAACATGCACTAGGAACCGTAAGGAATACATGCTAATTCCTCATTCAAATTAAAGTTTTTTGTTCGAAACAATTTTACTACCCTGTAAAGACTGCTCTGATAACAACATCAGGTGGCAATCTGAGAATTGACCACAGACAAATCGATTAATCAAAGCTGATGTTTTTGATGCTCATTTGATAATAGTGTCAAAAGCCGTACCCGTAACTCTTTGAATCAAAATGCTCTTTTCTTCTCTTGACGGCCTCTTAAGTTGTCCTCCTGCAATTGACGTATTGTGGGTGAAAGCATACAGATGTGGATACGTTTAATTTTGAAAGATTATTTCGGTAGTAGAGATCTGTAAAGTTCAAAGAAATCCTTCTATAGACATAAACATTTTATATGGAATTAACATCCCTTGAAAAAATATTTATGTCTATTTGGCTCCAAAACCCCTGTAAAATTTTCAGAATGGTGCTCTATGATGTATTCTCGAAACAAGATATACATTAAATTCATCGTTATGAACACTATTGAACTAGTAGTTGAAATAAGACCTGAAAAAAAATTCAGGTCCCTAATGGGATTTGAACCCATGACCTCTGCGATACTCGGTGCAGCGCTCTACCAACTGAGCTAAGAAGCCATCTGGGAACTAGTTATTATATTGGATCTAGGTAAACCTTCGAAGTGGTGAATAATGGCTGTAAACATATGAAAATCATATCTGTGTACTGCGGTTGAAGAAGAAACGAATATAGAATCGATCCTCGCGCTTATGAACACTACTGAACTAGTAGTTGAAATAAGGCCTGGAAAAAAATTCAGGCCCTTACGGGATTTGATTTTGTAGTGTTCATAACTGCGAGGATTGATTCTATATTCGTTTATTCAAGCGCAGTGCACACATATGATTTTCGTATGTTTACAGCCGTTAAATTCATCGTTATAATCAATATTATTAATAGCAATTGTCATTATCATTACTCAAGAGATTATAATCTCTTGCATTTCTGTCGTCTTAATTATTATCATGATTATCTCATTCAAGGAAATCTTTTGGTCATAATACTTAATTTTATCACTGGTTAAATCATAATTTTCTTATTGCTTTTTCCCAGTGTTTCTTGCTATCGTTGTTCCATTATTTTTTAATGATCTGGACCGTGGACAATTAGAAACCCGGCAGGGAGGGGTAGGAAAACTCTAGTTGGTTAATCATTGAAAACATAAACCGTATTTGCATAAGTGGTCAAATTGTTACGAAATGTAGACTAAACAGCGAATGTTATCGTGGATACAAATGCGCCTAACTGTGCTATAATCCGAAATCAACCTTAGCTTATGAAAGAACTTTAGTATCAGCCCTCGATTAACCTAAAGAGGTGCGTTTCAAAAGCGAATTTTTAACGCGAACTCTCACTTGCGTAGCAACCGAACAATTAGGGATGAGGAGAAGGAATCGAAATTACGAGGATAGCTTTCTGCGTCCAAAACAGCTGGGGAGATTAATCCATAGCTGTGTTTGAACGTAACAGTCTTAATCCATTTATAAACTGTTGTTAACTCCGATGTTTAACTAACATTTTCCGTTCCACCGCGAGGAAGACAATTTCACCATGGCGAGGAAGAAGAAAGGAAGTTGGACGAGTCGAATCTGTGCTGTTGTTATTATCCTGGCTTTAGCTGGCACAATGTCAATGAACATATTATTCATCTTACACACCACTTCTCGAGGTACGAGCCAGGAAAAGGAACCTATGGAATATGATCGCAAGTTTCATAATGTTCCGCAGATTTCAGTTGCTCCTCCGGCTCAATATTGGTTGAATGGAAAGGGAAATTCGCTATCTCGTGAAGGTACGTATTTTAAAAAATGTTCACGCTTCTCGAGCTCGAATGTATGTATTTGGCTTTAGTCTTGCGTGCCTTTGAGGAATTTATTAGATGAACAACGTATAAGTTTGAAGAAAATCGCTTTGCCTTCCATAGAGTGTTTAAATCTCGGTTTAATACCGCTTATAATCACAACATTGGCATATCCAAGGCTCCAAAATGTAAATTATATATATATTTTTGGAGCATATCAATTTACAGGAGTTCAAAGTATGCGTTAATTTATAGAATTTGAAAACAGTCAGCAGCGTAGTATTTTAGAGAATTACGTCCTCTCGACTTTTATTTATCCAACGGTATTTACCTTCGGGTCAAAGACGTCGATGCGGATATTGCAATTATTACTAAATGTTACACGAAATGCAGTCCAGTTGGACCATTAATTTCCCCGGTATTTTGACACTGCTTAGGTTTTTTAAGAGTGCTTAATTTATTGGAGGTTTCTAACAATTACGCATGGAAAGAGGAAAAATAAAATTAGTCGTTATTTTTCTTTTGAACCAGACATTCTGACGAGTACGATAATCACTCACATCGCACTTTTTGTAGTGCTTTTGAATATTATTCAGTTCATTCAGCCATTAACAAATAGCTATTGTTTTGTTTTGCTTTGTTTCAAACTTTTTATTTCCTTCTCTACCTTTCTTTCCTCAGGGATTGAGTTGCTAACGGCAACAGAGAGTAAATATGTAGATTTAGAGGTGTTCTCGAGTAAAGAGAATGTTTCAATTACCATCAACGGACAACAGGTGTGAAGAAAAAATTTCCTCATTCAGTTTTTACGTAATTAGTGAGCAAAATGGCGGCGCCGTTATCGCTGAAAACGTATTCTAGGCCCATTAAACCGTAGTTTCATGAGTAATTCATCAAAAATAGTAATAATAATTATGATCACAGTAATAATAATATTTTTAATAAAAATAATAAGTAATGGTAATAAGATTGAGTATAATCCAATTCATGAAGCGGAGACCAATTCGGTCTGTAATGCTACGAGTGATTAACATAATCGGACGACGACTGCGAAACGGGAGTCCGATTTGTTAATCACGAATATGATTACAGGCCAAATTGGACGACACGAAGTCCTGTGTTACCATTAATCAAAACCGTTACAATTTTCCTAAAATGGATTACTAATTAATAATTGAAAAAAATTACAAATTTTCGAGAAAAGAAGAATGGGCAAGTTACAAAAGAAAGGGAAAATTGAATTATGATTGAACCCAAGGTTGTGATTGGTTGATTTAAACTACAACTTTGAAAATGATTGGTTGGTTTGAACAAGAACTTTGAATATGATTGGCTTATTGAACTGTCCGATAGCAAACAGTCCGATCACAACTTAACAAGTGAATTAGTGGAAAATAGGAGTTTTCTAATCCAATCATAATCGAGGAAATTGTAATTTTTACGATTATGGTAATAATAACAGTAAAGATAATAGTGTTCATAAAAAATGAAATTATTGACAATAATAATAATACCAGTAATAATGATAGTGGTGCTAACATCAATAACGATATAAATAAAGATGATTTGCACAAGTAAGTAAGCAAATATCCTTCCTTTGACGAAAAGGTTAAGAAGCAAACAATTTTTTCAGAGATTCCAGCTTGGGGAACACAGCGAGTTTTTACGTACAGATAATGCCAAAGGGCAGGAGCCCAATGGACTCCTGCAAAGGGTCACTATGTACAGTCCTGATCTAGGCGTGTATTATTTCTTCGCAAAGTGGAGGCCATTGTGCAGTTCGCGGGACGAAATTGTTACGAACAACTAACCGACAAAAACCTGTATTTCGTAGGATGTCGACTATTTTATTGCTTTGGTATTATCTAAAAGCTTACTAGTTTCCTTCTGTACAATAAAAGCGAAACGTTCTCTTATTTTGAATCAGATATCAAACTAAATTTTGTCGGAGTGAAATGTAACTTGTGAAAAATGGAGTAATACCTCTCCGGGGACATAACTCGGCTAGGTGCCAGTTTAAGCTGGGTCATGTTCAGTTTGGTGAAACGCTCAGACTAAAAAAAAAAACAAACCTTTTTGCTGGAAAATTTCGTTATTTTCTCGACGCTATGAAATGAATGTAACCGTTCAACATTTTGGAGAAAGTAAATGTTAAAGTCGTACCCAGACCCCTCATGGTATCCGGTTTTTCAAACACATATTCCAAGTTATAATTATAGGGGATAGTTTTTATACATATTTAAATTGATTTAATATGTCTAATCAATAGATTTATGTGTTTTTTCTTGTTTAGAGGGTCGATATTTCCGAGATGTTACTAAGAGGCCTGAATGTTGTAGTTTTAAATGAAGTAACTGGCGCTGTGATGTCCTCGAGATGGTTCGATACATATGAGTCAAAAGAGGACAGCGGTTATCTTATGGAATTTCTTTCAAATTTAAAAAACGGCAGGATAATCTGTTTTGCCGTGAAGGTGCGTACAGACGGAATATGAAGTATAGAGTTGTTTCTACAAGCTACGAACTTAGGTGTATCCTATACGTGTTGGGCGATGACGAAACCTATCCATAATGAGCCTAACAATAGGTCTGTCGAGCGCAAGATCAATTCATCATTCTTTGTTATGAGAGGAGGAAGGGGTTGGGAGAAGGACTAGTTGCCGGGTACAGACTATTATCTTAAAAGAAGACGCCAATTTTGAGCTCGGATTTCGAGTAATAAAAGGATCTTGGGATCAAAAAGTTCTCAGTCGCCGCTAAGATTTCCGAAACTTAGACCTTCGGAATTTGCGCTCGAAGGCTCTTTTAAAAAGCTACGAGGGTGTCAAAGGGATGTTGGCTTTTACGGTTAACGGTTAAAACTTTTGGCCGTTTTACGGCTAATAGTCAACCCTATTAAGACCCTCAGAAACCTCTGGTTGACAATAAATAATATCGTAGAAGTAGGCTGTACCGTAGACAACGCCTGATAACATGACCGATGCATTATCTATTCAGCAACCATAATTTTCATCTTGTGTACTCAGCTGAGCGGGTGAAATAGAAAATATGTGACAACGGACTCATTCCTTCTTATCGTTTAGGACGAGGCGTCTCTTTCCTTATCAGAGAGCACGCGCATGTTCATCAAGCGTTTGGGAAGTGCTTACATCGATCAGCTAAAGTGGAGAGGCATGTGGGTGTTTATTGTCCAACGGTTGGGCACTCGAAACATTGTGTACGGCGAGAGTTTTCAGGATGCACCGAATCTTAACCAGTGGGCAAGACCAGTGAGGCTACACGTAACCGTACAACTAGTGGCAGAAAATATTGTCAACTGCAAATGGGACGACTCCGACGCTACCAAGAGACGAAGAGAATTTTGTGAAAAATATGAAGGATATGGCAACGTTTGCAATTGTAAGTACATGTATAATCTGAGCTGTCATTGAGAGCCGGTAGCCCTTCAAAAGTGCTGGTTAGTGTGGCATCTTAAGCTTATTACTTTCACCTTGTTTTACCATAGGTTGTGGTTAAAAATCGCATGATTACAATTAATGTATTATTATCTTACAAGCAAAATTTACCAGTAGCATGTTTAGATGTTTGCTCGAAGGTTTGTGTGATCTTCGTGGAATGCATTTCACCTGAATAGTTTCAAGTTTTTTCCAGGTATTTTTATGATTTTTTACACTCCGCGGAAGTCTTAAAATTAATAAGCCATAACATGCTTTCTGTAACTTCGTGAATTTGACGTAGTTCTTCATAGGGACTCATCAATTCCTTCTTTGTTTCTCAGGTGACAATCCTCTTTCGCTAGAATTTGACCCGCCCTCTTTTAGAGACAACAGCCGACTGAAGTTGCCCGTGGCGGTCATGGCTGGTAACAGACCAAGTTACCTACTACGCATGCTCTTAAGCCTTCGTAACGTCGAGGGTCTGGATCCTAGTTTGGTAACAGTTTTCATCGATGGTTTTTATGACGAACCTGCCTCGGTCGCTAAACTGTTTCAACTACATGTGGAACACCATGCAGGCTCGGGGAGATTAAACTCAAGAATTTGTCAGGTATAGCGTGCTTAGAGCGTTTAGTCGTAAAGTTACCTAATTTTGTTCTATAATAATAATAATAATAATAATAATAATAATAATAATAATAATAAATAATATTTTCATTTTTGTGTTATTTCCCTCAGCATTACAAGAAATCGCTGACAGCTTCGTTTGACAAATATCCCGATGCTGATTACCTTGTGATCTTAGAAGAGGATCTCGATATGTCCGTTGATATCCTCAGCTATTTTAAACAACTTCTTCCTGTCTTAGAAAAAGATGAAAGCCTATATTGCATATCAGCTTGGAACGACCAGGTATGTTTGGTGTTGAAAGGCTGAACTGTTCACGGAATACAGCTTAACTTTTTTTATACAACAAATTGATCGCGACGCTTGAATCGCAAAATATTGATGCATGTTCTGAATTACTAATGAGTTGGGATAAGATGAAAACACATCTCGTCCACGAGAAGTAAAAGTATTCCAAATTCTCCCACCGACGCAGCACCACAGTTTCTTAAGAAGCTTACCCCCCGTATTCCATGTTGCTTGGACTACTTTTTCTACTTAAAATTCATCTAACTCTTAATATTGATACATATTCTGAATTGTTGAAATACCTGATACCTTCTTCAATTTAACTTCGTAGGGTTATGACCATCTTGCAAATGATCCTGCCATGTTGTACAGAGTAGAGACCATGCCAGGATTAGGATGGTAAGGGATGCGTTAGGTATTAAGAATGGTACTCATACTAAAATTCAGAGATAAAACTATGGCGACCACTTTTGAAAAGGAGATTGCTTTCCTTTTAGATAGCAGCACAAACTTAAATAAGCTGTCTCAATTCTTCGCTTTCGCTTTTGAAATTGCTTTATTCTGAATTTTTTTTTTTACGAAAACGGTTAGTATTACGTCATCCAATATACCTTTTAACGTAAAAGCAAAGTAACAAACCTTGGTGATGAGGCAAGTTAGTTTACAGGTAGAATTCAAACAGTAAATGGAAGAATGTAGGGATGGAGTCTGATGAAATCCATGATTCGTGTGTGGCTTCAACTAAAAAGGGCAAGCCTTAATCAGCAACAGTGATCAAACACGGAAAATTCTTGAAAGTCCTAATTAGATGCGGGCTGAACGATCCTTTCTTTTTCCCCATAATGCGTTGCACTCTAAAGGGGAGTGAGTTGTAAAAATTTCAAAAACAATGATTGAATTTTTTGGTGAAAAATGGCCACCAAACTTTGTCGGTAGCCATCGACAAACCCATTTTTCTCTACGTAACAAACCCCTCCTTTCTCCCTCAGGGTGTTAAAGCGTAAGATATACAAGGGTGAACTAGAGGAGAAATGGCCGAAGCCCCATCAGTCAGCTGACTGGGATATGTGGATGAGGCTACCTTCCAACATCAAAGGTCGCGAATGCATCATCCCGGATATTTCTCGTACTTATCACTTTGGAGCCAAAGGACTTAATGTGGGAAGCTTTATGCAGAATATTTATTTCAAACATCATGCTCTGAACAAAGAAACAAATGTCAAGTTGAATGCGGAAATGATGTATAAGGATAACTACGAAAGAGAAATATTTCGTCTAATAGGGTAAGAACCTTGTCTTAATGTTAAAAAAAGTGAGCATCCAGCTGGAGCTTATCCCGGTTTCCATAGCATGAAGCTGCTAGGAGTATTACTACTCTCACCTGGATGCGATGCCAGTTCATCGTAAGGTTACCCCCCAGCTTTTCATCAGGCTTCCTTGAAAACTCACCGGAACCCATAACGCAAATCATTTTACTCACCTGCTTCACGTTTATCCAGTTGTTACCTCGTTAAATATTTAGATTTTCCAGTTTATAACATGTAACCTCTCCTTTCTAGATCACTACATTATCTAGAGAAGAGTTGACGAGAATAGAAAGGTTTGCCAGCTACAGGGTGTCATTTTGACATAATAAAAACTAGCTAATTTTTCAGGCAAGCTATAGCAGCTGTAGGGGAGATCTGCGATTCAGATCTTCGGAGTGAGGAGATTAAAACCGAATGGCCCAAACACTTTCCGAAGTTTTCTTAAATGGTTTAGTAGTGAACGATATTCTGACATGAAGTTCAAGGCAGCAACAGTAAGCTTTTTGTTTTGCGTTTCAGAGAGGCTAAGCTTTTAAATCATTCCAAAAACCCGTGCGCAAACCTCAAAGACTTTGTGCCAGACACCGCTGGACAGACGTATTTGTTTTATCTACGTATGGATAATCCAAGAGACTACACCACGTGGTCCAACATAGCGCGTTGTTTTCAAATGTGGGATTTGGACCCCAGAGGATTTCATAGAAGTACGTGGAGATTCTGGATCAAGAAAAATCATATTTTGGCTGTTGGGTGTCCTGCTTCTGTTTATTGTATGAAGAAACCGAAAAATCTAAATCTGATTTATCTTCCAAACAAAGAGACGAGACCGAAAGATCTTATTTAGCAGATTATCTTAATTTGCAAAAAAGGTAGCGCTCCTATAGATAGGGGAGTTTGTTCCCGATAGACAAATGTTGTAATTATGAAAAGAGGCACTACTCTTGGGCACTATTTATTTTGTGGAATAATTGAATCTTATAACTGATTATTGAAAATAATAACCGAAAAGACTTCCTATTTCATCCTCAGGTTTCCAAGTGCACTACAATAATACGAATTAATTTTTCCGAAGGGTCTTGATATTAGTCGGCAAGTGAAGAATTTAAAGAAAGCGACAAAACTTTCAAGTCTGTAATACACGTTTTGACAGAAACTTCTTAAATCTTCTCGGAAATGTAAGTAACCTTAATTTTTCCACACGTGTTAGAGAGCACTTAGTCAGTGACAGGGCTTCTCACATTTTTAAGCATCTGTAAGATTCTGCACATTGTCGCGCTTTGTGTTCAGCACATAGTTTCCATGTTTTGGATCACGCCTCTACCGGTCTTCAACTCAAGATAAAAGAGGCTATTCATATTCAAAGAGAACAACCATCGTGGAATCAACAATTACACCATGTAAATCTAAAACTATCCTTTTAATTCTCACACTTTCATGCTTTACCTCTTTTCTTGTTGTCACCATTTATCATAACTAGCATTTGTCTACTTACTATAGAATTCAACTTTCAACGCTTTGTACATCAATTAACTGAAGATGACATTCAGAAGTTTCTGTCGAGACATGTATCACAGACTTAAAAGTTTTGTCGCTTTCTTTAAGTACAAATTAAACTTAGAAATTCTCTAAGAGCCTCAGCGAACTTCGCTAAACACGCACGTCAAAAAAACTTTATCTTCGCGCACTTCGTGTTCAACAATCTGTACTCAAAGTAGATAATGGACACGTAACATTAATATTCCAGACACTATCTATTTCTAATAGCCACGCGCAGCCGAATTCTTCAATGGTACGCGCACTAACGCAGCACCCTTCAAAAGTAAAGCTTTGCGCAAATGACACATTAGACACGACTAGTTATTTAGGTGATTATTCGCATAGAATTAGGACCATTAGTTACTAAAATGAAATGTGTTTTTAACAAGGCCTCCGTTCGTTACTAATATGTATCCTTCTCAACTCAAATTTGAAGTACAAAAATCACTTTTAAGTGATATTTAAAACATTAGTACAAGACATCAACATTCCACTAATAAAACTGTATTAAATTTAATGTCATTATCTACTATGGGTCACTCTTCGCTTACAAACTTGCTTACAATTGCCTTAAGGTTCACAAGTGGGAGTCTGATTAGTCAATCACGAGTATGACTATGGTCAGAATTTGACGACACGAGGTGTTGTTACCAATTAATTATAATTATAACATAGCTAGAAAATTTGTCTAATCAGATTCAATTGCGCGAACGTGCTTCATATTCCTATTGTGCACGCTCAAGGCGTCAGCAAACAAATCCCTCGAGGAAAAAAATTTCCATCGGGTTGAAAATGTTATAAAACAATTGGTTCATACGTCAGCTGTGCGTTCATCGAGATATGAAGCACTTGGGAAGTTTGGAGAGTACTCGAGGAGAGTTGCTACGCCTCGAACAACTCTTACGCATCTTTCGTGCTTTCCAAACTTCCCGCGTGCTTCATATCTCGATTAACGCACGCTGGCGTATGAACCACTTGTTAAATATAAGAAATGATAAATATATGAAAACAAATTAATACATTGAAGAAAAATATCTCTGGTGGAGACAATTTCTAAAGTACGATTACAGCCAACTGTCAGATTACAGTGTGCGATTACAACTGTACAGAATAATTAGTGAAAAATAAAGCAGCTTATGCACCAATTCCATTTCAGGAAATTGCAATGGTTATGATTAAGTTTAGATGGAGCGCTTATCGATTGAGTGTTTTTGAACCGAAACCAAAGTTATCAGAACGACCAATCAGAAGAAATAAAAATACCTAAGGGGACCAATGAGGACTCAACTAAAACCAAGCAAACCGCCCAAAGCGCGGGAAAACGCGGGCGACCAATTCCCAATTTGTTTTAGTTTTTCATCTTATTGGTTGAGAGAGTGGCGCGAATTTTTTTGGACCAATCACAGAGCGAAGTAAAGCAAAACCACTGCAATCTCGGATTACCTTTGACGCTCAGTTAAAAATGACTATAAACAGTGTCAAGTGATTTGTTCATTGATTTTCGGGCGTTTAAATTACTGGGAAATTTTAATCCTTTTTTACGCAAGATTTCCTGTTCTCTGCCTCAGTCCCTCGCACTTCTTGACACATATGTTCAATGTCCCTGGTACCAATCCTCTTTGCCGGCGTTTTGCGCAAGTTTCCATGACACTTTGAATCACAATTCGCTTGCAAGAAAAACGGCCTAAGGGATCATTATCGGCTTCACTCGTGCAATCCAAACACTTCGTAATCTGTTACTTTAAATTTCTTTTTCCCCGTCAGGAATGTCGCCTGCTGGCCTGGAGGAGTGTCAAACGATCGGCCGAGATGGCTAAAACCTGATATATTTCCTTCTCCGTCCCTTGATATGATTTCCAGGTCGCGCTGTCCTCCAAATTTGGGTCCTAGGCTGCTATCACAGTAAAAACCTTTCAGATGAATTTTGTTTATCGGCATTTTAGTAGGTCCCAGGCCATGAGGATTAACCATGCTGAATAGGAATGCTTTTGATTGTGTGACCCACGTGACGCGACCTAGAAAAGTAACTTTTGTTTCAGAAACTCTATTAGAGGTATTGTTAGCTATGGCACCTTCATGTTGATTAAAGTTTGTACCGACGTTTCGTCATAAAATGTTTATATACTCATGCTATTGCCTAGGCTTTCTGCTGAATCAACGCCGTACATTCGTGCAAGAACGAAAGACTATATATGCCAATCCTTTTTATTTAAATTTATGAACCAGAAAGTAAGGAAGACTTAAGCTTTATTAAAGTTGTCTCCTGAAAAAATGTAGAGGTAAACGGTCAGATGCTGTACCAACTACAAAGAACTGGCCAGGTATGTTTTTTATAGGCCGTGTACCAGTGAGCGATCCGAATTCTACTTGGTCAGCAATGGTGGATGTGTCATACGTGAAGATACAGTAAGGAAGTGGATAAATGTTAGTTGATAAATTCTTCAAGTGCAACTGACTTACCACTCATCCATGGCATGTCTGTGAATCCACCGAAAATATTGTTCACGCTGTTTACAATGGTGACAGTGGGTCCTTTGTTGTCACATTTGGAATGAAAGCTTTCGGCCGAAGACCCATCGCGAGAAGCTCGGTACAGAAGGACCCAGGTCCTACTCGAAGAAGGCAACCAGGCTTGAAGCACCCGGCAATGCTCAATAGAAGTTAAGATCTTGGATTCCTGAAATGGTTCAGGAAATTTGTTTGCTTGAAGTGAAGATCCAAAAAAACTTGGCTCTTTTAACTCGTTAATAATTCCTGTTATCTGGTAGAAATCAGCCTCTTCTTCGATTTCCCTCAGAATTGTTTCTTCATCCGGCAAAGTCAATTTCCCAGTTCGTAGGTAATTGAGTATAAATCGAAAGTGAGTTCCATCCCGGTCGATAAAGAAGGCGCCGTCCTCAGAAGGTCTCATTTCAAACTTTCCCGAAAACATGGCGGCCAGCATTGAGTCTGGATCTTTGGTCAGTGTTTGAAGACTTGTTGTGAAGTAATGGCCGCCAACATTGAGTTTTACAGTCGACGAATACATACCACCATTCATTGCTAAATCCTTCGAAATTGGTTCTATTGACTTACCAAAAGGAAAACATACAAAAATTATTTTAAAATTTGAATTAAAAAAATTCAGCATCATTTAGCATCGTGTACTTGCACTATTTCTTGATACACAGAAGTGATTATTAGACACTTGATATATGGTCCCGAGGGAACGATATGAGCTAATAGTTTTGGGGTTTATGCTAGGGATAAAAAAAATTTTTACAATTGAGAGCCCCACCACGACTCAACTTACATATTGAAAGTATTTTTTTTTTTCAATTTGCAATTTAGTAGTTTCCAGCCTTAGGAAAACGTACCTTCACAAAAGTTATTCTTTCTCCGATAAAGTAACTGTAGAATTCCACGATAAGTGCCTCTTCATGACTAATTTTGGGTTATGCATGTGCATTTATTACCAAGCTCCAAAATATACCAATTCTTTCTGCTCTTGAGCGAAGGCAGCGAATGAGTAATTTAATTTCACTTTCGCCTTTTGCATGATATTGATTCCATTTGAAGCTTGTGAAGCTTGAAGTTTGATAGGCTAACTACAACGAGTCTTCAAAAGCTCTTCAAAACCGATTTAGAATTCAGAAAGTTCGAGTCCGGCGGCGAACTTTTCGTTTGAATTTGCTTTTCGGTGTAGGCTTGTGCGTCCTTAGGGTAAAAGTATTGTAATTCGGGTCAGGTTTCCTTCGAAAAGAAGATTAAAACCGGTGTAGGCTTGTGTTCTTAGGGTAAAAGTATTGTAATTCAGGTCAGGTTTCCTTCGAAAAGAAGATTAAAACTGGAGATATGGGTTATCGCAAGAGGAGCAAAATCGAATCCTACAGTGTTGGCACCTAAGTGTTACTCTTAGGGATGTTAAGAAAACCACTACGGCAACGACAACTGGAACGTTACTAGACTAAAGTGTTTATGAGCAGAACAGTGGCTGTGCACGTATGGTATAAATCTTTGCGTCCTCTGCAAAACAACGTGAAATGACCCAACTCTGCGCTGTCTGGAGAACATGACTCCGACGACGGGTAATTTTTTAAATTTCTAATTTAACGCTACTCTCCGTATTCAGGTTCGAGATAGTTTTGACAGCGAAAGTACTGCGAAATTCGTAGGCAAAACAAGTTCATTGTTTAATCGACGTTGTCGACAACTAACAAAGCCCACGCGAAGCTCGCAAATCACTATTTTGTTCGTGAAAAACCATAATATATCAAATGGCACTCACACAGATCTTTCACTTTGCTCGATGTATGTTCTGTCTATTACCTTCCAAGTTGAGGTATATTTGTTCACTTTTTCCTTGCCAAACAACTGAGCTCAGATAATCTTTCTACAACCCCACACCTAGCAATTGTCATCAACACCCAGAGCAGTGGCGTAAGAAAGGATTCTCATTTGTGTGGCTAATTCAAAGACGTGTACTCGAATATTTATAGACGGAGAGTGTCGCAATCGTCTGGCAGACTGCGTGCTCACCCTGTTTTTAATTGCAGTTGGCAATCAACTTATTTCTTCTGTGTTTCCAGGGTTTAATGTAAACAACTCAAAAGTCACGCAACTTTCACGATCCGTCAACTATCGATTGATTGAGATATCTCAAAAAGGCTATATAACCTTGGTAGTCTGAAATTTAGTCGTAAACATTCCTCTGAGTAAAAATTAAAGACGGTAAGATAAACAAAATTTTTAATTGCTTGTTTTTATGGCCTTTTTTACGTCAAAAGTCAAGTGTTCATGAATTCTAAACGAGTATTAATTAATATACAATTCAGCGTATATCATTTCGAAAACTTAATTTTTGCTCACTAATTTTAGTGTTGCGAATTGAAGGCGAAAAAATCCCAATTTTCTCGAGAAAATCCTGATCGTCTCCTTCTATGCGAAAGCAAATCTAATAACTTGGTACAAAGACTTGGAAAAAAGGCCTTAATATTGCTTCAGTGGACAGATTATTGTAATTACATTGGAAGTAATTTCAACATTTCTTACCAGAAAAGCCAGTTGCTACAGTAACCCAACACCTGCTTAAGGCAGAATTCACGCAAGAGAGAAGAGAGAGAAGTTGTGCTTTGATCAAAAACTATCATCACCCAATTTTAAGTGTGTTACTAAATTAGCGAAACTATTTTCTCCTAATAAGAGATGATCAGCCTATTCTTTTTAGGCTAAGCTTGTGATTTACAGTCTTAACTGTATGAAGTGGCACCGTACTGTGCGGTGACCCTGTTTAAAGCAGTTGGTTCGCAAAAGTCCCATAATTTTTTCCCTCAATTACCCAATTTTCACCTCAATTTCGCTGTCGCAGTCGCCCTTTGCTGAGGCCCGACAGTTTCTTTTTACTGTTTTCGACTTGTATCTAACGGAATCTAACGATCCCTTACAGATTACCCACTCAAATTACATTAGGAATAATCTTTCACATAAAGTTTAATCCATGTTTACCTCCCAAAATCAATGTTAGAAAGATTATTGAGCAATTTTTTTTTAAATTAAGAGGTAAATTATGGCTAAACGTGGCGTTTCTTTATTATTTTGTAAGACTCCCATTGTATTAAGCTGTCAATCTGTATGGATGAGCGGTTTATACAGGTTCGACTGTTATTGCGAAACAGATGTAACAATTGATTCAAGCTTAACGTGTGTATTTCGCAATCTGAAGCAAGCAGTAAGGTTCATATGGAGAGCACGAGCTTCTAGCCTCATGAGCACTCTCCAAATTTTCTCCGTACAGGTTTCTGTTATGCGAAACAGGTAACAATTAAACACGTGTGTATTTCGCAATCTAACAGTAAGGTTCATTGAACCATTGGCTTGTGATCCCGATTGTAACCTTGAACCATTGGCTTGTGACCCGATTGTGTCAGTTAAATTAGGTAATTACCTATCCGGATTTAAAGTTATGAACAAAAGAAAGGCAAAATCGAACAAAGCAATATTTCGAGAACTAAGCTTCTTTCAAAGAAAAGCTAACTTTGTCCTTAAGACAAAAATCTCTGTAAAAGCGGTTCGGTGCATCCTAGAATCGATTTCTTTCAAACTCTGCCGGTGAATCTTTCTTAGTCTGAAAGTAATTGAAACCACCTTGGATTTTCATATATATTGAAAATTTTTTAGGTATGTGTGATTTTTGTTTGGAAAAAAGAAAAATAATACGGTAAACCTTGATATTTGTGCCTCACATTTATCAAAACAGAAGTCGAGTGCATGTAGGTATAGTCCAAGTGCAAGGCTAATTGTTGTTGTGACCTGTTGTCATGTGTCATGCATGTCTTCTGCAAGCTATCTATTTACTATTCCTAACGGTCTTTTTGTTTTTCATTTCAGCTCATGTGGATGATCATATCTCCGTCTTGAGTCCACTGTATGAAAAAGGACTGTCAAGTAAAACTAACAAAAGCTCGGTCAAAAATGAGCTTTCGGTTCAGTGCAAAATAATATCGACTAGGTCTCTGAGGAAATTCATCCAAAATAGGTCCGCTCGGCGTGCAGACGATTACTCCATCGAGTCAAAAAGGTCTTATTTTGACCTCAAAACGATCCCTTTTTTTTCGTGGAAAAGCCATCGTGAACAAGACTGCCCTTGTGCGAAAAAAGCTAAATGGCGCCCTTCAAATCAAGCAAAGAATCAACCGGCAGCTGAAGCTGGTGAAAGTGAGTTCACTGAAATTCTCTCAGTTCAACTTTTTAAATGGGTCATTTCCTTCGCCATTCAGGTGGAAATTTCAAACGAGAATGAAGTAAAAATGTTATTTCATCGGTCGCTTCCTTCCCCGAGGTGTCTTTTAGGCATCTCACCTTAGACATTTTTCATTTGCCGTCGGAAAAATTTTCAACATGTTTTAAGGTATTGTGCTAAATTTGAACTTATTTCCTCGTGTCTATAAGAAAAAAGTGGTATCGCGAATGTAGAGCATTTTCAACACTAATGTTTATTGGAGGCTAATTTGAGGTTAGGTTCTTTAATCTTGGAAATGGCTCCATAGAATTTTCCGAGAAAACTCTACGTTAAATGCAATATATACATGCGATAACTTGGATAAGTTTTAATTGATGTAAGTGTGGTGAATACGCCGATTTAATGTTAACACTTTACCCCCATCGGTTTTCTGTTACACAGTATAAAGTATAAAGTATAAAGTTGACAACTGTTGTCTTTTCCTGTTGTTCTACAAACAATACTGTCTACCCCAATTTGAATAATCTCACATACTCAGACGGCATTGTTAAAAGAAGAAAAGGAAGAGTAAAAACCGTCAAATTTATACCTTCAGCCGGACAGAAAGCCGAAATAGGCAAAGGATTTTTTTCTTCAGTATTATTTCATTTGCTATATAAAATATATATATCCTACAGTCCAAATAAAAGTACTATCGATCGAGTATGGCCGAGTGAAAGACCAAAACAATACAAGCGAAACCATTGGAGTATTTATGACTAGTAAAAAATTGGATACGCCTAGAAGTTCGTTGCTTTAACAGTCAAGCCTAAAAAATAGGGGTCAATATCAGTATCTGGGCAACTGTCCACCTACCCCTCCCCTAACCCAGCATTAACCTTAACTTGTTGTCAATTGACTGTTGTTGATTTAGGGGAGGGAAAGGTGGGCAGCTGCTCAGATACTGATATTGATCCAAAAGTAGAACAAAACCTAGGCTCGGATCGTTTAGCGCGTACTAATGGAATACTACTAATAAAGAAGCCTTGAATGTGCCCCGTTCTGCCCTAAAGCAAGCAGGTAGGCGACTAGAGCACGAAAGAAGTGTAGGGGGGACACGAGACATGGTGGAGTGTTTCCCCCTTCTTCTTGAGTAGACATCCCTCTTGCAACGGAAACTTAGGTGAAAATGTTAGACGGGATGTGGGAGCGTTGATGGGATTGTTTCGGAGGATGATATCAAGGAGGAAAGAAGATGCGGCTAATCCATAATCAAAATTACTGCAAGGTTGCAATTGTGAAACGTAAATGCTTCTGAAAAGCCTTCTCGTAAGGGTCAATGCTTCTTTTCAACTGGAAAGCAAAACTAGCAAACCAATGCAACAGCATATGCAAAAGTGCGACCATTATGATATGCCACTTTATTCAATTATAAGCATGAAGACAAAGGTGAAACTAAATTCTAAGTTCTGATTATTCAAACAAAGTTCAGTCGTTTTTTTTTAATAACTACACAATCCTCAATTTAGCTTGCCATGTTTGATGTTTGTTCGACCTTCAAAGGGGGTTGAACCACTAAGGTTCTCGTGGCTGTCAACATTACTTAAGATCACTCAAGATAAATTTCGGTCTCTGCAAAGATTTTTTTTATAACATTTTACTGTAACCCACAAGCTACATGATAAAATGTCCTTCACACCTGATAGAATTATTTATATACTCAAAAATTTAGATAATTAATTGGCGGGGGAAGACGTAATATACTAGATCTAATACTAGTAGTTATAATTGGTGAAAGATCTTCCCTGATCTTTTTGTTGTCAGTCACTGGAGTCCAAACACTTCGTAATTGGAAACGGAGAAATATTTACCTCCTGTTAAGAAGGAGCTCTCTTGCCCCCGTGGACATTCGTAAGAGGTGCCGAGTTCACTGTGGCTTTCTGTGTTTGTGTTTGCATCATTTGAGATGAATAGATCTCTGGAGATAGAAAAGAACAAAGAACCCTTGATGCCAAACGTGGGTCCATATCCACTATGACCGACCATGCCAGATTTTTGGTTTTGACTCATGAGGGGCATTTTAGTCGGTCCTACACCACTAGGGTTGACCAAACTGAACAGGAATGATTGTGTGCTCTTCACAAAAGTCGTAACTGTGAACGAAATGACACATCATATAAATGCCTGATATATACAAATAGACTGTGTCAAGGATAGTTTTCGCCTTGATTTTTTTCTGCATTTATTGAAATAGTTCGTTCCGACTATTCCGATTGATTTCTTTCGTTTCACAAAGTACAACATGCCATATTTATCATAGTATCCTGTCAACCGAGTAAATAACTATTTTCTTTATTTTTTTGTCTATCATAAGAATATTGCTCCTTATAAATTGCATCATGTTGCTACCTTATTTTGCTCATGATGTTAGCTCTTATACTGGGTTATTTTCCCTTGATACATATTCCTTGCAGGAAAATAATTAGGGGAACTACATGCAAGAGAAAGGCCTTGAAAACAATGCACCACAATTTAATAATCATGTGTCACCTTACCTGGACCGGAAGCCCATGATATTTCCATGAAGCCTCCAAAAATGTAGTCTCCACTCTGTACAATTGTGACCGTGGGTCCTTTATTATCGCACCTGGAGTGAAAGTTTTGCGCCTTAAAACCATGGCGAGAGGCTCGGAATAGAAGGTGCCAGTTTTCGCATCCTGAAGGGAGAAACCCCCTTAGGGCATTTCGATGCTCTTCAGTTATTACAATCATCGACTCTCCAAATAGCTCGGCTACTTTCAAACCAAGTATAGGAGACTGCGTCGGATCATATGGACGTTCAAGCGCGTCAACTAATTCCTGGATCTGATAAAAATTGGCTTCTTTCATGACTTCCTCAAAAACTGTTGCATCTTCTGGTAAAGTTAATGTCCCAGTGCGAAGAAAATTGAGAATAAACCGGAAGTGGGTGCCATCACGGTCGATGAAGAAAGCGCCGTCTTCTGCAGGTTTCAGGTCAAATTTCCCTGAAAACATGGCGGCAAGCATTGAGTTTGGAGCGCCCTTGGTCAGCGTTTGAAGACTTGTTTCGAAGATGTGTCCACCCACATTGAGTTTCACTGTCGAAGGAAAGTGAAAGTTCTCCACTTTCTTAGACAGTGCGTCGACTACTTCCCGCTCCTGGCGAAGTTTCTCTGCCTCTCGCTTAAATACCTTGCAGGCTTCTTCTATTTGATTCAAAGCTTCGCTTAGATCTTGATCTTTACGCTGATCTTCTTCTCCAAGGCTACCCTCACAGTGGGTTTCGTCATTCATATTTCTAGCACAGACGGTCGCAAATTGTTTCGTTCTCTCAAAGCAGACACAGCCTTGGTAATCTGACGCGAAGTTATCACCTTTGCATGGTTTTGTATGACATGATTGTGAAAGGACGCATCATGCGAAAAGGGCCTGAGTTCGAGTAATTTGCATTTGAATCAACTGCTCAAAGCTTCCAACTGTGACCCGCACGTGACAACTGTGACCCGCACGTGACAAGACTGGTGAGAGAATTTGTAGAGTCGAGAAACTGTGAGGAAGAAAAAAGAAGTAGACATATCTTGCGGAAGAAGCGAACAGGTAACCAACTCGATATAAGAGTATTTCTATTATACAGTTACGTCAACCGTGTAACAGCTTTGTTTCACTATCCTGACAGACGTTTTTCTGTGTCTATACTTGACATATCATGTTCACACTTTATACCGAACACCAGTATGCATATTCTCCATAATGTTCTCTATACATTTCCTACGATGCTGCCAGGAGAATTTGTTTCAAAAGCAAGAGCTTCTTTAGTTGGTGATCATTTCCTCTGTTCTTGTGACTTTTATTTGTGATTTTGTGTTGATATTGTAGGATATTCTAGTCACTCTTAGGGTCAAGGGAACATCTTCTCCATATTCTTCATGAATGAACAATAGGTGTAGGTTCTCTCATATACCTCGATAAATATTTGCGTTCTGTTTGTATGAGTATCAAAGGAGTCTTGCAAATTCGTTCTTTTGTCTTGTAGGACACTTACGCGGAGCCAAGATTACGGTAACTAGCTGAGTTTCCATTTACGTCATCTGTATCACTTCCTTCAGCTGTTCCAAATGTTGGTCAGATGCCGTATCGTTGGCTTTTTCTATGGAGCAGCATTTTTGTCGGCTCCAGGCCCTGTGGATTCACCAAACTGAACAGGAATGCTCGAGTGCATGTAAACTTGAAAGTTTTGCAAGAATTCAAGGAAGTCTCAAAATAAATTATGCAAGGGCGGTAAATTACAAATAAGCATGACGTTTTGTTTTTATCTGAACCGTTGATGTGGTGGCGCGAACTTTCCAGACTAATCACAGAGGATCTTAGAACTAATTAAAACAAAACCGATGCAATACCAGTTTACTATCAACACTCATTTAAAAATTTCTCCGTTTACACTCAAACTGACGTGCCACATGACATTTGGGCAAAATCTGTAGATCCTCATTGGTTGGAGTTTATGAAGGAGGAAGCAAATGCTAGCTTTTTTGCCGAAAGAATTCCTCGGAAGTTCACCGGTGACAAATTATTTTCTTCGGCGAAGGGAGCCACTTTGATCGTGTAAAGACTTCCCTGGGGAAACAGACAAAAATTTCGGCCAGGTCTCGAACCCAGACCTCTAGAAAAGCAGACCCGGTTGTTCGAGGGGTGGATAGCACTATGTACCGGATAAATCTGTATTAGGTTGATAGCACAGTACATTCTGTTACTGACCATAACACCTTGAGATTAATTGTCATTTTTTTGAAAACCAGGAGGTCGCAGTCGAACCAGATGTTCTTTTGACGGGAACCGTTCAACTTTCCGCCGCAACATTGGTATTTTGATTGACAGTTTGAATGGGGCACTTCGCAACCCACGTGTTTTGATGCCGGTTTCAAATTTGATTTTATTTGTAAGTTGCAAATCTTGGTATCCATAGTATTTTAGATTATGTAGTTTGTAACAGTTTTTAAGTGCTTTATGTAAATAGTGAATGTTTCTTGAATAACATTATGTACATTATGCATTATGTAAGTCATTAGTTTTTAGTTAGTATGACGGATGTAGAGCTACGCTGTAGAAATACTGTCAATAAATCGTTATTATTATTATTGTTTGTTATTTACTTCTTGAAGAACTGGTATCGTATAGCTTTGTTCGCGCGATAAATAAGTTCATTTTAGTTGCCGAGTGGCTCATCAGCGTAAAACTCGCAAATCTATCCTCAGAATGCTACAACAGCACTTGAAACAGTTTGCAAAACATAAGAAGCCAGGAGGTGCAACATGCCTAGCTGTAGAGAAGCTTGCAATATGCTCATGTAGCGGCACTTTTCCTCCTTCATGATCTATCTGCGGCCTGGGCCTTGCGGGCTAGGGAGATGGGGGGGGGGGGGCTAGGGAGATGGGGGTGGGGGGCTAGGGAGATGGGGGGGGGGGAGGGAGATAGGGGATGGGGGGGGCTAGGGAGATGGGGGATAGGGGATGGGGGATGGGGGCTAGGGAGATGGGGGTAGGGGGGGGCTGGGGGATGGGATGTGGGGGCTAGGGAGATGGGGGGGGGGGGCTGGGGAGTTGGGGGTGGGGGGCTAGGGGGAGATGGGGTGGGGGGGCTAGGGAGATGGGGGTGGGGGGGCTAGGGAGATGGGGTGGGGGGCTAGGGAGATGGGGTGGGGGGGGGGGAGATGGGGATGGGGGTGGGGAGGTGTACATTGTATTCAGTTTGCTATCAATACAGTTTTATCCTAATTCTCACTAGAAATAATTTTCTTTTGAAAAAATCTCACGGTCATAATTGATTTTTCTGCAATGGTTTGGGAGATGACGCGTATCTTATATGATTCTTTTCAAATCTATTTTTTGTGGTTAGGCCAAGCAGTATTCTTTCTCAAATTCAACGCAGTAGTCTTGATGTCAGGAGAGGGATGGCCTCTTGCATAACATAGTTGGTAAATTCGTACATTCAAATTCAACTGCACTTGAAGACGTAAGGGTACGTATTGAAGAGTAGTGGAAGGAACCTCATTTTAGGAAACATCTCAAACTTCAGCGTCGACATGCTATAAAACGATTGTTTTGTACGTCAGCAATTAGTTTATCAAAATATGAAGGACTTGAGAAGTCTATAGAACACTCAGGTAGCTGGAGGAATTCCCTGCTGCGCCTCGAGTTCAGTCTGAGGCATTTTTCATGCTCTCCAAACTTAGACGTATTTAGGGAGGTAACTCAGATTACATGGGAAAGCATTAAGTGTGCGTTGTTCGAGATAACGCGGTTAAAGATTGGATCTGAGCTCGAGACAAATAATCAAAAAATGATTGCAATAACGGGATAAATCGAGCATGTCGGTGGTAAGATCGGGTTCCAGTTTATTTCATTCAGTCAAGATATCGATCTACACTCCACTGGTGACGAAGAATTTTACCCCAACATTCTTATTTTTCGAAAAATCTATGATTTGGGATAGTATAAAATGAGGTATTTATACAAAAAACCTCTCTTATATTGTATATTCCAGTTTTCTGTTTGTCATCAAGTCAATGTCGGATCCCAAACACTTCATAATTTGTTATTTGAAAACGTCCGCTCCCTGTAAAGAATCTTCTCTGCTGGTCTCCTAAGTCGGGAGGACATCTATAAGAACAGTCAAGATAAAGTGAACCGTGGCGCCCTGTGATAGAGAGATCGTGTCCGTTGCCAAACGTTGGTCCATAATCACTGTGACATTTAATGGCGGAAAGCTGTTGATATGAATCTTTAAGTGGCAGTTTAGTTGAACCCAGGTCTAGTGGGTTGACCAAACTGAACAAGAACGCCTCGGTACAGGCTGTGTAACCTCGATGCGGTCCACCTAATGAGGAGATAAAATTTCAAATTAATCCAAATACCTGCTTTTAGAATATGCTGTGTAACATCGATGTGGCTTACCTAATGATGAAGTAAAGTTAATACCTGCACCTGGGAAAGAAAACCTTATTGCACGCGTGCTGTGACAAGAGAATCTGCATCATGACAGACAAATCCTCTGATGAACACCAAAAATGATGCTATCACTCTTCGCTCGACTTGATGCACACTTAGTGAGATAAAAAATGTAATATCTCCCTTGAGATTTCGATACGACTCCGAGGATTACTCGACAAATTTGACTTAGAATTCTGAATGACTTTCAGATATTAAGCAGTTTCAAATGTTTGTTCATTTAATTATAAGCTTACGTGAAACCGGTTTAAACGAAGAGAGGACACTTTTGTGTTAGCCGGGTGACGAAACGAAACTACTCTTATAAAATACTCTGCTCCTTGCTTTCTTGCATACTAATTGAAAAAGCAACCCAGCCTGCCCCAAAAAAAATTTCAGTCCACCACTGTCTGGCTGCCAAGTGACATTTAAAGACAATGGAAGACGTTGGCACTTCGATACCTTTTGTACGCTCAATCTAAATGTCTTGTTAACATTAACATTTGAAAATGACTTTCAGTGAACTCGTGAACTTTTTTCGTCTTTACTAATTATTTGAAAGAAAAAGTTGCCATCATGATGTTACGAATGTAACCGCCTATGTTTGTATTTTAAACAAGAACAAAGTTAATTTTATGCTTGCGTTACCAAAAAGTTATCGCCTTCAAATGGAAAAAAATTAAATTCACGGGTCACGTACATATTAAAAGGCAAATCACGCCTCACGAATCATGCTCGCCTTTCTGTGAAGTTCACGAGTCACATTACTTTTGGCCGTCACGTCACGTATAAACCCTTTTGCCAACCTTTATGGCGATAAAATTCTGTTTGAACTGTCGAATTTTATAATGACCGACCTCCGGCAATAAAAAATTCTTGATTTTCTTGCCTTTGCTACGCAGAGGTCCTGCAATCACGACAATGATTTGAAAAATCTTTGCTTTCATACGCAAATTTACCGCTCACGCAATTTTGTCTTCGCAGGCTAATACAAGCGGCGTAACGCAGCAGAATGAAGGATAAGAGTGAAGAGATTGACAAGAATTTGTCATAGAAGTAAAGGAATAAACTTTATGTAGAAACTGAAACATAAGTTGCTAATTGTACGGAAAGGTTTAAAGATTAGGTCAGGCACACTATGTCGTACTTCGGTTTACAAAAACTTACTTTGCCATGGCATCTCTGTAAATCCTCCGAAGATGTTGTTTCCACTTTTAACAATGGTAACCGTGGGTCCTTTGTCGTCACAATTGGCGTGGAAATTTGCAGCTTCGAAACCATCTCGAGTAGCGCGATACAGAAGACACCACTCTCCGCGAAACTCAGACAACCAACCTAACAATACTCGTCGATGGTCTTCATTTGTCAGGATATCCGAGTCTTCAAAAGGATTGTGTAAAGGTCTAACTGCTTGAATTTCAGCGTTAGTGGACTTCATCTCGTCGATTATTCCTTGAATCTGATAAAACTCAGCTTCTTCCGCAAGTTCTTTTAAAAATGTTGCTCCATCTGGCAAAGTTAATTTCCCAGTGCGGAGATAATTGAGTATAAACCGGAAGTGAGTTCCGTCTCGATCGATAAAGAAAGCGCCGCCTTCAGAAGCCTTCATTTCAAATCTCCCTGAAAACATAGCGGCCAACATGGAGTTTGGATCCTTGGTCAGCGTTTGAACACTTGTTGTGAAGGTATGTCCTCCGACATTGAGTTTCACGGTCGAAGAAAAGTGAACATGTTCCAGTTTCTTCGATATGGCATCCATGGCTTCCTGCTCTTGGCGAAGTCTTGTTGTTTCGTCCTGTAGAATTTTAAACACTTCTTTAATGTGATATTCCACGTCTGCGAGCTTTTGATTGCCTTTTTGTCCTTCATTTAGACGCTTTCCATCAGCCATTTTCCGTGTTTCAATCAGGAATATTACAAGCGAGGATTACAACTCCACGCACCGAGGACAAGACTCCTTTCGATCGATTGAAATCGAGGCTAACGTGACCGGACAGGGGGGAGGGGCTGGGGAATTTTTAGGCTATTCAAATTTTCTTCTCTGGAAGCTCCCTAGAAATGATTTCACAACAAAATCTCGAGGGAGATACCACATTTTTTGGCTCACTTAGTGCGCATCAAATTTTTTTAAATAGGTTTTCTTCCATGATTTATTTTGGTCGATGTTCAGCCTGATCGTACGGAAGTAGTGATCGACTGAGGACGATTTGACAAGCTTGGCGGACGTCGGTCGGTAGTTTTCCATCATGATACTAAATGAGGGAGTGTTTCCCCGGGTATCAAAGGCGGAGTTTCTAACCCCCACCGTTTCAAGTAGCGGGTTTTTGCTTCGACAGCTTGATTACGCCTATAATCTACTGGTTGGGGTATAGCTAGGGGCCGGCCTAGGGGAGGTTCTAGGTTACCTCCCATGCCCTCGGCCAGGTGGCAAAAAAGCATGAATTTCTGAATGCTCATCGGAAAAAAAATCAGTTTTAACTTGAAAGGCATGCATGTCGACATGATGGTCAGGTAAGTACACTGATCAGGTTAGCACACGGTACGATCACGACTTCCCACCCCTCCCTCCCTCCCCATGAATTATTGAATACTCATCCAAAATAATGTCATTTTTGATAAAAGGCGTGTATGTCGATATGATTGTCAGGTAAGCACGCTGATCAGGTTAGTATGCAGAACGACTCCGCCCCCCCTCCCTCCCCCATAAATTTTTCAATGCTCATGACATGATGTCACTATTAATAATAATGCTGATCACGTTGAGTCTCCCACGCACCCCCCACTTAATTGAAAGATGTGATATTTGTATTTCTGAGCTTCACTTTTTGAGATAAATGTCTCGTATCAATGATCTGCTTTAAATGAATCGCGTTAGCCTACCTAACTTTGATCCACATTATTTTCATCAAATCCGACATCCAGTCTGTCCACCGTTGGCGTAGTCAAAAAAACGACTCTAATTTCGCTTCGTTTCGTTTTTGAGACGTTTTAAAAATGTAAACTCCCACTTCGATAACTGGATACCAACTATGAACCAATTGTTGCAAGAAGTCATTGCGAGGAGCTGGTCAATAAATAAAGATGAATAGTGATATTGTTTGTTTTGTTTTTTATCATTATTTGTCGAAGCATGAACCTTCAGGATGTGGCAGAAATTGTCAGCACCTGGAGTTATTTGATAATCTCAGCCTGGAGTTACATAATAATCGCAACTGATATCATGTTCCTCATCACATCTCTTTTCTCTAACTTCTGGCTCTGTTTCCTCTCTTTAGGGGATTAAATCAAGTGGAACTACACATTTGAATCATAGAACCTCGGAACTGACAGAAAAAGCCTTTGCTTTCTGTTGCATCACCGTGCATTCGACCAAACATTTCGAAGCATCTTTTAACACTTTGAAAACAACTTAGGCGCTTTCATAAAAAAAAATTATATATTTCCTGATCCGCTACTTCGTTTTGAAATTATCTACGCTCTATATCTCTATATCTAAATCAAGAGAGTCACGAGAGTTTACGTTCTCTTGATCTAAATAATTAAAATAGTGGGTAGAAGCACCCGATAGCTATCTTGGGGTGAACTAATATTTAGCATTAATTAAATTCGTTTGTATTTATATGATAAATGTGTGCCCAGCTGCAACTTCGAATTTACTGCTCCAAAATAATTAATGGTTTTAAAATTGAAACTCTCAATCATAAGTTTGCAGCGTCTTATACTCTATTTAAGATAACTTTACTACTAGAATAAAACTTCTTTATTCTTAGAGGATAAATGCTTTTCTACCCGTTAATTTGCGGTTACATTTTGCACAATATATTATTGGTGTTCAAGCCATATTAACTTATGAAACTAGACGATATATCGACGACTTTTAAATCCACCGGGCTGACTTTATAGTTTGCGGAATAAACTTGTTTCTATTCAGAAGATAAATTTTACCTCATGCCTTAATTTGTTCCTATTTTGCATAAGCAATTATGGCGCGTTTCATGTAAATCAATTACGCTTCACAATATCATCTCCCACATCTACTAACTGAAGCAAACTATAACTTTAACTTGAACAAAAGCCCAGTTGTGCTAAAAGGATAAATGCTTGCTGCTTAACTCTATTCTTCTAAAAATTCTATACAAGAAATTTTAAAAAGTTTTGTATATTGTGTTAATGATAGCCCCAACAGATCTTTCTAACTGTGAATAAAATACCCTCAAGCCAACCTGTAATGTAATTCATAGCGTGTGTCATGCAAATTGTGTGGCGCGGAGTTTATGTCGTTTACTAACGATATATAAATATTTTTAATTTTGCGGAATAACATATTCCCTAATCGAGAACACTGAATTTTGGATAGGGAACTAATTCCTCCGATATCCAAACGGAAGGAATTTTGCGCGGGAGGATTCAGAGAAGGAATGATTTTATCTTTTAAAATGTGGTTAGTTGCACGGTTAAAGACATTTCACTGAATTCCATTTAACCGCGTATTTTTGTTTTTAAAGGTAAATATTTGGTAAGCTCTGTTTTTTTTTCATCTAAAAATTAATTTTTAGTGTTTTTGTTTTCGCACGATTTAAATCACACCAAGAACACGACCGTTACTAATTGATGTTTTAGTTTTGCCTACAGGACCGAAAGTGGCGATATTTTTTACGGCGATTTGCGATTTGTTCTGCGGGAGTTCATTTTCCGCTAAAACTGAAACCTTGAGGATCGAGAACACTCCGCAAAATTTACAAAAATTAAACCCTTTGCAAAGTAACCTAAATGCTATCTCAGTTATACCAAGAGGATAAAGCTTTCTCGCTGGTTTTACGCTCCCTATATTTCGCATGAAAATTTAAGCCGCCATATTCGACGTACATTTATGAAATAAGATGTGCTATCAATCAGTGGTTTAGCAGAAGGAGGAACAAATATAATCGAGTAGAGATTGACTATCGATAAATTAAGCAAATGTTACTATTCAGTTTTGATGTGTTTGAACGCAGAATATCTTACGTAACATCTTTACAATTGCTTCTCGAAGTTCGGGAAGCCGCCAGCAGTATAAAACTGGGTTAATGGACGAGTTCATGAACACGGCAGTGTGGGCAAAGTCCCATTTGGTTTCCCAATTCAAGAGGGAAGCTCCATGTAGAGTGGATAATATATACATGGGGAAGTAGCATAAAATCAAGACAATGTAGAACACAAACATGTTCAATGCACTTTTTCTCAAACGCGCCATGTGCGCAACGTTTTCTGGGCTGCAATTGCTACGGACCGCCAGTTGCTGCGCGTCAATGCGCAACCTGTGGCGTCGAACGATGCCATAGATCTTTAGGTAAGAAAATGTTGAAATCAAGAGACACATTACAGTGGTAAAGGCAACTACGAAATGACATTCGCGCATCTTCCAAAGGTAAAGACTGGAAGTAAGGACTTTAGACAACCAAATCAGCACCGTAGTGTATCTTACGCGACACGGAGTCACCAAGCTCGGGTATCTAAGGTGATACGTTAGCGCCATTAGGCGATCCACGCTAATGGCTGTTACGGTATCCAGTGACACTCCACAAACGAAAAAGGCCATCATACCTGTTGCAAGTTTTAAAAAATAAATGTTAGTTGTCAAGGTGTTCGCGATGTAAAGAGGTTGTGCAACCAAACCGACAAGAAGGTCTGATAGCGCCAGGCTGAACAGGAAAATCATGGATGGAGATTGAAGACTGCGATTTTTAACTATGACGGCCACGACTAAACTGTTTCCTAAAATTGATGTCAGTATTAATGGAACGTTTAGCGCAGAGTTTATGATAGTTATAGTTCTTTCATTTTCTTCGTTTGAGTGAGAAGACTCTGTATCGCCATTGCCCCTATCGGTGAAGTTCATATTATGATCTGTAGCGTTAAAGAGAACCAAATCAAAGCGAAGTTGCTCCTGGTGTAGATACTCAGTTCCTCTGTTGGTTTGATATCCACACAGTTAATCTCAACGGAAAAATTTCATTATATCCTTTTAGTGCCAGCGGACCGGTTGCCACAGCTTTAGCTATAGAAATAAAATCGTGGGAAAAATTGAAGATCTACCGTCGTCTTTTCTCTAACGCGTGATGTTTCTAATCAATTCAGTGCTCCTTCAGGCTTCTTTAATCTTCCAGAGACGAGAGGAAATTATAAAAGAAAACTTTTCTTTAAGTAAGTGATAACCTGTAGCCTGTAGCTCATAAAACTTTAATGCTGTCATCGCATGTTTTACATCCTCTTGAAACTAATAGCTTGCGGCTGCTTTTTATCACCACTAGACGTCTCCAAATAAAGAGGTATTAGCAATTAATTTGCTGTAAGTGATATTGGAAGATGACAGAGCAAAAAGCCATTATGATTCACTCGTTTTGAAATAGTCGAGTGCACTCAAATAGTTCATTTCAATTTGACTGTAAATCATTATAAGACTTGCGGTAACAGCATGATGCATATAAGCATGATGCACACGACAACACAGATGCTAAAATGAAACATTAACTTTGTTTCTAGCTATAAAATATTTCTGTAGAATTCACGGTTTGTTTTGCTTTTTGTTTTTTTTTCCAAGGAATTAGTGAATTAGAGCGATTCAAAATAAATGTAAAAATTTTAAGATCTACATGCGAAAATTCGTTCTTCGCGTGTTTTCAGGGGTTTCGATTTTAAGGCGAGTTGTGGAAATACAATCTTATTAAGATAAGGTTTTCTATGCAAGTTTTAAGCTTTATGAGGATCGAGACCTGAGTTGCTTTGGGATTAGTACCGTAAATATGAAGACTTCGTTCGGTTGTGGTCATACATTTTCCACTAAACACGGTGATACTTAGTTACTTTTGGTATCCCTTTCTTCCCTCCACCCCCCCCCCAAAAAAAAAAAATTACAGACAAAAAAACAAATAAACAAAACAAAAACAAGCTAAAATAATTAGCACTATCGACGAGTTGTGTTTCAAAAATACCGAAATCAAATTAAGCCATTTTATGAACGATACAGACTTTTATTTTTAAAATTTGCACTTCGCCACTCAGTTGAAGAGTTCCGTTTACACGAGAATGGTTACGAGTTGTGTTCCAAAGCTCTAAAGAGGTGCAAAGCGAAAAGATATTTCAACTTTAGAACGCAATAATGGATAATGAAGAGTTCAAACGTCAATTATACAGCTCAGACAAGCAAATCCATCCTTTTACTTCTAATAATAAAATCTATCAAGTGTAAGGAAGTGTTCGAAAAATGGCTGAGCAAATATTGAGCCAAAAGTTGATGAATAGAATCGCTCTCTGATAAAAATAAATTAGAAGCTCCTATTTTCAAACTTTCATGAAACAAAAGAGGAAGCAAGCTGCATTACCAATAAGCTTATTGATTTGTCTATTTTTTTTTCCCTCAACAAATGACTTAACTATTATACATTAATCAGCTGTAGTCTATGATATGGCTGTCACTTCCGTGTCACAACTAGTTGACTCCAAACACCTCGTAATCTGTCACGATAAACTGCGAAGCTCTTGTAAAGAATATGCTCTGATATCCTCCTGGAAGCTGATACGTGTGACCGAGGTTACTCCTACTTGAATGACTTGTGTTTGCAAGGTTGGATATGTATAAGTCACACCCCCCTCCAAATGAAGGTCCAGCGATGTTGCTACAATAAATAGCATGTTGCTTATTTTCTCTGTTTAGTAGCATTTTACTTGGCGCCAGTCCATGCGGATTCACCATGCTGAACAAGAACGCTTCTTCGCAGGGAAGGTGATCACCACGACCTGCCAATTCAATGATTACTTGGGAAAATGTTTGGAAAACTTCTGCTCGCTACATTAAGTTCGCATAAAAGACGACATTTTTCTCTGAAACAACTGATTTTTAAAAACTAAAGTAACTTTTAAACGGCGATGGGAGAGTTGGGGCAGATTCTCTATACAACCACACAGTGCCAGTCTGTTTTTGTTGTCATTCAGGATCATTTTTTGCAAATAACAATAAAGAAGTTTGATCGAGGCCTTAAGATGATGTAAATGGTACTTTAATAAAGGTGAGCGCAAACTTTTAGAAGGAAATCTTGTAATGGGGTGAAACTTCAATATTACTTATCACACAACAAAGAAGAGCCATCCAATAATTTTTTCTTACAAAATTCACTTGGAAACTAACGAAACTTCCAAGCCTCCCATCGTCCTTAGATTTTGGCTTGCCTTCGTTTTAAGGCGCCACTAATGCACAAGATTGAGCGGCAACAGCCTCCTCCTCCTCCTCCAATTCATATCAGGTGTACTCAAGAAAATGTTACCAGTTGATATTCTCTTGTTTTACCCTACTCCCAAGAGAAAAATTTGGACTAGACCCTGTGAGCAGGGTAACTGGGATACCTGGATGGTACTGGATCAGTGGAATCAAGTGTAGTGATACTACGCGTGTCGGACTAGTATACTGAAATACTGAGCTCAAGTCTGGCCAAGGGCATACACCTGTCTCAAAACATAGGCATGCTATGCATGCAAGAGTTATTTTTTGTAGGGTGGGTGGATTACTTGAAACATTGTGAGTGGTCTACATTCTTACAAAAGGAAAGAAGATTATTAACGCGGGAAAGAATGAAAATGTCGAATTACCTCACACACAGGTATTTTGTGGTAGATTATGTGTGTTGTGCGAATAAATGTAACCAAAAATAAACCGTATTGGTGCCACGGATACCTGTTAGTACAAAATGCAGACAGTAGACTGCAGACCGGATACAAAATATAGACTGTAGAGTGGGTACAAAATGCAGACTGAGAATCTGAAGAGTTTTTACGTCTGGTATATAATAACATGTCATCTTACAGCTTACCGAGCGTCACGCAATCGCTTTTCCGCGATCAGCCTTCACGATTATTTGCACTATTGTGGAAAATTCCTGGCCCATTTCTTGATGAAAATCGATCGCAATATAATTTCAAGCCTTCAATATAGTCTTCTTACTTTGCGCGCGAGTTGGTTGGTGTGATGTCTGTACAGATTTTACCAATGTAATAAAAGTAGATGACGTGAATAATGGTGATGATAAAGCAAGCTTAAAACGGCAACAATCGCCAGAAACTACAACGGATACACAGGGTATGAGTAAGTTTTATTGATTTTACGAGAAAAATCTTCATATTTCGAAATATTTATCGTTGTGTGTATGCGTCTATAAGTATTTTGAGCGTTTGCGCCATAGTGCTCCAGATGATCATAATCCAAACTCGTTGAAATACAAAACGACTGACAAAAAAGTTTTGTGGGCAAAAATCTCGTGTTCGTCATGTGACCCGGCCCTGTCCGTGCATGACAACGTCAATCATCATCAAGATAGCACGCGTGATCAGCAAGTGAACACCTCATTGGATCACAGTTAGTTGTCATGGTGTTGAGGGCCCAATGACCTCTGGGTACTATTGCGCAATTTTTCCATTTTGTGGCGGAGGAAAAAAAAAAAAAAAAAGACGACAAAAAAACAAAGGCATTTTATGACTGGGCTACCACAGGTATCCCAGTAAAAATAGAACTTAAGAGCGTAGTAAAGCTAGCTTCTTACTTACTTTTCCAAGAATTCTCGGTGAATCCTCCAAAAATATTACTTTCACTTTTAACAATGGTGACGGTGGGTCCTTTTTCATCACAATTGGCGTGAAAGGCTTGAGCTGTGAAGCCATAACGAGAAGCCCGGAAAGATGCCATTCATCATATTGAGGTCACCAATTTTCGAGCGTAGTTCGGTGCTCTTCATTCGTCAGTATCAATGATTCTTCAAAATTCTTCGGTGCCCTAGGCCTTACCACGTCCAGTATGCCTTGGATCTGGTAGAACTTAGCTTCAGCTTCAAGCTCTTTGAGAAATGTTGCAGCATCTGGCAAAATTAACTCCCCATCGCGAAGATGAGGCGTGAGTAGTCCAGTGGTCAGTGTGCTGGACTCTGGGTCCGACGGCCCGGGTTCAAGTCCTGGCTGGGGCATGACGTTGTGTCCTTAAGCAAGACGCTTTACTCATTGCTTCGTCTTCTCGGATAGGACGTAAAACCGTAGGCCCCGTCTCCTGCAGGGTTGGGGTGGGAGACGTTAATTTCCCATGCACGAGATTACTGTGTGGTGGGTGGAAGAGACACTAATTGTAAAGCGCCTTTGATCATATAAAATGTTAATTGTTATAAATGAATTGTAAAGCGCTATTGAATATAGCAATAGAAATAGCGCTATATAAATACTGTATTATTATTATTATTATTATTATTATTATAGATAATTAAGTATAAACCGGAAGTGAGTTCCCTCTCGGTCGACGAAGAAAGCGCCGTCTTCACTAGATTTCATTTCAAACTTCCCGGAAAACATGGCTGTCATCATTGAATTTGGATCTTTAGTCAGTGTTTGAAGACTTGTGGTGAAGTAATGACCGCCGACATTGAGTTTTACAGTCGAAGAAAAGTGAATGTGTTCCAACTTCTTCGACATGTTGCCAATCGCTTCTCTCTCCTGACGAAGTTTTGCTGCTTCTCGCTGAAATATTTCGCAGGCGTCTTTAAAGAACTTTTCTGCATCTTCTAGACCATGTGTTTGTTCTTTCTGTCCCTCCGAATGGGTTCTACTACTCATGGTTACTTTGATCACAACATATAAATTGAAAACGAAAGGAACGGTCTCAAATATTCCCGCATGATCGCAAAGCAAGATGAGAGTAGCCATGCAAATCGGAGTAATTACGTGATTTTCCAAATATCGCGATGGGCATGAATTACGATGGCGTTACTGAATCACTGGAAGTGCTGATAAAAACTACAACCTTCATTCATGGGAAGAACTCGTTTACCTGGACGCAAATACTTATGAATTATAGAAACTATAGGTCTAATATACACAATGTGTAAGCCAGGCCAGGGCTTAAAATCAGATACACGAAAATCAACTAACTTTAAAGTGGGCTCGAAGTTTTGTTTTGCCACCACACGGCTTAATTCCTTTTGGCTGATCTGACCCGCCTCAGTTCTTCACTGTTCTTGTGATTGTTTATCACACCACCACCGTGTGTTTATAGTGGAATAACAAAAATAGTCTTTAATTTCAATGCATTCTGCAGCTTAGCAGAAATTGACTCGTTTTTGCTTCAAAGCAGAAAAGCAGCACTTATTGAATAATTCAATAATTCATATTTCAAGTTTCAGATGTTTGAAAAGCGTTGGCGATCAATAACTTGATTCAATAGGTTTCTTCGATTTTCACTTGTATTTCAACTCGCTTTTGAATGAAAGCTACAAAAGCTCATTTCATTGTTCTTAAGACTTCGATACTCGTTGTTTTTGAGATTAAAGAAAATAATTCATTTGAATAATAATTTACTTTTCATTTGTTGCTTTGAAAAATTACTTTTTCGATGATGATGTTGCAGGATTTCTTTGCAGACGGAAGGACATTCTTTAGTTCATGTAACGACAAGACTTTCTCAGTTTGAATAATTATTCTGTTGTTTAGAACAGAAGCTCTCACAGAGCTTCGTGCGCCACAACTCTGAGCGGGTTGTTAAACCTACAATGGCCTTTTAACTGTGAGATAACATCCATTTTGGAACTGACATAAACATTACCAATTCCTAAAGGCACACTTTGTGACGTGGAAACTCTACAAGCAATCAAACACGTAAGTTTAATGGACGATTTTAATCTATCATCTTTCATTCATGGTTGTAGTTTCAGACGGGGCAGTAAAACCTCGCTTGATACAGTTAACAGCTTCAGGAGCTCTTTATTTCTGTGGCAACAAATTTATTAAAATATCTAGCTATTTACCCAAAAGTACTGCAAAATAGTATCCTCTACAGATCAGGCCACATCCCATGAATAATCTTCTGTGAAACACTTGTTATTTTGTTTTTGTTCTGTTCATCTTATTACTGTCTTCACAGGTTAATATCTTTATAAATTAATGGGTAATAATCCTTCATAGCAATTATTACGAACGTTTACTCTTAACAGGGTCTGTGCTTTTGCTTTAACTTGTGCTACGTCACCGCAACACAAAAATAGAACGAAGAATAAGAAAGAATTTCTCTTGAGCTGTGGATAAAAGAGAACGATACATTAAATCATAACAAAGACAATTAAGGTATACTTTAAAGGTTTAAAAGAGAATGATGTAAGTGCTTTGCCAAAGCTGCCATAAACTATTTTCTATCCTAAAGTTGGTCTAGCAAGTGCGTGAAGACAATTGGTCCCCAATTGGGTTATGAAGAATTTTCTTTTGTCTTTGTATTCCTTAAAGAGCTCACCAGTCTGGATTCAGTCAGTACGTCTCCTTTTGTTTTGTTTTCCTTTGGTCCAAATTTTTCTTATTCTTACCATATCAAAGATGTATGCGATAGAGCCTTTAGAGAGTATATCATAGTATTTTACAACGACACAGTATCTATTGGGCCTGTCTGAAATACTGGTGGGAACAAAAATGGAGGGGAAAACGTACAACCTATATAGAATTAGATGGTGTGTAAGTCTATATTAAAGGTGAATAGGAAGACGCCCTGCTTTTTGTGCCATCTGGCTTGCACTTGTCGGAATTGGAACAAAATTGAAAGTACCTTAATCAATTACAGCTCTTTTTGGTCTTCAGAAAGAATGCTGTATTACCAGAAAACAATTAATGCTCAGATTGACCATGTACCAAAATATAGTTTGAATCATCGTAACAATTTACATGAAGCCCTCTTACTTGATTGTTATCACCGGTGGATTCCAAACACTTCGTAATCCGTCACTGTGAAATATTGAGCTCCCGTGAGGAATGTGGATTGGTGTCCTGTGGGACACTTATAGGTGTTGCCGAGATTGCTGTAACTTCCAGTTGATCTGTTTGCATCATGAGATATACATAAGTCATGCCCTGCTCCAAATATTGGTCCAGAGCTGCCATCACAGTAAACAGCACATTCTCCATATTTGAAAAGTGGCATTTTAATTGGTGCCAATCCATGCGGATTCACCACGCTGAACAAGAACGATTGTGAGCAATGATGGTAGCCCCACTCACCTGTTTGGAAAAAGCATGAAATTTATCGATTTTTTTCGAAATACTTGTATCTGTCGCTAAATTATTTCATGTTTTTGAAAACAGCATTTTTCGGACATTTTCATCGTCCTGATAAAATTGAAATAGATTTTTCAAGGAAGGTAAAAGGCACTTAGTATATTTTCTACACTTATTTTAAGACTGAATCAAACAATCGGAGCTATGTCGTTAATATTGATTGCTCTCTCCTTGCATGGATTGCTAAAGACAATAGCAAGTTCGTTGGCTTGTCTTGATCGCATGTGAATGCGTTAATTTTGTATCGGGAGAACAGATGAATCAGCAACTTAATACATTTTTTTTATTTGAACAAATATTTCAACGTTATGAATCTCGTTAAGCATGAGGGCTGGTCTAAATGTGACCCCGTATGAATATATTATATTGATAATATTATTGAAAGATATGCGTGTATGATTCTACGATATAGCACTCAACCATGCGTGTATGATTCTACGATGCAGCACTGAATCATGCGTGTATGATTCTACGATATAGCACTCAACCATGCGTGTATGATTCTACGATGCAGCACTGAACCATGCGTGTATGATTCTACGATATAGCACTAATAAGACAAATAAAGAAATGGATAGTTCTTTCTGTCTGCACTCTGCTAATTTACTTACTGTTCCACGGGTTTTCTGTGAAGCCTCCAAAAATATTGTTCCCACTTTTCACAATGGTAACCGTGGGTCCCTTATTATCACATTTGGCGTGAAAAGCTTGAGCTGTGAAGCCATCTCGAGATGCTCGGAACAGTAGATGCCATTTATCATATGGAGGCAGCCAGCCATTAAGTTTGCTTCGGTGCTCTTCATTTGTCAGAATCACTGATTCTTCAAAATCCTTCGGTGCTTTAGGCTTCAACTCCTCCAGAATTCCTTGGAGCTGGTAGAACTCAGCTTCATCTGCAAGTTCTTTCAGAAATGATGCACCTTCTGGTAAAGTCAACTTACCATTGCGAAGATAATTAAGTATAAACCGGAAGTGAGTTCCATCTCGGTCGATGAAGAAAGCGCCGTCTTCACTAGGTTTCATTTCAAACTTCCCGGAAAACATGGCTGCCAGCATCGAATTTTGATCCTTGGTAAGCGTTTGAAGACTTGTTGTGAAGCGATAACCCCCGACATTTAGCAGTATAGTTGAGGAAAAGTGAACATGTTCCAATTTCTTCGACATGGCGTCGATCGCTACCTGCTCTTGGCGAAGTCTAGCTGCTTCTCGCTGAAATATTTCGCAAGCCTCTTTGAAGTGATCTTCTGCAGCTTCCAGACCTTGTTTTTGCTGTTTTTGCCCCTTCCTAGAGTCTCTTTTACTCATGGTTACTTAAAGTACAAACGATATCCTGAAAACGAAGGAACTCTGTTGACACAACCGCTTGGCCGTAAAGCATGATGAATGCAGTCATACTTATTTTAAAATTGATTTCGTGATTTTTAAATGACGTAGTACAAACTGTTCGCAGTGGCGCAACTTGAGACTATAACCACACTATTTGTTTATGAGAAGAAAAATTACTCGCATTCAGAGTAAAAACGTGCCTGTAAAGGTGATAGCTGGTTCATTTTGAATGATGTCTAGACTGAGCCAGGCCAAGGGCTAAACCCAGAGCATATCTCAGCCTCCCCAAATTGGGTTCATGATCAACGGGTAACTGGCTTTTTAATTGTAATCTATGTCGCTCTTCATCTTCTTCCTTTTCTTTTTTTTTTTTCGGCAAAAAGTGCAAAATCTGCGATTAAATCTATCAAGACCTAAAAATAAAATAACATTGATGAGGCTGTACAAAGTTATTTTACATTAAGCAAGGTCCATTTTATGTCGCACTCGTAATTAATCAGAATTCGATATGCTGCGTAAACCAGCTGGGGAGAGATCTTTTCATGGCTTGTGAGACTTCGATAATGAAATATTCTTAAGCAGATTTTGATTTTTTTTTTTATCTGGAGTTTGAAAGATTTACTTCGATTGACAAAGAACGGGAAAAGATCTTGATGCCATTTTTGAGCGCACGGCTCTGTTCCAGTGGTCTCCTGACACGTTTCACGCGCTAATTTTTTACTGGAGCTGTTACATCTATAACGGTCTTCTTCTTTTTGGTACTGATGTAAGCTATAAACGTTCATAACTTGACTGCCTTTGTTCGTGTCGTCACGCAAAGGCAATCATTGCGTGACAAGAACACGTTGTGTAGCGGAACCAAACAATGGTTGCGAAGTTGTACTCACACTCTTCATGAAAATCACAAAGGATCAGACAGGACGTAAAGATCGAGCAGAGCGTGGTCACAGCGTGTCACCTCCCCTTGTCTTTCTAGTCTGACTCTTCCTATCTTTTTATTTACGCCTAATTACGCTTAATATACGTGCCACATTAAAATGGCGAATTCTGTTTGAAGGAAACAAGAGACACACATATGAGATGAGTTGATTCCACTAGCGGTGGATTATGGCGACTCAACATGACAAATGAAAATTAAATAAATAAAAAAAAATTAGACACCGTAATAATTATTTGTACCAAAAAAATCCCATCACTTCAATCTGATTAATATAAATGATCTTAAATTTACTTCAAGAAATGTTTATGTGGCAATTACCACCATATTACCGAAAAAACCAAGACATGTAACATCGACCTTCAGTCATCAGTCAGGTTATAAAAGCTATCAATGCATCTCACGCAAGTGATTAATTCTTAAACTAAGATTTAAAAAGGAGCTTTTGAGAAATTGTGCTTTTAGATCTTGTGCTTTACTATTTTTAAGTGACTAACGACTAAAAAGTTTCTTAAATGTGACAAATTTTTATTAAAATGGATGTAAGTACGTACCGCCTGATGTTAATAAGACTAAGTCTATGATTTAGAAAAAACCAGGAAAGATTTATTACTCGACGTTTCGGGGTCATCGTGACTCCATTATCAAGAGACTAGTTTAAAAAACATGCAAATAAGGAAAGGTACAAGAATAGCATAAATTAGAATGAACGGCTCAAACAAACACCTTGGCGCGGATGGAATCCGTTTGCACGTTCAGTGTTGGCTTACGCATGCGAATATACAACATTTCATTAACAAGGCAATCAAATTTGCCGTTACATTTCACGATGACGTTGAATTGCTCGATCAAGCGTTCAGGCATTTCACTATTGTGCTGGAGGTGGTAGTGTTTGTAGATAGAAGATGATTTCCTTGTGTGCCCTTCTACGCGCTCGTTTAAGTGACCACGAGTATAGCCCACATACCCTGCATCACACAGGTTACATTTAAATTCATAAACGATACATTGTTGGTTAACAATAGGGGGCTTAATTTCGTGTTGCTTAAGCTGTTGATCGAGCTTAGGGCTAACGAACACTGGTTGGACAGTCACGCTTAACACCGTAATGACTGGTCTTTCTTCTCCGAGGAATGTGACCGCCTTAGAAGGGTTTTTCATAACTTGAAATACCCAAAGCCACTGGTTGAAACTACAATTAAGCGGTTCGTTGAGAGAAGGATTTCATCTGCAGATCCCTGTCCATCACCAGACGTACCATCGGAGATTGTGAGATTAGTGTTGCCCTTCAAGGACCAGTCGTCAGCTAATCATGTTAAACAACAACTGAACAGTCTAAGCTCGAAGTTAAGCGTGACTGTCCAACCAGTGTTCGTTAGCCCTAAGCTCGATCAACAGCTTAAGCAAAGTAATAATTATGAAACACATAAATTACAGCTCTCAGGACATTTTGCTTTTCTTATGGCCTCTTACATGGGAAGGAAATATTTGGTTTGTTATTTGTGGAGTTCAAACACCTCGTAATCTGTAACTGTAAAATGTTTTTCTCCCGCGAGGAATGTTTTAGCATTCTGTCCTGTGGGACACTGGTACGAGCAGTCTGAGATAGTGTGACTATCATAATTGATATTTGCATTTCCTGATATATGTAAGTCATGCCCTGCACCAAACATCGGTCCATAGCCTGATTTACAGTAGATGGCAGGTTCGTGACTCTCAATTAAAAGCGGTATTCTAGTTGGATCCAGTCCACCAGGGTTGACCATGTTGAACAAGAACGCTTGTGAGCATCTTACCCACCCACTGGCACCTGTTTTTAAGTCAGAGATGATACTTCAAAATTGTTATTGGCATTATAGAACAAGAATAATCTATATATAATTTTCGGAATCAGAAATCTATACATTTTCTGAAAAAGCGGCTTTACCATAATTAAATATGTTTTATTTAAACCGGGTTTAAGTCAATAAAAATCAGAAACGGTGAACTACAAAGCTGGTTTTCCCATAGGTTTTAAGTAGTCACTAACTCAGTTGTATTTTCAATGCGCTGAGTTTAAGGCCGACAAACATCGGTTTAAGCAGTTTCTATTAAGAAAAATAATTTCAAAACACGTTTAAGCTCTGGCGTGAATTGGGTTTTAGTTTTCCTTGCTATTGATTTTACTCAGGCGTCTCATTGTTCCAACTTTAAGAAGAGATGCAAAACATACATGTCTACAAGATTTTTTGATTGCTGCGAAGTGTTGAGACAAGTGGTGATTCGAATAGCTTAATATCTCTTGACAGACGTAATCGTTTACTCGTCGGTCAGAAAACAGAGAATGTTTAGTCGATCTTAGGCAAAGCATTATACTCAACAAGGGTGAGTAAATTAAGACTTTGGGCAATTCTAGCTGGGTTAATGCACCAGTCTCACCGGGTAAAGTGACCCTTTTCACATTTTTCCTCTAAGAAAAAATGAATATTTTGAAAATATGGGTAAAACCTCAAATGATATGGTTGGATATTTTTCGAATATTGAAATTGATGTGCTTTTGAAAGGGTCCGATCCAGGGGAGGGGCTTGGGGGAGGGACCTAGGCGCCAAGAACGTCGAGCCTCCTTCGCTAAAGAGAGACCTCTTGTATATAAAACTAATATGTTGTAACTTGTTTCCTATTACCGTGACTAAAACATAAAAATAACGCGTCAACCCTAAGTAGACATAGCCCACCTTTCAAATCGCCGTGAACGAGTTTTTGACAGTTATTGTTCATCTTGTTTATCATTTTACAGGTTTACAATCGACGAGAGATGAAAGTGCTCTACTTTTTTCGACATGGCGTCGATAGCTTTCGAATTCTGCTCATGGCGAAGACTTGTTGCTTCTCGTTGTAATACCTTGCAGGTTTCTCTGATTTGATTATCAGTGTCTTCAAGAACTTGATTGCCTGTTGAATTATTTTCCATAAGAATTTTTCTCACCCTGCCTTTTTTCTGAGAACCAACAAATGTTGAAATGCTGTCTCAAAGTAGCAAGTCGGGTTCAAACCAGGTATAAATGCGTGGTCGTTTGTCAACAAAACAAGTAATGCGTGACTTGCGATAGCATGACACGTTTGAAACATTTAAATCAATTCTAAAATACGTTTTTAGCCAGCGTTCTCATCTCAAGATTTACAAGTGCGAAGAGTTAAGTGAAATAAAACTTTCAGAACATGCCTTAGTTGATTCATTTGACGTGATTTCTAGATGTTATTTATTAACTGAGAACTGCGCCAGTCGCTTACAGCTACTTATCCGCATGAAAACTATGAACGCAAGAATGTTCACGTTATGCTATTTTGTCCCCTCACATGACCTTAACGAATATTTTCTAGATTATTATGTTTGAGAAAACAACGAGACGTCAAACAGCGGTCATATTTAGTAGCACCAATTATATCTTATGCCCGCTATTTGAATCCCAATCAGTGCGGTAAGCAGCATTCATCCGAAGAGATAAATAGCTTCATAAATTTAAAATTTAATTCTTGAAGCAAGAATCGTAATCGGAAGTCTGACAATTCACATGAATGCACCACCGACAAGTCAGCAGTATATTTATTACGTTTCATAAAGAACGGCCTACCAAATCCTATTTTTAATATTTTTTTTTTCACCTCGCTATTTCCACCGGTGAAACGAGTGCACAAATGAAAAAAAAATATAGATAAAATGAAAGTGTTGAACAGATTTTTGTATTAGTGCTTGTGACGGCTTCTTTTCCGTCAGCCAGACAACTGGAAAGCTTTCCGTATAACCCAATACTATTCTAAAACAATGCAAAGCTTTAGTCCCAAATTAAAGGCAATCTACTGTTTTTCCATTGCTTTCTTTATCCAAAAACAGAATGTTTAATGAAGTGTGGAACTTTTCTTGAAAAGATTTCCGTATAGACATAGTCTGAGAGTGTAGTATGAGTCTCCACGGGAATCTTGTACTTTGCTTTACCTGCGGACAGAAGACAATGATGCTTTTTGATGTAAAAAATAAATAAAAGTTAACCTTTCAAAAAAAGTTATAACCGTGAAGATCGTTCAAATCATTGTGAAGTTTAACCTGCTGGCCTCTCAAATGTTTGCGACGGTTGTCATTAGCAGATTCCAAAGACTTCGTAGTCTGTTACATTAAAATTTCGAGCTCCCGTGAAGAATGTGCTCTGCTGTCCGGTGGGAAGCTTATACGTGTGGCCGAGATTACTGTAACTTGAATCGCTTGTGTTAGCGTTATTCACTATATGTAAGTCACGCCCTCCTCCAAATGTTGGTCCATAGCTGCTATAACAGCAAATAGCATTGTGCTGATTTTGTACAAGAGGCATTTTACTCGGAGCCACTCCTTGCGGATTCACCATGCTGAATAGGAATGACTGCGAGCAGCGCACGTAGTTACCCTGACCTGTTTCAGAGAAGAAAACCAAAAAAATATTGATGCAAATTTTGGAACAATGTTCAACTTCTACATTTCTGAAGCAGCTTTAGATCACATCCGAAAAGAAACGGCGATGATCTCGACTACTGCCCTCCTCCCTCCCCCGTCCCTTCTATACACCTGCAATGTGCTAAGTTTAAGGCCGACAAACATCGGTTTAAGCAGCTTCTATGAAGAACAACAATTTTCAAACTTTGTTGTACAAAACTATTTTAAAACATGTATAAGCTGTGGTGTCAATGGGTTTTAGTTTTCCTTGCTAAGGGTTTCGCTCAGGCGTTTCATTGTTCCGACTTTGGAAAGAGATGTAAAACATTCATGTCTACAAGATTTTTTAATTCTGCAAAGTGTCGAGCCAAGTAGTGATTTGAATAGCTTAATATCTCTAGAATACGTAATCGTTTTCTCTTCTTTCAGAAAACAGAGACACCTTATGTGTATGAAAGTAATATGTTGTAAGCTGTTTTCTATTACCTAAGCTAAAACATACAAACAACGCGTTAATCTTAAGTGGGCATAGCCCACCTTCTAAAATCATGTTAAACAATTTATTGTTTATGTTTATTCATGTTTATAATTTGCAATGCTTGACTTTCAGTATTTGAAAAAAATTTGAAGGCAATTTATTAAACTAAATCTATTAATATTTCATTTTGATTTCCTCAACTTTAGATATTCTGCAAAGATCTTAAGCCAGCTTTTTGTTTTTCTTTTCACTTCTCGTTTTCTCTCTCCACTTTCTTGTTATTTTGCGGATTTTGTAGTATCTTTCAAATGATAATTTAAATTCAACCACGCTAAATGCGACCAAAAATACCTTTACTTAACCCTGTCACTACTAACTAATATACTTACTGCTCCACGATGTTTCAGTGAATCCACCGAAAATATTGTTCCCGCTCTTCACGATGGTGACAGTGGGCCCTTTGTTGTCACATTTGGAATGAAAGGTTTGAGCTTGAAAGCCTTCTTCAGAAGCTCGCATCAGAAGCTGCCATTTGCCGTCTTGTTGAGGTAACCAGCCGCTCAGCACACTTCGGTGTTCTTCGTTCGTCACAACGACTGATTCTTCGAAATTCTGCAAGGCTTTAGGCATCAACTCGTCCAATATTCCTTGGATCAGGTAGAATTTAGTTTCAACTTCGAGCTCTTTGAGAAATGTTGCACTATCTGGTAAAATTAACTCCCCATTGCGAAGATAATTAAGTATAAACCGGAAGTGAGTTCCATCCCGGTCGATGAAGAAAGCACTGTCTTTACAACGTTCTATTTCATGCCTCCCGGAAAACATGGCAGCCAACATGGAATCTGGATCCTTGGTAAGCGTTCGAAGAGTCGTTGTGAAGCGATGACCCCCGACATTTAGCTCTATAATTGAGGGAAATTGAACGTGTTCCAACTTCTTCGACATGGTGTCGATCTCTACCTGCTTTTAGCGAAGTCTATCTGCTTCTTGCATAAATATTTTGCAAGCCTCTTTGAAGTGATCTTCTGCAGCTTCCGAACCTTTTTTCTGTTGTTTCTACCTCTTTGTAGAGTCTCTTTTACTCATGGTTACTTAAAGTACAAACGATATCCTGAAAACGAAAGGAACTCTTTTAAGACTCCCGCATGGCCGTAAAGCATGATGAATGTAGTCATGCTTATTTTAAAAGTAATTTGGTGATTTTTGAATGAGTTAGTACACACTATTCGCAATGACGCAAGTTGAGACCGTAACCGCACTTATTGTTACTCGGGAAGAAAATTACTCGCACTCAAAGCAAAGAGGTGCCGCTAAAGGTAATAGCTGGTTCACTTTTTTTTCACTTTATTTCACAAAAATCAGCGGAAAATCTTTAATTAAATCAATCAATACCAAAACAAAATAAGATTAATCAGCTGCAAGCTGTACAGAGTTATCTTAAATAAGGCAAGGGCCATTTTATGTTGCACTCGTAATTACTCTGTATTTCGATTTGTTGCGTAGAGTAGATGCTTGGGAAAGATCATTTCATTGCTTGTGAGACTTCGATAATGAATCATTCTTAAGCATATTTGTTTTTCATCTGGAGTTTGAAAACATGTACTTCGATTAAGAAAGAACGGAAAAAGATCTTGGTGCGATTTTTGAGCGCATGGCTTTGTTCAGGGTGGTTTCCAAATAAGCTTCACGCGCTATTTTTTTCCTAGAGCCGATGCACCTATACTGGTCTTCTTTTTGGTACCGATGTAAGCTGTACTTACCAATCTACTGATGCCTGTTTGTAATTCAGAGATATTGCTTCAGAATTGTTATTGGCATTATAGAACATGAATAATCGAAATATATTTTTTGGAATAAGACATCAATACATCTGCTGAAAAAGTGGCCATATCGTAATCAAATATGTTTTATTTAAACCTGGTTTAACTCAATGAAAACTCAGAAACGGTGAACTGGAAAGCTGGTTTTTCCATAGGTTTTAAGTAGTCACTAACTTGTAATTTCAATGCGCTGAGTTTAAGGCCTACAAACATCGGTTTAAGCAGTTTCTCTGAAGAAAAACAATTTCAAACCTTGTTTGAGAAAACTACTTTAAACATGTTTAAGCTCTGGTGTGAATGGGGTTTTAGTTTTCCTTTTTCATTGTTTCAACTTTGGGAAGAGAGGTAAAACATAAATGTCTTCAAGATCTTTTAATTGCTGCGAAGTGTCGAGACAAGTGGTGTTTTGAATAGCTTAATATCTCTTGACATACGTAATCGATTACTCGTCGATCAAAAAACAGAGAATGTTTTGACGATCTTAAACAAGGCATTATACTCAACAAGCACTAAATATAGACATTGGGCAATTACGTATTCTAGCTGGGTTAACGTACCAGTCTTACCGGGTAAAATGACCCTTGTATCATTACTCCTCTAAGAAAATGAGAATATTTCGAAAATATGGATAAAACTTCAAATGATGTGCCTGGATTTTTCTCGATATCGAAACTGATGCGCTTTTGAAAGAGTTCAATCTAGGAGAGGGGCCTGGTGAGAGGGGCTATTACTGCTATCAACGTCGAGCCTCCTTCGCTAAAGAGACACCTCTTGCATATAAAACTAATATGTTGTAACTTGTTTCTTATTACCGTGACTAAAACATAAAAATAACGCGTCAACCTTAAGTAGGCATAGCAAACCTTTAAAAATCGTCTTGAATGAGTTCTGGACACTTACTGTTCATCTTGTTTATCATTTGCAATGCGTGTCAATATTTGGAAAGTTTAAAGAAATTTTTTACACTAAATCTATTGATATTTCATTCTAATTTCCTTGACTTTTGCAATGCCAAAGATCCTAACCAAGCTTTTTCTATCTTTATTACGTCTTGTTGTCTCGTTGCGCTTTGTTATCTTAGGTATTTTGAAATATCCCTCAACTAAAAATGTATTATTTAATGCCGCGAAATGTGACCAAAAATACCAGTATTTAACCCTGTCACAACTAACATACTTACTGTCCCACGATATTTCAGCGAATTCTCCCAAAACGCAATTTCCACTCTTCACGATGGTGACAGTAGGCCCTTTGTTGTCTCGTTTGGAGTGAAACGTTTCAGCTTGGAAACCATCTCGGGAACCTGGGAATGGAAGCTTCCATTTTCCCTCTGGTGGAGACAACCAACCATTTAACACGCTTCAGTGTTCTTTATTCGTCAGAATCACTGATTCTTCAAAATATTCCGGTAATTTAAATACTAACTCGTCTAGAATCCCTTGGATCTGGTAAAACTCAGCTTCTTCCGCAAGTTCGTCTAGAAATGTTGCTCTTTTTGGCAAAGTTAATTTCCCAGTGCGGCTTGAGTATAAATCGGAAGTGTTTGCCATCTCGGTCGATAAAGAAAGCTCCGTCTTCTGATGGTTTCACCTCGAACTTCCCGGAGAACATAGCAGCTAACATCGAGTCTGGATCTTTTGTCAGCATTTGAAGACTTGCCGTAAAACGGCGGCTGCTAACAGAGAAGTTTAAAATCGACTAGAGAGTCTAGTTCCTCCTCGTTGAAATATCTCGCAGGCTTCTCTGATTTAATTTTCAGCGTCTTCAAGAACTTGATTACTTGTTAAATTATTTTCCATCAGAATTTTTTTCTCCCCAGTTTTTTTTCTGGGAACTTATAAATGTTGAAATACTGTTTCAGGAATAAGATCGTGGTCGTTTGTCAGCAAAACAAGTGATGCGTGACTTGCGATAGCGTGACACGTTTCCTTCTCATCCTAATACTTACAAATGCGAAGAGCTCAGTGAAAGAACAATTTCAAAACATGCCTAAGTTGTTTCAATTGACTTGATTTCTAGATGTTATTTATCAAAGAGCTGCACCCGTCACTTATAGCAACTAATCCGCGCAAAATAATGAACGCAGGAATGTTCACATTATGCTATTTTGTCCCTTCACATGACCTTAACGAATATTTTCCAGATTATTATGTTTGAGTAAACATCGAGACGTCAAACAACCTTCATATTCAGGTTAGTATCACCAATTATATCTCATGTCCGCCATTTGAATCGCAATCAGTGTAGGCAGCATTTGCTCGATGAGTTAAATAGCTTCATGAATTTACAGTTTTTTCTTTCAGCAAGAATCGTAATCCAAAGTATGACAATCCGTATGAATACACAACCGACATGTCAACAGTATATTTATTACGTTCCATAAAGAACAACCTACCAAATCCTAACTTTTGTTTGTTTTGTTTCATCCGGCTCTTTTCCACCGGTGAAACGAGTGCACAAATGAAAAAAGTTTTTAGATAACTGGATCGTCTACGGCTTTTCTACGCATTTATTTCCTTAGGAATGCGAATTGAAGGGCTCCCGGAATCTACTAAAAGTAAAAAAGTGTCGAACAGCTTTTGTATCAGTACTTGTGACGGCTTCTTTTCCGTCAGCCAGACAACTGGAAAGCTTTCCGTATAACCCAATACTATTCTTAAACAATGCAAAGCTTTAATCCCAAATTAAAGGCGATCTACTGTTTTGCCATTGCTTTCTCTCCAAGAACAGTATAAATAATGAAGTGTGGAACTTTGCTCGAAAAGATTTCCCCAATAGACATAGTCAGATAGTGTAGTATGGTTTCTATGGGAATCTTGTAATTTGCTTTAGTTGCAGGCAGAAGAAAATGATGTATTTCGATGTAGAAAATGGAAATAAAAGTTAAGCTTTTGAAAAAGTTATAACCGAGAAGATGGTTCAAATCATCGTGAAGTTTAACCTGCTGGCGACGGTTGTCATTAGCAGATTCCAAAGACTTCGTAGTCCGTCACATTAAAATATTGAGCTCCCGTGAAGAATTTGTTCTGCTGTCCGGTGGGAAGCTGATACGAGTGGCCGAGAATACTGTTACTTTCACCACTTGTGTTTGCGTTATTTGATATATGTAAGTCAAACGTTAACGCTTCTCCAAATGTTGGCCCACTGTTGCTATCACAGAAAATGGCAGTCTGCTGATTTACAAGAGGCATTTTACTCGGAGCCACTCCTTTCGGATTCATCATGCTGAATAGGAATGACTGTGAGCAGCGCACGTGGCAACCCTGACCTGTTTCAGAGAAGAAAAACCAAAACTTATATTGATGCAAATTTTGGAATAGTGTTCAACTGTTATATTTCTAAAGCAGCTTTACATCATATCCAAAAAGAAACGGCGGTGATCTCGACTACTACCCTCCTCCCTCTTCCATCCTTTCTACACACTTACATGTGCTTTTGAAAGAGTCCAATCGAGAACAGGGGCATGGGAAGAGGGACTCTATCAGCCCTAATATTCATGCTTACAACGTCGAGCCTCCTGCGCTAAAGAGACACCTCTTCCTTTTAAAACCAATTTGTTGTACTTGTTTTCTATGACTTAAGCTAAAACATAGAAACAACGAGTCAACCTTAAGTAGACATAGCCCACCTTTAAAATCGACTTGAACGAATTATTGTTTACGTTTATTCATGTTTATCATTTGCAATGCTCGACTGTCTATATCAATCGCTCTGACGAAGGGCTAACGCTCGAAACGTCAGCTTTTTTACCCTTTACGGTGGCTGATTTACATTTTCAACCCAGTTGTTAACACTAAATTACCTGCTATATTTAAAAACATTTGAAAGGCTATTAATATTTCATAATGATTTCCTCAACTTTAAATCTTCTACAGAGATCTTAAGCCAGCTTTTTATTTTCCTTTTCACTTCTTGTTGTCTCTTTCCACTTTCCCGTTATTTTACGGATTTTTTTGTATACTTTAAATTAAAATTTATATTCAACCCCGCTAAATGCGGCCAAAAATACCTTAAATTAACCCTGTCACAACTAATTAATGTACTTACTGCGCCACGATATTTCAGTGAATCCACCGAAAATGTTGTTTCCGCTCTTCACGATGGTGACAGTGGGCCCTTTGTTGTCACATTTGGAATGGAAGGTTTGAGCTTGAAAGCCATCTTGAGAAGCTCGCATCAGAAGCTGCCATTTGCCGTACTGTTGAGGCAACCAACCGCTCAGCACGCTTCGGTGCTCTTCAGTCGTCAGAATTACTGATTCTTCGAAATTCTGCGGAGCTTTAGGCACCAACTCGTCCAATATCCCTTGGATCTGGTAGAACTTGGCTTCAGCTTTGGGTTCTTTCAGAAATGTTGCACCTTCTGGTAAAATCAACTCCCCATTACGAAGGTAATTGAGTATAAACCGGAAGTGTGTTCCATCTCGGTCGATAAAGAAAGCGCCGTCATCAGCAGGCTTCATCTCAAACTTCCCGGAAAACATGGCAGCCAGCATCGAATTTGGATCTTTGGTCAGCGTTTGGAGACTTGTGGTGAAGCGATGACCGCCAACATTTAGCTGTATTGTTGAAGAAAAGTGAACATGTTCCAACTTCTTCGACATGGCGTCGATAGCTCTCTGCTCGTGGCGAAGTCTTACTGCTTCTCGTTGTAACATCTCGCAAGCTTGTTTAATATGGCTCTCAGCGTCTGTTAAGACTTGATTATGTTGATGATCGTTATCTCCTAGATCTGGTTTACTCATAGTTTTGTTTCTGCCTCTGAACTATCAGTTGAAATTAATGTTGTTACTTTCGTTTAGGAAGCTTTCGACCTAGAGTTGCGACATGGAGTTGCGTGTCAACAAGATGATTCGGAGAGAGACTGGTAAGGAAAACGAGACAAGGCGAGCTGGGCGAACAGTGAATGATATTTGCAGACTTTATTTTTGATGACACTGATAGTATCTTAATCGTCACTAAAAATTTTGCGTTAAAGTAACGTCATTAAGAGTATTATATTCTTCAGAGGCTCTTAAAAAGGTCTTAAGAGCTAATGTCAAAATGCATCAGACAAACAGCGGCAAGTCGCCCAAATTCGTTTTCTCTCCTACTTTCATATTTTGTAGCCCAATATGTCCTAATAATTTTGGTGTAGTTTTTTTGTGAAAACATATTTTAGTTTTTGAGAAATGAGTTTTTTCGTTCGACCGCTCAAATATGCAAATTTTCACCCTGAATATTACCCGAGTTGTGTGACCTCATGTAACGAATTTACATGACCTCCGGTATTTCTGACGACGTAATCCTTTGTTTTATCATCTAAACTTAATTCCCTGTCATTATTGAAGCTGGCAAAGAAATATTTTTTTTTGGTGAATATTTTTGTCCGACATACTTTTTCTATGTCGAAAAGTAGCATCAAAATAAAGCCAGTTTTAACAATGATCGATATGACAGAATCTACTGAGCTTCTAGCTTTTAAAAGGCAAAAGGATGGTTATAAAGTTACTGTAAAAATTTCCTTGTGTATTTGTGTTGTTCTATCGTGAGACGAACTCAAAGTCCGGCAAAATTTACTTGCTTGCGACTATGAAATATACTTGGTGTTCCTACTTGTCGCCACTGGCATATCGAGGCATAAATCACTACAATTTGTAAAAACTCTTACTTTGTTTATTTCTGATTTTATAAGACCAGTAATCTGTTTCGGTTATTATATTACGCTTGGGTATTACTTTTTGCCGGAAGCCCGGGTTTTACGTTATGTTTTCCCCTGTCTCATTCATATCAGAAGCTGGTCACGCAATAATTGATACCAACACAAATGAATATTTACCCTGTATGAAGATTTTTGTTTATGTTGAATTGACAATATTACAATATGTTACTTTTGTGGTCACTAATCGTTGTTTCAGTAGCAGCGCAGCAGTTCAAAGCGGGCTATTGCTTCAACGCTATTGAAATTTATAGTGTTCTGGCAGGAGAGCATAGCGTGACGCAATGGGAATAAAAACTCTTAGGGGCCTTTACATGATATCGGAATGACTTTTGTTCAACAACGAGTTCATCCCGGTTGCCACATGATACCAGAGTAAAATTATTCGAAACGAGTCATTTCTGAATGAGTTTATTGAGGTTTTAATTCCAGAAGGAAACACTTTTTCTGGACGACCTTTTGTACCTGTATAAAGTACATGCGGTACGATACTCATATCTGTATGAATCCTCTTTAGGAACGAGGGAAGCATAGAAAAAGGACGTAAATACTTGTTTTTACAAGCTAAATTAACTTGCATGTAAAGGCGATATGAAATTCATTTCGTTCCGGAACGAAACCCATTTTGAAATAATGTAAAAGGTACGTTAGGGACGGACCATTAGATTTTTGATTCAGGGGAGGGGGGGTCTTTTGCCAATTGCACAATGTGTTTTCTTCCATTAAGCCTGTGCTCCATTTTTCGAGGGTTATTGCCCAACACCCCAACACCCCCCCCCCCCGCATCAAAAGTCTAATGGTCCGTCCCTAAGATGTTATCAGGTCAAGTAAGAAGCAACAACAAAAGGATTCCTATCAAAGCGAGGTGCCATTTTCAGTCATACCTGGTAGGACACCTTGAAAACAAAGGATGACACGCAAGCAGTTTACTACAAATTTGACATGAAAATAATTTTGATGCCTCTTTGAAAAGAAAAAAAAAGCTTGAACAGTAGACATTGCAAGATCTTTGGCTATGTTACAAAAATGAGAATACTTAATGCACTAGAAGTGCACACATCGAGTTCTGGATGCACTTGAATAGTCTGTTTAACAAATGAAGACGTACAGTTATTTTCCTGACAGGGTTTGTGGGGGAAGGGGGGGGGGGGGAGGAGGCGATCGGAAATGGGGTGAGGATGCTTGTCGTACCTTTCAGGGGTCAAAATCAGTGATCTGGTACCTTTTAAGGTGTCTCAAACTTTAGTGGACTACCAGAGACCTAACTGGTACCTTTCAGGGTGTTTTTCGCTCAATAAAATACCTATACCAAGCATTACTAAGACGATTTTAATGATCTGACTTGAGCCTCTGGAGCACATCAATAAAGGAGTTCTTATTTTTGGCATTTTTTTATTTTTTTGTGTTTAAATTGGTACTTTTCAGGGGTAGATATCAGTTGTTGCCACTCCCACACGCATAAGACTCAGGAACCTTTTATAATTTTATAGGGGTCGTTTTCTAAATGCTCGGCGCGCATCCTCGCCCTCTTATGTATAGGGGTTCCCTGGGGGTTGCTGATACGTGCAGCACACTTTAAATTTAGCAAGGACAAATTTTGATGTGATTTTCGGTGAAGAGAAAAAAAGTTTTGTCAGCGTCTTGTAGCTATTGAGGAAGGGCCCTTTACCACTGTGTGCTTAATTACGCGTCCCGCCAGACGGCGGGAAGCTCAGAGTGCCTCAGACATCAGTGTAGAAAACTCCGCCTCTGTCTGGATTTTTGGTAGCCTATTGACCAATTCCCATCTAGGCCTAAGTCTGACGGGACGCATAATTTTTTACAATGTGGTAAGTAGCAAGGTTATATAAATTTTCCAGACGTCTTGCGTACTATCTGTGGTACACTGCTTGCCAACTCCCCAATAGGCTTTTGGAATCGAATTAGCCCTACCTTTACCATTTAGGTACTCTACATCTACTACTGGAACCACGAATCCACCCAACACCTGTACCGGTACCGAGATTTGATCTATGAGAGGGGCAAACTGTAAAATCATTGATATCTTTTGGGCGTCTCTAAGATGCCGGCTCGCGATAAAATAAGATTAACTTCAGATCCTAAGCCAGCTTTTTCTGTCTTTTTTACGTCTCACTGAGCTTTGTAATCTTACGTTACATTTACGTTTTCAACTCAGTTGATAACAATAAATTACCCTGTTATACTCTTTCACCGACGCAGCACCACGGTTTCTAGAGAAACTTACCCTCATCTATTTATAAATAATTGGATCGTTTATGGCTTTTCACATGCAGTTGAACAGAGCATTGGAATCTATTTCTCGGAGCGATTGAATCGCTCTGAAGAAGAGCTAACGCTCAAAACGTAAGCCTTTTAACTCTCTTAACTCTCCGCGGATTTGAAACCCCCAACAAAACTGAGTGAAAATATCATCCTTGACGTTCTGGTAGAAATAGATAATTGACGTTACGTTCCAGTGCATACTAACATGCGTATTGCCAATGCATACGACCTGGGAGCTGGAAATGACCAGTCAGATGGTATCGTGCGAATTAATAATCGTTAAAATTAGGAAATAAGATTGAATTCGATGTAATAGTCTCCACTTTTGTTAATGTTGATTTGCACCTGAAAATAAGCTGAGGGTTCCAATAGTTCAAACGGTTTTGGCCGCTTGTCAATCAACGTAATGACACGTTTGCTTACACAAATTCATTTTGAAACCAATGTTTTTCTGTCAACCAAAGTGATTTGAAAGAGAGAAAAGAGAGGATTATTAAGTTATCTATCGGCTTGAGGTAGTGACCGACGTCTTTGCTTAAAAATACTGCCTGGTGGGAAAAACGAGATATATTTATGAAATATGACAAGGTAGGGATGTACCCGCCGACTCACGAAAGCTTTACCGTTGTTCGTGGGCAGAGAGAGGAAAATACGGACCGCGTAAAGAACCAATCAGATTTCAGGATTCGTTACCGTGCCCTCTGAAAAAAAGATCAACTGTAGTATGATTTTCTACATCGGGGAATCTTGTCCTTTGCTTTTGTTGTGGACAGAAGAAAGTAATGCTTTTTGATGTAGAAAACGAAAATAAAAGTTCACCTTTTAAAAAAAGTTATAACCAAGAAGATCGTTCAAATCATTGTGAAGTTTAACCTGTTGGTTTCTGAAATGTGACGGCTGTCATTAATAGATTCCAAAGACTTCGTAGTCCGTCACATTAAAATATTGAGCTCCCGTGAAGAATGTGCAGTGCTGTCCGGTGGGAAGCTGATACGAGTGGCCGAGATTACTGGAACTTGAACCACTTGTGTTTGCGTTATTTGATATATGTAAGTCCCACCCTCCTCCAAATGTTGGTCCACTGTTGCTATCACAGAAAATGGCTCTCTGCTGATCTTTTACAAGAGACATTTTACTCGGAGCCACTCCTTTCGGATTCATCATGCTGAATAGGAATGACTGTGAGCAGTGCACGTAGCTACCCTGACCTGTTTCAGAAAAGAAAAACCAAAACTAATATTGATGCAAATTTTGGAATAATATTCAACTGTTATATTTCTAAACCAGCTTTACATCATATCCGAGAAAAACGGCGATGATCCCAACTACTGCCTTCCTCCCTCTCCCATCCCTTCTACACGCCTACGACGTTGTCGTCGTTCAGAAATAAGAAATTGTTCAGACGATCTTAGACAGTGCATGATACTACACAAGCAGTAAAGAAAGCTCCATCTTCTAATGGTGTCACCTCCAACTTCCCGGAGAACATCGAAGCTAACATCGAGTCTGGATCTTTAGTCAGCGTTTGAAGACTTGTCGTAAAACGGCGGCCGCCAACATTAAGGTTTACAATCAACGAGAGATGAAAGTGCTCTACTTTTTTCGACATGGCGTCGATAGCTTTCGAATTCTGCTCATGGCGAATACTTGTTGCTTGTCGTTGTAATACCTTGCAGGTTTCTCTGATTTGATTATCAGTGTCTTCAAGAACTTGATTGCCTGTTGAATTATTTTCCATAGGAATTTTTCTCACCCCGCCTTTTTTCTGAGAACCAACAAATGTTGAAATGCTGTCTCAAAGTAGCAAGTCGGGTTCAAACCAGGTATAAATGCGTGGTCGTTTGACAACAATACAAGTGATGCGTGACTTGCGATAACATGACACATTTAAAACATTTAAGTGTATTCAAAAACACTTTTTCAGCCAGCGTTCTCATCTCAAGATTTATAAGTGCGAAGAGCTCAGTGAAAGAAAACTTTCAGAACATGCCTTAGTTGAATTATTTGAAGTGATTTCTAGATGTTATTTATTAAAGAACTGCGCCCGTCACTACTTATCTGCATGAAAACTATGAACGCAAGAATGTTTTCATTATTCTATTTTCTAGATTATTATGTTGGAGAAAACATCGAGACGTCAAACAGTGATACTATAGGTTAGTATCACCAATTATATCTCATGTCTGCCATTTGAATCACAATCATGCGATCAGTGTAGGCAGCATTCGTCCGATGAGCAGCATTCGTCTGATGAGTTAAGTTAATGAATTAAAAATTTTATTCTTTCAGCAAGAATCATAATTCAAATTCTGACAATTCACATGAATACACCACCGACAAGTCGCCAGTATATTAATTACGTTCCACATATAGAACGGCCTAGCAAATCCTATTTTTTGTTTGTTTTGTTTCATCCGGCACTTTTCTACCGGTGAAACGAGTGCTAAAATGAAAAAAATTTGTAAATAATTGGACCGTTTACAGCTTTTCGACAGATTGATTCTCCAGCTATGGAATTGTATAGAATGGCTCCCGGTATCCACTATAAATAAAAGTGTTGAACAGATTTCGTTTCAATGCTTGTCGCAAACAAACAGCCAAACAACTGGAAAGCTTTCCGTATGACCCAATACTATTCTAAAACAATGCAATGCGAGATTGCTGTAACTTGCACCACTTGTGTTAGCGTTATTTGATATATAAAAATCAAACCCTCCTCCAAATGTTGGTCCATAGACGCTCTTACCGTAAATGGCATTCTGCTGCTGAGCTGTCGGTAGTGACATTTTAATCGGTGCCTTTCCTTGCGGATTCACCATGCTGAATAAGAGTGACTGTGAGGAGCGCGCGTAGCTACCCTGACCTGTTTCAGAAAGAAAAACCAAAACTAATATTGATGCAAATTTTGGAATAATGTTCAACTCTTATATTTCTAAAGCAGCTTTACATCATATCCGAAAAAAACGGCGATGATCTCGATTACTGCCCTCCTCCCTCTCCCATCCCCTCTACACATCTACAATGTGCCAAGTTTAAGGCCGACAAACATCGGTTAAAGAAGCTTCTATGAAGGAAAACAATTTTAAACCTTGTTGTACAAACCTCCTTTAAAACATGTTTAAGCTCTGGTGTGGATGGGGTATTAGTTTTCCTTGCTATTGGTTTTTAATCTTTTTGTCGTCGATTAGAAAATAGAGAATGTTTAGACGATCTTAGACAATGTATCATACTATACAAGCAGTAAATTCGAATTCATGACACTGGGCAATTAGATATCCCAGCTGTGTTAATGCGCCAGTCTCACTGGGTAACATGACCCTTTTAACATTATTCCTCCAAGGAAATTATGTGGTTGGATTTTTTTAGATATTGAAACCGATGTGCTTTTGAAAGAGTCCAATCTAGGACAGGGACCTGGGGAGAGGGGCTTTAGCGGCCCTTATACTTTTGCTAACAACGTCTAGCCTCTTTCGTTAAAGAGACACCTCTTCTTTTTAAAACTAAATTGTTGTAACTTGTTTTCTATGACTTAAGCTAAAACATAGAAACAACGTGTTAACCTTAA